TTATCTAATAACAATGAATATAATTCTTCTTTATGTAAATTCCTCACGCAATGGTGAATGAATTTTAAATAATATAAATAAGTAATATGTTGTATAAAAAATATTTCTTGCCAGAAGAAAAAGTATATTGTTAAATTTCGTTACCTTAAAATTTTTAACTATTTCTTAAACTCACTATAGGCTATATCTTATATGACCGTCGTAATTTGCATTTGGATAAGCTAGGTGCACTGCAAAGATCAATGGACATCATTTTATGGATCATAAACAAATGCCACAGGCAGTTCCACTAAAGTCCATTTCCAGACAGTTTGTCCTGTTGATACGTCACATCTCTGCACCAGTCCCCTGTGATAATATAACACTGAACGGCAGTAATGAGGACAATCAGGACACACAGCTTTGGACAGGAACCGTGGGACACGATCTGGGTTGTCATCTTGGGCCCAGCTCCAGGGGCACTTTGAGGTGCCTGGCGTTTGCACGGTGACGTCACGGCTAACACGGCGGGGATTCACGGTTGCAGGTGACTGCGGCGTGGTGAACGGTTTCTCGACGAAAAGAAAATGTCGTCGCAGACGCATGAGCGTTTTTTGTGGTTTTTGGCGAAATTCAGGGCAGGTCAATTCAAGAGACAGAGAAATGACACCTGCAAACACTGCCAGAGCGAAAAGCTGAAAAAAGTAAACACATCAATTGGTTAGAACTCTTAATAAGTTACTGAATAGATAAGGTTTTATTTTGAGAGACGTATCATTAAAGTAACATGTCTTTTTTTTAGAAGCAAGCATATACAAAACGAGTGGATATTAATGCTTCGACCTTTCTAGATTAAGTGCTGCATGATAGATAGAAAAACATTCAGATGTCTATGACAAAAACATGCGCTAGCTTCAGATGTAGATGTCTCATAAAGCGGGTTATTTAAGAAGGGCCATATCCGAGAGTTCAGTCAAAACGGATTGAAGGGGATGTGATCCATCCTTTCTCAAAGATAAACCAATCACGGGCAAAGAGCCGTTAATACGTGTTTTCAACTGCAAACTCTAACCTCATGTCGTAACATGTTTTCAACTCCAAACTCTAACCTCCTCGTGAGAAGGCCAGTTATACTAGCACTGGTCAAAATCCTAAAAATAAAATAAGCAGCTGAATAAGGTACCTTTTCAGGCTCAAAGCTCACCTTTTTACAAAGCAGCATGGTTAATTTATCTTCGGTCAGTTCAACTTGTTGTAAGAATGCTGTTGGTGTGTGATGAAGACTCAACTCTAACTAGACACTAAAGAGACCCAGTTTATATACTTTTATTTCCTCTAATGTAATTTCACAAAGTTACCGGATAATCTCTTTTTACTTCAGAAAAGGTGTTTCCCCTTGTCGGTTTGCAACCAAAGTTTTGACAGTTTGCTTTTTCCTCCACTTCTGGCCAGCCGAGCTAAGTGATTTTCCCGTCGCAAGTTCAAGTTTAATGGTGGTAAACCTGATCACCAACTCTTGCTAATCATAATCGGATTTTCCGGCCTAGGAGTACCTAAGGCATTGATTAGGTATTTGTTTAGTGTTCTTATTTTTAGGTGATTATCTGTGTGCTACGTCTGGCTAAACATCATTGTGCTGAAAAATTATAGTTATGAAGTGAGAGGATTCCCTATGTAAATTGGAAGCAAGAATCACTCGACCGACTCAGTTGCCACTGAATTTTCAGGAAGATAAGTACTTAGCACCGTTAAAACATTTGCTATATTGTTTTTACGTAAAACAATTGTATTGAAACCGCAGATTACGCAAGTAAAACTCTTTTACTGAAAGTAAACTAGGATACCTTTTTTAAATATTTGGTTTTACTTTTTAAATGTTATTTATTTATTTATTTATTTATTTACTTTTTCAAGGGATGAACAATCACAAAATACATGTCTTAAAATGCCAAGGCGAGCTCTTGATTCCAAGAGAGAATACTATTATTCTTTGTTGTTGATTCCTAATACCGTAATTTTTATAGTTAATGTTAAATAAAAGACGATGCCTTAATCAAGTATACATGACTCTTAAAATTTGCTTGAGATGATCGATCGATCGATTGATTGAAAATTTACTGTATATTTAGCATGTTCTTTTGCCCAAGCAAGTTTCCACTGGAGAAGACTCTTCATTTCAAAAATGCGACTAACGAAATGTAAACACGAATCAGTTTTTTAAAAATGTTTATTCATACACAAGTTTGTGGATAGTTCATGATCATCATCAAAACGTCATTAAGTGAGTTATTACCTTAAACCCTATATACGTCAGGTGAAGTAACTTTTGACGTCAGTGTAGTTGTTTGGATTCAAATTCTCTGCCAACCGGAAGGTAAACATGGAAATCAGTTGTACCACTTTGCATTTCCGACCCAAAAATATTTCTCATTGAAACAAACGAACAGAAAATCAAAACTGCACATGCAGGCGAAAAGTGTATTATGCTCAATGTACTGTATTAGCTTGTATTGTTTGTTACTTAATCAAAGCATCGCTAAGGCACATCAAAGTTGTCAAATCAAAACTGACTAAACATTTCAGTGCGACATCTGCGGCATCATCTTACCGTGAGACCACAAGTAACTCGATCGAAGGACTAGAATTTCAGAATCAGTACGTGCTTTTTGGTTCCTAACAAGAGCCATTATGGCTCTTGGTTCTTAAGAGTTACTAAATTCGTAGTGAGGCCAATCTCGGCAGTCTGGCGCAGTAAATATCGAATAAATGACATGTGACCCGCGTTACAATTTACTAATACAACAAAATTGAAATACTAACAGCATGAAGAACTCGTTAAATCATGGGAAAAAGTTTTTTCTCTTGTCACGAGAAAGAAAAATTTGGGTTGAAAGGCACGGTATTGCAACACCACTGTAAATATAGTAAAAAATATTCCAGTGAACTGCATGGTTGATTAAACTGCATGTAATTTTTTTTTTTCAAGTAACGATCAGTAACTGAAACGTCCTGACACACTCTCACAAAAGACAATTAACGGAATGCAAACCGGAACCGGAACTCTGTTATGCGTACGTCTGGCGAGTAACTACGTATTAGTAGTTTTCTGCAGTTCTTAACCGGGACTAATACGTCCGAGTACTGCCAATTGCATCGGATACAACCCGGTACTGTTTCAGCTATATCGAGCTACATCGAATTCGGAAAATGACGAAATTTTGTAAAATAGTGGGCGGGGAGTTTGTAAAACAAGTCTATGAGAGCATATAGTTCAAAACCACTTAACATAGCATTGTTGAACGTATTTTAATATTCAAACGGTAGATGTAGGCATATTTTTATCCCCTAAAAACTTTTCATCTGTTCGCATTTCCTAGCTGAAAGTCTAGAGATCCGAAAATTATAGGGATAAAAACTTACCTTCTCGAAAATTTCAGCCAGGAAAAGGCTCCCGAAACTTCTAGGTGGCCTTTTTTAGGGTCAAAATCCGTTAAAAATGGGTGATTATACCATTTTGTAGATGTTCGAAATCCTAGGAGAGGTAGGCAAGCAAGAAATTTTACAACAAATGCTCCGAAAATTCTAGATCTCAAATCGTCTTCCGGACAGATATTTTCCCGAAAATTGCCGTTGGGTGCCCCTGGGAAATGAAGTAATGGTGGCGCACTTTGTTTTTCTCTGTCTCTGGTGTGCTTTCTTTAACAAATCTTCGCCAAAATTGGACGTGCAAAGCTTTCAATGCTAACGTAAAAAAACGAAAACAAATAGACAACAATTTTGCATTGCTTGGCTGCACTTAATGTTCAACACCAGGAGCCTATGAGCAGCATTATATAGTGAAACCACTTGCTGGCGTCCCGAGGTTCCACTTGTTTAAACATTTTAACGTCATTTCTTTAGTCTCAAAGCGTATAGACAACGAAAAATTGTCGTCGAGCCTTGCAAATATGGCAAATAATAATGATGATGATAAATCTCATGTATTGTGCAAATTAACAGGTGCTTATGGTCCATATAAGCAGTTGAGTATCACGTGTAAATTCATAAAAAACTAACCTACTACAAAACACTATGAAAAGTAAAACTCCTACAAACATATTCGTTGATCGATTGCCGTTTGCTTTCTTCTCCTGCTTCATGTTGATGATAGCCTGTATGTACTAGTGTCCATGAGTAAATTCCGTATCAGGATTAATTTTTATAAATTAGTCAATCAATGTTTTTAAAATCGTAACTGGTTTATTTAATTTCGAACTGCACTTCCAGTATCAAGTGGACCTCGTGAGTGACAAAAGTCAACTAAGGTAGCGCACGGGTGACAGCTACTAAATAGCTCACGAGTGAGCCGGAATCGGTTGTTGCATAACAGTAAGAGTCAGTGAAGAGTTTTTGTAACAAGCAAAAGGCACGACTAAATTAAATTCGCTGGAATCGCTCTGAAACGGCCCAAAATACTAATAACGTGCAATTAATAACGAAGGGACAAAGGAAGGAATTCTTCAGTATTTCTGTTATTATAGATTCCGAAATAGTGATTGTTAAAATTGTTATACCCCGGCACGCAATAACTCTCGTGAACTTGGGCAACCTGTGGTTTACATGCACGTGCTTCTCAATCCAAGGTCTTTGAAAATTCTATTTGACAATCAAACTGAAGAGACCACCACCAAAGATGTTTTCGTCTCTCCTCGCTTTGGTCTTGCTGCTCACGTTTTCCAGCCTTTTTGGGACGATCACTTTCGCTTACTTTTTCTTCACGTGCGTTTGCAGCAATTGCCAACCACAAAAAACAAAAATCTCTCCTGACAGTGGGAAAAAGGAACAATGGATCGTAGGTTCCTGTGTAGTCACGAAAACAAAAGATATGCCACAGGTAAACCAATCCACACAGATGTCACCGTCACACCAACAAGGTTGGCCGGCACTCTGCTCCACTGCGGACTCTTGGTTTGATCAGCCATATCAGACAGCTTTTCCTCCGTTGATTAGCTCTGAAACAACCAAACTCCATAATACCCGCATCCTTCTCAGTTTTGCTACACCGGAAAGACTTGGAAAGGCTGTTGTTTGTAACGTTTGTGAAACGTCCTATGGTAGCACAAATCCGATCAGACCCGGCCAACGTCGTGAATATTGACCTTATCAGCATCACATGTGGGTCATGTACAATCATGCTCCGGTTTGTGCAAATCACAAGATATTCTCCTAATTGTGCCGTTTCACCCGGCCGGCCCGCTTGATAAGGCCTATTCTTATTACATAAGTCTCAAGCAAACCCAAAAACACAAGCACAATCACGAGAAATCTAGCTTCGTCTCAATCGCTGCGGTGAAATAAGTAAACCACTTATTCTATACTTATCTATGCTGTTATTTACTACTGATCAACCAGTACGCGATTGAAAGGAATCTTTAAAAACCACTTTGCATACTCAACGAAAGTTTATTAAGCTAGGTACAAGGGTAACTACTAGGGAGTCATGGCTGTATTTTCTGCGTTTCAAGCTATGCGGTTAATTCTCCTTGTCTCTGTCCTTTATGATGCTGTTGGAAAGAGTTGTCGCTCCTCTTTTTCCTGCATTAAAGATCAGGTTTGTTGCGATCATAAATGTATTTACGGATCGGATTGTTTAGGTTCACTCTGCGCTCTTGATTCGGACTGTTCCGTCGGTCAAAGTTGCTGCAGCAATAAATGCAAACATGGCCTTCACTGCGTCGGATCTCGCTGCTCTGAGAGCAATGACTGTGGAGTTTACGAGTCTTGCTGTTTTGGAACATGTTCGTATGATGTAGATTGTAAACTCTACCGCACTATAGAACTAGTCGGTATAATATGTGGTGCAACGATGCTCCTTTGTGTGGTCTTTGTTTGTGTTTTCTGGGCTTACCACCGACGCCACACAGAGGTTCGTCCAACTCTGAACAGTAACACAAGCTTTGTGCCACAGGCAAACCAAGCACAGCCATACCACGCAAGATACCTGGATAACCCCCTTCGTCAGTATCAGATGCCCAGTCCCCCTCCACCATACAGCCCTGGAACAACATCAGTGAGTGAACATCATCCCTACTCCATTGCCGCGAGAGCAGAGCCGGGGACATCAGATGGAGAAGAACGCTGATGTTATATCACACTGGGCATTACAAACTGCATCAGGACAAGGCCAGGCTGTCTAAAACAAATTATTAGTAGAAACCGGGTCAGCTATCAGACCTGTAGAATCGCAAGTTACTGTAAGTTGTCAGTAACCAACTCCCTGATGCCCATGCAACGGCGTTTTCACATACCAATTACCGTGACCGTTACAGAAAATAAAACTGAAACCTTGTTCAGTTTTCCTCAAATATCGTTTAACCCTAAGTCAAATGAATGTTAGCAGATTCACACGTTTATTGCTACTTCACTAGTCTGTGGTAATCGAACATGTCAATTATGTCGAAGTTTCTAATGAAGTGATACGTGTATTAACACAAGTGACAGGGCAACGGTTGGAACTTTTTTTACATTAAATGTTGCGTAAATGATACTGCCACAATTGCAGTACACTAGCATCGCAGTTTGTGAGCAGAGGCCGTTTCTAGTCTCTCTGTTCGAGCAGCGTGAACTCCGACCCTAGCGGTTGCGAAGACGACTACCCAATTGTAACCTCGCTACCCATCACTCGAAAACTTGTAACAATGATTCTCCTTATCTTCATCGCGTGGCCCGGTGCATGGTGGATGTAGCTACAAAAGAACTACGACTACATGACAGGATTTAGGGTAAAAAAAAAATCGATTACCCCAGTTACGTTTATTTGGATACTTGACATACCGTATTTATTCGAATAAGCGCTCAACCTCGAATTAGCGCTCACCTCGAATAAGCGCCCATGCTAAAGGCACAAAAAGTTAATAAGCGCCCAGCCTCGAATAAGCGCCCACCCCACCCCATTCCCTCCCACAAAAATTCCAATAAGAGATAATAAGAGACCCTCCCGAAGACGGAGTTTTCTTCTGAGTATTTTACAGAAACCTTGCTTTGCTACATCTTCGCTTTTTGTTAGTACCATTTACTGTTTTGCTGTAAAATATACTACTACACTTGCTGAGAATGGTGAAAATTTAATAAGCGCCTAGCCTCGAATAAACGCCCACCTCGAATAAGCGCCCACTCTCAAGGTCCAAAATTTAATAAGCGCCCAGGGCGTTTAATCGAATAAATACGGTAACGAGTGATTAAATTACACAATTTAGCTATGTGATCATTTCAGAAAGAGAAAATGAATTCCAATATTAACTTTAAACTGATCGTCCTATACACAATTTATGAACTCTTCGAGTACTTCTTCAAGACGAATATCTGTTACAGTAGTGGTGAATCTCGTCTTGGCTTGCGTGACTTTTTTCTTCTTCCGGCCTTGCACACGTAGAATGACGTCATAGCGTAACTCGTGATCCGCATTTTTAAGATTTCCGGGAATCGTTGCGCCATTTATGTACGTATACGTGGTTATCCATTCACCGGAACGAAATCGGAAAAAACGGGGAAGAAAAAGTGTAGAGAGTTATGGCTACCTTCCAAGGGTTTCAAGCTTTGTTTTCTGTGCTCGTTTTATATTCCTGGGTTGTAGTGAGTTCGACTAATCCGAGTTGGTGCACTCAAACCAGTTATTCCTGCGATACTAACTACGTATGTTGCAATAACCAATGTGTTCCGGGATCAAACTGCTATGATCGATATTGCACCTTCGACTCCGATTGTTCAGTCGGTGAAAGCTGTTGTAATAGTCAGTGCAATGATGGCTATAACTGTATTGGACAGTCTTGTTCTGTAAACTCTGAGTGTGGATCATTCGAGTACTGTTGTGACGGAACATGTTCATATGATTCATGTTACGATGCCACTGCCGTAATACTTGGTTCTATTTTCGGTACGATTTTCATCTTTGGCGTTTTCTCCGTATGCATTTACTACGCTTGCAGAAGGCGTCGAGTTCACCATGGAAGAGTGATTGTAGGACAGAGAGTTACAACAGCGACCGTGAGGACAACAACAACTACACCGCAGCCTTACCCACCCTATGTGGGGCAGATACCTCCACCCCACCAACAAGGCTACCAATACTACCCCCCACCTCAGTATGAACAACATCAGACGGCCATTCCTCCACCATACAACCCTGGGACAACTGCAACAAATGATCAACCTCCCCCTTATAGTGCAGCAACACAGGGTAGATCAGGAGGGGTTTACACTCCTAAACCATCATATGGGGCAGTGCAAACAGCGTCAGCTCCGCCGCCTGTCTAGTGACCTCCTCCCCCCTGTCAGTGGATGAGAATGCAATCTGTTGTGACAATTTACAATACTGCAGAAATACTTTGTAAATGTAGCAAAAACTGTCTCAAAATATTGGTTATTGAATGTATAGCTGTAGTGGTTGAAATTAAAGAAATATAGTTCTGTGTGGTTCAAAAAACTTTTTTTGTTTGTGGTTCTTGTTTTTCCCTGAATGAATGTCTTCTCGGGGATAAATAACTGATGGGAAGTTATCCATCAGTGCACCCCTTACCAAACTGGCCCCACATGTTCAAAAGATGGATAATGCCTTCACCGGATTATTCGCTAACCACAGTATTAGTGTATAACACAACTTGCAAAGCTTTCTCACCGGTAAAATCAAGTCGGCTGTCAGTTAAAATTTTGGCCAATTCTCAGCTATCAGTAGTCTCCCTCGCAGCCGTTTTTTGGATGTCACGCAACGCGTAGAGAGCGTTGCGTGACATCCAAAAAACGGCTGCGAGGGAGACTAAGCTATCAGTTGCACATCAGCGAAAGTGATGCAGGAAATGGCGTCATAGTGACGGAAACGGTCACAAGAGAGTATAAGCTATCATGATTAGCCTACAGAATAACATTGACACACTGTACAGAACTTCTCCTGCATTGGAGCTATCTCTTTTTATTTGTTTATTTTTAAGAGGTTACGTCAAGAAATAGAGAAAGCTTCTATAGAGCTGAATGGATTGTCTAAGACTGTCACGACATCTAGAAAATAACGATTACATTATGAAGGAGCTGCGTAATGCAGAGTCTGTTTGAGTTCTTAGCCATCTGCCATATTGAATTCAGCAAGATGGAGTATTTTTCAGCAGATGAATGAGCGAATTTAAATATTGACGCTTAACGGACAAGGGAGTCGAATCTCGGAAGTGGTATGTTTTGATTGTTCATAACTGATGCAAAGTCAGTCAAGTGTAAGCCTGTACTCGGACTTCGCGGTCATTAATTCTGAATTGAGTTTGTAAAGGTATAGTCTGCCACTACACAGCCGTTTTTAGTGTCGTCACGCAACGCTCCTTCCCACAATTGTGGGCTTGTGGGGAGGAGCATTGCGTGACGACACTAAAGCAGACTAGTAAAGCAGTAAAGGTATTCATGATGAAGAAATATCTTATCCTTCATTACCCATTCCCCTCCCCCCCCACCTTCCAAAGAATGACTGTCCAACGAGTCACAATTCTCGCTGTCTGCGTAGCAGGCGTCCAAAGGGACCCGGAGGGTAGTCATTATTAATGGCTTACAGCTATTTCGAGAAAGGTTGTCGGAGAAAGTGCACGCGACAATCCTTAAAGGTATTGTGGGTCGGTTTTGAGTCCATTGTTCTTCAAAGAAATTTGAAAGAATGGTACGAGAGGTCATGGACGTATGTTTGCGAGTGCTAAAGAAAAGCAATAAAAGTAGGTTTGACAGCTACAGAGTCAGGAACAGTGTGATCATATCCCATATTAGACCTTTCGGGATTGTCGCGTGCACATTTGTTTCCGACAACCTTTCTCGAAATAGCTGTATATGGGGAGGCTCCACCCGAAACGGATATCATTTTTAGGCTTCAGGTACCGGAAAGGGTAGGGATTTCACTAGTTGAAGTGTATAAAAGGGTAGTGAAATCTGACATTTCGCTCTGTAAAAAGTCCCAAAAGGGCTAACAGATGTTTTTTTTATGGCTGCTAAAAAGTAAAATATCGGCAAAACAATTCATGATGACCTTAACCTTGACTAACCTTAGCTTACGCAAATCATGTGTTCTAATGAAATAATGAGATTACCGCGATAAATTTTCTAAGCGCATTGGCGTCTTTTTCGTAGCAAGTGTGGATAACAATTTACCAAACCGGTTCCATGTTTTTCGGTGGCGCCAGCCAAAACGATTGCAGCTCAGGGAACAAGAGCAAGTTTCTCTCACACGTGTAAATATATGTTGAATCTAAAACCACGCTAACAATCTGGCAGTCCGGCTACGGAGTACTTTCAAACTGAATGTGAGCAATGAAATCAACACACGCACTCACGCTCTCACTATTATGTAAATAGTTCTAAAAATACTTTCGTCTATGTTCCGATCGCTACTCTGTACTCAGATCACTGCATTAACACATTTAGAAAATTTTACTTGACTTTTTATATGTGGAACGAACTGACTTTTTTTGGAACAATCTGACTTGGAACGAACGGACCGGATAGCGAGGAAAAGGGGAGAGGGGATTGGAGAGAGAGAGAGACGGAAAGGCTCCCTCTCTCAGGCGAGTTTCCCTTTCGCTCTTTTCTCTTCCTTTTCTTCCCTTCTCGTCAGTCTCGTTCTTTGAAAATTATTTATCAATAGTTTTAAAACTCTCGCCCTTTTTTATGCCAAGTGCGTGTGTTTGCATGCGCACTGAAATCATCTCTTGGAGAATTTCACGAGTTACTTCATATATGTGGAGATTTACCAGTTATTTGCTCAAAAGAATTTCAGTGAGTTTAGATGAACAACTCAGTTTTCCATTTCGTGACTTATAATGAACAGAACGCTGGATGATAAAATCGTACCCATGTCGAAATTTAATCGCCGGTTAAGGGCCATGTAAATGTAAACCATGTTGATATTTAGAATACACATCATTTACCGAAACGCCTACCAAAATTCGAGGCCAAATAAATACGTTAACTTGTTTACTAACTTTATATATGGATTGATTTTACTGAGGACTCCAAAGATTTCGATGAGTTTTCCAATTATCACATGAAGTACCCCTGGATAATAAACCTGACGAAAGTCCAATCCCGATAAGGGGCAATTCGGAATCTTATTTATATGAAGGGTTTTCCGTAGCCTGCGTTGCAGCGCGGCCCACGCACTCGTCTAAAAAAAACGGAAGGTTTAGAGCGTCTGCGACGCAGGCAAGGTTTTCCGTTGATCGATTGAAAAGTTATAATAAGTAATGGTAACAGGACTGAGTGGAGTCCAATTCGGTTTGTAATCATACGAGTGTTAACAAAATTGGACGACCGCGTAGCGGGAGTCCGATTTGTTTAATCACGAGTATGATCACAAAGCGAATTGGACGACACGAGGTTTTGTTACCAATTAATGATAACTTTAACAAAATTTGTGATATATAAAGCTCTTTTTAAAATCAAAACACAATAAATTCCAAGATTTTTGCCAGCACTGAAAAAAAACCATTTAAGCGCGCGCGTCATGGCGCGTAATGTACTGTCCTATTAAACTGTCCAATTAAGGCTGAAATCAGGGCAGTTGATAGCCAATCAGATTTGACAATTTTGTTATAGTTAGGATTATAATAATAATAATTTTTAACTAGGAGACTCACTCACCAGGGTGATTTTCAGAGATCATGAAGATAGACAAAGATAAAAAGAAGTGTAAAACGATAAAAAGCCACAAAAGTGTCCTAGATTAAAGACCTAAATGATCACAAAGAACTTTTAAAATGGTTAGAAAATTAAAAGTCGCAGAGTTATATTTGATTTTCTTAAAAGGTATAAAACTGTTCAGAGTTTAACAACACCGAACATAATTACAGAAATTACGTTACGTTTTTTTTTATTTCCACACATGTCTAGACTGTTCCAGTCTTTAACAGCTTGACAATGGGTTCTTTGTTTTGCCCAGTTTCTTCCTATACCGGCAGTCTCGACTTCAACTTTAAACTTAAGTTTTAGCTCCTTTCCTAGTTGCGGTGCAAAAAAGGAGCGAGAGAAAAGGACGCAGGAAACACTGTTGGGTCTGTGTTGAGACACAGTAGCGTGATGGTCACTGTGAGAATCTCAGGTGATAATAGCAATACTAATGAATAATGATAATAGCCTCTACTAATTTGGTTAACCTATCTTTGCCACATTCTTATGATCTTCATATACCATGCGCAGCAAGATATATAAGTACAAAGTTTATCTTTATGCTAATCCCATTAATAAGTGAGATTTGCTACTCTCTCTAGATTACAGCTATAATCATGAGATACACCTCTCTGTTTAAACCAACATTGAGAAAACTCTGCATTTGTTAGTTGTAGTTCAAAGTACATGGCCTATTGTCTTACCTCCTCCTGTTTATCTGACGATATTTTAATTGTAACGGTTTATTAGGTGGTTATTAGTTCTAACCTGTTATTAATATTTTTGAGTTTTTTACCTGTATTATTGTTTTTGTTTTTTGTTTTTGTTTTTGTTTTTTTTAGTTCGCTATTTTCTTAGTCGGTTTTGTGATGTCCTTGGCTATGTGGACGGCTTCGATCGAGTCAAAGTGTAAACAATGATTTTGAAACTAGTTGTTCTAGATCACGACTGTGATTGGCTGCTTCCAGGAAAAGGCTGCGTGGAAAAACATTAAGTGTTCACGCGTTAGAAGCAACTGCATGGTGATTTGCAAACCTTGTGACAGGTTGCATTAAAAGAGGAAAATCAAGTGAGCTACTTCAGTATTATCATTAATGCTTCAGCAGCCGAGATGGAGCTAAGCACTTCAGGTCGTCACGATCAAACGGCTACCCAAATCCAAATCAGACGGAGAGTCTATGATGAATATCTTCTTAAGACAGTTGACACGGCAAGGGATGGAGGTTTGAAACACCAACTACACACTCTATACACAAGACTCTCTTCGTGTTCTTGTTCTTGGCATGTAGTTTCGCGTTTCCTCGTCAGCCTCGCCCCGATTTTTCAATGGCTACCAAAGTACAGCATAAAAGAGAATCTGGTGAAAGATTTGAGCGGTGGGCTAACAGTTGGAATAATGCATATCCCTCAAGGTGATTAGTGTATTGTAACACATGAAAAGTCTTTTGCTGTGGTAATGACAAACTTTCGAGTTTTAGTTATTTTAGTTATTTTTTGAATTTCCACTGTAAGCCGGTCTTGTTTACCTTTTTTAAATTACGTAATTACTTAATTAACATTGTTCATTTATGAGGGCCCCACTGAGATCCGCCAAGGCGAGTTGGGCTCCCTCTTTAAATATGATGATTATTATTATTATAATAACTATAGTATAAATGACTCGTGGGTTCAAACCTTTCTCTGAATTATAACTGTGTACATCTAGTATTTCCTAAATCTTTGCGCCTACGTCGCTCACCATCAAACTTTCATCCCGTGGTTCTCATAAGTTCTGAATTTGGCCAATGTCGTACGAATGTATGGGAAAGCGATATTGCAAACCATTCAGTTCGAAATCACCATTGTCGCCTCCGAAATAGTCCAGAATTCTCTAACTAATCGCCTTCAACACTCTGCAAATAAATATTAGCAATGAATTTTTGTTTTTTTGTTTTGTTTTGTTTTGTTTTTTTTTTTTTTTTTTTTGGGGGGGGTATCGCAAGTCTCAAAGTTCAGTTTAATGAAAAAGACTACTGAAATGTATTCGATTACTTTTTTCATGTTCCAGATAGTTTGCTGCTAAAGATTAAAGTCCAGAAATTATAACAAAGCAGTTGTTAGTATGACGATCATGATAAGTTACTTAAAAAAAAAAAAAAAGATAAAAGGGCTTGAGAGGCGTGTTAAGGCACATGACACAGACTGGCAAAATTTGCACGAGATTTAAGCCGGCCATGTGCACAATATATCGGACAGCTTTTGCGCCGGCGCGAAAACTATACCGGATATCAGGGCTTCTGTTTCGTACATACGGACGGTGATTCAAGCCATTTCTGTAACGAAGCGAAGCTGCACCAGGCCAATCTCTAAAGTGGAGAGTCACATATCGGATAGGTGTTCATACTATACCCAATAGTATCAAAATAGCCTAAGAGGAAAGAGTCCTTGTTTTAGAGAGATTTTACCCAGGCCAAACGAAAACAGAACGTTACAGTGCACGATCGAAGCTAAAGTTGAAAATGAGTCAGTGCTATACTCCGATCTTTCTATGAAAACTACACGGTCTACACGGGTTTTATAGCAAAATTCAATGAGTAGAAACAAGTAAAAGTAGTCAGATGTTTGTGTGTCGTTGAGTTTGTTTATCGGTCACGTGGTGCCTGAAGGAAAAATAATGATAGTCACGCGATTTTTTAAGGAGAAACGGCTACAGACTATCAAGGGCTCAAGGCTAAGAGAACTATGGTTTTTCTTTGGGAAAAAGGAAATTTCGTTTTATTTTGTCCGGTAGTATAAGCTTAACTATTGTATTTCGTTTAGCTTTCAACAGGGTTTGTCTGGCTATTTTTTCTTTAAATCTTATTGAGTATACTGAACACCCGCGAATAAGAACCTAGTGGATTAAGAACCTCCTGGCAGAAATTTGCCACTTAAATACCCAATAATACAAGAAACTGATTAACCAAGCAAGATCAAGCAGGTTCTTATATGTAGGTTACAGTTAATTTATCATGAATAATTTAACCAAGGAGTGTTACTTTGAGATTGTATACTCAGACTATTTGGATATAGAGTGAATCTTTCAACGCTAAGAAGTCTTTTTTTAATCTCCTTGTAAGAACCAATAAAGTAGTTGTTAAGGAGAAACAAAAAGCAAACTGCGGTGATAAGCCTGGTTTTCACTAGCGCATAAGCATACGGACATACGCACGCGCAGAATGGCATATTTGACTCTGTTCTCGATACAAGCTCTCCTCAACCCAATGATAAACAAGATGGCGGACGAAGCGTCGGCCATATTGTATTTGATATGTTGGCATGAGGTCTGGGTCAAAGTGACCTATGATTGGTCCACGGCCTTGTTTTATGGCGACCCAGGTTTCACTAGTCAAAGCTACAAGCATAAGCACAAGCACAAGCGCAAACTTGTCCGTTTTTCTTGTGCCTATGCTTATGCTTATGTCGACCAAGTTTTCAGTTGCTTACATATGTGCTTAACCTTAAGCTTATGCGCTAGTAAAAACCAGGCTGATCTTCGAGTTATTTTCCAAAGCACGCATCGTATTAAGTCTCTTTTTCCCTACAAAGACAGGCTCACCCGTGCTCAAATGTCCAGGGTTGTTTATAAAGCTAGTTGTTGATACTGGCAGGATTTCTACATAGGCATATGTCATCTATCGTGTCTTTAATTAGTTATTTATTCTACATTCAAACTTCTGTTATTATTCAACGGTTAATTACTTCTGAAGATGTATGTTGCAACATACGAAACGTGAAGATAAAGTTTTAGTTCTTTCCGGAAATGCGTTAACATTTTCTTATATTTATCACCGCAGTTTGCTTTTTGTTTCTTCCTAAGCTAAGATAGCCAAAAACCAGTGTATCTACGATTAAGGTAGTCGTTATACTGAATAATCTTTGTTTTTTAAGGTCTGGCTTTTGCAATGTTGGCATCTCTTCCTCCTGTTACTGGACTTTACACCGCAATCATTCCTGTCCTACTTTACATGATCATGGGAACATCAAGAACTCTGTCCGTAGGTAAGTTACCTAAATAGACCCAAAAGACCTATTGTTAATGACCTTTGTGCAGTTTGTACAAATGTAAGTGGGTACCCTGTGCACCATCTCTTGAGTGCAGAAGTCAAATTTTAAGGAAAATTAGATTTAGAGTTATAATATCATTCATTAATAAGCCTCTTGTTTTCTTTTGCCGTCACGTGACAGGTAGTTTTGCAGTGATTTGTCTGATGGTGGCACAGGTCTGTGAGCGTGAAGTGGCTTTAATGTCATTTGACCCTACTCCTACTCCAGGAAATAGTACGGGTCCCAGTCCCTCTCCAACTCCCAGCAGCAGCTTATGGACCCCAAAGGACGCAGCCAAACTAGAAATTGCCATAACCCTGTCGTTCCTTATAGGAATCATACAGGTTAGTAGCGCGATTCTACAGTAGAATGAGGAAAAAAGGAAGACCGGATAGTCTGAAATGTCAGTCACAAAAAAACCGTAAATCGAATGCGATTGAGTCTACCGGCATTGACAAAACAAAAACTATTCTCCGAGGTTAGAAAAAAGGCCTTGAGGAGAGATTTGCCTCAATTTGAAATTTAAAAAATCTATCTTATCATAACATAACTCCGTATCACAGTGTCCAATCTCGTTCCCAAAGACTGGGATCCTTTTGGTCAGCACTAACAGTTCCGCTGGACACGGCTAACGAAGGCTCTGGCCCAGGTCATTTTTTCCCACAACACTCGACTACCTTGCGCCCTCACCTAGCATTGTGCACGCTAGTCAGAACAAGGCTGGAGAGGGGGGGTGGGGAGGTTTGCCCTAAGAATCTCCCTTAGACATTCCCTTGTTTAAAACACTGCGTTAATTTCAAACCCTCTTGCGGACGAAGCAAGACTTCTTCTTCCTCCTTTGAATCCTTGGAAGAAAAGAAGAGACCTCTTCACGCAGGGTTGATTTTCCAGTTGGTTTTCTACCTTAGATTGTCATGGGAGCCGTTCACCTGGGTGTTGTGGCAACGTACTTGTCCGATCCTTTGATCAGCGGTTTCACCACAGGGTCAGCGGTGTTGGTTGTAATTAGCCAAATGAAGCACATTCTTGGTGTCAAGGTGCCGCAGTTTGCAAAACCATTCGTTGCACCAAAGGTGAGACTAGAAGTCGTTCTGACTCTTCTGACGAGAGACCAGAAACTAGACGCATTTTTAGTAAAAAGATTTATAACAAGTATGATTCGAAGAGGACCAACCACTACGCTTGAGCTAAACAAGCCTCCACTGTTTTAATAAATTAATTTTTAAAAGTTGGATGCATTTTCCAAAAAAGCTATAGCTTGCAAAACTACCATTTCGTTTTAGCTTTCGTATTTAAATTTGTCAGTCCCACTGAGGTTTAAAAACAATAGCCCTAATTTGCACAATAAACAACAAACTGAAGGATTCTGAGAGCTGTAGTAAAATAACGTCATCGTAAAATTGTCCTTTAGCAGCCAGAGGCTACAGATGAAGGTTGGTTCCTAACAATACGGCGAGCAGTGACGTCATTAAAATTCAAAATGGTGCGCGCATGACGCGAACTACAGATACGATTTCACTCTAACATCAGTGCAGTCTTTGCCCTGATTTCTGCTGACTTCAATAAATGTTTGACTTTAACTTTTCTTGTCTTTCAGGGCGTCATCCATATGCTTAAGAATCTCCCTCATGCGAATGTTGGTTCCATCATAACCGGCGTGTTGTGTCTCGCAGTGTTAATTGGGCTAAAACACGTGAACGAACGTTTCAAAAACAAGCTCAAAGTTCCTATACCAGGCGAACTGCTTGTGGTCAGTGTTAATCTCCCATAATCTCTTCAAAAGTTAAAGTTTCATCTTTAAATGACTTTAGAATGTCACATTTGAGTATTGATTGAGGGTCCGAGTGGTGGGTCCACATGTTGGTTGTCGGTAGCCGGTTAAAATATTTTTCAAATATTTTTCACCTGTTGCCTCTGGTCGGTTAACCTTATTCAGATCCTCTTGATCACCATTCTTGAAGGAATGCCCTTTTTCGCTTTGCCGAATTTCATTGCAGTTTTTAGTTTTAGTCCTGAATTTTTTTATTGATTTAATTTGCCTGACTGACGATTCTCCCTTCCTGTCACACACCCGTCATTCGTAACACAAGAACAAAGTTATGTTGTGAGAGCGACAATCGATGAAATGCGAAACGACTGTGCTTGTTGAACGAAACAACTACACTGCAACCCCCATTAAGCGGCCACCCTCTGTTAAGCGGCCAGTAATCAAAGTCCCGAAATTATTGTAGAAAAGAATAGGAACTTAAGTTTAGCTTCATTTCAAGAATATGATGAAGGAAAAAAAAGTCTGAGGTAGAAAGTGACAACCAATTGTGGACCAGTAATGCTTCTTTCGTCGCGCTTTTGTCTGAAAATAAAGTGACGTTTCTACTAAAGATTATAGGCAGATATTGTTTTCTGAAGGTTGTCGAAAAAGGTCTTTTATTTCTCTTTTGCTTCCTTCCCTAGGTGGTCGTGGGCACCGCAATCTCATATGGAGCAGCAATCAACAAAAACTTCGGAGTGTCTATCTTAGGATTTATACCAAAGGGGTAAGCCATACATAAATCATCAACAACAGCACAATTTTTTTCCAAAATCAACTTGCAAAAAAACGTCCGTTTCACAGCTGACCAAAAACTGTATCTAAATTTAGAAAAAGACATTTTCCAGGGCAATGACGCAATATTTATTATTGGAATACCGTTCAAATCAAATTTTGTTTAGATGGCTGGCAAACATTTTCAGCATGTTTGAGTACATGTACTTTCATTTTGAGTGGTCAATGTGTCTGCTACACCTTTTCAGTTCATGTTACAATTAATGGCATCAAACAGACGCCGGATTACTAGTAAAGAAATTACAGTCACTATTTAAACGAAAAAGGTTGCCATAGCGACAATAGTAAAATTTAATTAAATAACTCACGAAAGGGTTCGGTGGCTCTCATTTTTAATGGGAACGTTTTGTTCAGCATATCCAAAATCAACTTATAAAAAGTTCAAAAAATCGTAAGGAGCGGGTTCAGAGCACCCTTAACGTTTTCTTTTTTCCCAAAAAATTCAGCGATTGTGCAAGAAGCAAGCGCGGGGAATATCGCCTCTTGCGCGAAGAAGCGAACCTGACATACTCATAGCCTAAAAGTATCTTTTTTTTCTTAATTTCAGTCTTCCCCCGCTGAGCGTGCCTAATTTCTCTCTGGTGTCTAACATCTTCTCAGATGCCTTTGTCATTGCAGTGGTTATCTTTGCTACAAACATTTCGATTTCTAAAATGTTTGCCAAGAAACATGGCTATTTAGTGGACCCAAATCAGGTAAATATAGTAAGCCACCGTACACTTCTATCCAAGCCATTAATTTTCTCTTTTCCTTCTTCTTCTTCTTTATTGGTGTATTCCTACCTTACTGTATATAATGTAAATATTTTATAGAAGTGTGGATAAAATTGAATTGAATTCTCGGTAGTCCCGAGTTCAAATGCTTGTCCACGCTTGTAAATAACCAACTGGTTTGCCTCCGGCCAGTTGTGATTCTTAACCCTATTATGCTCGATTTAAATTACTTGTTTCAGTCATTTGCTCGGCCCAACTAGCATTAGTGCTATAAATACTGCCGAGGGTAAATAACGGAAATTATTTTTTTTTATTATTATGTCCTAATATGATTTTTTGATAACTGTTACTGCAAAAGAAGTCTTTTACTAAATGTCAGCTGTATTTTGTACAGTTTTAAGATATTTAGGGTAGAGAACGTGAGCCGAATTTGTTTCTTAGGGCGCTGTTAGAAAAGTCAGAATCGGCCGATCAAGAAAATGAAATGGGCTTAGTCTTTCGAGAGTCAGATAGAGTCAGTTCGTTAAAAACCCATCCGGCTGAAGTGCATTCTACTTAGCCTGGATAAACTGATCTGGCTGGACTGACTGATTAATAGTCGTAGACTTCCCTTTAACACTGGACTGGTCTTGCAGACCAGTTCTGACAAATGGTAAGCGCATCATTATCGGTGCGCTTGGACACGCTCACTCCATATTAACGCCGAAGGCCGTGCTTATTTACAGGGCTAATGAAATCCATTTTTAAAAGTTCTCTTATATCTACGCCATATCGACTTGTTTCCTTCCAGGAGCTGATAGCATATGGTGCTGGTAACTTCGTCGGCTCATTCTTTTCTTGTTTTCCGATTTGCAACGCTTTGGCGAGGTCAGTGGTTGAAGATAACCTCGCTGTCACACAGGTAACTTTTTTTTATTGACCACAAAATAACAACATCTATATACAGCATATAATAAAAATAAATAAATAACAAAACTAACTACAGCCTTTACACGAAGTTTACAAGAAGCTCATACACAAAAAATTTATATTTGAACAGATAAAGTAAATTTTAAAAAAGTATTAGAGAATAAAAGCCTGTCAGTCGCCACGCATATTTAATATTGCTTGCCACAATTTTCAAAGCGATATTGGTCAAAAAGCTTACGTAAAGTCACTCAGGTAACGTTAATACCGGCCACAAAGGATTGCTGCTTTTGATCCAAACATTGCCAACATTATAATATTGCACTAGCTTAGTTTATCCTTGAATAGCGAAAACTTGACCGCTACCGAGCAGGCAATGACCGATACGGCACAGAAAAACGCACCGCCTACTCTATGTAAGTGCAACAAAGTTTTTAAATGCTTACAGGCGCAGGTTGGTTCTGGTTGTAGATGTTCTAAAGGTTTACCTTCAATACGTTAAGAAACAAATTGATGGAGCACAGCTAGTTAATGAATAACACTTACTCACTGAGGTGGATGTTTGCTCTGTAAACGAAAGCTTTTTCACCGGTTTCATCGATAAACTCAGGTTAAACAGACAAGCTCTACCTGTGAAAACTGTCAAACCGAATTTCGTCGCCTTCTTCGTGATTCCTCTTCGTTTATTTGTGAAATGTCTTCGTTTATTACGGTAGCAAATAGGAGGTGAATAGCGATGGATATCCCGAGTTTGAGAAGCCAATCACGGAGCGCGAAAAACATGCACTATCCACTGTTTTAGTATATACTTAAGGTAGTTATTACATATTCTATTCCACAGCTTTGCAGTATAGTTGTCATCGTCCTGATTCTTCTGGTGCTGCTGTTTATTGCCCCGCTTTTCTTCCATCTTCCCAAGGTAACGAAGGACTAAGTTCATTTGCCATCACCCTTTAGCGCCGGTTTATCAGTGTGTTTTTATACAGTTATTGTATCCTTTATCCTGTTTCAGGCCATCCTAGCTGCTGTTGTCATCGCCAACCTTGTTGGTCTGTTGAAGCAATTTTCCAGATTTCCAGTTTTGTGGAGAATAGATAAACCAGACGCGGTGAGATTTGGCTCACTAAAAAATAATCATTACGAAACAATGCCAGTGTATCCAAGGATATCTAAGCATTTGTAGTTATTTGAGAAAGTGCATCTTGTTGGAAGGCAGGAACCCTTTAGCAGGATCGTGCAACTCCCCGCCATACTTAGCTTATACAAGGGCATTTTCACAGATCAGTTTATTTTTAGCAACATTGGGAGCGCCAACTACGCTTTCAATACTTTTAAAGAACGCTCCAGGGATATGTTCAAAGTAAACTCGCAGTTCCCTTAAATACGCGTGGGAACGCCCCATGTATCGTTAACATAAATACATAGTGCATTGTTGTAAGCTTTCTAGAAATAATAATAATAACAATCTTTTAATAGGATGCTCCATCACAAGAGTGGTTTACATAGAGGTCCTAATTACGAGATGTATATTATATAATACAATTAAAATATAAAAAGGATAGATAGAATATCAAGAGTAAGCTGATGAGTGCCTTTAAAACCAGAGGCCAAAAATAGTATCTCATAGAAATCACCAACCGACATTAATAGTGAGCTCACAGTACGCCGAGAGCACGCTCCACATACGAGCTCACTATTAATTTCGGTTGGTGCTTTCTATGAGATGCTTACTAAAACACCTTTAACATATAAGTACTCTTCTGGCTGTACTATGGTGTGCTAGGTGATTATTTCAACATAGTACGTGGATTCAAAGATGCAGTGAAATAGTATTGCAGGGAGTTCATAAATTTCGCAGCCCATCTATTCAAACAAATGCCTGACGATTTCTTTATTTTCAGATTGTCTGGTTCGTTTCTTGTTTTGGAGTCATATTGATGGGAGTGGATGTAGGACTTGGTATAGGGCTCATTTGTGCATTGTTTGTTGTTGTTGTAGTGCTTTCCAGGTAAGTAAACAAACGGACAAGAAATTAGTAAGTCAATTGAACAAAGCGAAAGAATTAACTATCTATCAGATCCGTCAGAATGCGAGAAACCTGTCCCTTAGCTCTGTGAGTCTTCCTGTCTCGCCATTAGTCAGTCCGACGGTGCCTGCATTATAATGACTGTCTCTTTTGTCAGACCGAGTCCGTAAACCAGTCAGTCAGTCCTACCATCAATAAACCAGTTGGTCTAATACTTGTTACAGACTGCCTTAGTTCCGCGGTTCTCGTTCTTTTCCCTTCCCTTCTTCCTCGCGCGCTCGAGATCCCCGCCTTGTCCTTCCCTTTTGACCGCCTACCACGCAAGTGAGTTTTGATTGGCTACCCGAGCAGACAAGATGGATCTATCTTGCCTGCTTTGTCCCCTTCTTTTGCCCATTTAGTAAATCCTTAATTGACCAATTTTTCATGGTCAAGATATCCGGAAATTGGCCTTCTCCTTTTTACATACTTATGGGCCATAAGAAGTTGAAGGCTGTAAAAACGCAAAAAAAAAAAAAGAAAACGCTCACGCTTGTCAAATAACATATTTTGTTGTTCTCAGGTCGAACTATGCTATACTGGGACGTGTGACAGAAACAGAACTGTACCGTGATACTGGAAACTGTCCTTTGGTACGTCTGTTAAGATAAAAACGATCCTTACCTACCCCCTGGTTATTACTTTGTTAGTGTTGTTCCCTACACTTTATAACAATAGAAGAGACGGTAAATAGTAAATGTAAATCAGTTTTAAGTTGTAAGTGTAGGCATATTCTTTAAAAAGCTCGTTCAGTCCGGAGGGCGTATCTTAATGATGTTGTTTTTCTCTGAAGGCCACGGAGGTATCTGGAATAAAGGTGCTTAGATTTGAGTCCACGTTGTACTTCGGTAATGTGGAGCGCTTCAGGAATGCCCTTTATACGGTTACCGGACTGGATCCCAACACTGAAGGACAACCAAAAATAGAGGTAAGACTGCCAGCGGGCTACTTAAATTTTAATACAGCATACCGTAAATGATCCAGTTGAAGTCCCCTCTCAAATAAACTCCTCTTGTCTACTTGTAATAAGCGCCTCCCCTACTATGTGAAGTTGGTATTAGACCAGCTCCTCTCTGAGAAACGCCCCCTGTCAAGAGAGAAGCTCATTCTCTCTTGCCCCTGTCTAATAAACGCCCCCTTCCCCCATGAAAATTACTACAAAATACTGGGAAATACAAAAAGGAGAAAAATCGTTGGATTTATTCAGTCTCTTACTTTAACAAGGGTTTGTGTATTGCATCTTGTGTATTGTAGCTTTAATGTTTAGGTGTATTAACGATAACAACACAATGACACTGAAACGATATGAAGGCGATTTGATATTTAAATAATATTATTGGATGGATATTCTACTATTTATTATTATTATTATTATCTTGTTCTATTTCAAGTTTAATGTAATTAGGATAGGCTGCCGATGACAACACAATGAACCTGAACGACCATTCTGAAATCGGAGCTGAGATATGACTGATAATCGGTGGACTAGATATTTTGCTATTTGTTAACCCTTTTAATATTTTCGCTGAAAGAACGCTATTCACAGTTTATCCGCCCTGGTTATAATAATAAGCGCCCCTCCGCTCGCTCTAATTGCTCACCCAGCCTGTTGTTTGTTTGTTTATTTTTTTAACTGGTGAAAAATTTATAGAAAACGTGCCAGAAAACTTTTCTCCGCTTTCTTATCAATACCGCGTGGGTTTATTGCTCTCCCATTAAACCATGACGAAAAGTTATGTATATTGCTTGACTGGTCCGTGATTGTTTTATAAACAGAAAATAAACGACAACAACGGCCATATGGCAGTCGAGGTCGAGACGTCAGAGAAACGAATTCACACAGTTATAATTGATGGTAGCAGCTTCACCTTCATTGATTCAATGGCTTTGCACGCGATTCCGTCGGTGAGTATATCTTTGCATCTGAAGAGTGCAGCTTGTCTTTCTTCCAGTCCACGTTCAAAAACCCTTTTGTAGTCGCGTTGCTGGCGGGAATTCGCGCGCGAGAGCTTTGCTTCGAACACGGGTAGTTACCGGTGGACTTCAAGTCGCCGATGTCGGAAAATTCCCTCGCAAGGCGCTTGCACGGGCGAAAAAAACTTCCACCCGGAGTCCCTGGCTCCCGCTTTGTACCATACACAAGGTGATATCGTATTTGGGATCATTAAAATTTTGGCCATTGGTTTTTAATTACCCCCTTTTATTGTGTAGTGCCTCTTTTTTAAATCATCCCTTTCAGTCGACACCTTAGTCCGTCTAATAGCTTTTGTTGATGTCCTGTACAATAAAGTAACCTCTACCCTCTCTTCTGTTTCAGCTAATGTCCGAGTTTAAAAAACTTGGAGTTGATATTTACCTGGCTGGCTGTTCCTGTAAGTACTTGTTATAAATTTCTCAGGCACATCATTTGAATTAAAACCAAAATTAATACATGCGGCCAGTGTCAATCTCGCCGAGAAACTCAGTAGAAGTGAAGGAGGCCATGTTTAAAGCTAATACTTTGTTGCTGCCACTTGATATTCAGAAAGACTTTCCACTAGGTAGTGCAATTGGCTTTCGGCCTGACCCTTATCAGCTGAATAGCGCTATCCAGGTTTCACTCTTGAATAAACGTGGAGTTTTTGATGACGTACGAAATGCATGGCTTAGAATCTCTAAGCAAACTTTGTGATCTCCCGCGTGTTACAACCCCCTTTAAACTGTAAATAAGGTCTTTTCGGTATCTACGTCATCGCTTTATTTATTTTCTCTTTTGTAATTTATTTTTATTGCTTTGTTGCAGCGACTCTAACCAGAAAACTCACAAATTCATCTGAGAAGTCTGCGATTACAGCAGTTGATCATCACGCACTGTTCCCATCTATACACGACGCTGTGATGTCAGCCATGCAGTCACGTTAATGCTGTGCAACATCGTTCCCAGGGCCGCCAGGATCGCTTTCCTTTGTACTTTACAAAAAAAGGAGAGTTCCTGGGAATGAGCGTTATTTTACAGCACTCAGTTTATTAAGGGAGCGCTCGTAGTTCATTGGGATAGCACGCTATGGCGATTTTGCAGTTTGAAAGAATATTACATGGGTGCCCCTCACTCAAACCAACGATACTTTTCTGTACAAATTAAAATGATATAGCATAATGTGCGTCTTTTCGAAAAAATTTCAGTAGATTTTCCTACCCTTTCATACACTTTAACTCATGCCGAATTCCCTACCCTTTGATTTACCTTAAGCCTGAAAAAGGTACCCCTTTCGGGCGGAGCCTCCCCGTATAAGTCATTATAGGAGGTGCCCCCCGGGGGGTTTAGCCTCCCGAGCAGACGCTTCTGCCGAACGGAATGCATGGCGAAGCCCTAAGAACGTCTTTTTAGAAGGCTATCTAAGGTTTATGTTATTGTTTGTCTGTTTTTTTGTTTTTTTTTTTTTTTTCATCCGAAGGCATTTAAAGGTTTTCAAAGAGGCAACGACACTTTCTTACTTCGCCATTGTATTTTGAGTGTTTTTCTTTATTTGAATGTACTAAGAGGGCATCACTATATGAATTTAGGAAGGTTAAGCCCCTGGTGAACCCATTCCTATCAGAAAGCTTTTTAATATATTGTAACTTAAATAGGAAGTACCGTGTGTAATGTATTGAGATATTTCTACCGGAAGTCTGGATATTTTGAGCTTGATTTGAATCATGGGATATTGTAGAGCATGCTTGCCGATTATCATGGAGTTTTGATTAAAGTTTGATACGCTTGATTTCGTGTCTCAAGTGCCATCCTTGAATGTGGATCGATCATTACACCTTGAAGTTTCTTCCACTTTTTCGTGTAAATTATGCTGGAAGTATGAGTTGTGATAGCACAATTTTTGGCAAAATTTATCCTTGCCATAATGATTTTCATCATTTTCCCGAAAAAAGCGCTTTTGACATATTTTGTATTTTTGGCTCGTTTTGTATTGCGAAATAGGTCATTTATTGATCGATGCCACCATTATTTTGGCACGAGATCAGCATAATTTACCCGGAAGTATGTAATGAAGTATGTGTAATTTAACCTCCTGTTTCTAATATTAAATTTGTTGACTTCAGGTATATTTGTAGTGTCTGACAGAAATGTTTCGTTGTTATTTTCTGCATTGTACGTGCTAATATCAGCAATTTCGAAAAAAGCTAGCATATCAGGTTTTGCCATAATTAATGCTCATAACTTTCTGAAATGATTTCAGAAAATTCTGATGAGCACTGCTAGTATAGTGGCATATTATGCTCCTTTACGAGCACAATTTAATGAAGCTTAGCTATGTGGATAAACTCTTTGATCCACAAAATGGCCTGTGAACAACATATACTTGTAATGAAACAATAGAGTTTATGGTAGCGGGCCCAAAACATATTTATGCCCAAGAATAGATTTATGCCAAAGAACATAGACTCTATAACTATTATTATCACTTTGTAGGCCGGTGGGAAAATAAAGACTTCTCAAAAAATGACAACAAGGCAGTCTGAATCAAATCACGCGAGCATTTACATGTCGAAAGGCCTTTATTTTTGCCTAAAATTGGCTAGAAATGACAAATTCGCACCATTTGAGTTTTAAAAAATTATAATAGACATGATAGCTTATTTGCGAGCGTCAAAATTAAATGTACATGCGTAAAAATGTTACATGTCAACTAATAGTGTGGCATAATTGGTTCAGTTGAGTGCGTTCTGTGCGTTTGGAGAAAACCAGACAAGCGCGAATGGGTGGCAAGAGTTGTGTTTCCGGCACATACAAATCCTTCTAATTTTCGGCGGCCGTTTATACAATCGCTACTTTTGAGATATACGGCTGAAAATTTACTGCTTACCTAACTTTGATATGCTCTTTCAGTTCGTGCTAACAAAATGTTTCAAAAGTAAATTGTTTTCCTGTTTAGAGGAAGTTGATCACGTGATCAATCTATGCCCAAATTAAAAAAGGTTTATTCTTGGAAGGCCTTCAGCTGAGACCTTTGGAAGCAATTAACATTCAAACCAGTGGTTGAATTGAGAGAAAAGAGTTATGGCTTCTTATCAAGTATTACTACTTGTGCTAGTAGCTGTTGCTTGCTCGCTTTTTGCTGTGAGCATTGGTTGGTGTACTCAGTCTAACTTAAGTTCTTGTAGTTTTGAAATTCAAGTTTGTTGCAACAATGAATGTGTTTTTAGTTCAGGCTGCCTCGGTCGGTTTTGTTCCATGGATTCCGATTGCGCTGTCTCTGAAAGTTGTTGTGAGTCGATGCAGATCTGACTGTTTGGGATATTTATATTTTACCGAATCAGACCGTGGATCTAAATCATCCAGTTATGATTCCTCAGATACCACTCCAATCGTAACTTACGCTGCAATAGCTGGCGTGGTTATTATCGCCTGTTTATTCTTTGCCTGCCTTTACTGCTACGTTTACAGACAACGCCAAGTTCTCCGGAGAGGACAAAGGGTTTTAACCAGCAATGTTACGACCGCAAGAAATGCATCAGAAGGTACCCCACCCTACCCTGGACAGGAACCACCTTCATACCAACATAGCCACCCAGACTACCCTCCACCTCAATACGAACAACATCAGTCGGCCTCGCCTCCTCCATACAGCTTTGGGGCAACGGTTGCAAGTGATCATCCTCCCTCTTATGCTTACAGTGTAGGAATAGAAACGGAATCAGGGGGAGTAAATTCTCCTAAAGGAACATATGGTGCTGTATAATGACGTCATTTCTGGCGTGACTTTGCGGAAAAGGAAGTATGGCGTCCGTTTTTACATTCAAAGCCTCGTTGACTGTAGTTGCAACTCTTGCTTCCTCCTATTTTGCTGTGAGTAATGGCCGGTGTTCCCAGTATGACTCGAATTCCTGCAAAACAGGTCAAGTTTGTTGTATCAATGAATGTGTTTTCGGCTCTGACTGCCTCGGTCATTATTGTTCCACCGATTCCGATTGTGGTTTGCTATTTTGTTGTTCGAGTCGATGCCGCAGATCTCACTGTAGTTACTCATGTTCTACTGACTCAGATTGTGAATTCTCAGACATTTGTTGTTATGGACCATGCTCGCTCGATTCAGCCTGCAGTGATAATGATGGTTATGATTATACGGCCGTAACTATCGGTTCCGTGTGTGCAGGCTTACTCATCTTCGCTTGTTTGGTCTCCATATGCTTTTACTACGCTTGCCGAAGACACCGAACTCAATATAGAAGGATGGTTGTAGGGCAGAGAGTTTCAAACACGACCGTTAGGACTACAACAAGAACTGTACCGGTGCCTAACCCACCCGACGTAGGGCAGATACCTCCACCCTACCATCAAGGCTACCAATACTATCCCCCACCTCAGTATGAACAACATCAGACGGCCATGCCTCCACCATTATATAACCCTGGGACAACAGTAGAAAATGAACAACCTCCCCCTTACAGTGCAGCAACACAGGATAGATCAGGAGGGTATACCCATTTTTAAACTGGACTGTTTGGTGTTGGGTCTGTCAAAGTTTGGAACTAATGATGTCCTTGTCACACATTATTTTTCATCTCATGACTTGAATATTTTGTATAATTTCTAATGCCTAGCGACAAACAGAGGCACAAGTCATGAAATTCATAAAGATCCTGACCATTTCTTGACTTCAGTGGTTGTTAATACTGCTACATAAATGATCATGAGATGTTTCAAAGACAACTGAGATAAAAAAAAGTAATAAATTCTTATTTTATGTTCGTTCTAAGTTATTGACAATTATTGCATTGATTTCAGCTTTCATAGATATGAATATCTGTGCAAAACACCCTCCTTAATCGATCTCATAAATGGTAATGAGGGGGATACCAGCTTTAATCCCCAATATGGAAACATAATAATATTGGTCACCAAAATCACAAAAGGGGGAAGAGGAAATCTTGTCAGAGTGACTTTGTTGTCCTTGTGAAAGTTCACGCAAGCTTTATCAGCAGAGTAATTGCTACATTTTTTTGTCTCATTTGACTTTGGTTATCAAGGCGCACATACTAATATTAATAAATATGATAATAAAACAATAATAAATAATAATCAGATTTAATAATAAGATTTAGCCAAGCGTAAATGCAAAGCGTATGTTTATGTATTTTAATTTACTCAAGCTGTTTCCCTAACGAAAGAAACTAACATAGATTTTCAACGAAATTTAGTAAACTGATGTAACAAGTCAGCAAGAAGATGATAAAAGTGTGTGAAAGTAGGGTCACTAACTGCTTGTTAATGCTGATGAATACTTTTACTTAGGGGTCTTTGGCAATAACTGTGGAGAGCCCAAAACTAGACAAATGGGCATGACTTCTTGCTTGATACAAGTGATATTGCACAGAAATTGGCTTTATTCTGTTGCTGTCCACGTAGCTGTTATTAAGAGGCAGGCCCCCAGCTACTTTCATAGGAAAAGAGAAGAAAAGTTGAAGCAAGAGAAATCCCTAGCTGTTTGATTCCCTGCATACTTGTTGTATTTACCCGGCAACCTGAAATCTTAGTGGCAGCCCTGTGTCCACCTACAAACCAAAAAATGCATTTGAATAACTTCTGAATGCTACAAAAAGTGAAGTCTCAGGTTTTGATGTGTGCCATTCGGTTCATTTTAGCTCTATCTGGCTTTGCAATGTATTCAATAAAATGGTTAAAAAAAAACCTGAACATAGATTTTGCCAATTTGGTTTTCATTGAAAGGAGGCACTAGTCATGAAATTATAATTTAGAAAATGGGGGTCACCATACTCTTGTTTTGAAGTAGAGAAACCTGTGGACATGCTCTCCCCTGGGGTAAGGAGGATAGAAATCACAAGGAGATGGCAAGGAACAAGACAGAGGAAGGAAAGTGGTAGAATGGGCTGACCCTTTCCACTCCCTTGCTGTTTTGTTTCCTGTTTTTGCAATTTCCCCCAGCAAGAGGCCTGTAGCCTGTGAGACGTCCCTCCTTCCTCAGAAAAAAATCGGGAGAAGAGACTTTTTCTCCCAATTTTTTTCTGAGGGAGGGGGGGCATCTGTACACAGGCTAGAGGCCTGCAGTGGCTGGTTTCCTTCATCTGGGAGAAAAACCCACGCACAAGGCCTGAAACACAGTCAGCACACAGATAAACACAAGAAGGAACGCTTAGAAGGGAAATTTAATGCACATTTTGCTCATTTAAAGAGCAAAAGAGAATTCTCATACAATAAATTGCTTTACTTGGATGCCGAGTAGGTAATCTCACAGTGAGCTTGAGTCCCGGGGGGGGAACTCCCATACATTACCTATACCGGTATGTGCCACCCAACAGGGTCGTGGTTTTGAAGCTCCTGATTTGGAATGGGGTATCCATTTCAGAGGTGTTTTGTAGAGAAAGGGGTATAACATTTCGAACGCACAAGAGCTCCAGTACTCCGGATGATTATGAAGAAGCATTTATTTGATGTATAAGTCGAACAAATAAAGAAATATCTTTTTAAAAAAAACAGGGCCATTTCAATTTACAAACTTTCTAGAACGGAGTATAAAAAATTGGCCCATTTCTAGAACGGGGTATCAGTTTTAGGGCGAATTCTAGAACGGGGTATCAATTTAATTTGTTGGGGAGAAACAGTTTTTTTAGAACCGGGGGGGGGTGCCAATTTGGAGTCCCGGCAAATTGGCACCCCGTTCTAAAAACCCTAAAAATACCCCGTTCTAGAATTCGCCCCCTGGGGCTCGAAATGGGCCAATTTTTATACCCGGAGTAAAAAACTGTGGCTCACCCAACAAATTAAATGTGTCCAGACCCAGGAAACACAAAAACCCGATGTAAATAGAATTATGGCTGCTCGAAGGCTTAAGTTAAGATAAGATACGAGGAAGAAATTGCCCAAAAAGTAGGGAGGAGATAGTGAGACATAGGTTGAAAAAGTATGGAAGAGGGAGGTTTACTTTCCTGTCCCTCCCCAACCAGGTCAGGATTTTAGTCATGACGTCATTGTTAGCGTTATTCGTGGAAGCCATATTGGACAACATTCAAGGAAGTCGATCCAGGAAAAGCCATGGCTGTTTTTACATTCCGAGCTTTGCTGATTGTACTTTTAACTGTTAGTTCTTCTTTTTTTGCTGTGAGTTATGGGTGGTGTTCTCGGTATGACTCAAGTTCCTGCAGTCCATATGAAGAGTGTTGCAATCATTTTTGTATTTCTGGTTCAAGCTGCATCGGTCAAGTTTGTTCCGTTGATTCCGATTGCGCTGTCACTGAGAGTTGCTGTAGCGGTCGATGCAGATCTGACTGTTTGGGTTATTCATGTTCTAGTGACACAGATTGTGGACTATATGAGTACTGTTGTGACGGAAAATGCTCGTACGATTCAGTCTGTTATGATCCTACAGCCGTTATCATCGGGTCAGTGTGTGGCGTTCTCATCTTCGCTTGTTTGCTCTCCATGTGCTTTTACTACGCTTGCAGAAGGCGTCGAGTTCACCATGGAAGAGTGATTGTAGGACAGAGAGTTACAACAGCGACCGTGAGGACAACAACAACTACACCGCAGCCTTACCCACCCTATGTGGGGCAGATACCTCCACCCTACCAACAAGGCTACCAATTCAACCCCCCACCTCAGTATGAACAACATCAGACGGCCATTCCTCCACCATACAACCCTGGGACAACTGCAACAAATGATCAACCTCCGCCTTATAGTGCAGCAACACAGGGTAGATCAGGAGGGGTTTACGCTCCTAAACCGTCATATGGTGCAATACAAACGCCTTCAGCTCCCCCGCCTGTCTAGTGACATCACTGATCACACTGGTGTTGCAAGTTCACAACTTGTGAAAAAGCTGTATTTTGTTTGGCTTGGCAGCGATACCTATTTTAATGTGGCATTAATAATGCCCATATCTACTTATTATTATAGATCCCATGATCCCAGGGGGTGGTACTGCACATTTCAAGTGACGCAGATGATTGAAGGATTTTTGGGGTTGCTTGATTTAAGTAGGGATTTTTTGGGGTATTCAAAACAATCTGAAGATTTGTGGTAGCACCTGCGTATCTGGGCTGCATAGTTCTGCGAATAGGTACAACACAAACATTCAATGTTTTTATTTTTTTATGTTACATCATTTAATGGTTTAATTTTTGGCGCAGGGATTTTTTTGGTTATTGATTTTTTCCCCATTCGATCATCCCCGTCACTTGAAATCTGGAGTACCCCCGCTGGGCACATGGTTTGAATATTTTATGCCTAGCATCAGACAGTGACACAGATAAGTTCATGATGGTCAGTTGACTTTGGTTGTTGCTTTGACTGCTGCAAATGGTCGCAGATGTTTCCAATTCTTAAGGACATCTGAGAACCAGAAAAATAAAGGTAAACCTCGATGTAAGTGGCCACCCTCTGATACCAACAAGTGGCGGCCTAATGGAGGTTGGCCACTCAATAGAGGTTTATCATAAGTTAGCATAATTAGCATAACTTTAGCAGAAATATCATTTTATTTTGAAAGAAACATGTAACCAAAGGAGCATTAGCGGTCCACAATCCGTCATCACCTCTCTGGGACTATAGTTCCCTTCATCAAATTCTTCTTCATAGCCCAGCTGAGTGTATCAAGTATGGCAAGCTGATTGTAGCATTATTCAACAGTTGCATTCAATTCCAATTCAATGCAATTCAATTTCAATTCAACTGAATTACCAATGAATTGCCGTTGTCGGGAGAATTTCATTGTACTAAAATCGAACTGACATTGAACTTCAGTCTCTGATATTATTTAACATTGAATTCAAAAATTGAATAATGCCTCAACGGGCTTGCTGTAATCAAGCACTTGATGGCTGCTAATAGAGGTGACAACAGTAGGAGAACTTTCCTTTATAATAAAGAGGTGATTTACCAGTCTTTTCTTGCTAGCCACTTAATATAGGGTGGCCACCTAATCCGGAGATTCAACATTTTTAAGGTTGAACATACCGAGGTTGTTTTTTGAAAAAAACTGTATTTTCCCTTAAGTTATTTAGTTTAGGGAATAGGCCCAACTTTCATATTGGTTTGCTGACATAAAGCAAATCACTTGAAGAGTCTGTAAATTACTCACTTTTGTTTCACACAGGTTATGCCAGTGAACCAATGGAAAGTCAGTGACAGTCCATTATGTAAATAGCTTTAGTAAGATAATCTTCCCTTGTTTCATTTTCTTACCCTGCCATGTGGGTATTTAAATTATCTTGACGGTACTGGTTCTCATTGTTCAAAACATGGCTAGTGCTATCCATGTAGATAAAGCAATCTAATGTGTTATCCAATGGATAGTTTTATTCAGTCTTGTACAACTGAGGTGGCAAGGAGAACAGGGTTCCTTGAGAGTTACTGGTACATCACAGGAAGAACAAGTGCATACAAAGCCCAAAGGCCAAAATAATGTGAGGCTTCTGTTAAGTCCAAGGAAAGATATGTCGTATTTATTCGAATAAGCACTGCAGCGCTTATTAAGTTTTTCAGGGCCTTAAATGGGGCAATTATTTTCAGAGGACAACAAAGTATTGTTTTAAGTTATTGAAATTATTCCCCATATTAAACTAACAGAGCGTCTTTTGATTTTGATTGCATCAAGGCCACAGTGCTTATTCGTGGGCAGCACTAATTAACTCGTTTGCCTAAATTTTGCACTCATTCAAGGGTGGGCTTTAATTATGCAGCACTTATTCAAGTAAATACAGAAATGTGCATTAAATTAAATACAGCCTAAATTTGTTTATGAAAAATCTTTATAAATTATATCAAGACTGAAATTTTTATTAGCAACGTGCTTTTAAATCAAAACATGGTCGTTGAATTGGATCGATTATAACTAAGTTTGTTTAAAATTTGTCCGGAGCTTACTGTGGCAAGCCTGTCAGCTCTCAAACTGGTTCAGAAAGTCCAAATTTTCTTAGTAAAGTGGATCCAAGTAAATAATTATAATGTTCCTGAATTTATTTCTTGTATACAAATTGATATTTAGGTATATGATCAAATGCACAACGACAGGTATATTTATACCTTTTTATTGCAAAGCATGTAAATTTTTGTTGCAGATTAAAATGGTGTTTACAAGTTGGTAAGACGTCGGCCATTTAGAACACCAATATTATATAGCTTTGGCCGACAGCCATGTTTTGGGAGTTTTTTTAAAGCCAAGGGGTTAGCCCATGATTTTGAGTCAAAATTTGAAATTTCTTCTACTTCTATATGGGTTTGGCAATGTTTTGGAGTGGTAACGAGGGCATCTGGGCCATGAAGAATACCAAAATTTCCATTTACACCGCCAGCGACATTTTGGGATTTTCTAACGGGATTAGCCCATGATTTTGTGTCAACATTAGAAATTTCTTCTGTTTTTGTGTATGGTAAAAATACATTGAGAAATGGTCTTTGGCACAGTTTTGGAGTGGTAACAAGCCCACCTGGACCATTTAAAATACCAAAATTTTGATTTAGGCTGACAGCCATATTTTGGGATTTTTCTAAAGAGGTTAGCCCATGATTGGGGTCAAAATCTGAAATAATTTCTTTTATTTTGTGTATGGTAAAAATACATTGAAAATGGTTTTTGGTAATGTTCTTGAGTGGTTACAAGGGCACCTGGAATTATTCAAATTTAAATGGTAGCCAATTTGGGTTTTTTCTAAAGGGTTGTGTTTTTGGCACGAAACATAAAATTTCCTATTTTTATAGTCAAAACTGTCAGAGAAATGATGTTTGGCGAAATATGTACAGATATCAATATTATAAGTAGTCGGTTTCTGTTGTTAACACTGTAGTTAGGGTGTATCAATACTCACTTGATGGTAAGTGATATCATTTTTTATTTCCTCACACAACATTTTTTTAGCCTAAAATCAATGGTAAAAATCTTTCACGGTGCTTTAGCAAAAATACTGTTTTTATTTTACAAATACTACTTATTTGTCACATGTTTTACTTGAAAATATATAATTGTTTTAAAGATTTACATATGTGCTGTATAAATAATAATTCTGAAGCAATATTTCTAAAAAAGCTATGGGTACAAGGGTGAGGGAGAAGTTTGCCTTGTGTGTAAGCAGGGCTGTCACTAAGCTTTCAAGTTTCCGGGTATATGCATTTAGTAGTGAGAAACTGAATGGCTAGCAGCAATGTTCTTTATATTCTATTTTGTCTCTTCTCGAAGTAGCCAGAGAAAATCTCAACCCTTAGTCACAGCCCTGCAGGTTGAAGGATCACGTTTTCTCAAATCCAATTTTGACAACTTCATGTCCTCTAAATTTTTTGTTTTAGAGGCGGTCTACCCAAATTATTCTTACAACAGAAAGAGTGATTCTTCAAGTCTCCAAGATCTTCTCTCCCCCCGCCCCCACCATAACTTTTTTGGTTTGGCTTATACTACCAACCAACCAATGACAAATTCACGTTGACTTTAAGTTATTGTTGATTATCCTGAGTTCAGAATTTTGGGCTTGTAAGGGCTGCTCTCATGAAAAACTTTCACAAGGAGAAAGTTCAGGCATTCCCCTTGGCTAATCCAATGCCAGCTGCTTCACAAAATTTTCAAAAGTTTTAAAACCGACATCCACAGTTATCATTTTCATGAAAAGTTTTCTTGTTTAAATCACCATAACTTAAATTATCACAAATCTTTCAGCTTATGTTCAGCATGATTGTATGGCTTCCACTATGTTACAGCTGTACTAATCTTCTACTTTTACAGCAAGTGGGAATTTAGACAAGATGACGCCCATTCTTTAATGTCTTCAACTTTTCTCGCTTACAGGTTCTATTTTCTTCTTTAGCAGCAAAGCTGTCTGGTTGTGGAACTTTATTAATCGCTACGATGGTAATCAAAGCCTTGATTGTAGTGTGATAATGGCTGATATGGCATGCTTTTCTGATTGACATTGTCTACATTCCCACTAGTCTTCAACCTAAAGGAAAATAAAAACATAGTCTAAATATTATAAAAGTAAACAGATATATTTGTCACTGAAACCTCTATGGTTACCTCAATTTCCCTTTCTTTTAAAATTTAAAAGCTCTTGCTCTATTATTTAGTTGCAAGCCACCCAAAACTCGTACATTTGTATAAGGAAAATCAATTTTGCCACTTATACGCCCCCTTCCCCCACTTATAAGCCCCCCTACTTAGAAGCCCCCCACTTACAAGCTCCCCCTACTTATAAGCTACCCCACTTATGACCCCGCCCCCCACACATGAGCCTCTTACTATAAGCATCTCCAGTTATCGACCCAAAATACATCAGGGCCGGGTTGTTGAAAGCAGGATTAAGATAACCCAGGGTTAATACAAAATTTGATTTCAAAGCTTAAAAAGCAAAATCAGTTTTATTCTTTTTGTCTACAGTTTAATGATTGGATGGCCTAAAAAGAATAGCGAAAATAATCTGGAAAAATTCTTTTGAACAAAAGAAAAAGAAACCTGGGTTAAAATTTAACCCTGGGTTAGCCCTAAGCGGCCTTCAAACAGCTGGGCCCTGATTATAAGCCCCCCTCTGGCTCGTATTGAAATTAACTTGATTATTAGGACAGTTTGAAACCTCACTAAAAACCAGCAAACACAAAAATGTATTTTGATCAGCACTGCTACAGATTATTTTGAAGCACTTTTTCTATATTGCTGATAAGGCTCCCTGGATACACGCCCATCCTTTTATATGCCTTCCTAAAACCCCTTACAAAGATTTATGAGCCCAGTGCTTAAACAGCAGTTTACAGTACTTCAACTGATAGAAAGAAAAAATAATGCCTCAGCAACATTTACAAACCGATGGATTTCAGGATCCAGCTTCTACTGCCATGTTTGCTGACTCAGTGTCACTCATCACTGGGGAGGAATGAGAGTTATCCTACAATACCACCAAAAAAAAAAAAACAGAATAAAGTAGCTGCTATAAATTACACATTGCATGGGGCCAGAAAATATCCATAACCAGGGTCCCTAAACACAGACGGTTTTGAATGACACATAAGGCAACAGGAAGTGATGCCTTTTCCATTTTAAAACACCCCTTGACGCTAGCAAATTTGTATTGCTAAGTATCTTTACTCTTAAGACAGGATTTTCCCTAAAACTTGGGCAAAACTGCTGCCCAATGATGCAAAAAGTCTACTTCTGATTGACATGCACTGCTAAAAAATGTCTTCACTTAAGCTCCCTAGTGGAAACCAAAAGGAAAACAAGAGCCTAGGATGGATTTTTCAGATGGGTGTGTTCATGTGTCTCAGGAAGGGGGAGGGGTGGGTGGGTCTTGGCTCAAATTACAGTCCCTAGGGGAGTAGTTTCTGGAACAGCAGAGTGTGATGGAGAAACAATCCACTGTCCTCACCTCAGAATGAATGCCGACAGCGTGTATGACAGCATCATGGACAGATACAAATAAATGCTCTGTTCCTATTCTAGCTATGAAGCCAGCTTTCTCTAGCATTTCACGAATGTGGTCTGAAGAGTAACAAGAAAAGTAACATTTAAAACTAATGTTTCATGCCTGAGTACTGGAGGAATATTAAATAACATCACATGATTACAAAGCTGTTGCCTATCAGAGAGGTAGTTGCTCTAGGTTTGATACCATCCTCTAAAGACTATTGCCCTTTTCCCCAGCCAGTTCATTGCATCGTCGCTTTAGTTCAATTAGTTGGGTTAAACAGACCCTGGGTTCAATTCCTGGCCAGACCAACAATCAAGGTCTTAAAATGTAACCAAGCAGAAAGTGCTGTCTTTGCAGTGCTCTGACATCTGCAAATAGTTAGAATTTCTAGTCTTCGTGGATAAGAAACTGCCACCCCATGTCACAACATGTTCACTGATCTGACCCTTGCAAAACATAAAAGAACTGATCTAACAGTTTCTGGGCAGTAACCTCTCCTAGTGTCTAATGATCATGCTTTGTTGGACTGGGTAGGGGAGTTGCCTCGCATGGGACCTAGGTCCCTGCACGTACCCATCCCCGCTAAGCACTGGGTTGTGACCAATACCTGGCAAATTAAAATAAAATGAGAATTTTTTTCTCGTTGACTTCAATCAGTCTCACTGTGCTGCCCCTACAGCTTGCCACTCAACTGACTGGAAGATAAACTATCTAAGTATAGCCCCTGACTGAGACACAAACCATTAATACAAATTATCTATTAAATACAGTAAAATCTCACCTAAGTGACCACCCAAAAAATGCAAATATTTACTGGTCGCTTACGAGAATTGAACCACCAGGATCTCCTTCATCAAAGAGGTCCATGCATTTTAGAAAGAGAACATTGAAGACAGAGTAAATTTTTTGGAATTAAATATTTTAAATTGTTGTCTAAAGATAACAACGGCCGATTTACCTAAGGTCTTGGAATGACTTTCAGAGAACTTAGCTCCTAAATTTCCCAGCAAGAAGTGAGGCCATGTCCCTCACTCTACTAACCCCCCTTCCCCTCGCTGGAAATTGCACTGCATATTTTCTGCCTTACCAGCCATCACTGCTGAGCTAAAGGGTGGGGAGCCCTGGAGTATAAGAAACTTTTGTGGGCAGCAATTTTGGGTTTTTGCACTCCTTCAAAATATTTTTTAGATAGAAGTCTTCTAAAAAGAATAATTATAATGTAGATCAAAACTTACATCTGCAGTGTGCCAAGTAGAATTTCACCCCAATCCTTTCATACTCCACACCAAGCTAGAGAGAACATGCACTAATATTAATCATCATAACTTACACTGACTTTTGTATTTAAAATTATACACATGTTTGTTATTGGACATGCAGTACTGCCCGAAAAGAGGAGGACGTAGACTGTACACAGAAATTTCATTTATTTTTCCAACTAACGATGAAAGGCAAGAGACAATTTTACCATAAAGTTAAATAACCTTTGCCTGAAGCTAAAAATTATTATGTTAACCTAATATGTGTATGCAGTTTATGTCACATCTCCAAGCCTCACCTGTAACAGTGTGCTTACTGCTTGAGTATCAATGAAATTAAAGGTGCTGGCATCAATAACTATGGCATGAACTGGAAAAGAATTCTCTGCAGAATTATTATCATTGTTTTCACTGTCACATAAGGGCAGCTCTACATCCTGAAATTAAAAAAAAAAAAATAACAAGCTAACAAACCAAAGTCTCCTTCAAAATACTGGCCAAATTTTCTCTGGAATATGCAAGTCAAAATTAAATTTTTGCTTTAGACAAAAAATTAATAATGCTGACGTTTACTTTGGGAAAACTGCTATGTCTTTCGAGAGAGTTTAAGTCAGTTTCCACCCATATGCTTGACAAGACCAGAAATGTGTCTGTAATAAGTCATCTTTCAGCCAATCATGTTCCAAGCTTAACTGCATCTATTATCTGCTACATTCAAAAAAGTCATATTTCTCAACAATTTCTTCCTTGGTGTGTAATCTCTTTCACAGCGGAAATTATGTCAATGTTACACATTAGCAGAAAGAACATGCACTGCAACCTCTTGAGTAACTTAACTTGCAAAAGGTGGGAATTTATAATTTTTTATTGTACCATTACAACATGCCCTTGTAACAGTGACATACATGTAACACAGACGAAAATTAATGGCAACAATTAACTCTTTTAGCCCCAGTATCCACATACAAATTCTCCAAACTGGTCTCCATACATTTCCTTAAGGAATTAGTTGAGAGAATTTGATGATAGATCAAGGCATTTTCTCTCAGGTGATCATTTTATTAATTCTCATAACATATCTCTTGACAGTGTATGGATATTGTTAGGAGAAAATTGATCTTGGTCACTATTGGGACTTAAAGGGTTAATGACATAAAGACGGATTGAAACTATAACAATGATAAAGAAAAGCACAAATACAATTTTTTTTAATAGTAATAGAGTAACAAGGACATGGCTTGCTCTTCACTAAGAAAAATGAAGGGTATTGAAATTCAGAATGGGGACATGCATATCCCCCCACAGAAGACTTCACTAGTCTTGCAATAATTACTCATTGTTTTCTCAAAAAGGAACAAGATATTACAGTACCCCATTCTCCCATGCTGTGTGCGCTACCACAGTAGAACCAGGAAAAATCGGTCTCGTTATCTCAATGGAAGGACTTTCTGGACTGCATCGATAGTGAACAGAACTTCCACTGCCGATGCTACAGTGCTGATGAGGATTCTGTGGATCAACGCCAGTAAGTTCTATTAAAGTGCTGCGGAAATACTCAGCATTCGCATAAAAAATTGTTGACTCAAACCGAAATATCTTCACACCAGGAACTGGCCTTGCCTGCAACAAAAAAAAATATCAACAATAATTTGAAGGAGTGACTGGAAACTTGACAACCTTTGATTCCAAATGATACACTTTTGAGTACAATAGGCTCAAATTTTATTGAAAAAAAAAAACTAAATGAAAGCTGATGATTTTTCAAGTCAAACTTTCTCAACCAATATATTTTCATTTCTCTCTGTGTCCTCCTTCTGTCTCTTTCAAGTGTTGATATTAGCATTTTTACCAGTGGGTGAAAAATGGATCAACATTGGGGAGGACATTACTTTATAAAAGTGACAACTGTTTCAACAATGTGACAGCTATAATGTAGAATCCTCTCTGACGTAATATCAGGCATAGTCTGAGAGCTAACTTGCTAAAAAACAACTTTCTTGGTGAGTAAATCAAGTGCTGGAAAAGGTGTCTGCTCCTGCAGGCTACTTCTACTGTTTAATGTTCCAAGCACAGTAACAATAATTTTTATTAGTATATAATTTTCAGCAAGAAATTTAGTTGCAGTGTACACACTTATCTTTTGAAAGAGACTAAATTTCAAGTTACAGAGACAATGCAATGGTTGACTCATTACTTCCTACAAGGAGCACAGGAAGAAGACTAGAAATAACTACTGTTTCACTTTGTATCGCTACTTCACAAATTAGTATGATTACTCTACTTACGGAAGGAATTCTTTGTAGATCTCTGTAAATTCCTGTGTTGGGAATTTGGCCAAGAAGTGTTGCTGGTGGCCTAAAGATTTTGAAGTACAAGATTAGATATGAAGTTACATGTGCAAGTTAAAAGTTGTCCTGTAATTCATTTGACTTGCAAATTGTTAAAAAAAAAACTACAACAAACCTTGAGGACTTGTACAATACCACTGCAAGTGCAATAACTACTCCCACTCCCAAACCAACATCAATTCCAAGTAGGACAACTCCCAGCCATGCTGCAAACCAGACAACCTTCAAAAAGAAAATAAATAATTATGGTTCTATAAAATCCATGTTTTACACAAGAAAGGTGTTAGTTCCAACTAACATTGAATGGAGGAGGTACTCAAAAATGGTTCCCAAGTGGTCCCACAGTTCCCCTTTTGGTCTGAAACACAATTTAGACAGTAGTCATGTAGAGCGAGGAAATTTGTCGCAAGATGAGCTGTATTTTGATTGTGGAATGTGATCTGTAAAACATCTGCTGGCAGCTTGATACAGTGATACCCAGCACCATAATGGGAGTCATTCTGCCAATGGGTGCCTGGATCCCCAGGGGAAATCACTTACCCCTAGTAAAATGGGTAAGGGGGGGAATGCATCCCACAGGTGGAGTTACAGCTGTGCCACACAGTTCCAATGCTAGCTTCTTAAAAGCCATAGTGACTTCTTTGGGCTAATGGCTCCTAGCTGGGGTTGCTGACCTCAGATAGAGGTGATGACTGTCATGAGGGATGATAACATTCTCCAGGGGTTGTTGACTCCTTCTGGCCCATGTGTCAACTCTCATTGTGTAAAATACCTCCCAATGGCCCAAAGTGATTCAGACTGGGGCTTGCTCACTGCTAATGGATTGTGATACTATTAGGGGAACTTTTAAAATTAATTTATTTTTTTTCAAATTTAATTTTAATTTAACTTACAGCATCTAGTTTACAAATTTTCCAGAGTTGCACCAGCCTGGTAAATTGACAGAACAAGCCTTTGAGTGCAACAACAACCACAGCAGCTAGTATAGCCTAGAGTGAAATGCAGCGAACAGTATTAACAATGTGAATGTTTCTTATAACAGCTTTTATGTGTAGGCACTCTTACTAAGAGTTGTTAGAATATTGGAGTCTAAAATAATATAAATGACTTGCTTATGAGTCTCTGTACATGTCACAGACTCTCTCACCTACAGCGGGTGATTTAAGAGTATATTATGAAATAACTCTACTCAATTAATTACATTAAAAACTGATACATTAAGGTCACAGGACCTTAAGAAGGATAACAACTAGTATCTGATTATCACTCACATGATAGTAATAAATTATTGCAGCTGTTGATTGCTACTGCCTTAAATCAACAATATAAAACATTGCCTTTAAATGCAAAGAAGATCATCACAGTTAAGGACACAACTTATGCAACTGTGAAAAAGAAAACCCAAGAAAATTCAGGCTTGCTGAGATTTGAAACTTGACCTCTCCGATACCAGTGAAGGGTTTGAGCTAGCATTAGCCAACTGCAAGCTGGACATCAAATTGGTACGTAATATCCCTGGGAAAGATGAAGATGAAATTTTTGTGAAATTGTATACTCATAAGCATTGCCTTTTACTAACCTTAGGCAAGTGATAAAAAAGAGGAGCTATAAAAAGCAACACCAGAATAATAACAATAACAACAGGAATGGTGCAGAGCTGAAAAACAAAATAAATAAGAAGTGCAAATTTAAAAAAAGAAGCTGCATGACGGGTAAACTTTGCTCATAGCACAATTTATTATTTTCAAATACCTGTGTCCGTGCTATACTTTCTTGAATGACAGATCTAGAAAGTGAACCACTAACAGGAAAACAGGAAAAAAAGGAACCAAGGATATTTGCAGACCCACAGGCAATAAGCTCCTTTGAGGCAAAAAAATACACAGTGAATCAGATATAACTTTCTATCAACATCTAATGAGAGGCCCATCTGAAATTCACACAAATTCATTCCCTGCAGATTCCAGACCAAACTGGAATTTTAGTTTTCTGAAGGAAAGAAGAAACCTCACAGACCACTTTGAAAGGAAAAAGAGAAAATCTGATTATGTATGGGGTATCACTGAGGTTCAGCTTCAATGACACACATACATTGATATGCTGATGGTTATTCACCTGCATATAATTCCCATATTGACATGCTTTGTTTCAGTGCTGAATTTTCTTTACAAGAAAGGCAGAAACATTTTCTCAGTTGCTGGTCTTTTATGTTTCAATAAAATAATAACATTATTAACCCTTTGACTCGATCCCAAGATCTGATTAGTAATTCTCATTTCTTTTAAATATTGGTTTTGAGAATTCTTATTCCTGGCTGCAATGCCCATTTCATTGTGCATTGGAATAATTTTTTAGTAAAACAATTTGGTCAAAAATATCAAGACAAAACAACTTTAGCTATCAATACTTTAGCCTTTTTGCATTGGCACTACTAGTGGGATTTAAATTAGTAGTACCTCAACCAATCAGAATGCAGCATTGATAATAACCACAAGTTGGATTTTACTAAATCAATATAGCATCCATTGGCTGATTTAAATTGACCTATTCTCATTACATATCTGTTGGACAAAGTATTGAATGTTATAAGTTACATGCCAATCACTTCTGCATAGTTACCTGATTAGAATCAACAACATAACTGTTCCGCTTGGCAAATACTTTGGCCAATGAAACATTTGTGGCAAATATAACGATAGCTATTACAACAGCATCAAGGATCATACTCGTGAACAATGAGGCAGATGGGGCAGATGGGACTCGTAAACTGTGGAGAACAAAAAAAATCACGAATCAGTACACAAAAATGGGCTAATTAACAAAACATGTTATCTGGAACCATCACTTGTATTTTAATGGCGAAAATTTTAATAACATTTTTTTAAACACACTTAGTTGTAATTTACTCTTCTTATAATAAGCTATTTGTTGGACAGAAACAATATTTTAGAGCACAAAATGAGATATAAAACCAAACCAAATTCTTTTTATTTAACAGTCCTTTCCTCTGTAAATAAGAAAACTGAAAACAAACAAAAAAAATAACACTTACCCCTTGGGAATGTTCCCTAGAATTGGCACTTGAAACTTTTTATTCAGACCAACCAAATATGAAATCATTGTTCCAAGGACAACCTGCAAACATAAAACAAAATAAAAGGACAGGTAGTAACAAATAATGGCATCTCTATCTAACAAGTAAGTATTCAACTACTAACAAAAATTATCATTGAATCACAAGTGAAAGTATGGAGACCAATGTAAGAATCATACTTAGAAGTTTCGACAGAAAGCACCAATAATCCTGCATCACTGAAATAATATTTCTACAATGGATAATAAAGTGACATCAACACAGACACTATTTTCAAGCTTACTATTACATTACAGTTTGTATAAATTTTTACACAGATATGTCCTTTAGACTAATAAACAAATACAACAACATTCTCTAAACCTGAACAAGACAATACTGAAAGTAGACATTAGGCAGTGACCCCAGCATCTAAGACAAATTATTTTTACTTACCACAATTAATTCAGCTGGTAAAGGAAATTTCATTTTATCCTTCAATTTCTCGCTAATGAACTTGAGTAAAAACAGGAGAAGAATGCAGATTATTCCAGTCACAACGGCTCCAGGTACAGATAGTGTAATGTTCTTAAACATAAATACGTACGTCTGCAAAAGACAAATAAGCTGTTGTAAGCTGTTGTACATATTAAATAAAAAAAATGTATCTTACTGCTAGGTAAAGCATAAAAAGAGTACATTGATTCAAACCTTAACAACAGCGAATGCCCCTGAATATCGTGGAACAGTAATTCCAAGAAGATGTTTCACTTGACTCGTAAATACCAAAATTGCAGCGCCAGTAGTGAAACCGCTAATAATAGGATCTGACAGGTAAACAGCCACAAATCCAAGCTTAAGAAGACCCATTACAAACTGTTAAAAAGAAAATAAAATTACCTGTTGATAAATACATTACAGTACAATTTATTTAGCGACAGTAGAACCTTAATATAACGAACTCTACTTAACAAAGTCCTTCCTATACTGATCAATTTTCATTACCCCAGAGATAGTGAAACATACGGAAAAGAATCTCAATATGACAAAACCTCGTTATAGCAAACAAATTTTGCCAGTCCCTTTGTTATATCAAGGTTCCACTGCAAATTGCCATTTCCAGTGTCCAAACATTTGAGGCTCGGACCTTCATAACTGGAATGTAATAATAATATTTATTGCGGCACTAGTGAAGTGGCCTTGCTCTCTATGAGAGCCTGTGCTCAGGCCCCATGAGATAAAGTTTGCATCTAGTACAGTCTTTGTCATGGATTCGAATCCCACCAGAGACACGTTAAATGTTACACCTTCCTCAACTGTCACAAACTTGTACTGCAGGCTGGTGCCAAATGGAGAGGCTCACAGTTTAGATGTGTCAGTGCAAAATGATGGAAAGGCAGCTGCTTGATTATCACTACCAACCTGAAAAATACCAACAAGCATTGAAAGAGCCACAGCAACTTCCAGCTTCTTTTCATCCAACAAATCCTGCTGACTTGGAAAAGAGTTATTTGATTCCTGTTTGTAAATTGAATTAAGCAAGAGACCAGCTCCTGATGATGTATTTGGCAGTTGTGTAGTGCTTTGGGATGGGGCAGCAGAGGGTGATATTGACTGCTCCACTTCTCTTTCCACGACATGTCCTACCATCAAGCATACAACAGCAAAGGTGCCTGCAAGAAAGGTGTCAACAGAAAAATATGCTTATTTAAATCCATGACCCTCTGCACCCTCCCACTCCACTAATAACCTGTATAGATATTTTCTGAAACAACCCAATGCCCTTTCATTCTTTGAGCCCTTATTAATATTGACTTAAAACTTAGACAAATTTACAACTCAATATAGCAAAATGGAGCATGCCGCCTTAAATCAGCAACATGTAATGCAACATCAGGACAGTGTTTGTGCTCGGTGGAGTTTTTACTTGTAGTAGGTTAAATCACTATCACAGTTAAGAAATTACTGATACAATAGCAATTCTTGTTTATATTATTGTTAGAATAGTTACTAATGATTGTATTACTTGTTCTGTATGGCTGGTGAAAATAACTTTTCTCCTACATATCTCATGAAGTACCTCAAGTGCTTACTCAATTTAGTGGTACAGTATTTATCATTGGCTTACCCTCAGACACTAGTCTAACTAGTAAAAATCTTGCATCTCGTTATGAGCAGTGTTGCTTAGTTCTAAGGAACAGTTCACTGTTTTGAAAGAGATGTAGCCTTTGACAACCCTTTGTTAGTTAACGTTAGAGAACAGACAATACGCCGATGATGTTAAAGCTTGAAGGGTACTTGAAGAAATAGTTTAAGATACCTAGTGATAAATGTCTGGAAGTTCCCATTGCCATGTAAACAAGAATAGGAACAAATGCTGTGTACAGACCCGTCACAGCAGGGAGTGATGCCAGCATTGCATAAGCCAGACCTGAAACAGCAAAATAGAAGAAAAAATATAACATAAAGAAAATAAAAATCCCATGAGAATATATCTTGCATAGCAAATACAATGAAAAGTACAACATCTCTTTCATTTTACTATCTATGCACCCTCAGAATGGTTACGATGCTTATCAAAAAATGGTGGACTATTACAAGAAGTTTATTCAAGACGGAATTCTTTTAGATTGGGTTCTGGACTCTTATACTTCCTTTAAATCTGCTTATGGCCTAATAGGACCTTTTTTGTAAAACAATCAGTCACATCTTCCTGACACTAATATACCCATCATCATCATCATCATCATCATCATCATCATCATTAGTCGACTGAAGAGCAGTCAACTGTGGCATCTCCAGATGGCTTGGTTGGGCAGTGCGCACCATGTCATCCTCTGAGAAATGCTTCTTGGAGTCAATCCACACCTTTATTTGGCTGGAAAAGGGTTTCAGTGGTCTCCCTCACTATATAATACCCATGAGTACCCTCAATTTGCAAAGAAAATGTTCCAAACCTCTCATCATGAGAAAAATCCAATCCAATACTAATTTTTGCAAGTTCAAGTTGTATTTTACAGTTTTATATGTAGTAATAATAGTCCTAAAATGCATTGTTCATAATAACAGCACTCATTCTCCGCCATGCTATACCCGCCACCCCTCTCTCTTTCTCTCTCTCCACCCCTGGACCAGTGCCATGATTAGAATAAGTCAGAGAGAAACAAAAACATCACGAAATTCCCGTCACTTTCCCAAACTGTTGCCGTCACAAGCAACCTTCAAACAGCATGTACTGGCCCTTTACCTTGTGGAATATGCATAATAGCAACCGTTAGACCGCCTGCTATGTCGTGAGCCATGTCTTGCCGAAGTTTATATGTAGGCAACCATTCAACAATCGGGAACCAAGATCGTAAAACATCTTTACAAGTACATCTGGTTGGGAAGAAATGTCTCTTAAAAGATTTTGCGAGCGACGAATTGTCGATCTCAGAACTGGAGACATAATCGTCGCGCTTTATAAACGATTCCGTGAACTCTTGCTCGTTGTAAACATGGCGGGATAAATTTATCCTGTAGCGACGCCGCGGTCGACGATTCCTCGCAGCCTGAACTTCCGAAAGATCAAAGTCTGTTAAAGACATGGCTACTACAATCCTTGGTTGAACGTGGTAAATTTTTGGGAGAGTTTTTCTCTGATGTGCCTTTTCAGTCGCTGATGATGCTCGTGTGGTCTGCAAACACCTGAAATGACGCAAGCCGGATGGTGATCTTCATCATAAATTTATATCTGTTTTACCGAGACTTGTCTTTGATCTGTGGTTATCTTCCTTTGGCTCACTTTAGAATAACGTTCCACCGGTGCCTTAATGCTGTTTAGTTTACGATTAACTTTTAAAACAGTATCTCAACTTTTTTTACTTTTAGGTAACAGGTACCAAAAATATCAGCTGTTCTTCCTCGAAGTGAGTACCTACCGTATGTAGACGTAAACAAGAGGTCCTCTGAAGAGAAAAAGATTCAGTACAGAAGCATGAAGAACACATTGACTGTTTTGCTTTTCGAATTAGTTGGTAAAAAAAAAAACAAAAACAAAAACAAAACAATGTTATGAAATTATACCTTTTTAAATAATTCATCAAGGAGCAAGGAACAGGTGAATTGGGGTTAACTTACTCACGTTTCGGCTTGGCGCCCAATTACCCCTTTCAGCACCTGCTATGCAGACTACAGGTGGAGTAACATTTCCGCTGATTGAAACGATCGGAGTTTGCCCCTTATTTTTATGGTTTTTCACCGTAAATGTAGTTTTCTTCATCACGCCACAAAGAAACATCAGCTATGTGCTCTAGGCCGAGCTGAGCCAAAAATGAAATTTAAAATACACCGGTTTCGACGATGAGGCCTCGTATTTCAGTTTTTCCTTCTTCTTCTAATCTTGTCTTTTTAAGATAAAAATGCAAAACTCTTCAGTTAAAGCACTTCTATCAACAGGTGCATATAAATTTATGTCTGCATAAGATTTTCAGGTATGGTGGTCACTTGCGAAATTTTCGCCGACTCCGATGATACACCTGTTATGAGGGAACTATGCTATAAACAGCTTCATGAACCAGGACACAAGGCGCTCTCAGCGAAATTATAACATAAGAAGTTTTAAACTGGTTTGACCTTTTATTTCGGCCGGTTTCCCAGTCCAATACTACCAGTTATTATTATTCTTTTTTGTTTTACTCTCGTCTAAAACATAATAAGTTTGAATATTAGACCTTGTGACTTTTGAAAATGAAGAAGATCTGATACTCTCGTGTTCTTCACACAGCCTCAAAGCCGTTTTTTTCTGCACTAGAACTTGTATTGAGTGAAAACCTAAGAGTTGGGACTCTACCACTGTACAACAAAAAAGGAAGGTTTGGAAGATATAATACAGGGCCTCTCGTCCGCTTAATACGGCAGGATTTTGTGCAGGTATATAATAGCGGGGTACGTCGGTTCTAAGAGGGAGTGGGGGCAAGCTTATTTTCGTGATGCCGTGATCGACCATTTTTGGTGTCCGTGTATCGTGATGTGCTGAAAAATTGTTCTGTGAATCGTGATTGAAGCGCACTCCGTGAAACCTGAAGTCAAAATCCTCGATTGTTTCCACGTACATTGACAATCAATTGAAGAAAATAAATCGTTAATAATTTGGCTAAACCACCTTAACAGCATCTGGTGGCTTGATTTAACTTCACTTTCGAGTCTTTCTGATGTAGCTTCACACTTCAGTGCCCTCAGACTCACCTACAGTTGGCTTCCCTAGGGAATTTATAGCCGCGCAGCGTTTTTCATAAGGTTCGCAAAATTCTAGTTAACTTAAATATAATCGAAGCACTCTGTTTTACAAAATGGGACTAACTTAACGTTTTTGACATTTTTCCAACCTCTATTTTTGAGAAGCGTGAAAACGTTGTTTCGTGACTAGTGAGACGCAAAATTATTGTTCGTAAACTCGTAATGAGACCACCATTGCCCCACCCCCTCCCCCTCTTCTAAATATAAACTACACAAATCAATTCCTGTCTATAAGTGGACTTCACAGTTTTGAAAACGGTGTTCGTTAAACCGAACATTTATTTCATTTGTAAATGTACGAAATTCTTCAATGTATGCTAAAATATAACGCAGTATTAACAAATATATATAACAGTATAAGGGATAAACTTTGCACCTTAAGCATGAATAAAACAGTTCAAAACTGTCTCAGGAAAACCAGCTTCCTTGACATTATTGTACGTGAATAATCTGCGGCCAGGGACATAGCGGGGAAAAAGAAACCGTTGAATCATCATCATGAAACAACTTTCAATCGATTTCGGAAACATCCTCCGCAAAACGGCTGGTAATCAAGCCTATTTATAGACATAGCCCTTGTGACAGGCGGGGGAGGGGTAGAACAAAAAAGGGAAGGAGAGGGCCTGGTCTAAGAACCGTTTTTTTGTTGTTGTTGTTTCACCTTTTTTCTTCTTTTTGCAAATCGTCCACCATTTCCCCATTTATCCGATACTGTCAACCGTCAATACGCGACCAATTTTCGCCTCAATCTCCTCTCCTTTTTTTCTTTCCTCCCCTACCGGTCTTTTCAACACCTTTCACGCAAGCAAAACTGTTGTGAAGCTACAGCAACCGTTTTTTTCCGTTCTCTCAGATCATTCCAAGTTTACATTGGAATCTTCCCGTACTAACATGATTACTGGCCTGCCATTCAGTTTCAACTACATATTCAGATAAACATACTTCAATTCCTCTCCTTTGAATTCCACATTATAAACAAAATATTATACTGACCTTTAAATACTGTGAAAACAAAACTAAATACCTGGTCAAATAAGCTAATATTTTAGTTACGCCTAACTTTCAGTTAGTTCTATTTTTGAGCATTCTTATTAAATGCCAACTAATGTTCATTTTTGATTCATTTGACTGCGTTTTATAAAAGGCAAATCCACCATTATCAGCTACCATTCTCTGTAGCGATATGTATGCTCTGAATGCTTATCATAATCTGTATGCTGATAAGCCCTTTATGCCTTGAAATTGTTATAAAACTGTCTCTTTTTCAACGTCTTCTGTGCCCCAAATCTGCAAGAAGAAAATAAAAGAATATTGAATATGCTTTTGTCAATTGCGCATGTGTGGCTACCGCGGAAACACTTATGATCCACTGAAGTTATTTCTCACCGCAAAATCACGTGACCGTACGGCTGATATAACAGCGTCATGTATTGAAGGAAACATCACGTGATGATCGATTGCTGAGATTGCAGCCTTCCCAGATGAACTACCAAGCCTTTTAGTTATAATCGCTGCAAAGGAAGAATATGATAAAGAATTAAAACAATGAATTAAGACCTGTTGATTTAGCCTGCGAAAACAGCCGTCTTTCCTCGCTCGGAGCGAGGAGCGAGGAGCATGTTGGCGTGCTTGCTCCCCAACATGCGTCAATAGCATTAGCGACCTTACGACCTGAAGACTGATTCAAAACTTTCGCTCTTTAACAGATAGACTTTGGCAGCTGTTGCTAATCCATATCATATGAACTTGGTAAAAAACTTCTTGGTACTTTTTGTCTGACCTAAACGGTTTCTTCTCATCCGAGGAAGCACTTAGACATGCAGTAAATAAGCACGAAGTGTCCTAGTCCTTTGTGACACTGCGAGCGATTTTCGGGAAGATTGATGCGGGGATAGCTAGCGACAAGGAAGGAAACGGAACAAGAGCACAACCTAACTTCGAGCTTACTCTCGAGGTACTGTTGTGATTACTAAAACGATTACATGCAGTTTCTTTTGGTTTCAAACCTCTATTGTTAAAGCCGCTTCGATGATTTGCCTGATTAATTCGCTTAAGATTAATAACTCACATGAACAGCCAGCCAAGTAGATAAGAACTCCGGCCTTTTTAAACTCGGCAATCAGCTGAAAACAGAAAAGCAAGCAACTAGTGAGGAAGCTGACAAATTAGGTTTTGGTGACATAAAAAGCTAGAGGCTTATCACAGCAAAGACCGTAAACATACTATAAGCTAGAAATAACACTTGGTTCTCACGAAGGACACGTATAAGGCTATGCGTATGCGTAATTATTTTGTCCCATAATCGCTAACACATCGTGGCCAACATAAATTTTTGGTGTCGACAGTAGAAGGTAACTCTGGTTTTCCTTCATCACGCATAAATCTTTCGCCTTTTACTAAAGATTTCCGTGGAGGAAAACACTTGAAAGAGTCTTTAGACTAATTTTTCGCCGCCCTGCAATGAGCGGGGCCCTCAAAGAATCAAGTATGACGAACTACTAATTAGACGGAATAAGGAAACTTTTGTCGGCAGAAGAGAAGTCCAACATAGCCGCAAGTAGTAAAATTACGGTCAAATCGACATTCGCTTATCTTAAAATAAGTACAAACAACTAACTGTACCTATTTGAGAGAAGGCTGCTTAACGAACGAAGCGATATATTAAAAGGCTAAACTATAGAGTGCCTGGCAACATTTACTACAGTTCTGTGTAACCGGCTACAAGGTACGGAGAAACTTATTGCATACCTTTAATGCTCCAATAAGCGTCGCCTTCAAATAAATCAATACATTTACTGTATGTATGTACCTCGTTTTTAAAACAGGCAGCACCAAAACACCGCGAACAGTATAGCAATCACTTGAGATACCGTAAAATCCGAAAATAAGCCCCTTCAAATATAAGCCCCCCTCTCCCCCATCTCCCCCCACCTCCCCCCAACTCGTAAGGCAAACAAACCCGGGGCTTTTTTTCGGAATTTTACGGTAGATATCTTCTGGTATAAACTTGTCACCGCGTACCGCGTGTTTAGAAACGTAATAGAAATGGTGCAGTGCTGTATATCCCGTAGTCCGCAACCCGAGATATTTGAAGGTTGACATCAAGTATTAAAATCAGATACACTCTAATACTCACCGCTGGAAGTGCGTGTAGCCCTACAGAATCAATGAAGGTAAAACTACTTCCATCTATTACAACAGCATGAATGCGTTCTTCTGGCTCCTCCATCTCAACTTCCATATGTTTGTGAACACCGTTTGGCACAGATACCAGTTTCTGTTTTTAAAATAAAACACACTCTTCGGTTACTCACAATACTTCGAAATGGTCAGCGCGAGCACGCGCGCGTGTGATCAAAATTTCTCCCTTCACCCCAACAAAACCTGGGACTGCCACGCAGGCTAGAGGCCGATGTTACACGAGACCATTCGCAACGACGATTTTTAGCAACAACACAGCGATGTGATATTGGAACAATATGCAACCATTCGAAACAATGTCGCAACAATGTTGGAACGCCCTGTTGCGCTAAAAAACGTCGTTGCGAATCGTCTCCAGTCGTGTAACATCACCTTAACTTCGAAAAAACTAATATTGAATAGCGTTGGGTCCTCTCCACAGCGAATCATTATTATTATTTTTTTTTTTTTTTTGAGAAGATAACAAAATAACTTATTGTCTATTATTGTTCCTTTGTTGGTCATCTTTACAGTCTAGTCTTCAACACTTGAAAAAGCATCCTTAACTGGGTTGTGTTTCGTTTTTACTTTCATAGCATATACATATAGAACAATTCAGTATTGTTCCTTTGTTGGTCATTTGTAATTAGGACAACTCTGTATTGTCCCTTTGTCTGTCATTAAATTGTAATATAGTGAATGAACTGCTAAAAAACCGTTTCTTACTCCGTTTGGAATCTCTTGGTTATCGCTGAAGTCGTCCTCTTGCTCATTTTCGAGTAGCTCAGCTTTGTCTCCGGACTGGAGTTTCACCTCTTTACGCTTGTGTTGTTGAACACCCGGATCTCTGCCAGCGACGGCAATAAGTGCACTTCTAAAGCGCTCCACATTTCCAAAGTACAAAGAGGACTCAAATCTGAGCACCTTCACTCCAGGTACCTCGAAGGCCTAATGAGAAATGACGGTTTTACGTTAGTGCAGTCTTAGTCTTTACCCTACTGATTCCGCTGGCATATTATTCCACCTATGAACGCGACGAGTGCGTTTGTGATGCGCATTGGCTGTAAAAAGATGTCATTATTTTGGATTTAACAAATGTGAAAATATTAAGCTTATGGACAACAGGTGATTCAAAGAGTCGGTTTTTTTTTTTCAATCAACTCGCTACACGTTTTCGTGTGCCTGACACCCGCGGCCTTGATGCTTTGTTTCAGGTCTGATTGGTGCACACGTTACATTACATTGATCTGTGGAGTAACTGAACTAGCTAAGAGAAACACATGTCTATTTAGTCTGTTCTCGGTCTCCTAAGATCTAATGCGCAAAGGATGCCGGCTATTGTCCTTAAAAACATACCAGATGACATTCTTTTACATCACGGTACAACTCTGTCCCCCTTACTTGTCCAAGAACGGAGTATTTTGACCTGAGAACAAAAAATGGAACTAAGCTTCAGAATAAAAATTCAGTGTCAGATATAGGGAAGGGGTCCGAGATTTGGCCTCCTCCTTTTTTGGAGCAAAGCGAGGCCAGTGAAGGGCGACAAAAATTTCCAACTTTTGCACAATGTGAACCAAGTGGAAAGGTTTGCTTCTCAGGTTATGACTACACTGGCTCACAAACAGACTATTATTATGAAAGATGTGCATTCTGACTGAACAATTAATTGACTCATGATTTCAGTGACCTGCTCTCAAATAACTGACTGAATGTTGACTAACTTCTGTCCTAACCGCTTGTTTGTTCAGTTTGTTTGTGTAAATGGATTATGAGAAGGTTTTGAAGAAATTCTTTCACCTTGAAAGAGTTATAACAACGGCAAACAATGCGCTGATCACTCCTATCCCAAGTCCTAAATCAACTCCCATCAAGATGACTCCAAAACATGTTATAAACCACACAACCTGCAAATCAAACACGGGACAAATAATCACTAAAACTACAGTTCAATGGTCACTAAATTCTCATTAAACACACTATACATTTCAGAGCAGCGTATACAAAGTTTTTACGCTTATTGTTCTCACTCAATGTGCTTATAGTACGATCGTAGCGCGCTATTGTGCCCTTATAGCATGTTAATTGGTCACGCCCTGAGTAGGCTTAGGCTCACTGTTCTCTCACAGCACGCTTGTAGCATGCTCATAGTGCACATTCTACGACGAGAACGCAAATAATAGACACCCCTGGAAAGCCTCATTGTACTTCCATTTCGCCACAAATAAACCATTATCTTTATTGAACCAGATGAAGCCATGCCCTGGCAGCAAAATGATAAAACCTCTAACACTTTATAACTTGTTTCCGCTACCACAACAACTCGCTAAAATTCGTAGTAGAATGACAATGACTAAAACGTTTTCCCGCCAAAATGACGCTGGTTCACTCGCGAGCACTTCTTTTCATGGTATTGAGGAAATCTCGTACTCGTAGTCGTACTCGTTTTAGAATCTAAAGGTCTCTCTTAAGCCGGCTGAGTGTACCCCTACTGCGCTGCACCTATAACTACCCTGGCTTTGGTCCGTCTGCTCCCTTCTCGAAATACCTTGGATGAAGTAAACCGTACTCGGCTGAGAAAAAAACCCTCTGGCACCCAGGATAGCTTATAGAGTGCTTATCGAGGGTATTAAGTTGGGGCGTATTCCCCTCACAGTGCGAAGAGTGCACTTATGATAAAATCATAATGCGTCGGAGTTATTTTCGACTTTCATGTTAAATATTTTTTATTCCAAAACTTACCGCGTCCGTTTTGTATATTTTCCACAAATCTCTTAACCTGGAAAACTGCTTCAGAAGTCCAATAAGGTTAGCGATCACAACAGAGGCTAAAATGGCCTGGTATAGAAAGTAGAGGAGATGATATGAGAAAGAGTTAGGCCTTAGTTTCATGTTTTATCGCACGCGGTAGACAAAATTCCTTCTTTTATGATTGACACTCATTCCTAAAAGTGCAGGAAAAGTTTTGAACCTGAACGAAATCGCTTATTAAAGGTCAGCATTTGTGAGTTTTGAAGAAAAGCGAAAAATTCTAATTTAATGAACTAAATTAGGATCAGTCTTAGTGGTTTGCAAGCTAAGACCTAAACTTGAAATGGGTCTTGAGCCACAAATTTCCTGGCGTTGTTTTTTGCGGGGGGGGAGGGGAAACGCCTAAGTTGGGTGGATCTGGGACACAGTTTAGGCATGTTACATGAGTTTATGTTCAGGGGTGGGGGGTGGCATTTGATCAGTTAAGCAGCCGTCTGGATACCTTACCCTACCTTCCGGACTTTGTTGTTTTTACCTTTGGAAGGTGGAAGAAAAGCGGAGCAAGAAACAGCAGCACAAGAAGAACCAGCGCATTCACGACTATACTGCAAAGCTGCGAAATAGAACATACGGAGGAAACATCAGTTTACAGACCTGTCTCATTTGAGAAGAACAGGAACGTTTAAGGATGTTGTGATTGCAACCTGATGAACTAGGCATCCAAGTTAATTAAGACCTCGCACCACAAACGAAAATACTACGGTGGTTTTGGTTCATTATAGTCTGATTTATTCCTGCTTTGAATGTAGCTTGAGAGCAAGCTCTCACGTGACTTTTCGCGACCTCCCCTATTTGGAGAGTTTGCTCGCAGGCTCAAGGATAACCAGTGATCAGGCGATCAGGTTAGCTCAAGGACGGTTATCTAACATCTCATCATTTATCTGGCGCGCCATATAAACAACCTACGCACAAAACGCGTCCTATTTCAAAAGCGCCAATGGCTTTTGTGCCACTGGTTAACATTACCTGCGTGCTGGCAAGGTTCTCCTGGACCACTGACCGCGCCAAGGCATTACATATCGGAAAACAAGAAAAGAATGAGCCCACGAAATTACCAGCACCATACGCTATTAATTCCTAAAATAAATCAAATGAATTTTTCGTGAGAAAAGAGTAACAATCTAAAATAACTAAATTCAGTAAATCTCTTGTAAGTTCGTCCATTATCATGACAGAATCGCCTCTAACAGCGTGATCTATTGACTAAACTGTTTAACACAGGCATCGGAAGAAATACACGAGGAGAAATGCCTAAGTTGCCGGATTTTTTGCTCCAGTTTTAGTTTGAAGGGCCAGGATGTGGCCGAGAACTTCTCTTCCTTGTTGCTTGCTGCGCAGCCCCGTTGACCTCTGAACGAATGTTTTTTCTTCCATAACCCAGGCCCTCTTGGCCGAGCGAAACTATTTAGGTTTTTTTTATTATCAAACCTGGTTGGGATCCACGGAATAGCCACCTTTCTTTGCAAACATCTTAGATATCGAAATGTTTGTAGCAAATATAACCACTGCGATAACAAAGGCATCTGAGAAGATATTCGACATCAGAGACAATGAAGGTACGCTTAAAGGCGGAAGTCTGAAATTGAAAAAATTTAAAGTATTGTGGTTACTCTTTTCCCGGTTTTTTTCTTTAATTAGAAATATATGATTCGGAAGTTTGTGATGGATGAAGGAAGATTTTCAAATAAATTAGGGACCACGCTTTCGCTTATGTACAGTGAAGTATAATATCTGCTGACCTCGTTTTGCAAGTATTTTACTAATGCTTATAGATAATAGTTTCCGTGACTTATCAAATTTCTTTTTAAAAGTTGATTATTGTTTTCTAAACTTTTTCATCGCGCAGAATGCCTGGACATCATTGATTATTCATAATCAATGAAGCGGCAAAATTGAATGCGAAAGCACTTTGAATAGCTCTTAATTAGAAGAGAACGGGCCAAAATCGGCCAAGTAGGGCTATTAACACGTTTTTCTGAGTTTCAGAAGCTGAAACCTAAACTTACACACGCCGCGTTTTGGAGAGCAATGATGTTTCTACAATTTAAGCCTAAAAAGAAGGAAATGGGGTAGTATAAGGATTATTTTTTTAAACTTTTTTTTGTTCAACAAGCTTACCCCTTGGGTATCTTTCCTAAAATCGATACTCCAAAGTTTTTGCTGATTGCTGCTCCGTATGAAATTGCAGTACCAACAACAACCTAGAGAAAAAGGAAAGATAAAGAATCATTTTTTCAACTAAAGGAACGAAACAAAATGAATAGATCCAAACCGAGTAATAAGCCAGTGTTACTTACCACAAGTAGTTCCGCTGGTATGGGAATTTTGAGCCTATCTCTGAATCGCTCATTCACTTGTTTTAGTCCAATTAACACCGCAAGACACAGCACGCCAGTTACGAGTGAACCAACATTCACAGAAGGGAGGTTCTTTAGCATATGAATGGTGGCCTGAAAGATATAAGTACAGCAGTAAACTTATGTCCTTGAAAATCAAGGGAGACTGCCATTCTAGTTACAATAGTACAGTACAGTAATTAAATGTATATCATAACAGGGGGGTTGTTGGTTGTTGTTTTTGTGTTTATCTTATTCACTGTTTTCACATTGCTCACGATACACCTTGTTTACGTCTCCCCCTTCAAATTTTTCAAAACAAATTTTGTTTTCAATTTCTCCAGGGCACTGCAGTCGTCCTAAGAGAAATTGAAAACAATGCTTCTGCAAAATTTTTGAGGGTAAAAGAGTGTATTATGGGCAATGTGAAATTAGTGAATAGACCACTTCCGAGTTCCAAAAACCCTCACTTTCAAAATGAGGCTAGGTGAACAACCTTTTTGGTGAAAATGAGTTTTATTTGCATGAGAATGAAAAAATGATTTCCATATCAAAGGCTGAGCACCTACCCTCGTTTTGAAACAGAGGCCCGGGGAACTCGGAAATGGCCTAATTGTCTTCGCTTTTCTCAAGGCAAATTTAGTTTCCTGGGTCTTTCTTCTATTTGTCCCAAAAAGTGGAGAGAGCTTGAGAACGAGACTGGCTTTAGGAAAAAGTCGAGTCAAATACATAAGTCCTCGGAAGTCACCGGCGTTATAAGGATTAGTAGAGCGTTAAACCAGGACTTTAACTGGGTGTTGAGTGGGTGGGCTGCACGAAAATCGAGGTCCTATTGACGGAGGTCTGCAGGTCAGATCCTTTTCAAGAATATGTTAAAGAACAGCTATTTAGGGTTTCTCGGAGGAGGAGCCAAAATGACATCTAAACTCACCTTAGGTGCAACAAAGGGCTTTGCAAACTGTGGTACTTTAAGTCCAAGAATGTGCTTCATTTGACTGTTAACGACCAACACCGCTGACCCAGTTGTGAAGCCGCTGACCAACGGATCGGACAAAAATGTCGCCACAAAACCAAGCCTAGCCGCACCCATGGCAATCTAATAATAAAAAACAATTTCTCTCTTGTTACTGAAAAGGTTGCAAAGGAAGGAGATGGAATATAATGCAAAAATCCTCCTACAAGAGATGCTGGTTGCAAAAATTCTAGATCTTTATTGCTAGGTGCGTAGTCAAGTGAGCACTGACCCTAAAAGTGATTAAGATTTAAACAGTCTTTGGTTGATAGATATATGGGTGATTGCGTGTGTTGCGTCTTCTATAGAGTGTTTTCACTCACGTGGCCAGCATTTATGGAAATTTATTGGAACAAAAGAAAACGTTTGCATAAGAAAAGAGTTCAACTCCCAGAGGATTGGTTTGGGACACCAACATGGCCGCCGTTTTATTGTTTTGGAACACCCATATGGTCGCCGTGACGTCATATGAAAACACTCTATAGGTAACAGATTACATTATGCTCTTTCTTTGGCTGGAATGCTATTTAAACTGCCATAGGCCAGTCTTTTCCCTTTACCAAAATGTTTTCTGACAATCCTGATGAAGACTGACATTGACAAGTCGAATAGAAAATGAATACATAGATATAATCAGGCCCCCGTTGTTCAACAGGTGGTTGACGCTATTCACTGGAAAAATCTCTATACACTGGACTAAAAGTAGTCCCATTAGTCCCTTATCTTTCTCAGAAATAGTCGAACACGAACGCGCGGGAAAATCTCCTGCTGCGAGAAAGGTGGCACGTCTCTCCTCGCGCGCGGCGTTTGTCACGCTCTCGCGTAATTTGCTCGCTCTGGATCTCTTGGGAAAATGAGGGACTTCTTGTCCACCAGATAACTCAACTTCTTTTCTTAATAAGGGTACGCATCTACTGGATAGTAATTTAACAACTGGGGTAGGACAGGTAACTAACCTGTATGATGCCTATAAGAAAAGACAGCGAAATGGCTATTTCTAGCTTGGCTGCGTCTCTTGGACTCCACAGGCTGCCACCGGTGGAAGATGGAGAGGGACTGGATCCCGTATGATTTCCTGGAGCAGGAGTAGAGTCAAATGACATGGAAGCCACCTCACGCTCACAGACCTGCGCCACCATCAGACAAATCACTGCGAAACTACCTGTCACGTGACAAAAGATAAAATGACTTATCGTGGTAAGTGCACAGGATTCCCATGCGCTCTTGTGTCAGTTGTTATTTACAGTCCTTGGCGGACCAACTAGAATATGGCTGGCAATACGGGAAGTATATTGCAATGTAGCAGTACGTACTAATCTCATCATCAAAAGGGAGATAGAATAGAAAGCAGCCGAAGGCTGTTCTTTTTTGTTTCTGAAGAAGAAGAAAAAAGTCGGTGGTGTCAGTTTTGTAACTCACCTACTGATAGATGTCTTGATGTTCCCATGATCATATAAAGCAAGACAGGAATCATTGCGGTGTAAAGTCCAGTAACAGGAGGAAGGGTTGCCAACATTGCAAAAGCCAAACCTTCAATATGAACAAAATCAATAATAATTGTAGCTGTCCGATGGGCCTTGCCTTCAGTTTTAAGTGTTATTCTGTATTGCTGATCCTGATTAATACCAAGATCAGGCTTTCTCTCGCTACTATTTGTCCAAGTAGTCCTTGCAAGAATTGTTCGCTAACAGTAGAGCAGTTACACTGACATCATCTGTTCTTTTTCATTTTAAAACTTCCCATCCGCGGTTCATAAAAGATTTATTTCATCAATATACATCACTGGAATTCCAGTTATTTTGGTATTTTGGCATCATAGATTTGTTTTCCCCCGCGTAACCACCCAATCCGTTCGGTAATCGAACCTTATCGAACCCAGTCGAACTTAATCGAACGATTGGGTTCGATTAAGTTCGGTAATCGAACACATCGAATCAAACGATTTGCGTGAGAGTTCGATTAAGGTCATTTTCCGAACTCAGTCGAACCAATCGAACTTATAATCGAAATTTCTGAAACCAAGCAACACTCAAAATAGACAAGGATTTTGAAAAGTCGGCTTTTAGCGTGTAAAGGATCAGGAAAGCAGCAAAGAAATCACCGGGAAATCAGCAGAGAACCAAGAAAGATTCCGGTGAAACGAACAATAGATTGACTGTACAAAGTGGAGGAGTTCAAGGCGTGCTGGTGCGACTGACGGTGACGTTACCCACAAGGGACGATGCAAAGTTAACTCTTTAACGAAGACTGATATTCACTCCGTGATTGAGGACGTTGATTAAAGGGACTAAAGGATAAAGTTGCATGGCTGTATAGCCTCTTGTTCTTCCCGAGTGTTCTTGTACATCTCTCTTGTCTTGTATCATAATGAAACTTTCTGCTCCAAAAAATACACTACACTGATCCGCTACAACCACTTCCAGAATATACTCAGTCGTAAGACACCCAAGACAAAGGAAACATTCAGCAAAGACACGCGCAATTTTCCTGTATAACGTCCTATTTTTAATCGAATGTATGCCAACTTCGACCATCCAACCTAATCAAACTCAATGAAAGTTCGATTGGGTTCGATTACTAAAACTTTTTTGTGGGGGAGTTTGATTGTGTTCGATTACCGAACTTGATCGAACCCAATCATTCGATTAACTTCGATTGAGTTCGAGTAAGCTCTATTAATAAAACGTTCGATTTGGTTCGCGTGGTTACGCCTGGGTTTTTCCAATACAAAACATCAGTTTTTCAGAAGGGAAGAAGTTTCAAAGGTGGCACTGCGCTCCTCTTTCGGTTTTTGCCACAAATAAGTTGCGTGGTCTTACTAGGGGGTACGAAATGGGCTCCATTTATTTCACTCTCTACCGGTTCACGCTTCAAGGAGTGCATGATGCGTAATCATGGCAAACTGGCTCATAATTAAAAGGTTTTTGTGGAAGTTCGAACCCTGAATTGAATCAATAAAAACTTTCCGTTTGGAAACACCTTTAATATGAGTTCACAGATGCTGCCGAATGAACATTGTTATTACTGTTTGGAATTTTATTCTTAAATGTACTTGCCCTCGCCACTTATCATGTATTCAAGAACGTGAACCGGTTTATTGAGTTGGAACCGAGAGACAATCTCTAAACAAATCAATTTTCACGACGCTATAAAACTTTTGAAAAGTGATTCTCACTGTACTGTTCAGTGACGTAATCGCCCCTTCTTTTCTCTATTTAAAACTAAAAAACAAAAACATTTTTGCAACCACTTGAAATACCAAGCAGTCCGTAGTTCATCAATAAAGCGAGATCAGGCGGCTAATACCAGATTTGATTTAACCGGCGCTACTGAAATAATATACAATATTATACACTTAATGTCAGAACCCGAGGGAAACAGTTGGTTTTGACGAGCTCCTCAGAAGGTCTGCGTAGGCGGCTACTTCAATAGCGACAAAAGAATAACCCAAGCGGATCAAAACAGTCGACTCGGTTCTTGTAAGAACACAAACTTAATTCTCAAAACCACTGAATGAATGATTTACAAAGTACTTTCTTTATATTATCTTCATCTTTTTCCGCCACTAGATGCTGATTCTCTTCTGGGATAACTTTGAAAATATTTGCTTTTTAGCTTGAGGCTAACGCTTCATATGCGGCCCAAACTCTGTGGGAATTCGTTGGACTTTGAATTTATAAAAGAATGTATGATAATAAACCAAATACGTCCTAAATTCATTTTTTTGACAAAATTAGAAATAAAATGACTTACCTTGTGTTTTTGTTTTGCTTTTACTGTGTCTTCGCCTCTAGAGCCATTTGGAAAAGCCGCTTTATCAACGTTTAAGTGTTGATAAAGCGGCTTCCAAATGGATCTAGACACACAGTAAAAAGCAAAACAACAACACAAGGCAAGTTATTTTTATTTCTATTCTTGTCAAAAAATGGACTTTAGGACGTATTTGGTTTATTTTCATACATTCTCTTAAAAATTCAAAGTCCAATTGGGCCACCTGTGCACGTGGGGGCTTTATGTTTGTGTTGTTGTGTTCATCCCCGAAATAAAAGTGAAAACTGGCAGTTTCTTTCCCGCACTTTCTACCATGCTTTGATCACGTGCTGTAAAGTATCCCGAGCGGGGTACAATTACTCAAATGTATCACGATCTTTTAGTCAAGGCCATGTGACCAAGAATCAACCAATGACAGTCCCTATTTAGCTGAGTGAAAGCCTAGGAATATAACAACATAAATTGCCGCAGCACGCGAAACATTAAAAGTTGAACAAGAAAGAAAGACTTAACCGGGTCAGATGGCACGGAAACAAAAAACTCTGATATATTTAGCTTTTTAACCTTGGATCGCTCTGCAGCTCAGTGGGACTCCGTTGAGTAAAAATTTAGCTGCTACTTTACCAAAATATTCTCTAAGTAAAGCTATAGCGTGATTCATAACCTACTGATAACCTCTTGACGTACGACAAGTAATTTGCAAATATCAAATCAGGCAACACAAATTTAAATGTTGACGAACACCTAACTACACTCCAACTAAAGATAAATTCGGTACTGCTGTTCCTATAGGAAGTGAATGCCGATAATTCAGAAAACAAAACTGATTTACGCTATTACTTTTTGCTTAGCCGGTTATTTTGTACATCGGGGATAGAGCATGCCGGCCAATAGACAATTTTTGAAACAAGCAAGAAAAAAATACTTATTGATTAAAATATTTGTTTGTCTATTTCCGTATTATCTATCCCAGTGTTGTGTAACTAAGTTATATCATAGTTATATATATGGTGGTCAAATAGAATGATAAACGAGCAAGTAAAATAAGGGCAAATAAAACTGATGATATCCGATTTTGTCATTCGCACAGAAGTCCGATACAACTCATTAAATACCCTTGACGTTTAATGTAAGCCGAGATACAAATATTATAATGTAATAACTGCTCAGGGATCCCGTGTAAGATGGCTACACTTGTTTGTTACCTTGAGGAATATGCATTATTCCAACTGTAATTCCACCAGTTATGTCAGCGACTAAATCTTTCTTCACGTTGTACTTTGGAAGCCATTGAATGATCGGAGCGAGTCCATAGAGGAAGTTGCAAACTCCAGTCCGAGAGCAGGAACATGAAGAAAGTTTTGTGCAAACAGTGCGAAAGCAGTTATTCTTTTCCAGCGGTTCAGCCGACAGGTGACGGTGATTTTCTTTAGTAAAGTGAGATTCATCATAAACCTTTCTGCTAATAGTTACATCGGGTTTTTCATCATAAACCGAATTTTCTTGCATTTCGAAATAGCGTTGGGAAACCGATAAACATCGACAGAATACGCAGTTTTAACGGCGTGGGTCTGATTGGAGTAAGCCGGTTCAATAGCGATGTTTTTGCCGACACATCCAAGAAACAAAGAAGTTTGTCTGTTAATTATGTAAAATATAAGACGTCATTTTCTTGTACTATTTACTGCGAGGGGAGAGATATTATTCGTCAGATCGCGTCTCGGACCATTACGTTTTCTTAATTAAGAATTATTTATTCACAAAATCTTGTGACATAAAGACTATGACAGTTAATAATAAAAAGGTGGTCTAGCGATCTGGGTAACGATATTAAAAATAAGAAAATAAACATAATAGATAACAGTTCTTTAATTCATAGAATAAATATGCATACCCTATGTAAAAGGCAACGTATTTTTTTAGGCACCTATTGCGTATAACGGAAGCGGAAGCTACTTTACTACATTAAAGGAAGTAATATTTCCACATAGTTCGTAGAGGAGACTCATGGGTTAGGAAAGCCGGCAAACATCAAAATTGTAAACAACTGTGCTGTAGGTTATGTTGGAAGCTCACTGACCGTGCACAATCCTTTGTTTTTGTTCACGAATTGTGATTGAATAAATCAATGCAATGTTTCTATTGGTCTTGAAGTTTCAAAATGATAGGAATGTTATTGAGCGTTGTGCACGGTCAGGTCCAAAAAAGGTAACAAAAACATATAACAAAGGGTTTGCTAACCATTCCACTTTTTAAATTAACTATTATTTCCAGAAATGGAATCCATTGTTGGCATTGCACACCACATAATGCTTAAACTGCTACTTCACGTGAAGCCAACCAGAACTGAGTCAAACATATGTAGTAAACAATCAATAGTACGTAAGATGTAAGAACGACTGGCGAAGTTGGTTAGTGCATGGCCTTCAAAGCGAGAGTCTCCGAGTTCGATTCCAAGGTAACAGGGGCACCCAGACACGGTTTCGTCCTTAAAGTATTAGCACAGGCAAATTTGTCACATTTTTGGAGTCATTTTGTCAGTTAATAAAAATGGATGTCTTTTAAAGTGATCATCCATATGGTACTTTGAGTCCTAAGGAATGATAAAAAAAAAGGTGAGAGTGAAGCGTCTGCCTTCAAAGGTAATAATTTAATTTACCCCCTGGGGGACAAACAATTTTAAGGCTATCCAGAGTACTTAGAGAACTCTAGAAATGCATTCTAAGTGGCGCTATAAAATTTGTATCTGTTGTTCATCCTAGGGGAGGAGTCTTTTCGAAATTGCAAGGGCTTCAGTTTTATTATCCCGAAAAGTTTAGATGCAATTTACCGTTTTACGAAAGTGAGAATTTTTCTGATTCGTCTCTCCGTCACATTGTTAAATCCGAAAATATTAGGTTCCCATTTGCTACGAAAAATAGCCTAACCTGGGGAGTGAAATCTGAAAAAATGAACTTAAGAAAATCGTAGGACATTTATTAGATAAGCTTCGAAAATTGTACATGTATGGAACGGTTATTTAGAAATTTATAGCCATCCTCAAGACGTAGAAAATTGTGGACCAAATATGCTTCTCCGAACAGATATTTTACAGAAAGCAGTGGTTGAGTGCCCCTGAGTTAAGGGGCGCTAAAATGAGCGCGCCGTCAGCCTCGGGGTTGCCGCTGGTTAGGCCCCGCCGGTCTACTCGTATCCGTTTTTGTTTCAAAACAAAGTTTTTTCTCCAGTTGGCCCTACCCTCCACACATACCAAGTTTTGAAAACCCTGTTTTGCTCCACTGGTGTGGATGCATTGAAAACGGAGGATTACTTTACGGTGTTGGATACCAGTACATCGCATGTTCTCGTCAAAGATGGTACCGTTTTCAATCAATATTACGTTTTCGCACAGACGGGAAATAACGATTCAAAAACGCAACGAGTGGACTCGGATTTTCTTAAAAACGGAGCAAAAATCTCCGTTTTCAAACAAACACTGCAAAACCGGATACGTATGGACGGGACCTTCTCGTGATATTTGTTTGTGCTGATAGAACACTCAGACTCACAGACATAATATTTTGACATTTTTCTAGAACCAGTATCTTCACTGAATAAAGAAAGAAGCTCCTCTACGTGTTTCCTACATCAGCTGAAGCCCTCCCTTCACGAATTTTTTGCAGCTGCATATGTAAAACAACATAAAGCACTCAAAATGTAACTCTTTTTATTTCATTTAAAATTTACAAGGATTTCCTTTATCTGAAAACATCGTTTACGTAAATTAGCTATTTGACTGTCCACGATGTACATTTTCTTTTAACTAAAGCATTTCATCATTTTTTTTAACAGAAAACATTTAGTAAAAACAAAGGTTAAATATACTTTAAGTATACTTCAGGGTTACGTGTTAAGTTACGGTACTTTGAAACTTTCACAAAACTTGAGCTGCCAAATCGGTCCGCCATATCGTTCAAAGTTTGCTCTTCCCATGAGTCCAACAAGAGCTTGCTGCAGATTTAAGGAAAACGAATAAACCAGACTGAAGGGGCCTTATTTAAAATTGTTTAAATAATTATGATTTTTTTAAATGTACTTTGAAAACTTCATATCTCAGGATCTCAGGATTAAACAGAGCTTTCGCCCACGTCTATAGAAATTTCGAGAACGCATGACGCGAATGTGGGATGATCTCTGACCTAGCTCTAACCCTTCATTTTCCTCCGATTCCATAAAATATATCGCCGTCAAACGCATTTACTTAACTTACTTTTTTTTGAAGAGATCGAGAATTTAACACTTTCTGACAGAATTTTCAGACTATTTGACCCAGCATGGTTTAAACATCTCTAGAAATTCGTCTGACCAGGACTTAATGTGGACGATGTAATCACAACATACCTCAATAAAGTCCTCTGGTTGAGTGTCGATAATGTTGTAGGCCTCAATTAGCATATCTTCTCCTATACCACGTATACAGTCCCTATAAAGAAAAGAATATTGCAGGGTTTACACAAGTTTGTTGGGTCCAAAAGAAAACTCAAAATAAACCTGCATCATAGTGGCTGTTTTTTCTAAGGGTTTTAGGCCAGTGTAAATCGGAATGGAAGGGTGAGGCTTGAGCCTCGCGCGAAAGGAGGCGCTGGGCAACAGTGATGTGTTATCATAACTTTTAAATCTGTGGATGGAAAACTAAGGTGTGAACAGTCAAATGAAACCTTTTCGGCAGTGCCTTGACTATTTTTTTTGTACATAGTTCTAACTTTCGAGTCTCCTGATGAAATCCTTTGGTGTGACCATTCAAATGAAGCCTCTTCAGCAGTACTTTCACATGATGCTATTCGTTTTGTACATAGTTCTAACTTTTGAGTCTACTGATGAAATCCTTTGGTATTACCAATCAAACGAAACCTTTTCGGCAGTACTTTCACAAGGACGTTTCACACGAAGGTCTGAATATTGTGAAAGAAATCCTCTGGTTTGACCTTCCAAGAGGATACATTTTTTGTTTATTAACTGTCTCACAAAATGGAATTTCGAATTTTTATTCAATTTGACTTTGGCGTCTCCTAGGAGCTAAAGGTTTAAAAGGGGGAATAACTTTTCTTTCTCCTAGCGCCTTACCTTCTAAGCCTGTCTATTCTGTCTCGTAATCTCCCTGATGTAGTGGGTGATCCACCTAAAAACACATTAGTACGGGTCATTTCAGTAACCTCATGATTGTAGACGTCCTACATTTCTTTATTGTCTGGCAAATACAAATATACTTTCCTCCCAAACTTATTAGTGATGGACGTAGATCACTTCTGAGATTTGGATATCGCATAATAATGACAATAATTATCAGATAAGATACCTCAATAGTGAACTCTTCTGAGGACGTTACAGTATATATTTACATCGTGAGTAAACTCAGTAATCGTACAGTAAGAACTAAAGTCTCGAATGAAAATGTAAAAACTACTTGAAATAATTAAATACAGGACTTTCGGCTAAAAGCTTGGTAAAATGAATATGTAAATACCATATTGTTAGTTCCTTAATCAAAAGTCAGAACCGAGTCTCTGAGGTTAAGTTCTCTCGAGTCTGACAAGCAATCTGTTGAGCTGGCGTGAAAGCGGAGTGACAAGGTCGATAAAAAATTAGCAATTATCATTCTTCTTGTAATTTAAGATAGCAATTTGGCATTAGTTGTTAGTATCTGTCTCACAGGTTAAGTAAAATTACTCTAGTATTTAAGAGGCTATATAAGGCACAGGGAGAGTTTCGTCCGGAAAACAACATAAAAAAACATCGCACCCAACTGACCGAAAGGGATATCCAAGGGCTCGTTGTCTTCGTCCTTTTCAGCTGCATTATCTACATCCGGGGATTCTCTATCAACGCTAACATTTGACATTTTCAAAGTTGTATCCAGAGCAGATATCAAAGAAGAGACATCACTTTGCCTGCGAGGATTTCTGCAACAGCAACGGTAAATCATCAGAATCGTATCAAGAAACTTGACTGAGTAATAAAAGGACTCAACTTCGTCCCCAGGGTCTTCTCGGTTTCTAATATGGCGGCGGAGGGTCTTCTTCCCTACTACCGCCATATTGGAAAATGAGAAGACCCTGAGGGAAAGGTTATAAAAGGTCTCTGCTATGTTTCTGCTATGTATGCTCAATTAACAGGAAAAAACCAGGCGAGTAGAGGTCAACAGATTTAAACGTTTGGAAGGAAGGCTTCCAGGAATACAAAACTCACTGACATTGGCAAAATGCCACTGACATATTAAGAAATTCCAACACTGAAAGTAAAAGTGCCTTACACTTCCCCGTATTGCTAGGAAAACATTCCCCTTTTCACTTATTTAGAGAGAAATTGCGTACCCTGGGCTTCGTAAGGGGTTTTATAAAGGAGGGGGCTTCTCGCGGTGCTTATAACACGACTAAAAAGTGTGTCAAACGAGCTAAATAGCAGGGCTGACTAAGATACTTTTTAAATTTACTCGCTTTTTTAAGGGTTCAAAAGTTCATAAAAAATCGAATTCATTTTAATAACAAGCAAGAGCTAAGAGGGGAGCTTATATCTGGGAGGGGGAGTTTATAACTAAAAACCGGATTTATTTTTTTGTTTACAGGTAGATGGACCAAAAACTTGGTGGCTTAACAAGTGGGGCGGGGGGGAGGGGGGTCCTTAAGGTAAAGTTTTAAAAAGATTATCTGGGTAAAACCACTGTTTTCTGACCCACCTATGTGCGGATGCTGCAGATTCCTCCATGCTGATTTCTTCCAGTTCAGAATCTGAATCACTATCCTGTTTAATCAATCAACCATGAAAATACTACATAAATAAATACTCCTCAAATCAATTTACTCGATGCGAGTGCGCGGAGAAGGCTTGGAACCGAACGTAGCCTGTGTAGCTGGCGGTATTGTGTAGTAGTCGAGTGAGATTTGACGGCGGAGCCGTCACGAGCGGCGAACCACCCGCCTCGTGCCTACTCCCATTTATTGGAACACGGCTCCGCTGCCAAAACTTTAAACTCGCACCCACACAATACCGCCAGCTACGCGGGCTAAACCGAACGAGGAAGCGAATTTTCCTGAAAAACTTTTTTTTTTCCTTAAACAAGCGGGGATTCAAAAGTAGTGACGCCTCGTTTTTGTGGGATTTGGCTAGCGATGGACAAGATAGGCGCATTTGCAAAAGACAAAGACAAAAATTTACAAGCACAAGCTGTACAATTACTCTTGAAACGTATGTGACGACTTACAGGTGTGGAGGATGCTATGGACGACATCGACTCCTGCCGAGGAATGGGACGAGCACCATCCGGGACATCGAACCCCTCTGCTGCCAGCTGGCGCCTGGGTTCAATCATGGCTGATCCTTGTTTCGGAGTTGCTGAACAACCCAAACACGTTTCATTTAGCAAATTTAGTACATTTAGTTAATAGGAGCATGATAAATATGGCACCTAATTAAGAGCGATACGCACGAGGGCCAATGCATGCACATGAGGAGTAAATACCATCTTCATACAGCTATTTCGAGAAAGGTTGTCGGAAAAAGTGTACGCGACAATCCCGAAAGGTATTGTGAGTGGTTTTGAGTTCTCTGGTCTTTAAAGAAATTTGAAAGAATGGCACGAGAGGCCATGGACGTTTGTTTGCAACTGCTAAAAGAAAGAACAAAAGTAGGTTCGATAGCTTCAGTGTCAGAAACAGTGTATTGATCATATCGGCATATTACCTTTCAAGATTGTCGCGTGCACAACCTTTACCGAAATAGCTGTATCCCCATAGCTCTTACTATGAGAGAAAAAACTAGCCTGCTGACCAGTAGCCTCTCACGCAGGCGTTTTTTGGGGAGCTCGTATTTGAGCTCCCCTAAAAACGCCTGCGTGGGAGGCTAGCTGACCAGCTATTTTTTCGAGTTTTTCAGGCGACACGGTGAACCGCGAGATTCGCGCGACTGGGAAATCCGCGGGAAAAAAAATGACACGCATATCCTTTTTCTGGGTATTTCCTTATCACGCGTGTCTCGCACTCCCCGCCCGCTTCGCGCTTGCCCTCGCCCATCTGAAAAACGCGAAAAAATATCGCCTGTTCTGCAGGCAAAGAGAAACTTAGAAATTGACACTAGACCCTCTTCACTGATACGTTTCCTTTTGTATTAGGTTTGGTGCCATACTATAAAATTCTTGGACATAGAGCTTTTAGTTGATTGATGTATTGACTAGCTGATCGGTTCATTTGTCTATGGTCAGCTCCCGCCATATTATGTCAGAGCAGTCGCCAGACAAATCCACGTACAAAATATAGCACTCACTCTCTAAGTATTCATTACGCTTTCAGGCAGAGCACTCGTTTGAATTTGGGGAACCAAAATTTGCCCATACAGTTAAAAATCACACACAATGGTTGGTCTGGTACAGTCGTTTCGCCTGCGAGTTGTTTCGCCAACGTGTGAGGTCGGTTCCCTAACTGCTTTCGCTTGATCAGTAGCTGAAAGAATGAGGTTGCATATACATGCGTATCGCTCATTTCGCTTCTTAAAGCGAAAGGACTGGTAGGCGAAACGACCGGTCTTTGTTGGTCTACCTCCTACATGTCCTTGTAACTTTATTTGATTTAACTTTATTTGATTTACCTTCCTGAGATCTTCTGACTTTTGCGGCTATCACTTCATTTGGAGAAGGAAGTACAGCTACTGAGGGAGGGGTGAGAACGGCACTTTTGTCTCCTTTTTGTTTCTGCTTGAGCCTCCGTCTTTCTCTTGCTGATAAACCACTCTATAAAATAAACAAGACAAAAATATCTATTAGAAGATATTATTCATTCACAAATCCAAGCACAATGACTTAATTAAACACAGATAAACGTTTGGCACATGCTTGTGTTCCTATAATACACTATAATAAAAAACAACATAATCAGCAGCAACATATGAAGGTACAAACGTGTAACATGGAATTTAGGATCAAAACTTAATTCTCAACAGTAGCACAGTATGCTAGAAATACAAGACTATATAACTTACCGAAGGTGTGCTTTCACTGACGGACTTTTGACTAAAAGAAAGAAAATTTACATCTTTTTTTTTTTAAAAATTATGGAGAGGTAACCTCTGGTAATAGTATATAATTTAAGTTAAAGAAATTCTTCATCTTAGGACTCAAGTATATATTTCATGTCACAAATGCTAGAGTCACAGGGCTAATAAAATGTGCATCTCATGGATTAACCACACTCATTAGGTACTCTCCAAATAGAAGCAACAAAAATGTTCATTAAAAATAGTAAATAAATCATGAACAAAACTGCCGTGTTTAGGTTGAAGTTATCCTCCTACTCTCCAAATAGCCTGTGTTCAGACGTCTTCCCTCCCTGTCTGTACACAGGCTAACTCCAAATTAAGAGTGGGCAGAAAATATGTTTCACCTTATATCTGAATCTCCTGTGCTTTTATCATCTTCCTCTTCCTCCTCCTCTTCTTCAGCGTAATGTGACCTGGATGCACTGGTTTGAACTTTGTACCTCCTCCTTACTCTTGGACTCCTAGAAGCTGGCAAATCTCCACCTGGGGGGCCTCCCTTGGGAGGTTGTGGCAAGGGTCGTTGAGGCTGCTGTGACTTGTGTAAAAAAAAAAACAACAACAAGGACAGTTTAATTCAAATATTAAGTGTTTTAGTCAATTAAATCCTGTCTGAACCATTGTCAAAGAAATCTTGTATCTAAGACTCCCTAGAAATGACTACCTACAACAAGGAAGAAATCTTTGAAATAAAAGAAATGTTCACTATTTGGAATCTATGCACTGAGAATGTTGATGGCCTGGAGGTCACGAGTTTGTTTTTACCTAATGGATTCCTTCTGTTTGACATAACAAGTTCAGAAAGCTTTTGTTTAAACTCCTGCCACTGGTTGTTCAAAAGTTGGGTGGCACTATCCACCGGATAAATCGCTATCAAGCTGATAAGTAGTACAAAGACCAACTGCGTTATCCACTGAATAGTGATTTATCCAGTGAATAACACTATCCACCTTTTGAACATTACTGGGGCCTGAAGTGAGTCTCTTACAAAAGCTCTGTACAGGGGTGGGAAAGGAGATTTCCTTTAGTGCCCCTTATCACCCCCTTCTTTCCTTAGTCCTTGTTCTAGCCTGTACACAGACATTGTTTTGTTTTTCTTTTCGTTCTTTTCAAAAATGTCGGCAAGCGAAGCGAGCGTGTGGGAATGAGCACAGACCCCGTTGCACTGGCGGTCAATGGATCCAGTGTGGTTTATATTTTATCACTCGTGCTCAACAAAACTAACAGGCTATCCTTGTTCTGCCTAAGATACAAAGTGAGGTACTGGTAAACTACTTTCAAATAACAACATCCCAGGTTAATAACTTGATGTGCATACATACCTCAGTTCTAGGTGTCCTGGACTTGCTTACACTAGGTAATGGCTTCTTCTCCTCCTTGACTGGACCTTTTTCCCCATTCTCAGCTGACCTCCTAACAGAATTATCCTCATCAACAACTTTCTGTTTAGCTGCATTTTTATTCGACAATTTTTCACGGGCAGATTTTTTTCTTTCAGCCATTTGTTTTTTAATCACCTCTCGCTGTTTCAAATCCTCTGATTTTTTCACATGTATCTCTGTTCTTCCTTTACCCTCCCAAGAACCACTTGATGAACTAACAGATTCGACTGAAGATCTTTCAGGTTCATTTCTTGAGGAGGGCTTTGGTGAGTTCTGGGGTGGCTTTTCTTCATCTATAACACATTCAATAGCAGAGGCTGTGGCAACAGAAACATTAAGTCCTGACCCAGAATACCCTGAATCAGATTTGGAGGACTGGGATTTGGACACTCCTGATTTTACACTTGGTGTTCTTTCTTCCTTTGATCCTCCTTTTGATTTTTGAACCCTGCAAAGTTTGAATACCATCCACATTACTATAGCACTGTTGTTAGGGGCTAGAAGTATATTTGTTGAAAGTCTGAGTAATTATTAGCCGGCCCAAAAAGCTGTTTCATGTTTGTCGTGTTCAATTGCATTCCAGATCTTGGTTTTAATGATTTTGGAAGTAATACGATACAAATTGTAAGTTAACGAAACAGCATGGACGAATGAATGGTTTGTGAGCTAGGACCCAAAACTATTCATCACATTTTGATTTTAAAAACGCTACAGTCCCGAATATTAGTTAACAGGAGTTTCCAGAAACAAAACCTACAGGTTGAGGAGTCTACCCAGCTAATGGAAAACTGAGCCATGGTTACTTCCAATGCACCATGGCTGCTCTAGCTATTTTACTATACTCTTTTATTGAGAATTTTCTTGAAATAAGTAAACTAAGTTATTTAGGTCTACAGTCACGTGAAGAACTCAGTTATCTTACTTCTAGCATGACACAAACAATAACAACACTACCATACTACTTGCCTATTTTTTGTTCCTTCCAAAAATAAAGCTATTTGTTTCTTGATGTAGCCATGTCGCAGCAGACGTTGAGCACTGGGTCTTTTCTCTGGTTCTAACTCAAGCATACTTTGTACAATTAAACACAGATCACTGCTGTAGTTTGATGGAAGTGGTGGCGTCTGAAAATAAAAAAATAATATCTTTCCTTAGGTAATTCAAATAGCTATTGAAGAAACTGAAGATCTTTAAACATTTCCTCCCCTTTTAAGTCACTTCATCTCCTTTCCGCTTTCTGTCAAAGCTAAATTGATCAACAAATTAATGATAATTAAACGGAAGTAAAATTGATCAACAAGGGGCGGATCTAATGATAATTAGATGACGGTTTTCTAATACAACTAGTATTTTGCAAAAAAAAAAAAAAAAAAAGTTGTGGTTTGTTGGTGTTGAAGTAGAGCAAGAGACGAGTGCACCCCCTCCTAAAAAAAAACCTGGATCCGCGCCTGGCATAATACTCCATAGGCACAGATCAATATACAACACAAAATGTTCACAATGGATCAAATGACCAAATCAGACAGTCTGTTCTCTCACACAAAGCAGCACAAAATATTAATAGTATATCTTTATAACTCCTTTTCGTCACTGCTTAAGGAAACTGCATTTTACTAAATTAATCACTGAATAGGTCCCCATTCCCCAACTTAACAAAGTTCTTAGACTGTACTCACTTTTCCTTTAAGAATCTTGTAAACCAAAGAACTCATATCTTTTGCATTAAATGCATGCCTCAATGTGCACATCTCATACAAACAGCAACCTAAAGCCCACACATCGGACTAAGAAATACATTTATAGAAGGTAAATTTACATTAATATAATACAATTAATAACTTTCAGTGATTTAAACTTCCTTCATTTTTAATGACAACATTGAGAAAGTTGGGAGAAAGCACTAACTTAATTATTACCTTAATTATTGAGTTTAGTGGCAGGACTAGAGTTTAGGGGGCCACTTGGAGACAGAAACAAAGTATCATCTTAACCACTGCGGCCCAAAGAACCTTGGATTTAGAGTCTGTTGGCCATTCTTAGACCCTCCCTGTAAAAATATTGTTGGTAAAATCCATTCTTGGATTAAGCCAAAATTTTCTTTGGACCAGGAAATAAGGGAAATTCTGAATCAAAGTAGGTTGACTACTGGTTTAACAAGGCTGAGAATGGATTAAACCTACAATAGAAACATCACCACAGATAACTGTCTTAGGTTTCTTCATTCCCGCCTCCCCCTCCTCATTAAGAAATCAATTTTCTAGTTTGAGACTAGTGAAGAACTGAGAACAGTACCTTGTGGTTGTAGGGTTTATTGGAGAAAAGTTCCGGAGACATGTAATATGGTGTTCCAATGAGGGTAGTAGCCATGTCTGAGGATGTTTCTAGCACTCTTGCTATACCAAGATCACCAACCTGCGGCAAGACAGAATTTTAGAAATTTTATATTTAATAAATTATTTACAAATAAAATAAGTTACATAATCATGAGTATAAAAATGAGGCAATCTGCACTCTTAAGAAGTATTTCTGGCTGCACAAGAACTTTACAATGACACAATACAGTCAAGTCAAGTCAATTTTTATTTAAACTCACACAGAATAATAATTAATACAAATTAGTGCTTTAAAGTATAAAATCGAGAGATTGTGAAGGAAAAGAAATTTTCAATTGAAGGTTCATTGTGCAGTTCACTTAGAAAATAACTTAAAGATACCAAACTTCTGGAATTAATGGCACCACTTGTTTATTTGTGTTTGTGCTTACATCATAAGTCCAAAGAGGACTTAATCAATCTTCATTTTTGACTTACTTTAATGATATTGCTCTTTGTCAAGAAAATGTTCTGAGTTTTAAGATCCCTGTGTAAAACATGCCTCTCATGCATGTACTGTGAAAAAAATATATATCATTCACAAATTACATGTGTTGCTGATACACAATATTGAACTTTAGTAAGGACAACTTTCCACACAACAAGCAGTCAACTGCACGCCTTAAATACAGAAAACATTTCAAAACTGTAACATGTCCACGAGTATTAAGCTAAGTGCAAATGGACCCAACAACTCCTGTTGGCCCAACAATGTTGGGAGTTGCATTCAGTTTGCAAGTCGCTAAACATCTGACCAGTTTCAAACTCTTAACAACACGCAACAACATTCAATAGGGTGTGCAAACAGATGTAAAATGTAACATCCAACAATTTTGGGAGTTGTTGGCCAACAATGTTACGTTCATTTGAATGGAGCTTTGAGTTTGCTGTATTAAGAAAATTATTTAGGTCTAGATTTTAAGCGACATATTCATATAACTGGACAGTAAGATGGACTCAATGAGAAAGAGTTCTGTTCCATCTAGGTTACAAAAGTCATCTGGAAAAAAACCTCATTATTTTTAATTGCCTGCCTTTCATTTTGGCTTCATCATATTCTTAAAAAAGAACAAGGAAATGTATTGATTGTCATCACATGAGTTTACCATAATCTAATCCTAAAAATCTATCAATGATTCATTTTCCACTGAAGTTAAGTAACTAACTGGGCTTAACTAGTTTAAACACTCTGTCTGATAATAATACTTTAATTCTTTTATTTACCCGCAGCAGCATTTACAACACTTATAATGACTGAAACAAATAATATTATTCAAAGCAAATATAACAGGGTTGAGAATCTCCACTGGCCAGAGGCAAACCAGCTGGCTATTTAAAAGCATGGACATTCTTGATTTGTGGTCAGGGTGGGACTTGAACTCGGCACCTCCGAATTGCAAGTCCAGCACTCTTACCGCTCAGCCACGCTGCCTCCCTCACTAGTTATTTAATGAACAGTAGCTCGCTCGAAGATGGTCATGTTTGGGACCAGTACTAAGTGTCCATCTAAGAGTGATGTCCATTTTATAGAGAGTCAAATTAAGGGAGTAAAGAAAGGCTGGGAACAACTCTAGGTGTCTGTCTTATGGCAGTGCCCATTAAGATAGAGTCAACTGTGATATAATTTTATCAATCCTCTACCTGTAGTGCCATGGCAATTTGAACAAACCATTCAACAATTTGTGTTTCTTCCAAGGCTTTCCCCAGCTTAGCTTGTTGTTTTAGCTTTGAGTAGAGATCACCTCCTTCACAAAAGTTCATTACAATAAACAGAAATCCTGAATCATCTTGAAATGATTCTCGATAAGAAACAATGTTTGGATGGCGTAGCTGTGATAACAATTTTGCCTGCAAGGTAAGAAAAGAGTACATTGACATAGTAATAAATTCAAGCCAACTCAAAGTTATAATCATGTCTGAGTCCCATAATAATATTACCTCTCAAAAATTAGGAATCTATGTATCTCAAAGTACATTAATTTTATAAAGGCAGTTATTATGTTGCTGTCAAAACTTATGGTTGAATACATAAATAATTTAGATGGTCCCAGAGGTGTGGAATTGTCCATTTTCTTTGAGCTCTGGAGATAACTCACTCACAGAGCCCTCTTTTCTTCCTTGTTGTTGTTCAGTATAGACTGAGATGAAAATATTGTTGTGTGAGTGTACACTCTAGGTTTGAAAAGCTGTACGTACAATCAACCCTGTGTACTCCAATCTATATTAATAAACTTTCTTTACAACCAGGATGAGAAAGACACATTTGCGAGTCAGATTTGTCCTTCACCCTGCTGAGTTTTTTAATGGAAAGGCCAAGACTTATTCCAGTAAATTACCCATATCTCATTGGAATACTGCAAAGGTGATGAAGTGAATTAATTATTCTAGCAATGAAGGCAGTACTCAAAAACCTTTTCCTCACTGTTCATGAGCTTCTCAATGCCCAAGACAACATTTTGTAATAATAATAATAATCGAAACTTTATTTGTGTTTTTAAATGTACAATCGTAAATCTCATTATGTATAGGCAATTTACAAATGCTGCTTGAGATTGAATTATTCAAAATATATAATAATAATAATAATAATAATAATAATAATAATGGTAATGATAATTATCATTATCATTGTTATTATCATTATTATTATTTTAATTTTTATAATAAAGAAGTTTTTTTTAAAAAAAAAATTGGAACTAAAAGTGTGGGTTCTCAAGTCTGTTGATCCACAGTTAAGTAACACCCCAAAATTGCTACCACCCCACTGGGGTATGTGAGGGGGGTGGGTGACAGGAAGGAACTGTAGACTACAATGTCAATCACCTGGGTAAATCTATCTAGTTAATTAATCTTGTAACTCCACAACGAAGTCCGCATAGCTAGGGATTAGGTCAAACAGACCTACCTTCAGATATAAGTTACCTCAGTTACCTTGCATGAAAGAAGCCATTGTTGCATGTTTGTTTAAACTAAGTTTACAAAATTTGCGTCAACAAGGAAGCTGTGCCTCTCAATATTTACCTCCTGTTCTGCGGCTTTCCTTTCTCTAACAGAAGCTTTAGACAAATCCACTTTCTTCATAACATACTAAAATACCAGACGAAAACGGTGGAGAAAAAATGTAGTTAGTACCACACAAATTTGGCTTGAATCAAAGGAACAGAGCTCGCAAGTTCAGACGCTTTAATTTATCATGGTAGAATCAAAATGCCGGAGAGTAGTACTTGAATATAAAACGCTGCATACTACCTGTTTTTTATCTTTTCTGTGTTTCACAAGGTATACTTCTCCATAGCTCCCTTTACCGATAACCTTGCCAATGGTATAATGATCAAAAGGCATATTGGTCGATGAGATGTTCGTTTCATAAATTCAAGTTGTAATAAGCTCACGATTGTTCCAACATCATCGCACGACACGACAAGCCTTCAACCTCAATACTTTATAGGTCCAATTACGCCACCGTTAGCCATTGGAACTGGAGGTTCAGCAGAACGTAATTTAACCCGAAAAACGTCCCTGCAAATTTACAAGCAGACGGGTTTTTACGGACATTTTGGAAATTAAAAGTCTACGCGTCGTCTGTAACTATGAGAGCAATGATGCTTTGCGCCGCGAAGATGAGTCATCTCAAGATTTTGCAGGGGACTGGGAATGATAAAAGTTTGTCGTCACGCAACGCTCCAAAAAACGTAGCAGACTCTGTGCGAATTTTTTTTTTTTTTTGCAATTACCAAAACTTCAAATTGTTATTTTGGTCAGAAAGGAGAATTCCGAAGAGGTAAAAAAGGAACAAGAAGGACAAATATTTTTAGGAGATAGATCTCATACGACTGTTTTGTAGTGCTAGCTTGCGAGCCTCAGCTTCCCCAACCCCATACCCCTGGGGAGAGCTAAAAATTTAGATCGGACTCCACGAACAAAAACAAGAGTTCAACTTCCAGCTAACTTTTGTGCAGGCTGCAATGACAAGCAGCAGTATGAATTGGCCAAGCAAAAACGAAAATTTCTATGTTAATTATCCCCTGCCAAAAAACAAAAGAAAAAATTGTCACACTGTAACCCTAGTACCAGTCTAGTACCTAGCCTGCGTTGCAGCCGGCCCACGCACTCGTCAAAACCATTTGTATAGAAGGTTTAGGTCTGCGACGCAGGCAATCTAGTACCCAGCTCAAAGAGAAAAGCTTTTGAAGCAGGCAAGGCCATTGGAGACAACAAGTAGTAAAACCTATATACAGTATAAGCTCTATTTAATTTTAATTAAAAAACAAGGTTCAATATACTAGAGCGACTTGGTTTTTACAGCATCGGACCATAGTTAATTGAGTGGAATGGTTATGAAACCCGTTAGACTCCTTTGTTATATGTTTTTTGTGGACCGGCACAACCTTCAATATTATTTTCTTTGACCAATAAAAACGTTGCATTAATTTTTTGTAACAATTTGCCAACAGAAAACAAAGGATTGTGCACTTTCACGGTACTTCCAACATAAACTGCAGCACTGTTGTTTTTATCATTGATGTTTGCCGCTTTTCATAACCAGTCTCCTCTAATAACTATGATCGGACCAATATATCTTTAATACCAAGTTTGGCATTTTTGTCTCACTTCGACCTAGCAAAAAGGCGTAAAATGTCAACTTTAGAACGTGAAGCGGGCATACTCAAGGGAGGTAGTTGCTCGCTACTCGCGAGACTACTGGTGGTTAAACACCCAAGAAGAATGCGCACTGCATTGTGCACTACACACCCCCTTTGAGATTGTCACGCAAGATCGGCGCCATTAACGAAGGAATCGAAGATCACAAAGAAAATATAATATACAACTGAAACGAAACAATGCATTGAAAAAACAGGCGCATCTGGTCAGACATCGAATAACGAATGATACGCCGGCGGGTATGTACAAAACTTCTTTCTGTCATTGATTCATTTCTTGTCATTATCCTCGGCTTCTTTGATTGTCGTAATTGTAGCAAGAGCTCCGAACAAATATGTTGGCACAACATCTTTGTTGTTCACTTTTATATCCCATGTTGGGTACAGCTGAAAAGCCGGCCTATTGATCACTCCGAGGGTCGTACCTTTGGAATCTTTCAGAGTTATTGTTTTGTCAAATTCAAATCGAAAACTATTTGTGCGTGCAACTTCCACGTCATTTGAATTCTTGATTATATAAACCACTTTGGTTAGTCCAGAGCCGCTCCAGCTGTATTGTATGTGATAACTTGTGGAGTTAGTCTTCCACTGCTCTTCAATGTCGTACTTAACAGTTAAAGTCCAAGATTTCTGCTTAATTACCACCGCTATCTCTTCTTTCTCGTTCAGCATGTACACGGTCCACTGCTTCAAACAAGACACACACTTCCTTGCATGGCCGATCTCATCTTTGCCATTTGGCGACAAATAAACCATGTCGTTATAGATGTTGATACCTTTTGGTCGTCTGGCGAGGTAGTGAGTTGGAAGTTCATACTTTTCAGTCGCGTACTTCAGGTTTTTTTCAGCCTGATATTTCTTGACGGTGAGACCAACAACAAGACCGATTATTAGAATAATCACTACTAGAATTGCACCAACACAAGCTCCTGCCCTGCTGCACACGAAATCCTTAAAACCCATTTTTTTCTTACAGTTCCGTATTTCCTCTGTGAAGGAACTGTAAGGAGTTTGCTCTACCTCCGTTGTTTCTACACTGTATGGAACACCTCCTTTCGCTGTCCTCTCAACCCAGGCTCTCAACCGGAATGAGTTTGACGCACAAAGCGGAAATGTAGCTATTTTCGGAGCAATCTCATCCCAGTTCCCACAAAATTTTCCACGCTCATAGTTCCCGCGTCCACGCGCGACAACTTTGAAACCAGAGGGACTGGTGTTAGTGCCGATAAATTTCCAAAAAGTTGCCGATAGTTGGTAAGAAGTTGCTATTTTATTTTTAAAGTTGCCGAAAAGTTGCTGAATTTCGAAAATTCGAAAATTGCCGAGTAGTTGCTATTTTTTTACTTGTTTGCGCTTGAAGTTGGTTTTATTGCGGTTTTTACACTCCGGATTCGTCTACATTTTTCTCTCTCGAGCTATTTTAGCTTTTTCGGGGGTAGCAAGATTTTCCCCCAGCCTTTTAGGAATTTTAGCTTCCTCAGTGACTCTTCCTCAGTAGGATTAATCGGGCCTTCCGTCACTGACAGTGTTGTCCGCCACCTTGACAAACGTGTCGTGATACCTAAAATTGAAGGCAAGGCGCCTGATCGGACAGCTAAGGTTTACAAATTTATTGACCCAATATTTCGACTAGACAAAAGTAGTCTTCGTCAGGGGCTGGAAAAGCTAAGTGAGAATAGAACAAACGCTTATAGCATATAAAATAATACAAAACTAAACAATAAAATGTGATTGGTGGAGGGATGCAATGGACAAAAACTTATATAAAGAGGTTAAATAAAAATATATGCCAATAGATTAAATTTCATCTCATTTGTTCATCCCATAGGGTTCAAGTGTTTTGCCTTTAGATATTAAAAATCCATCGCGGGCCTTACGGTTACCGTCCCTGTCTGAATTAATTAGATCTAATGGGATGAGTTCTATGTCCTTGATGGAATGATCTGGAAGGGAGAAGTGGTCTGAAACGGTGGTAGGATGATAAAAGTGATGTGGATTTCTGGCTTTTTCTATGGAGCGTCGGTGCTCTCGAAATCTGTCGCTGAGCTGGCGTTTAGTTTCGCCGATGTATTGCATGTTATTACATTTATTGCACTGGATCATGTCATGGGCTCCTGATCATGTAAATGAGATTGGAAGATGAACAGTAGATGTGGTGTCGGCAACCTCGTTCGTTGGAACTAGGTTGGTGGTGTCGGATGCGTCGCTGTTCGTTGGTAGAGAAGAAGGTGTAAGACGTGGTTCCTTCCTTTCTTCATGTGATACCGCTGACCTCATGAACAGGCGTGCAACACCAAGCTGGCATTGGTAATCGGGCCAGTGCTGGAGTCCACATACTGACACAGTAGTATAAACCAGTTGAATTTTGCTGACTTTTCTTTCAAAAGCTAATAAATATAGCGAAAAAAGTAAAAAATAATTTAAAAAATGCTAAAAAAATGAAAAGCTGCGGAGCAACTTGTGGCTATAAAGTCCAACTGATGTAACCACAGGTGACCCAAGCTTTATGAGTCTATTGAACTTACGTAGTTTATCACTGTGCTAGACGCCATCTGTTTGGGGAATGACAGAGAGCCTGTTCACAGGCTACGTAGCTGGCAGGATGTTTTTTGTTTTTTTGTTTTGTTTTTGTTTTTGTTTTTTGGTTGCGTTGCCTTCAGCTTTTGTTGTCATAGTAACAGTTATAGTTATAGTCATATGACCTAGTGCCCAGTAAAGCGCCAAACTCAAAACACCGAATGCAATATGACGGCCGGTAGTGTTTTTGTAGGGCTTGTTATCCCATGTCTTTTGCTATGGTCTACTTCAGCTTTTGATTCAGCTAGCACTGATTTCCGACGAGGTGATTTTGAGATTATTAAAGAGGACAAAATACTAGTCGGAAAATCAAAATTGGAGGAATTCATGGCGAACGCAAGAAGAAGCGATTGCTGGAAGAAAGCCGTGGCAGGAATGGAGAAACGATGCAAGAATATCGGAGATATAGAGCAAAGTTATCTCGCTATTGAGTTCACAAATTGTCATCTGTCTAAGTCGGGGAGAAAGCTGTATTCGTGTTCAAGAGACACTCAATCGATTGAAGAATGCACTGGCAAAATGGACGATACCACGTATCTTGCTTACACGACATTTTTCACTCACACGGCAAATATTTGTTTCTACGTGAAAAGCGAGCTTTGGCAGCAAAGAACGGAAGATACGATCTCAAGACTATCAAGGACTTCTCAGGATGTCGCGGCTCAATTAGAGGATTCTTCTCAAAAGCAACGTTTGGTCCTGGAGAATCAGAACACCTCGCTGAAAAATCAGAAGAAAATAATCTCAAATGAAATCCATTTAGCAGAAACGCTGAGAAACTCTACACTGAACGCCAAAAAAGCTTTTGAAGACATGAAGCAAAACGCTGTAGAACAGAAGAAAATCTTTAGTGAAACCTTTGACAGTGTCTTCAAAAGTGTCGAGAGAATTCAAAAGCTTCAGTCAATGATTCTTGGGGAGTTTATTAGTTTGCAGTCTGTAGCATTTTATGTTGCTGCTGTTTGTACTTGCTATTTCTTGTCCAGCACACCACGAACTGCAGGAGCAAGACTTCCACTTTTCATTGCATTGCTTGTGCTCATTTTTCTTGAGCGCTTGGTGGCATCTTGGGGAGTGACAGATACCCAGACATCGCACACAACGGTAAATATCTTTACCAGGATACAATATATTGTATGGAGTGTATCTTAAGCGGGGGAGGGGTACTCTGTGATTTGAAAATGACGGGGATTCTTGTTGTCTCACTTAGACTTAAAATTGCAGATTTTGGTCTCACGTAGCAGTGGCAGATGCAGACCTTCAGATAAGTGGGGTGGGGGGCGGTCATCCAGACCTGAGATATGGGGGGTGTCTCCAAAAAAATTTTCTTCGCCCCTTCAGGCCTTAGTTTGATCTAAAAATAAGGGAGGCCCCCTCCCCTGGATCCACCACTGCTTAGAGTGATCTGGGTAGAAAGCTAGTATTGCTACCCACAAAGGTATTACTTTGAAGTTGTGGTTTACAAAATATCTATAAGTGAAATGCAAATGCTGTCATGCTGTGTTGGAGTATTGTCTCCTTTAGGGATCCATTTCTAAATTCCTAATGAGCATCCCTGTCTCCTTTATTTGGGAGTCCCCCCTGGGCATAGTGTTTGTAACTCACAAGACACACTTGTTTTCCTACCAGATGCTTTGCTAATTTTCATGAGTAGCACCTCAAAAAATTAATTTGTTAGTTAAAAATGAAAGTTTACCAAAACATCTCAGAGGCCGTCTCAGAGGTAAAATAACAAGTAAAAATGTACCTCCAGTCCTTATAAATCAGAGTATGGCCTGTGCAAAGCAAAGTATAGCCAGTTCTTTTGTGCCAACCTGAATACTACTAAGATATGCAAGCTGGTTGATTTGCCTAAAAGAACCATGATTAGCGAACCTAACGTGGTATTTTTGTCTTCTTTAGGAAGCTATTCATGCAAGTCTTTGGGTCTGTAGGAAATTGTTTATCATTGTAGGGGCTGCGATGCTCATTGTGGCAGGATATCAGTATCAAGACTACAACAAAATCAACTTCAACTTACTTCGCGAAATGCAGATTCAAATAAGGGACATGCAAAGATGGCAGGAAAAGGTCAATGGCTTGAAGGCTATTGCAGCTGGAGAGTCATCGAACCAGCTGCTTGGAAGGTAACACAAGGTTTAAACAATAACAGCACAAATTTTCTTCAAAGCATCACTTTTTGTAAAAACCCCTTTAAAAAATCTGTATTTTCCCAAACGATGTCTGCTAATTGAGGGTAGGAAGATGGAGAGGGTTGCTTAATTTGCTTTGTATGGGATTCACAGTGGTTCTTTTTTCCCATTAATTGCTGCCTATCTTCATGGCAATGTGAGAATTTACTTACAAGATGGCAGTATATGTATAACAGTAATCTTTTAACAATGTCTTAGTTTTGCTTTGCGTCATTTTCCTCACTTATATGTGTTGTCCGTGACTGTGCTCACCCGGTGGGTGGCTCCTCCTAAAATGTTCTGCAATAATATATCGCTATATAGGATTTAATGGAGCCGAAACCAATTGTGGAATTGCACGCATTTTAGGCATCCTACTGATGAACAGTTGGGACACGTAGATATTTTTTTAGCAACTACTATAATTTGCAGTCTGTCTACTTTGAATTGTACAGCTTAGTTTAAAGAAGATTAGCCATAGCTTTATCGAGTTTGCAAATAATATTTATCATTCATTTGCTACACAGCCTATCCCAACAAAGCATTGCTTACCAAAGCTCATATCACAGCACATCACATGACACCCCAGATGCCCCCTTATCATCACAAAACCTAGATGATGATGATGATGATGATGATGATGAGTCAGATCCTAGTTTTGTTCTCAATGATTTTGAACTCGAGAGTTTCTCGGAGGAAAGTAGTGAGGAGGAAGATGATGAGATGACAAACGACAGGAAAAGTACCTCTGAACTACAAACACCTGTTACCAAGCGGAGATCAAAAGGGACCCCAGGGACTGCAAATTCATCAACATCCAGAAAAACAGGAAGCAAAGAGTGGGTAAGGCAGAAAAAGGAAATGGTGGTTAAGGGAGCTAGTGTAAAACCTTAAGAAGTAAATTTCCATGATCATGAATCAAAACTCGTGACTGGAAGGGCTCAAAAAAACACATGAATTCCAGCTTGTCCTTTGGGCAAAAAGCTCTCAATTTCCTAGCTCGGGCCACTTCTTGCTTGTCTTAGCTAATGATTTTGGCTTGTCTGTACCCTTGCCCATTGGGAAAGGGCACTTTATAAGTTACCTGCCCAGCAAGAAAATCTAATTGTCCCAGACTAGGGGATTGGACTTTTTTGAGCCCTGACTTATTATTTTTCTGCCACAGATTCTGCACATTGCATACAACACAACCATAATTTGTGACTTTACCCAAGTGGTGTGCATAAAATTCAAATTAAAACCTTTTTGTCAGCACGTTTGCATGGTTCTATTTGTTTTCACTACCTTAAATATTTTACAAAAAAATTTTTTGGGAAATTTAATTTCTTAAACGCTATTTATTTTGATGTTAGGTGCCTCAGTCAAGTCCATCTCACCAATACAACTTACGCTCCAGGAGAAACACCCCTTCTTCAGATCTGCAGAGTGGCAGTTTCCTTGGTAACATGCCATCACCATCCAAGCTGAAGGAACTGTTATTAAATGTACAGCAGAGGTCTACAAGACGCTACACTGCTGTTATCCGTAAACCGAGAGAAAATAGCTCTAATGACACGCCTTTGTTTTCCTCGGATGAAGAATGTTAAAACCTTCATATTTTTATGGCACTTTCTAATAATTTTTTGACACGTCAATCCGGATTTTGCATTTTTGTTAAATAGTATTTTATGCTGATGTCAGCGATCTTCAATTTTCATTGATGAACAATTTTTAGAAGCTTTCCACTCTGCTTTCTCTCTTGTTATTGTTGCTAATGTTGTTTTTTTTTTAGGTTTTCTTTTTTGTAATTCCTTCTTTGTAATTCATTGCCATTTCGCTTATCCCTTTCTCAGGTTTTATTCGCATGTTTATTGTAGTGTAATTGCTTTGTACAGAATAAAGAGTAACAAACTTGCCTGCATTTTTGTTGATAGATAACTCCTGACTCTTTTAAGCATTTTACAACTACCCTCACTAAATCTGAAGAAAAAGAGGGACTGCGGGCTCGCAGTCCAGCTTAGTGAAGCATCCATCCTCAGACTGTGACACGTAATTGACAGTTATCCTGTTATTCCTGGCTTGCTTCAACGGTCAACTAAATGTATGCAAAACTGAAAAGAGTTTTACAATTCAAAAACTTGAATCATTCGATGTAAAGTACATGTTCGTTATTTCAGCCCACTTCAATTAGCGTTATTGTCGTCTTTTTGCAAATTGAAAAGATCAAAGTCAATTTGAACTCATTCGGCAGACCTTTTCTTGGCCTTTAATTACGGTTCGTTCACGTTCCCACACGTTACATCTTCGTGGTAAATGTCTTGTACATAACACTCGAAAACGAGCGGAAATTGTCAAAAATTAAATGATTATTTTGAAGTAGCATGGCTCCGGCTGTCAAAGAAGCCCAAACAAAGCGTCAAAAAGGCCGTCTACTATCAAGGTGCTCGTTGAACAAATTAATCGCGCTAATGAATGTGAAGAATAAGATTTTAGCTCAATTGTTGACTTAATCCTTTGCACTTCGGTTGTCTTTGTGCCGCCCCAAGAAACACGTCAAAGGCAAAAGATTATAGAGAGCAAATAATCAGTATGCTAATGTTTTAAGTTCCTTTGTACTGAAAATGTAACCATGGAAGGTGAAAGCTCTTAGGAAAACTAAACTCAATAAGCCGGCGGCTAGCGTCTCCAAGCGATATTCTCGTTCTCATGTCGGCCCTAGCGGTCAATAACTCTCCTTTTCAACTTCTCCTTCACGACATCGGAAAGGAATTGAAGTTAAGTGATGTTCGTTACATGAAATATCTTCTTCAAGGCCATGTTAACAAGGAGACTTTAGAACATCTTGACTCGGGACAGGAGCTCACGAGGGTTCTCCAAAAAAGAGGCTTGGTTTCAGAGAAGAAATTAGCGTTTATGAGAAAGCTCTTAATTGAGGCCAAGTGTTTAAAGCAGGTGAACTTAGTGGACGAATTCAGGGAAAAGTTCAATTCTGTTTCTATAGTCGGTAAGTGACAAGTTTTAATTGATGTCATTACATTCTTTAACAACTAGCCTGTTTGTCAGGTCGGAGCACTGTCAGAGGGTGGAAAAAATCTCGCCTTTTATTCGCGTTTACTGCAGAATTTGATTTCAGGAAATCCAGAAAATAAAAGAGCGTGGTGATTAGTGTTTAGACTGAAATGATTACCGCTTGAAGCTAAATATATTTATCTACTGTAATCTTCTTATTGAAGGTGATGTGACGCGTGCAGCTCTGTAGAGTAAATTGCATCTTCGTTGACGCCTTAGCTGCTAAATTAATCACCAACATGGTTATTTATTTTCCTTTTCCCCCCAAATATGCTTTTAAATTGTTTCTGTTACTCGGCTGCTGTTTGTTTGCTTTTTGACAAACATCACTTGTCAAGGCAGAAACTCAGTTTGAAAGCCGCATAATAAAAGTTTTCCAGACTTCCAGTTTCCAATTTGCCTACAAAGTAACCGCACTTGTTAAGTTTAGAATACTCCAAATTCTTTATTATGCCATCGGTAAAGATCAGTTACACGTGTGTTTGTTCATTTGTCTGTCGTGCCTCGCATCAGTCTGTAGTCCTTTGTTATCAAATATCATCATTGTCATTATTATTATTACAACCATTATCGTCTTCACCATCATCATCATTATCATCATCAGATTACAATTAATGCCCGAAAGTATCACTCCAGAAAAACTGTCCACAACCTTCAAATTCTCAGGAGCTTATAAACCGGGAGTGTCCAATTCCCATACTTAGCCTATGCAACGGCGTTTTCACAGATCAATTTTTTTAAGAATGATTTCGAGCACTTTTTCTCTCGAAAATGGGAGCGAAAATGGAAGCATCGTCCCGTACAAAGAAGAAGAAGTAAATACTATCAAAATACTAGATACAGTCAACTCTCTCCAAGGCAGACACCTTTGGGACCGGCACTAAGTGTCCGTCTTAGTGAGATGTCCGTCTTATAGAGAGTCAAATAAAGAGAATAAACAAAGGCAGGGACCAACTCTAGGTGTCCGTTTTACAGAGGTGTCCGTTAAGAGAGAGTCGATCGACTGTATACTTTTTTTTCTCGGCTAGTCTCCGGTATTTGATGACTGATTTGTAAGAGTTATTTGATAGTCAAAATTCGCGGGAAAATCGATCTAATAATAAGCTGGTCTGTGTAAACACCGTTGCACAAGCACAAGGGAGTCAGGCTCACTCCGCCTTATGGGCTCCTGTATTCTATAGTTTTTTGTTCTATCAGGTTTCTCTTGATTTGCCTGGTTATGTTAGTCAAGTTCACTCCATTGATTAAAGTGTGTTATTTTAAAACTTCTCCTTAGGTGAACGACAGCAGAGCAATAGAGCATCCAGATTGAACAACAGGCGTGAAACACTTCTACGCATGATCGAAAGTCTGGAAAATGAAATTAAAGTGTGTGAAGATGCCGAAACAGAATTTTCCAATCAGATTAAAGAATGCGAAGTGCAAATCCATGCCAACAACCAAAACCTGGTCGGAGTTGAGGATGCGATTCAAAACTTAAAAAATAACATTGTTGAATATGAGGCCGATATAGAATCGTTTGAGAGAAAATTGGAGACTGTACGTTTCTTCATGAAAAAACGACAAGTGGAATTTGACAAAGTCAAACAGAAACTTGATGCAAACCAAAACAGTGCAAGCATCAAAAAAGAATTGAAAGAAAGGCAAGAAGAATATGAAAATTCCAAGAGGAGCGAGGATGAGCTTATCGCGAAACATCAACACGCTTTGGACATGGTAAGAACAACGCATGTGGAGATCAGACACAAAACACAGGACGCAATTAATCTTGAAGATGACATATACGACTTGTTGATGCAGGTACGAGTGCTTAAACAAAGCACGAGAAAACATCAGAGGACTTCAACGGAGTTACAAGAAAGACTTGAGAATCTTTCGCTTGAGCTTGAAGACACAAGGCGTTTGAAACCCTTGACTCCTTTCTCGAGACCCAGGACTGAATTTTCGTTACGCTGTGAAACTGCCAACGAGCCACAAACAACAAGAAGACTGGAGTATAAGGTATGTAACAGATCACAAAGAACTGAAAGAAAGAGAGCGCGGATATATACGACACTTGAACTGGAAATCCCAAACCTAACTTCATGTTATGAAGTGATATGACTTTATCGCATTGTTAGTTAAAGTAAGTAGGACACAGTTTGGTGGGGTGATTCTGATCAGTCCCCCCCCGTACCACTGTGACCACCCAATATTCAAAAAGGAGATGCGACTATTTATCTTTGACATTTTTCCTAGTTTTACTTAGTCTTACATTTTTATTTCTTTACTTTTTGCTATCTTTTCTATATTGTAAAGGTTTTAGACTACGAAGAGGTTACAGAACGAGAATCAAGGGTAGTTGGCCGAAAAGGGAAACGTGTAAGTCCACCCCAATTCCAGTTTCCTGTGAGCGTTGCCGTTGATAGACTAGGAAATGTTTACGTGGCTGATTATGGCAACGCGCGTGTTCAAATCCTGGATCTAGATGGTCATGTGACACGGGAACCACTTAACATAGGCGGGAAATGTCGACCATGCGCCCTGGCGGTCAGTCTGAGAGGAGACCTGGTAATGACCGACTCACAGATTTTAAGGGTGTTTAGCAAAGCTGGTAAGTAGGTTGTTGTCGTTGTTTAGTAGAAAAGAGTTCAGACGCACAGAAATGGTTGGGAGCATATAACCATGAATGTGAAACGTTATTTCTTTTCCAGCCATGCAGGTTATACTTTTTCTCTCCTCAGTCTCACTCGAGTGCGATTCATCCCTTAGACCGCAGAACATAGTTGCTCATGATTGAACTTGTAGCATTGGGAAACCCTGGATGATAGAGGATTGAAAAAAGAACAACTCTCAAGAAAATCTGTTGTGAATTTTTAGAACCAAGAACGAGAAGTCCAAAGACTACTGAAAAGCTGATTTAAAACAACGTGTATTGTTTTTTATAACAATATTTCGGCTGGCCATACCAGCCTTCTTCAGGTTTACAGATGTTACTGAACTTATGTGGCAATAACAATATTATATAGATGGAGAATGTCGCAATAAAAGGGAGAGGCGGAAATGACGTACAACATAAAAATACTAAGGATATGGATTACAATAATTCGTCACGGCCGTTTAGGCCATGAGGTTCAAGAGTCATTGCCTTATCTATCAAATGCGACTCCCTGGCCTTACGAACTGAGTCACTTGAAGAATGAATTTTCTCTAGTGGGATTAACTGCATGTCAGAATGAGAATGGTTAGAGTGAGAGAGAAAGTGTTCAGAAACAGTAGTGGGTTTAGATTTAATGTTAGTTTTGTTGACTGCACGTCTGTGTTCGTGTGAATTTTTAGCTCAATCGCTGTAAGTGCGCTACTAGCTATGCTCTTTCAGAAGTGACGAGACTTCGCAGATAGAGGGATTGTAGAAAAACTAAACGGAGTGTAAGAGATTCAGTACAAGCCCCTTGTAAATTCATGGTCACCAGTAGCTGTGGGCGATACTGCAGTATGGCTTTGCGCATGTGTGTAATACTGACCTCCCAGATCAGTTGAGATCAGAACAAACAGTATTTTTTATTATTTCTTCTTACAGGTGAACTTCTTCGACCAATTTTACCCGTCTACAGTAAGAACGACAAACGACCAGAGCTGAGCGCTGTTGCATTTGATATCCAGGGAAATATCTACGCTGCTGACAAAGCGAATAACAGGATACAAAAGTTTACTTTCGATGGGAACTTTCTATACTTTATCGGTGGACTACACGACTTACACTGCCCCATGGGAATTGTTGTTAAGAGAAACGGTGAAGTCATCGTAACCGAATACGAGAATCACCGAATCAAAGTGTTTAGCCAAGAGAACCTAGGACAGAGTATTACGATTGGCGCGGTGGGGTGGGGTCGGGAAAGTTTTCTTGCCCAAGGGGAGTGGCACTTGATCAGCATGACAACATCGTGGTAGCTGACAGTCAGAACCACAGAATTCAAGTGGTTTCTTCAACTGGTGAACCTCTGGGGACGTTCGGAATGATTGGCTCAGAACCTGGATATCTTGATACCCCGTATGATGTTGCCATGGATCCAGCTGGGAATATAATTGTAGCTGATGCAAAGAACCATAGGTTGCAGGTTTTTACTCGATTAGTGCCTGTTTATACAGAGCACGCCACGTATGAAGAGGAGTATGAGGCTTCGGTAAAGAAAGAAAATAGCGATGAAGTAGTGACGAACAATTCTGATGAAGATCGGCTCCAATTTTGCATCGATGATCTCGTTGGCTTACCTTCTGAACCTCATGAAAGTTCTAATCGAGACAGTGATCAGAAAAATAAAGACGCAAATCTAGAGACTAGAAGCGTAAGGGTCAAAGAGAAAAGCTTAACCACTGAAGACTGCAGTGACGAGCCACTAGTGAAAACAAAACAAATTTGTGAGAAAGGAGACACTAACAATAATGTTGTAGAGTTTGCGTAAATGTTAGTTACTACTCATGATATTTTTTAGTTACCTTTAATCTAGAAAATTATTTTTTTTTTAAGTAACGTGGCCAATTTATTTTCCATTTCGTTACAAAATTTCTGTCAAGCAACCAAGATCTTAGTTAAGAAATTACATTTAGAAACAATTCTATTGCAAGCAGTATTAGGGCATTCAATTTTAAGTACCCATTTTATCTTTGATGCTGGCACCTACAGGTAATCAGTATTTTCTCTCCAACCGTCAGCCGTGTAGTTTTTAACAAAAAAGAATTTACTCTTCTTCCTAACACGAGAAAGGAACCACTATCAGAATCCGAATCGCTCTCCAGTTAATTGTTAAGGTTACAGTTTTCCATTGGAACTTTTGTACTTCACTGAGTTGAAACTGAAACCAAACATAAGACAGTTTCAATGCTCACAGTTGCGTCGGCTCTTTACCTTGAGAAACCTGTGGCGATTTGATTGAAAGAGATATTCGCACGGTATGATTTTAAACAGCAGCATATGCAAAGATACAAAAACAACAAAACAGTATTCTAATACAGTCAAACTGTTTCCTTCATAAGCCCCTCTACTATTGCTTAACTGCGTGCAAACGAAAGTACAGGGCTATCCTGGACCGACATTTTTGATCACATGACCCTCAAAGGTATCAGGTGTCCTTTTCAGATGCGTTCTCTTCGTCGGACAGCCAAGGCTCTTGCTGGAGCTGTTCCACTGTTATTCTCTCTGCTAAATTCCATTGTAGCATTTTGTGAATAACGCCTTTGACTGAATCAGGTACTTTAACCTTGGAAGGGAAGTTCACTCTGCGGTGAACCTGCTGCAGAAGGCTCCGTAAATTGGAGTCATCAAAGGGAAGGCGGCCACAAATCATGGTGTATAGAATCACGCCCATACTCCATACATCCGCAAGTGTCGCGTCATAAGCTATACCTAAATAGATGGCAAACAATAGAACAGTTTGTTGTCTAAATCCAAGCAAACCACCCTCTGTACCCAAAATGATCTCGCTCTCTCTTGAGGATGTTTCAATTTGCTATTTTGTTTAATCTCAAAACTTTACCAAGACCTAATTAGAACACACTTGCAGTCCGTTGTTAGAAGTGAGAACACGTAACTAGTGCCAAACATGAGAAAATGCCAGCAAAATCGCAGAAAAGTAAAGTAAAAAATTTATTTACCCTGCAGAAATAAATCAGCAGGACAAAGTATTGCTGGTAAAAACACTTGTGTAACAAACTTTAAACGTATCTAATCTAAAAACATGAGAAAAGCTAAAGCACGGGAAAGAATACAAAGCAATTGCCAAGCGCGGGAACATCTGCGTGTAAGCGACAACACGTGTCGCAGGAGAGAAAAGATAGCAACACTTATTTGGGGCGATAAAGCAAACAACTGTGAATTGGAATCGCTCCCGGAATACATCCGGGGTCAGTTCTAGCATTAAATCTGTCGAGTTACTAGTTCATCATGGGTGAATTCTAGGCTTTATGTCTGTTTCTCAAAATTCTGTGGTAACGTTTATGATGTCGTATGCACTTGTTCTCTCTAGAGAACTGAAATCGATTTAAAGAAAAGTACTTGAAACTGTTAAAAGGTATATATAAGCAGGACTGTGGTTAACATCAGAAACAAGACAAGGCAGCTAGTTGCGTACAGGTTGACGCTTTTCTAGCTCTTGTCAGTGGTGGGATGACCCCGCTACAGACCCCACTAGCTATTTCCATTTCTGGTTGCAGCTTTTCCTACTTTTATATGAAAGATTCTCCAGGGATGTCGGTCTGCCAAAGGGAATCATCTTAGCTTGAGAGCATACATGGTCGAGTATTAGGGCATGTATAGACACAACCTCGTTCCTAGGGTTCTCTCCTACCCGTCCCTAGAGAGAGAGAGAGGGAGGGAGGGAGAGGGAGGGAGAGAGAGAGAGAGAGAGAGATGGACGGGTAGGAGAGAGAATCTGGGAACAACGTTGATATAGACACAAAGTTGCGCGCGTGTGAATTTTGTAGGTAAAACGATGGATGGAGATAGCCTCCTCCGCAACCGTCTCTAAAGACCGAGAGGAGTCTGAGGACGAGAAAAAGAGAAAAGATGTGGTGGAGTTGCCATCACTGTCATTCCCTATTCTCACACTCGTTCTCTAAAACAGGACAGTGATGCCCGCGGAAGAGGCTAGGGTGGAGAGTTGATTTACTTGCGCCAACCAACACTGGTTTCCCCACCAAATGACGTCTGAGAAACGAGCGCAGAAATACCATACTGATGACGCGTCATTACCCAGGTCTGGGTAGTGCTTCTGATTGGTCGTGCCGCGTGGGAAATTTGATTCAACCAATCAGAAGCACTACCCAGATCTGAGTAGTGATGTAGTGATGCGTCATCGGTATGGAATGGAAACCAGTAGTGGCGTTGCCAAATGTCGGCTGTTTTCTCAGGCTAATCTTGCACGCACACACGAGTTTTTTTCTTGCTCAGGTGATGACTGGCTTACAAGCCTTTAGCAGAAAAGCAGAAAAAGATAGGAGTATCTAAATACAAAAGCCCATAAATAAGTTAACATTATGAAGTACACTACCTTTTAATATTTCAGGAGGTGCATAGGCATAAGAACCACAGTAGGTATGACAAAGCTTCCTTTTCCCTGTTGCCGAGGTCAGGTTGTCTCGAGCAAACCCAAAATCAGATATAATAATGTTCTTGTCTTTATCCAATAAGAGATTTTCACATTTCAAATCTCTATGCACTACATCTTGACTATGCACGTAGGTGATTCCTTTAACTAGTTGTCTAAACAAATGCTTAACAGTTGTTTCAGGTATAGCACCATTCTTTCTTATAAACTCCAGCAGATCTCCGCTCTCGGCCAAGTCAGTGATGATGTACATTCGTGTGTTTGTCTCGATAACTTCTATGAGTGTAATGACATGTGGATGGTGTAATCTCTTCAGCACCTTTATCTCACGCGGAAGAAATTTGGATAGAAAATCCTCCGGCGCCTTCTTCTTGCATATTATTTTCACAGCAACGTTTTTTTTGTGCCTTCTAGAGTATGCTTTTCTCACCACCGCGTAGGATCCTTTACCAAGAATATCTCCCAGTTGGTAACCGTAACGCTCAAGCAAGGCGGTTACACCCGCGAGAGGATTCTCCACTCGACTTGTGCTCGATTCAACTTTTTCATTCTTTTCTGACTTTGCTGTTGTGTCTGAAGTCGGCTTTGATTCTTCCCCCTTTTGCGTGGTCTGATCTTTGTTGTCAGACATTTACGTTTTACCATTTGAGAAGTTCTTTTTGTTTTCTAAGGAGACATTCTAACCTTCGTCTTGATCTTATTCGCTCTCAAAAATATAATTGATTCCTAATTGCATTTATTATTTCTATGACGTAACGCTCCATCAAAACGGTGTAATTTAAATTATTAGCTAAAATTTAATTTACGGCGCTAATGGACTCTCTCGAAAAAGGAGACAAACTCTTGACAACATTTTGAAAATCAGCTCTCAAGTTTTACAAATTTTCCCGCCAATGTTTCGTTGAATTGAAACCATAGTAACTGGACATGCGCGATGCACGCCAGAAGAGTCACAGACATCGCTCCGTTTATTCCAATAAAAAAAGACGCAGACAAACTCAAGAAAAAGAGCAAGAAACACGCGAAGTCGTCCAAGAAAAGCTCTAAAATGAGCAGTCCACGAGGACATAAGCCTCAGCAGCAATCAAAGGGGCCAAGAACAGAGCTAGACTACGAAATCGAGCGACTAAAAGCAGAGATTCAACAAGAACGACAGATGAAGTGAGCCAAAAAACTTGAATTAAGTTCTGCAATTTGCTTCGATTTATGTGATCTGCTTTAATTTCATATTCTTATACCCCAATGTTAAGTTAACCGTTTGTTTGGTCTTTTGATTAAAATTTAAACAGGAAGTGTAGTTTACAGCAAGTAGTTTAATCAGCTTTAAGTGTTGCCCGATTATTTCATGCTTCTTCTTCTTCTTCGTCTTATTCCATTACTTGGCTCCATCTTTAAAGATGATTTTTCCATGCTTAAGTTATATAGCTTCTGTTTAAAAAAAATTATAAGCTTAACTGCTATTTGCATACAATAATATTGTTCGTCTTTATTGCTGGGAAAGAATTTATGCCTGTCTTTTACTCTTATGGGGTTCAAGTAAAAGAACACAGCGTCCGATAGCAAGATCTAGACCTTCATAAACTAAGTTATAATTTGAAGTAACATTGGCTCTTTAAAATGTACATTCGAGTATAGTTAACTGTTCATTTGTCTTTGATAGGGAAATGTTAGAACAGTCTTCAGGTGAACTTGACAAAACTATTGCTGATCTGGAGGAGAAAAGTAACAATGTGGAAGATGAAGGTACTAATTATTATAAACATAACTATCCTAAATTAACCTGACAGTGTCATTGATTAAAACATTTAATTCATTCTGGCCGAGATTTTCTAGGTTACCTGATGTCCTATTTAAACAACAATGATGACATTATTTACTATATATCATTATGAAATAATTTTAAATGGAGTAAGGAGTAGAATAGTCAGTTCGTGTGCAGCCTTCTGTCCTGAAGGTTATGAGTTTGAGTTGTAGGTAGATTCAACTTCTTTCCTTTTTAAAACAGCCGTAAAATGGAACACTGATGGAGACAGAGGGGAAAGGGGAGGTAAAAATATTAGCACACTGTTGGGCTCAAGTTTGGTAGTCTATTAAATGGGTATTGTTACGAGTTACCTACATGATATAATTAGAACCTTGGCTTTACTGTTATGAAAATCATATCATCCAATAATGGTTGAGTCTCTCTGAGGAGTATAGAATGGTAAATTTGAGCCTTTGCGAGACTGTGACCCCGGTTTCAAAATTGAAGACTGAGCTTCAAAAAAATTTGAGACACCAAGATGCAAAATCACCTTAAAACGCAGCTTCGAGACCTACCACAAACGCTTCCAAGATTTTGATGTAGGGCAAAAATTTTCCGGGGTGCATTTTTCAGGGAACCATTCTATACCCCTTCTCTGGTTAGCAGTTCACTTGTGCTGGGTTGAAAAAGCCTCGTGAGAATGGATGAAAAATTGATCATCATAGATGTGTGCGAGGTTAAATCAGAAAAGAAGCCTGGAAAAATTTCATGGAGTCACATGGATTTGAACCCATGACAGCTTCATTAGTGGGTGCAGTGAAGTCACTGTCATTAGGAGCAGGTCAACAAAGACACTGTAGATCTTGGGTCAATTTAATAAAACTTTTACAGGTGCAATTTACAATTGTAGCCATTGTTTTAGAGTCTAACAACAACAGCTACACTTGTAAATTACATGTGTAAAAGTTCTATTAAATTGACCCCTGGATGTCTCATTAAAATTTTTTTTTTTTTTTTATGTAGATAATGAATGGAAGACACGATTTGAGACACAGCAAGAAATGAATGACCAACTTGAAAAACAAGTTATTTTATTACGGGACAAACTAGGCCAGTTAAAGATTCCTTCCCGTGATGGTAAGCTTACTGCTGCCTTCTTCAGTGTATCATGTGTTTGCTATCATTTAGCAAAGTCAGTGGTGGTTAATGATATTTAGAAAAAAAAATAAGAAGCAAGTAATAATTTAGTACAACTCACACACAAGTGCAGTCGGAGGAAAAATCAAGTGCTGGCTTAAATGTATGCTTTGATTGTCATAAAAAATAGCAAAAGCAACTTTGATTGGCCAAAGGAATTGACGATTATTATTCGAACAGATTTATTCAGTAGCAAGCCACCAGCAGGGTTTATTTTGGGCCAGAAAGTTCCTGGAATTTTATTGTGGCATTTTCAAGACTTCACCAGATATATCACTATTGGGTGAATAAAAGTACGGTATGGAAACCAATGCATTATCCATTTGGATAGGGATCTATTCAGAGGGTAGCACTATCCAATAAGACTGGAAAGTCCCAACAATTGTTTGCAGGTTGTGGAAATATTTAAAGATAAAATGTTCATTTTCAGTGTTTAAAAACATTCTACACGAGTCATGAAAATTATTCCACTGAAACCTACAGCAGCATGTGTTGTGACTGCATCTTAATACATGTATGTGAAATTTTGCAGGGAAGCCAAGTAACCATCTCAAAACATACAATGGCTTATCAGATGTAAGTGCAATTTTTTTATTATTACGTAGAAAATATGCTCTTGCTATCATAATGTATTTGTACTTTGAGTAATTTTCAAATTCTACCCCATATCCACAATATGTATTGTAGTTAAAAAGTACAGGCTTTACTTCCATTGTATCCTGACTTGTCCACCATCAGGCAGAAATCAGAAAACTTATGAAACAGCTGGAGCGAGACAAGGTGGAACTTCAAGGACAGTTGCGTGATTTGGAATGGCGCTTAGACAATGAATCTAAGGTTGGTTGGCATTTTATCCTGTTTCTGTACTAGACAGACTTATCAAATCTCTGTAGCTAAGTACTAAAGGGTGAGAACATTATTAAGGATGAAGATTTCAATTATGGACAACAGCTGTACATCATCTTTGAGACAAATGATGAACAAATATTTTTTTTATTTATTTGGTAACTTCAGTTCCCTTTAATGTCCTCCATGTCTTTTTTTTAGGCTTACCATAAGATAAATGAAGAAAGAAAGAAATATTTAACAGAGTTGGATGAGGTCAGTCTATACATGTTTTTTCCTTTTCTGTGATTCAGTATATTCACAAAGCCATTTGAACAATGACTCTTGAAAAAAGCTTGGTAATGATTGTCTAGGCCATTGACTGTGAGATTTCTCACTTGATTTTTCCTAAATAACATCGTGAAACTTTAAAATGTTGGGACAGTACTTAAAAGTTTTAGTCCAGCTCTTTCCTGCCCGAACTTTGCAAAAATACAAGCTTAGGCCCAGTTCAGACGCCGAACTTTGCATGAGCCACCCTATATACTGATTAAGTACATGAAAAGTTCAGTGTCTGAATCAGTTAGGAACACCTATTTCAATTTGGAAGGGCTCAGCTGATCTTTTCGCCTAGCCCAGCTGGGAATTTTGCCTTTGGAGTGACTTTGGAATGGCTTTGATTCAGATGCCGAACTTTTCGTGTACCAAACCCAATGAATAAACTAGTATGACGAATTTTTTAAGCAGTTTGAGCCAAAACGAGCATTTTTCGCCTTTTGATCTTAGTTCAGCCACAATTAAGATTAGCGTCTGAAACAATTCAGCTGGTCTAAATAATTTGGGTAGGCCTTAATTTGAATTAGGTTCAGCTCATGAAAAGTTTGACATCTGAACCGGACCTTAGTAACAGTTTATGTTTACATACTAGTGTAGTTTCACTGCTCTTCCAAGCTTTGTGGTCATAGTTTTGTTAGTTTGGCAATGTAGCTTGCTTTAAGGATGCCCTTAAGTAAATACAGAAGTTTGTAATGTAGAAGAGCCTTCCTTGTGACTGAACCTACCTTTATTTATTATTATTTTTTTTTTGTAGACTGCTGCAACCATTGATGAGACAAAAACTAAAACAAGACTTGCTCTAAGTGAAGCACAGAGAGAAAATGAAGCTCAGCTACAGGCTGCTAAATTAAGAAACCCTAAACAGTTTGGTTTGCCAGACAATCAGAGAATCATTGATCCGAGAAAAGGCCCTGTGAAAAAAGTTGCTGCTGTGCGCAAGCTGCCAAAACTGGAAAACCCAGGCTCAGGGGGCAGTGGATCATCTGGCAATAGTCCACGGCACAATTAGTGTGCATGGATACAACATAAAAAGTGTTTAAAAATATTAGTCCTACTTTTATCATAATAACTTTGTCAAAATATTCTAAAATGATTTTTAGAATGCGATATATATAAACAATAATGTTATTGGATGAGGTTTTTTGAGATATCTGGAATAATCAAGGTTAGGGTAAGTATTATCATCTGAGCCTAAGACCGAGGCCGATAACACTTACCAAGACCTTGAATGATTATTTAGGATATCACAAAAATGGAATCTAATGATAAATTATTGTTTTATTATACATTGCTTCGAAGAAAATAACGACAAACAAAAAAGTGCAAGGAACTTGAATTCATATTGTTATTGGAAATCATGCAATGCTCGTGCACCTACAGATTAGCCAGTTACTTGCTAGCGGATAACTGACTAATCTGTAGGTTGTGCTGATTTCCAAAATTAGCTGTAGGCTCTTAGCCAGTGAGAAGACAGATAGTGAGTGCAATGTATAATAATGCAGTTTATGATGCTGAGGAATGCAGTCTTATGACAACCTTATCATTGCAATCTCCTCTCCTGTTTCCTTTTTTATTCAATACATTTTGGTAGCTCGATCCACTGCAGCTTTAATGTTCACATGGAGAAAGTAGGTGTTCCTTGTAAATTGTCTAAATAAAACATAACCTAATAATACTAAAAAATTGACAAAGGACAATCTGTAAGAAAGACTAAGTAGATGTAGTTTTTTGTGAAACTTGATTTGTTTCAGGGGGAAGGTTCATGTACAGTATATTTTAGATATAAATATTGTTGAATGTTTGAGTATGAAAATATAACATTGGGCATTGTTTATACATACAAGGACATCAAAGATTGCATATTACAACCAATGATTACCATCGGTTATTCCTTGTTTCCTGGATTTTTAACATCTACAATCCGTGTTATACATACTTTGTACAGGAGAGAATTATGTAATATCATGACAGTGTAACATATTGGTTCATTTTTTGTAAAAAGTTTTATTCAACAGACAAAAAAAATTCTTAATTTTGTAAAATAAAGTGGCTTCTATTGTTTTATGGAAGTGTTCCTTCATCCTTCTTTTTACAATAATCTGATGTTACTTGTAGAATGAACCCTTAAAACCATATTATGAGCATGCATTTTCCTCCAGTGAAGTGCAGTATAGCCCAGAGTAGTCAATCTATAAATCAATTAAAATCAGTAAATCTAATATGAAAGATAGCGGTTGTATCAATACATCGGTAGAAATTGATGACACACTAATGCTTCTTTCATCAATTTATCTTGATTTTTATCGATTTCTAGATACCAATTTTACACAGCAATCTAGTTCATTTATTCTCACCGATTTCTGTTATCAATCAATAAAAATCATTTGATTGCAACAGATTTTTAATCGATACTGATTTTTATCCATTGACTACTCCGGGACTGTAGTGGTCATAATGAGAGTTATGATTATATTGAACAAATCAAGGAGCCCAGTTAAAATGAGCCGGCAGCTGTTAATTTTGCCACTTTTGCTGCCTTCTCTACAGTTAGATTTAGTTATTTTAAAATGAAAAACACACAAATTTAGGCATTTGCCACCTGTTACCCTGGTTATCCTGCCAACTATTTTTCTACAACTTTTTGACTGGGCTGCAAAAGATGGTTTTTGAAGCAGATCAAGACTAGTGTCAAATAAAGTTTCTTTTTTTCTTATTAAAAGAGTTCTTTGTAGAATCGAAACAAACCAATGAAAACAGATGCAATTGACATAACAGCATGACTTGTGGTGATTCTGATTCCCAGAACATAAAACCCTGATTTACATCTCAGACAGTAGTTCAAGAAGGCGTCCAGTTCGTGACAATTGGTAACATTTGTGGCTCTCCTGTTTAGTTGCTCATACATTTGTTCATATCGTCGAGTTACCAAGCTAGCAGACAAAAAAGGGAACGCAAACTGAATAGCCACAAACCAAGATGCTGTAACCTTGGATAACCAGATTTTGCTGATGTCATGACCTTTTTGTGAAGACTGGATCGTACTCATTATATCCAGTAATGTCAGCAGTATTACAAGTCCAAGTAAACTGCTGTGAATTGTAAACCATGGGGTAAGTGACTTTATAACCTTTTCTGAATACTTCAGGAGGCATTCATGAATTTCCTTTGCAGAATTAAAGTCTGTCACATGTGATACAAGCAGTTTTTCTGTGAAATCAATGTGACTTGAGATACTACGACATGCAATGTAAAAGGTACCGCATGCAAGTATGGAACTCATGTGGGCCCAGTTCAGTATCACTAATGTGCTGTAGTACAGACCTCTTTGGACATCACTGATCTGTTTTGTAAATTCATGCAAATCAGTGAAACTGAAGAAGATGTTGACTTTCATTGCATTATAAAGGGAAGTTCCAAGACCAGTGATTGCAAACACAAGGAAGAAGTTCACGCCCAACCAGTGCACTTTCTTCAGAGTCACATCTTGATGTTTTCCTAATGGTGCAAATTCAAATCCTGGGATGAGTTTAGTGGAGGAGTAATGGAATCTGTTACTTGATTTAAAGAAGTAGATGACCATGATCGTAAATGAAACTGTTGACGACAACTCAAGTAAGATGACAAGTAATACAGATCCTATTGGTGGGTGTTTATTGGCGGCATGACCCTGGTCACCTTGGGTCCACAGTAATTTAATGATGCTCATTTCCATGCAAAATGCTAGCCATATGAGAATTGCCATAATGCTTGGTAGGATCCTTTCCCAGTTTGATCCCCTTGGCCAATTTGGAGGGATAGCATAGAAGATGTGTACCATTGATGTAAGCAGTTTTTCTGACATCACAAACTCTTTCCAGGGTGCAAATACATTCCGTGCATTTCCTTAAACATTGACAGTAAAATAAAATAAAAGAAAAAGAAAAAAAGGCCGGAGAATAATTCTACTCACTTAACTAGAACACCAGAAAAAAGTGATTCAAGTGAAAATCCCACTTAACAGTAGGTGAGGTCACGCTTGTCACACCAGCGTCTGATCTCTTTGTGGTCACGCTGTCTCGATGTCACGTTACGGTGACGAGGAAAGATTGTGCGTTTAGAACGCAAAACCTTTGTTTACAGTCATCGTATACCTATTTTACCCCACAAACACACCGAATAGTTTTTGCCTCTTATTTATTTTTGCGGGCTATTCAAAAGCTCGGACTCAAAATCTATTCTGTGAGCACCACAAGAACAAATTCGCTGGTCTAGACCTCGCACCCCGCACCTACCAGTGCCAGGGTGCCATTCTTCCGCAAATTCCCTTTCAAGTGGTTCAAGATGAGTTTGGGACTCTTCGTCTTCCATCATTATTAAATTAACCACAAGTCTGTCCAAGGAAAATAGACGTGACAGGCAGTGAGGATTTTTAGTTGCAAACCATGTGATATTTGACACGGACACACTCCACTGATACTCGGAAAATCTCAACTTCCGGTTGTGGTAACATGAAACTGAGGCTGATAGCATTTCCGCTGAGTTTCAAAGAAGCCAACGAACAAACTTCAAGCAATGAACAAGGTATGTGCGAGTTTATTTTAAATAGATCTCTGTGATCTTCGATATTGAATCTTAAGTAGTGGGGGAATCTGCTGAAGCTTAAGTGAAGTTAAGCTTGCAGGTTTATAAATCAAAAACCCTGCTGGAACATTTGTGATTACAATTCAGTTACTAATTACAGGAATTTGAGTTTTCCATTGCAACAACATGGGACGGGGAACCATTAAACCACAGTCCTGTAGAGTTTAAAGTCAGTGCAGTAGATGAGACCTCCGTCAAGGTTGATGTGAGAGGACCTCTGTTTAATGATCCAGGACTACCTCCTGCTCCTTCAGGAAGTCCCTGCCCTGAATTGTGGGAGTTTGAAGGTGAGGGATATTATAAAAAGTGTTTAAATTGTATAGGCTAGATGGTCCAAAGAAATGGGATAAATTTAGTGATTGAATGTAATTAGTAGTGTGGGAATCACCAATCATGCCGGAATATTTATAGCTACAATTATGTTAATTCACAGTTCCTGAACACTGGTGGTGACCTTGTGTTTTGTTTTTTCATTATTCTTGTCATGGACTGGGTAGGTTACAGGAAGCTCATAAATGGACTACGAGGAGTTACCAGTGCTGCCTTTGTATGCTAACTTCCAAGCTTACTAAATATTCAAATGTGAGAGGACACGCTGTTGTCCTCTTAGCCTGTGAGGAAGCTCTCCTATTTAGGCGAACGAAGCGAGCTTGCGAGAACGTGCAAGCGGGGGGCCCAGTAGGAGGAGGGGCCGCTCCTCTGACCCGCTCGATCGCGCGTTGTCGCGAGACTCACTTTGCTCACCCAAAGAGGAGAGCTAATGCTCGCAGGCTATTGTCCTCTCCTCCACAGCACCTCATTCATTCATAGGCTACTGACAGGTCAGGTGGTATTTGCCAACTCAAAAGATTTGCACTTTTTTAAAGCTTGCCGTGTTTTTTCTCTTCTTACTATTTGTATATTATTGAGATGGTTTAGATTTTCAAAGCCCCGGCAGCATGTATGTATTCTCCCAAAAATTCATCGAGTACCCCACCCCCCTTGATCCTAGATGTAGGGTACATAACTACATGTTAATAACCTTTCAGTGGCTGAGATATTCTTCCTGGGAGCAGATGATAAATATTTGGAGGTGGAGTTGAGCCCGTAAGTTAAGTCATTTTCTATTCCAGTTCACATCGTATATTTTATTGTGTGCTCAGCTCAAATGCAGCCGTCTTGATCTATATTGTACAGGCATGAAAAAAATAACTACTGCAGTTGTTTCTCATAACAGGAAATGAGTTATAAGTAATAATATTATTTTCTCCTCCTCTCCCCTTCCCCCTCCCCCCTGCTTCCCCACCTCTAATGGGATTATATCAGTGGGAACATAAATTAACCCATTTTCCCATGGGGCAGATGACAGTCAACTGAGGAAATTTTTGTCTTCAAACCTCATCATCATTATGCATGGAAAAAAGGTCCGTCAGGGTGAAAATTGGATGTTCTTTTCTTTCTAGCCATGGCCAGCATCTTGTCCTACTTCTTAATGGAATGAGAAACATGATCAAGGTAAATGAAATGTCCACCCCTGCCTCCTACCTTTTACATCATCCTTGTCTTGAAGTTTTTTGGCTTTTTTGTCCTTGACTGAAACCACTGTTTGCCTATCTAAAATTTGCTTTCATATTTTGACGTGAGGATAAACTTGCCCTGAGTTATTCAGCTACAAAAGATAATGTACAGAAAAAATGGAAAGGAAGTGCTACTGTTCCTCTTGACTACTTTCCTCCTGGTGTGGTGAAACTTAATGCATATGCCATCCATGGGACAGGACGTGACAGATGCTATGAAGCACTTTATCCAGCCACAAAGGAATTTGACAGACCTGACTTGTAAGTTTTGTTTTCTAACCTGATCATAATGGAAACATGTTAAAATGTAGTTTTATCTTGTGACTGGGTGAATGAGATGATCATTCCCATGAATCCTCCTCAGCAACTCTTAAACATAGTATGATTTGTTTTCATGATTTCATAGAACAAAATATTGGATTTACGTGCTTTTGATCATATTTGCATGGAAAAGGCACATTTTCATTTTTAGTCATAGTTATAATAATAATTATTATTATTATCATTTCCTTTTCCCTCTAAATGAAATTATTGAATTATGATGAAACAATCCAGAAATATCATTATCATTGGAAATTTGAGGGTTGGGGGATTTAAACCATGGCATAATTTTGGGAATCATATTTACATTATGTCAAGTTTTTATGCAAGGTTGCCAAGGTGCCAGAAATTCTCCATATGCCCACCCCACCCGCCCCCAAAGAAGGGATTGAAATTTCCTGGGGAGAGGAGAGGGTCTCACAGACAAAACAATTAAAAGTAGTGAACGATGATTAATAACTATTGGGTGGTTGTCTTAGAAAAACTCTCTTTGTGGGGAAGGGACGATATGCATATTTTCTGGAACTACATATTTTATTAGCCTTTGCTAAGTTCTGTTTGTCCTGCCAGATAGTTGTAAGACATACAAAATACTTTGGTATGAGAAGGCTCCAATTATAAACAAACCTCACTTCCCCAGCATCCTCTGCTGTGATGTCCAAAACATGTGCACAGTTACAAAATAAGGTGTCCTCAGTTAAGAAGATAAATGTTGTAGTAAATAGTTCATTTTTTTTCTCAGGTAATTTTTGTTTTCTTTGGTTTTTGAGTATAGTAATGTATGCTCATGAAACTGAAACAAAAGAAAAATAAAAATTACCTAAGATAAAAAAATTAACTACAACGTAAGTATGAAGAGTGATAACAGGGATTAACCTGTCCCTCTCTACATTTCTTTGAATAATCACATTTTCTATTTCATTTCAGCCACAGACTTCAGTTTTTCAAGGACTTTAATTTCAGTGCCCTGTTTCCTGCCTCTTGGAAACAGCCTGAATCAACTTACTGGACAACGGCATAGAAATGCTGTAAAGATTAAATATAACAAGAAGTTCATGATGGTTTTGATAGGATTCATGTACAAAATTATAGAATAATACTTCTTAAAGTCAATACAATACTCTATAAAAAACATTTCAAATGGTTTAAGCCCCAAATGGTTTAAAATGGTTCAAATGGTTTCTCCCTTCAAATGGTTTAAGCAAGGTGTCATTTGCTTTTCACTGTTTTATGGGTAAATAAAATTAATTTTTCCCATCTGTTTTTAATTTGGCACTGTTTAGAGTTAGAGATGTATTGTTCGTCTAACACTTGACGGTGAATGAAAAAACCCTTAAGTAAGTCTTTTTAATGGTACTATAACTCATAGCATTGTTTGTAAAATTCTCAAACTTTTGAGTCTGGATGGATTCAATCCTATGATGTGAACAATTAAATGAAACCTTTTCAGTTGCAGTACTTTCACATGGCACCATTACCATTGTGCATAGCATGTCCGAGTAAATGGCAACCTCATTCCCAGGTGGATGGTCCTTTTCTACTCCTCCCTCTCTCAGTTCGAGGTATGAGTTGGAGACAACCCCAGGAATGGTACCTAGTACAGTATTTTCTTTTTCATTACTTTTTGAAATGTAATGTAGAATTTTTGATCTTGGGGTTATGTTCAATGATGCTTCTTTTTAACTCAACATCTTCCATGAGTAGTCAAGGGTATATGTCCAGCTCCAGTTGATGTTAGGGTCAACTTGAACAATAGCAATCAGGAAGTGAATTGTACCAGGTCCCACCTCTCTCTGACAAGGAATGGGTTCTGAAATTTGCATATTACTTAAAGAAAGATGCAGCTTGATTTTGTACAAAACAAAACTGCACAAGTTTGCAACCTCAAATATTACACCACTTTTGTGTTCACGTACAAGAACGAAAAGGCAGTTTTCATGCATGTTGTCTGCTTTTGTTGCTGAGTGAAATACTTTACCATAACTTTTCCAGTTAGGTATTGGTGGTTCTTGGTTTTTCTCAGCCTCAATTTCTAAGTTTGGTTTACAGATACAAAGTCTTAAATCAACTCCCTTGTCTGAACAAGTCCTGTAGATCCCATATTTACTTAACCTTGTAAACTGAAGAAGTTTCAAATCCAATAACACACTTCCACTGATAACTTGAACAACTACTGAAAACAGCTCCTGGTTTTGTACATAAATATCCATTGACACTGTTAGTTTTTCGTGAACTCTCTTTTCCCGCACATTGTCGAAACTTTCACCTTTGAGTCTCACACAGGACCCAAATCCTGAAACTTGCTTGGTTTTCTTTGAGTTTTTCAAGTACTGACTTTGTATCTTGTCATTAAGTTTTCCCAGTGCAAACTCAGCTACAATATAGTGAAAAGAGTTTGCATGGACTTTTGTTTCCCATCCTTGACAGATACAAACAGCAGAGGAGAGCAGACCAAGATCTTCACAACTTCTGTTTCTAGAAATGGGTTGAAGCAGACCTTGATTTTCCAGCTGTGTTTTATGGCCAGTGACACCAGCTATTGACATTAACATGTGATGTAAATCAACAACGGTCACCAGTCTCTTCTGATTTTGTATCAAGGCCTGCATTTTGAATTTGCCTAGATAGTCTCTAACACCACTTGGAATTACTATGAACAAGTGTGGTTGAAAAACTTCAAGCCGTCCCCTCAGAGTCTTGGGAAAAGAGCCATATGTGTTCCCATGATCTGAAAGTATAATGCTCAGAGTGTTTGGTTCAGCAGCTATGCTCTTTACAAATGTTGCAAGTGATTTGTCAAAAGTCTGAATCCTTAATCCAGTTTCCTCATGGCCCACATTTAGGATTGAAATTGAAAACAGTGGCTTTTTTGCTGAATCTGAGTTTACCTCCTCTAGAAAGTCCTTCAAGAAATGCAGAAAAAAGCTGTGATAGTATTCCCCTCCGTAACACATGGTGGAAGGACCATGAAATATCTCTGGAACGGCAAAACCCTTTAAAACTTCACAGCTCGAATGAGTGATTCCTGTATGATCAATAGAATTATTTTTTAATGCAGTTTTCAATCTATTCCATGTATTCATTAAAGGAACACTTTGGTTCATGATTTTCAAGTCTCTAACTAGCCCCCATTCATATGTCCAGCACATGTCCTCTTGCCACATAGTTTGATAACCCATCTCTTTAAATGCACCAAACATGACATCAGCTGTAATAGGCACTGGGTTTATGAACTGCTCCACTTCTAGAAGTTCACCACAAAATAAGGCTTGTAGGGTCTCAAACGTTCTGGGTTTTATAGCATGAAAAAGTTCAAAATCTAGTACGTGAGTTGATGTTTTAGCGTTGATGTCTCTGAGAGCCTCGACAGTAAGAGGAAGTGAGCGGTAGAAGTGAGGTCTCGACACTGAATCTAATAGAATAATATTAACGTTAATCGGTTTATTTCTGGGTTTCCCCCATGGTTTATCAGCAATTGCACTCTTCGGTGGTAAAATAAACAATTGGGTCTTGGCTGCTGGGTTCCAAAATTCATCACACCTCAGGAAAGCAAAAGGGAAATACTCTGCTGAAGGAGTGGTTTGGATGTACTTATTCAGTGCCTTCTCGACATCGTGAAGAAAAGAAAAGTGACGCCAAGTAACAGAGCCGTCGTGCGGATCGATGAAACCCGCAGAAATGATATCTGATGACCCACAAGAAGTCGTATGACATTCCACTTTGGAAAATCCCCCAGGGGTTTTCTCCATTTTGCACAAATTAACACGCGTACTGTTGCAATCTTGCAGCGGCTGATCTGTTGTGAAGACAGACTTTGCAAATAAGCAAGCATCTTCTCGCATTCTAGGTAACCGACAGGTCGCCGACGATAAGGATGAAGGCGTTCTTTGAATAGATAAAATTGGGCATGATGTCTTATTGCTGTTGATGGCCTGAATAATTCTGTAACGAAACACTTTTGGCAAGTCCTTCAGCGAGGTCCACTTTCGATACTCATCTTCATATTCGGCGAGAAACTCCGAGCTGTCCAGAACCAAGATCTGGTAAATAAATACTGTTACCATTACTGATGTTACAGAAAGAACACAGAACATCCATCTCTTCTTTCTTACGTGACGAGTTGAGACAAGAGAAAAAAACATTGAAAATCCAAGATGAAAATACCAAAATGGTTTCTTGCATAAACAGCAAAATTGGAGACTTGGGGCTGCAGTGAAAGGCTACATACGACGACTCCAGGTGGCTTTTACAAGAAGCCCCTCAAGAGAGTCCGAAACAATCACTTCATTCCTATTGTGTGCTTAGTCCGCCATCTTTATTTTGCGGCAAAATCTAGATTATGAGCCCGCGAAACACCGCATTGTATTCCATGCAAAATGGCGGAATTTGTCGATGTACAGGGAGAAAATTACAAGAGAAAACCAAGCTCAGAATCGAACGAACGAATGCATAGAAAGTGCATTGAGAGACTTGACAAAGCCTGTCGATCTTGTAAGTAACCAAGGTCAATTTTAATGCCCTTTGATCTGGAGCCTGGAGCTACGCACCGGTGGTGTGATATAGCAGTGTTTGCTGAGTGATGCGATCATGTAGGATTTTAAGCTTGTTATGATAGGCCAGATTAAACTTTACTAAATGACAATAAGTTATTTATTTTCTTCTGTTAGCGGCTTACGTGAAATTTATGTTGGAGGCAATGAGCAAACTAGGATGGTAAGTAGCCTAGAGCAATGGCTCTTCTTATCCGGGGAGGGGGTGGGGATACTCCTAGGAATTCTTGTAAGGGATGTGCTCTTGAGTTATCCAAACTCCCCCGGGGGTACTCCCATATAAAAGTGACAGGGATGCTCATTGGAAAATTCAATTTGAACCCCTAAGGGAGACCAATGTGGGTGTGGCTCAAGCTTAAATTAACCTCTAAGGGGGATTTCTGTGTGGTCAGTGTTAGGGCATTTTTTGTAAATTTCTTTGTGATACCTGAATGAGCGAAAATAGTAACTTTCCATCCCAAACACCCTAAGTGAGACCAAAATCTGTAATTTACATCCCAAAGTGAAACAACGAGCATCCCCATCACTTTTATATGGTGACCAGGGCAGCCCTCCCAGGGCCAAATTGGAAAAAAATCCTGACCCTGCTTCAGATCAAAACATACCTTTTTCCACCCCATGTTTTTCCTATAGGCCTATAAAATACATACCCGTTTTTAGAGCTGGCTTCTGATAGCTGTACTCAAATTGCAAACCTGCAATTATCCAAGGAAATCAACATATTGTTTAGGCATAACTTTATGCATTGACACTGAATGTTCTTCCCCTTTTTCATTGGCTTTAAAGGTGAGGTAAAACAACAACACAAAAAAAAAATCAGTGGCTGAAGCGAGCTGAGTGCCAGACTGGCAAGGTTGGAAGGGCTGCCCTTTCCCCTCCCCAGACTCTTTGTTTCACCTTTTTTTCCCACTCCAGAGCCAGGTTCCAGGCTAAAAAAATGTTGGATTTTATTGACAACCAACATGGCCACGTTATCATGTCACAGGGGGTGACATGATGTATTTGGCATGGCCTTCCCTAGGGGTTAACAAAGAAAAAAATATATAAAACACAATACAAATAGTTTTTAATAAAAATTATCTTTGAAAATTCAATCTGTTTTGCAGTGTTGTTGACCCAGAAAAGCACATGGTTTGTGAACCATGCAATTCAAAGCTTCTTGGAGGGTTTGATCCTGATAAAAAAGAGGTACAGCTGTACAGTGTAAGACTTTTCTACTTATTAAATTACACATACTGGTACTTCATAAATAGAGGATATTACATGGCCACGCGCAGATACAAAATTTCTCTTTGGGTGTTGAAAAATATTTTTTCAACATGAGAAGAGAAATTTCGTATCTCCAAGCAGCCATGTAATATTCTATTTATTATATGAACACCAATGAAATACCAAACCATTTCACTTTAATAGTTTTTTGTTGTTAAAGGCGCGATTTATTAAGTATAGCCATAGCAAAGGTGATATTTTCACATGCGAAATATCAAGTTTTCGCACAAAAGCTCACCTGGTATATTTTCATTGGTGTTTATATAATAAAGTTTAATTTTATTTCGGCTTTCACTGCGTAACCACATGTAACTAACTTTCTTTATTTTTCACTTCCCAATAGATGTTCTTGTGTGAGAATACAATCTACTCCCAGAGGACAATGGAAGATGTTTTGACCCATGAACTCATACATGCTTACGATAATTGTAGAATAAAATATGATCCTGATGATGTCCGAATGCTAGCTTGTACCGAGGTATTTGTTTTATTATTCCCTTATCAATTCAGATTATGTACATAGTCCACCCCACTTCTTTCAATGCCACGGCCTTCCTAGTATTTCAGAATGACATAATCCTCTAGTTCGTTTAGTCCAAAGGAAGTTGATTTTTTTCCTTTTTCCTGCAAAGATTCGGGCCGCAAATCTTAGTGGTGATTGCTGGTTTTCAAAGGAGACATTTGGTCGCTTCAAATTTGGATGGAGAGGACATCAAAAGGTATTTTGTACTTAAGCCATTTTAAGTTAACTTTCTTCACATTACTTAGTACCAACTAGGTGACAAATATGAAAGTGGATATGACACTGTAAGAACCTATGATGGTAAATGGCATAGCTGGTTTATCTTTATATCACGTCTCAAAGGTTAGGGTGCTGGAATGGTTTCTGGGTGTCATGGGTTCAAATCCCACTGGGGATTTCTATCATCAATGAAGTGAAAGTTTCCCCAGCAGTGTAGTCTACCTCCTCTTGTAACACACCTGATCATACATTTTCTGGGGTTCACAGTAAGCTCATGAACAAAATTAGAGTTGCACTCAGTGGCACCCTTGTTTGTTGGTGGCCAACTTACTGTTAGTGAAAAACGAAAACAAAACACGTACAACTACTGCTTTCCTCTCATCTGTGACATTAAATTACATTGTAGTTAACCAGAATGTATTAATTTTACAATTTGACAGGAATGTGTAAAGGAAAGGGCAGTAAAATCCATGTTATGTGTGAGAGACATCAGCAAGCAAGAAGCTGAAGATGTGGTGGACAGCGTGTTTGAAGCTTGTTTTAATGATACTGATCCATTTGAACGCATTCCTCCGTAAATGGAAGAACAATACCCATACTCAGAGATAGTGTGAACATTTTAGGCTCATTCACCACAGGAATATCAAGGGAAATATCATGGGAAAGGAATGCAACTGAGAGCTAAGACAATACTTGGAGTATTAGTAGAGCTAAGGAGAGGTGATAACAAAGCGAACAGCTGGTAGTTTCTGGGGCTATAACCCTGCTCTAACAGACAAGAGTTGAAGTTCGGAAAGGTAGAACTCATTAAAATTGTCTTGCTGTTACAGATTCACTATATATTATATGAATAATAAAAAGTTAACAGTGAATTGGCTGTATTACACAACTGCATTAAAAAAACGAAATTTCCCTTTTCTTCACAAAAGCAGTAACAAAGTTTCCTATCATTGTAAGACTTTACAGTTACTAAACAACATCTTTGTTTCCTAAAGCTGATCTTGAATCAACAAGACCTCCAGTCACGTAAAAGTTATGTAAGATTTTATGCGCACGAAGAGTCAAAATACAGCTGCCCTGTACACAGGCTAGCGCATGGATGGTTTATTTGACACTAATGTTATTAAGTTGTCAACCAGGAAAACATTTGAGAACATTTTATTATGCTTTATGACCATTTTGTTCTGTCCTTTTTAATGGTATAACACATAAACAGTTTTTTGCATTTTTTAGCTTCCACCATCGTCCCAATCTGTGTTCCTGTCCTATCCCTGCTATCAGTGTGTTTCCATCATTAGAGAATTCCAAGGCATTTACAAAGCCAACCTAACAAGGAAACAAAAAACTGAGAGTTCCATTGACATATAAGTGAACTTGGTGCAATACCACAGGTCAGAGAGTTGCCCTGTAAACCAAAATGCAGTAATAATAATGGCAGTACTTTGGTCAATTTGTTCTGTCCCAATTTATCCTAGGTTTGTGCCAACCACACTTAGTTTATGAAAAAACGAATTAAATTCAAGGACATTGCTTAATACTATAAAGGACCATGTGTTAATTGACCAAATTCCTTCAGACAATACTGCAAATTAAACTGTTCCACAAAATTAGTAAAAATTAAGACAAAGAGGCTTTGGCCACAGAGGAAGGAAAATGTCTGGTTAAGCCTGTCTGTGAAACAGTGCAGAAATCCTTTCTCTGGGCCCCAATTTGAGTATGCAACATGATTGTTCTGTTAAAAAAAGCCCCCCCATTGTAAATTTACCAATCAGATTGGAGGGAAATTTGAAATGCATTTCCGGTAATTTGTTGAGTCTGTTGTGTGTTGAGAACAAGTATATTGTCACTACTTTGCAGATGTTACTAACTGGGGTGAGATTACATCTGTGACGCATGCTACTTTGCCTGAGGAGGTAGTCGTGATGACTTTTCAAGTTATATGCTTCAGGTTACCTAGTCCCTAGGCCTCATTATTCCACGCGGCCAAAGTGTTTCGGGTCACATGGTCCAAGTGAAAATGTGTTTCCTGCCCGTTCGCCTTGGATACGTCACCGAAATGAATTGACCGATAGGGACTGCGAAAACGCCATACAGGGACTAGGCAACACTTGAGGAGCATGCCTGTAGACACTGTCAAACTCGATACGTCTATTGCTTTGTGAGTATCTTACCATTGGTACTGAGAAGAGCTGTTTAAGATTTCTGAAGCCTTCTCCACACTCCCAGAGTTTTATGCAAGAATCACAAGATCCTGCTGGCAAAAAAAAAAAAAATCATGTTTTTTGATGAGATGCTTCTCCACATTTTAGCTTACAACCAAGAATTTTTGGTTTAGTAAATGAGCGTCCAGTTATTGAACAGTTTAGTCAAAACATAAACAACACCAAATGCTGTGGACTAGACTGACCGACTAACTAAACTTATTAACATGTGTAACTGACCAACATGCCTTACTGACTTGACAGACTTCACTGGCTGACTTGGGTACATGTTATTATCTTGAATGACTGAATGAGCATTAACTGGTTGAGATGACTGACAAACTAAATTGATATGAAGTGGCCTGACTGACTAAGTAACTCATATGGCAGACAAACTAAAATGACTGAATTGACTGACATGAGATGACAGACTAACTGACTTCTCTGATTGGCTGGCTGACTTGACTGTCACCACCTTACTTGACTGACTAGCTGACTTCTCTGATTGGCTGGCTGACTTGACTGTCACCAGCTTACTTGACTGACTAGCTGACTTGACTGACTGACTAGCTGACTTCTCTGATTGGCTGGCTGACTTGACTGTCACCAGCTTACTTGACTGACTAGCTGACTTGACTGACTGACTGGCCGACTTGACTGACTGGCTGATTTGACTGACTGATTAGCTGACTTGACTAACTGGCTGACTTGACTGACTCACCAGCTTACTTGACTGACTAGCTGACTTGACTGACTGACTAGCTGACTTGACTGGCTGACTGACTAGCTGACTTGACTGACTGACTAGCTGATTTGTCTGACTGGCTGATTTGACTAACTGACCAGCTTACTTGGCTGACTGGCTGACTTGACTGACTGACCAGCTTACTTGACTGACTAGCTGACTTGACTGACTGACTAGTTGACTTGACTAACTAGCTGACTTGACTGACTGGCTGACTGACTAGCTGACTTGACTGACTGACTAGCTGATTTGTCTGACTGGCTGACTTGACTGACTGACTGACTGACTGACGTAGCTGACTTAACTGACTGACTAGCTGACTTGACTGACTGTCTGACTTGACTAACTGGGTGACTTGATTGGCTGACTAGCTTACAGTACGTGACTGACTGACTGACTGACTTGACCAACTGAGTTGACTGACTGACTGACTGACTAGCAGACTTGACTGACTGGCTGACTTGATTGGCTGACTAGCTTACAGTACTTGACTGACTGACTGACTGATTTGACTGACTGACTGACTGACTAGCAGACTTGACTGACTGGCTGACTTCAAGACCTGATGCAGGCTGGGATTCCTATTATTATGATCATTATTTTTCTTCTTACCTGAAGCCAAAAGATCTGTACTACGTAGGGTTGCAAGTGACGTTATCCAACTCTCATCAGGAATGTTTTCTTCAGGACTGCCTTCAGGTTTACTGTGGGCTTTTGGTACTGTACATAATGGCTTCTTCTTGGAAACACTCCATAATGAAAGTGAGCTGATGAAAACGCAAAGTGGCACAAACTAGAAGTTTAGAATATACACTTCCAGAAGTTCTAACACAAGTTGTACATTAGACTTACCCATTATCTGCTCCTGAAACCATGTGCTCTTCATTAATAAGATGAACACAATCCAGTGACCCCCTAGAAGTTAACATAAATCAGTTAAAATGCATTCAACTTCTGAGGCCCCTGTTAGGGTAAGATTCCGCTAGTCGACATGCCCTCGAAACAGCAACATAGGGCAGCAGAAGTGTCAACAAAGAACATAAAGATAAAACTGTGACAGCAACAGAGAAAGTGCACACCAAATGCAATAGTTAAATACCAACAACGATTTCTCTCAAGATTTTAGCCAGAAGAGTGTCCAGCCCCCCATCCTATGGATGCCCATTTTTGGAAGAAATACAAGGAAAATTCACTTAATCTCTTCATCCTTATAATTTTATGGGAAAACATACCATCTGTAGGGCCAGTTTTCAGCATATGGCTGAATGCCTGTTTCCTCTTCAATACGCAAAATGAAAGGATTTGAAATTCAGACTAGGGATATATGAAACCCCCCCCTAACAAGGGTCTCACTTCTTCCTTAAATTGCTCAAGCACCAACCACATGTGAAGTGAGCAAAAGTTCCAGTGTGCATGGGGTTGGGAAGCAGACAATTTTGAAGACAGAGCTTGCCTATACCTTTCAAAAAAAATGTTAATGTTTAACACCTGTCATCAATTTCTTTTTGTTTTAATATCTTTTATTACACTTCCTGAAATAAACGTTGTATAAAGAACTGTTACTACTTAAAATTTATTTGTAAACCTTACATGTTTCCCTGTGCATTGAAAACCAACTGTGATTCCTCCACTACTTTCCACACACGTAGAGTTCTATCTCTGCCTCCACAAGTTACAGCTCTGTCACGTGATAAACTATCAATGCCTGTCACGCTGTCCTCATGTCCAAATCTAGATCATTCAGTTTGCAGTGGACAATAGAAATCAAACCCCTTAATTATGACATGGAATAATACACTACAGATAAAAACATTCATATCATCGGTTCCATTAATATTAAATTATTTACTTGGATATCATGAGGTGGTGTAAGAATTTTTCTTTTTCTTTTAAAGAAAAAACACAATACTCTGGCTAGCACATTTAGGGCTGGTTATTTGAACGCAGTTTAGTTGGTGTTTAACAAAACCGTGTTCTGAGCCATTTTCATTTGCTCAACGCTTTTATTTGAACACCGGTTATTGTAAACAGTTTCATGGAAGCAACAGGGTAGACAGGACAAACATACCTTCTTAAAATAACCCACCTAGAAAGAGATCTGTCGGTCCAATGATTTCTTAAACCATGGCATAAGTTACTGACTTTGCTTAAATAAGCAAGCCTTAGTGTCTACCAAGAGAATATAACAACAATGGCAACAGGCCAAAATATGTACAAGCAGAGGTGGTTGAATTCACAGCTTTAATGATAATATGTTAAATTTTCTTGCTCTATTGACAAAAAGAATGACTAAGAAAGATTCGACAAAAGCTGGCAAAATTAGGTGCCACTTACAATGTTTCTACATATGCCATCTCATCTAAATTCCAGATTTTTACAGTACGATCATGAGAACAGCTGAATAGTTGGCGAGTTCCTCGTCTAAAAGCCACACCCTAAAAACAAAAATGTCATAATAATTAAAGTGGTCTGTTGACTCAGAGGCCATGAGGGAGAGAGGCATAATAATTCAACAAGTTGGTCAAAAATATCGAGACAAAACGACTTTAGCTAGTAAAACGCGATCAGCTGCCATTGTTTTGGTTTTCAAAGCTGGTGATTTTCGCTACCAGTGGGCTATAACATATAGCCTAGTAGTAGCTCAACCAATCAGAATGCAGAATTGATAATAGACCACTAGTTGGATTTTACTAAAAGGTGAGACATTTCAAAAATCTCTAGAATTTTTTTTCAGCAACTTTGAACTGTAAAGAACAAAAATTAAAACCTTTTCAGTCTTAAAGACATCACTTGGCAGTTACAGTATACTGGTATATTGCCCACATCCCAGATTTGGTGAGCATTCATGTGCCAATTTTGTCAATTTTGGTGGTTTGCTTTCTACACAACCAATACTTGGGGGCATTGCATGACAAACAAGAGACAGTGTAGGAGACAGCAAAAAACATTTCTGCAAAGAAGAAATAAACTCACCGACACTGCATCTTTGTGGCCTTTGAATGTGTGAATATGTTGAAGTGAAACAGGATCCCATATGTGAATTACTTTGTCCATTCCACCACTAGCCTAAGATAAATCATTATATTATAGGAAATAGAATTGTCACACCACATTTAAAGATGTCAATAAAAGTCATTAACAAAATGTGAACAAAACAGAACAAAAAAACAAAATTTTCTCACTATTTAGTCAAGAAAAATGGACACAAGTCAGCTGTACAGCTTGTGAGATTTAATTACACTCATAAACAAGTGTGAGGACTAAAATTAATCTTCTTCACATTACAACTGACTTGACTCTAATTTTCTAGATGAAAGTAATTCGTAATCTTAATACGTTACTGTACAAGTGAAAGAGGATTTTCGTTATAACTTAATTTTAATGCTTACCAAAAACTTGTTATCTGTGGTAACAGTGAGAGACAGTACATGACCAGAGTGTCCTTTGCTTCCTTTGCTGGCTTTGTGGCAACCCAAGATTTTCCCTTCTTTCTCCCCTGTTTCTAGATTCCCTGTCAAGGAATGCACAAAATCATACTGGTTTCCTAGTTCTGATGTTTTATATGTGGTACGTTTCTTTTCTAGTGATGTATACCTTCCTTTCTCCCTTCTCCCACCCCTACAATGGTCGATAATAGTTGCAACACGTTTCTTGATGCTCAGTGGTAGAACAACTGGACTAGTAACCAGGAATGGGTTATTCAAAGCTGTGTTAAGATATGGGTGATAACCCGGGTTAGTGCAAAATTTGAATTCAGTTATAAAAACTTAAAAAGCAAATTCAGTTTAATTCTTTTTCTCTACAATTTGAAGATTGGATACTCTTCATAGAATAGAAAAAATTACCCATGAAAATGCTTTTGAACAAAAAGAAAAAGAAACCTGTATTAAAATCTAACCCTGGGTTTGCGCTAATTGGCCTTCAAACAAATAGGCCCACAAGGCCATTGGTTCAACTCCTTTTGGGAGAAAATATGCAGATTTTTTGTTTCTGAGTCACTTGTGCCAATGACTAAAAACACCGCTCCCAGAAATCATTATTTTCCAAAAAGAAAGAAACAAAATGGGACCACATTACATTTAATAATGGAGCAGTCTTTTGAACCAGAAAAGACAAATTTGTCATCAAGTGATATACAGAGACATGTGATGGACAGCTGATGTCCTCGCAGAACTCTGATAGCATCTGGAGATGGCTGTGTATACTGTTGACAGAAAAAAAACACCATAGATACATTTAAGATATGGGAAGACGGTCACTGCATGCGACGCAGCTGATCACCATATAAGTGCATACCTGCCAACCCTTGCGCACTATGCGTGAGTCCCACACTTGCGGACTTTATAAAACATTGATCTTAATTCTGGTCATGACACAACCAAAATTTCACATAATTGGCTCAGAAAAAGTTGGCAGGTATATTAGTGTCAAGAAAAGAGGTCAACTCTGTAACAAATGTACTCTGCAACAAGATACACAATAATCATTTATGATACCTGAGAAGCTATTCTTTTCTGCAGTTTTCCAATTTGTTCAAGCTGCAATAAAAACAATACATCAACATCTGAAAGGTTAACTCAAAAAGACAAAAAAATGCTTTAAGTTTGGAAGAATTAAGAACAACTCTCCCAAAAACTTGTTGGCTGTCTGATAGCCAACTCTCGATCAGGCGAAGGTTTTTTGCATGTCTTCAGGCTATCTGACCACACAGACAGTCACACATCAAACTGTAGAAAACAGGGGAATGAGAGCTAGTTTACAACTCTTCAGGATCATTTTTGGAGTCAGTGCCACACTGTTTGAGACACAAAATGAGTGTATCTACTCTACTTACTCTAAATGAGTGACTATTTGGAATGAACCTTATAAGAATCCATACTCACAACATCTTGTTTCAGTCTGTGAGCTATAGCATCATGATCTATGTCCTCTGAGTCTTTTTTATTTTGCTCTGAAAAAGAACAAAAATAATCAAATTATATCAATATCATTCAACAATATCATTTACCTCGCTTACCTGGACACAAGTTCAGATAATCAGGAGCGTAGCGTCCATATATGCACATACACGAGTGCGTACAGCTGAAATCTAATAAAACATCTTTTTTTCTTAAAACATTTTTATCATAAAATCAGAATGACTAATAAATTTTTTGCATGATACCAGTGTCTCTCTGCAGGTCGCCCCTTGCTTGAGACCTCCATAATGGCATCACATCACTGTTAAAAACTAACTAGTGCACTGTCCTTTTTTTATTTACTGAAAATGTCCTACGGAAAACGCAAGAAATGGCTGCATTTCCGAGACCCTAAATTTAAAAATTTCTTGCGAAGAATGCCCCCAGAACCCCCTACTTTTCTTTCCGTGCATATATCTTCACAATCTCACGCTACGCCCCTGATAATATTCACAGTGACCACTGTCTTACACTGCACTGATCAGACTAAATCTATTATTTTTTGTGTGAACAGGAAACATGATGAAAAAGCCAATACAATGACTGCTTAATTTTGAATGGTTTAATAGCTGGAAACATAACTAGAGGCCATCATGAAAAATCCACCCTTTCCTAGACGGTTCTGATAGAACTGTGCTACAGATGGCTCTGCTGTAGAGCTTCATGATCAAGGTCAACTAGTCTCAATATCTTCTTTCAAGTATACCTTCTTTCTCTAACTGAGCAAGATACTGCTTAGCAAGACGAAGTCGTTTTTCTTGAGCTGTCTCCTCATCCACAACCTGCTCATCTGTTTGTTCGTTCTCATCACTGAAACAAAAATAAACTTTTAGAACTGGGTCAATCCCAGGGTAATTGATCCATGCGGAGGTCGTCGCCACGTTCCAACTTTTGAACAAAATCTAAACCAAACGATTTACCTAGTAACGTCCGATTCACTTGCAAGCTCATCTTCATCTATGTAATCAGTTTTTTTAAATGACTGTTTACCCTTTGGTTTCTTGTTCCTAGAACCAGAGAACTGAAAACACAGAAATCTCGCGTCAGACCACGTGAAACTAAACTTGTGTATATAACTTTGAAGAAATAATCCCAAACAATTCAACGAAACTTCTTGAACACTAAAAAAACAACAGAAATTGACTAATACTACATTTCTGTCAACACTTGAAGCCTTACCTTGGATGAATTAACCTGTCTTTTCCTTGAATTTGCCTGAGAACCTTTGCGATCTGACAAGAAAAAGTTCGACATCTTGTTTTTGCATCGCCGTGAAAAACTGGGATCTAGACATCCGCTGACAAGTCGTGATAGCAGAAGCAGAAAATCTCGTTCGTTCTCGGTTAACTCTCGACCGTAGTGTGGGTGCTTCGAGGTGCTCGGGCCCTAATATCTGACAAGGCTACACTGTACTGGATAGCTGTTGCGGAGGCAAGAAACCATATCGGATAGGGCTTTTGTCAGACATAATAATGGTGATTTCGGAGCGGTTTCTGAGACGGAGTACCCTGCAGAGGTAGAGGTGTCTTTCTGGCATGTCTGACAAAAGCCCTATTAGCCTGCGTGGCAGGCGCTTAAAGTTGAAGGAGAAGAATTTAGGCGCGCTTTATTACATCGGGAGCTTCTGATTACGTAAAGAAAAAAATATTGGGATGTGGTCGTTATCATGAAATCTTCAACATTTTTTTGTTTTTTGTTTTGCATAATTAGGGGGTATGTTCTATCGTGCTTCACTGAGTCTGCAAATTTAGTAGCCTGTGAAAAGGCTCCCGGGTCTTCTTTTCGTCGTGAAAACCATCTATTAATACCCCTCAAGAGAGGCTGTTCATTCAGGTTTGAAATATATTTAGTGTTTTATATTGTGCCAAGGCCCAGTGACAGGCATGATACCCAAAGTTGCCAACTGGGAGGAGGAAAAGAAGCCAGCGAAAATCCACCTGGCGGAGAACGGTGATGCAAGAGCTCGGAGCAGAAACCCAGGCAAAAGATCAGGATGGGGTTGAGTGGTGACGTTTGATTGCGGTCTTATGTCCCAGCCGGGATGAAGAGGCTGAGTTTACGGTAGTTACCGAGAGGCAACAACTTGCAACTTTGGATGGTTTAGAATGTCTATAGAATGGGCCCAGAGAAACGTTAAGTTAAAAGTATAGCCTTGAAAAATCAACAAGTCATCATCCTGAGCAGACCTCCCTTTGGAGATCTTAAGTAGACCAAAGTGCGTGGAGAGGCAAAAGGTAAGCGTTGGAGGCTAAAAGCGCTTGGCACACTCCAAGAAAAAAAATTAACTGTTACCCGAACAGGAAAGAAAAACGCCCATCTGTACCTTTTTAATTTTTATTCCCCCTTCAAGACACCCAGCTAACCCACTGGTTTCTGGCGAACCCTGCTATTTACAAACCTCTAACTGAAGTAAAAGCCCATAAAACAATTACCGTATTTATTCGATTAACCGCCCTGGGCGCTTATTAAATTTTTGTACCTTGAGAGTGGGCGCTTATTCGAGGTGGGCGCTTATTCGAGGCTGGGCGCTTATTAAATTTTCACCATTTTCAGCAAGTCTAGTATGTTGATTTTGCAAGAAAACAATAAATGCTAATAACAAAACGCGAAGAAGTAACAAAGCAAGGTTTCTGTAAAATACTCTGAAGAAAACTCCGTCCTCAGGGAAGTCTCTTATTAGAATTTATTCACCCTTATTTGAGTTTGATTGGGATGGGGAGGGGTGGGCGCTTATTCGAGGCTGGGCGCTTATTAACTTTTTCTGCCTTTAGGACGGGCGCTTATTCGAGGTGGGCGCTAATTCGAGGTTGGGCGCTTATTCGAATAAATACGGTATATATTATGACTATTAAATGAACTCTACAAAGAATCCACTAAAAATTACAAGATATAAAAAAAAAATGTTTTGCTGGAATTAGAAGTGGTCACATGTGGTATACCATTAAGAATCTTCTACGAACCGCGTTTATAAAATTTATTGAAGTATTCTTTTAACGTCACGTTTGCATTCTGAAATAATCTAAACTATCTAACCTTTATTTCTAAACTGAAAAGTCAGTCGGACAACCTTTCTTAACGCCTCCTAACTTGGACTTATAGATATCTAGCCTGAGAAACTGCGGGCGTTTCGCGTTTTCAGGCCAAAAAATATCTAACCTAAACAATCCCCACCACTACAATAAGGAACCTGTCTAATGCACAGATATGCCTTTGTCTAAAGATGTAACTGTAGCTCAAGAAAAATCATGAGTTACATGTGTTCGCATTAGAGGTGTCCTTATTATAGACATGAGTAAAAGGTAAAATAATGTTCCACTTTGCACCAACAGCTCCGGCAGAACTACCGTAGTCGCCGTAAGGACTTAAGAAAAGACTACTATTTCAAAGAGTAAAATAGGGGTGGTTTTACTAACCTGGCTGTACGAACATTAACGGATGCCTCCACGTAATAAATTTTAACATGCAATCTGTAAATTTTTGCGATGTGCATTTTTATGCATATTTATTAACTCTTTTTCTTTTGCACGTTGTTGAATGTAAAAAAATGATTAAAAAACTTATTAAAAATTAAAACACAAGGAACCAAGTTGCAGGGACGTACACGCCAGGGCATGCAAAGGGGCCTGAAGCGAAGAGACATGTAACAGGGACAGAATCACAACGTCCGCAAACACAGTAAAACGTGGCGAGTACATGCCTTCATATAATATTGTCTATGAAATAAATAACAATAATTCCCGTTCGGCTGTTGTCGCTAACAAGCTCAACTACTGTTTTCACTGCAGAAACATGTTGCACAACCGTACAAACGAAAGCTTACGGCGGCGCTCCTGCAACATTTTCCCGATGATTAATCCCATGAAGGACAGGAAATTTGCCCTAAAATTAATGCTGCAAGAATTACATAGTATAACAGCACACAGCACGTGTTCCGGTAACGTGTTCTCTCGCGCTTGTTAAGATAGTGCGCGGACATGAAATTTGCGTCAACAAGGAGCATCGACTGGTTCAATCAAGATTTCATTAACAGCACAGTGAGCAGGTTGAGTCACTGCATAAATTACTGCATTCGCGACATCGCTCGGGTCGAGTCTCTTGATGTCGGCGCTAACTTCATATTTTGCTCGTGCCTGAAAAAACAGCAACAACAAGAAAAAAATACATATCAGAAAATGAAAAACTTGTAGTATCACGAAAGAGAACTCAATTTAAGTATCTTCTTAGGACTGTTTGTAGAATCAAACTTGGGAAGCGGTAGGTGGGCAGTTTCCCAGAAACCTTAATTGATTCCCTATTTACTTAGAAGTATATCTTATGGCCCTTCAGTTGTTTTATATGTACGATAAGGAACTAAAATAACAAACCTCCTCATCGGTGTTTCCTATTCCAAATTCTGTTGCGACATCACCTAGGAAAGAATAACATCAAGAGATTTATGGATCTGGTCCCGGTTGTTCAAACGTTGGATAGCGCTATCCAATGGATGAATCAATATTGAAAGGATAAGAATTAGGGAAACCAATTGCGTTATCAACTGGATAGAGATTTATCCAGTGAAAGGAGTTATCCATCTTTCGAACAACTGGACCCAGGATTAGGACTGTGCACATTAGCATCAGCGTTTACCATCGACCCTACTGTTACATAGGGGGCACAAGACTACGACGCAAATGCCGAACACTCACGTTGACTTCACAATTGTTCAGAAATCACTAGGCCAGCCTCGCTTTCAAATACTGTAAATTGTTTTCTGTGGTTACTTCTAGTTTATATAAATCGCTATATTACCAGGTTGAATGGAGGTCACTTTGACTCCACTGCCCACAATCTCCAGTCTCAAACCCTGAGTCAACGACTCCACAAAATACTTGGTGGCAGAATACACAGTCAATCCAGGGAAAGTCTGAAAAATGTTAATATATCGCGGGAAGATATGAGCAAAATAACTTCTATCTGTGATCTTTTGTTTTGTTTTTAAGGAACTTAGCGGGGAATCATAGAGCCAGACTGAATTGCTGGATATTAAGACAAAAGGAGGAGACAGCATCTCGTTTTGTTTTGTAAACAAGGGTGGGAAAGGAAGAGAACTTATGTTGACAAGAGGGAAGAAAAAACAGAAAACAGGAGAGAGAGAAAAACAGGAAGGAAGGAGAAAAGATAAACAAGGAACAAGAGAGCAGAAAACACAGAAACTTAGAAGCAAACCGGAAATTGGAAAGCTAAAAAGGGAAACAGAAATTTAAAAAACAATTCAGAAATTCAGAAAAAGAAAAAGGACAGATATTGATACCTTTCTACCAGCATTTGACGAGATGTTGATGATGTGGCCTTTCTTTCTTGCCAGCATGCCCGGCAGCACAGCGCCAATACTATTCATAACACCCTGATAAAGTTACGGACAAAACAGGATTAGAAAAGTTTTTTCGTCATTCATGACGATGCAAAGTACAATGATCACCATAGACCTGAGTGAGGAGTACCTTACAGTTGACATCAACCATTCTTTCCCACTCATCAAGATTACAGTTTTTCATGGTTGTATAAAAGCCCAGCCCAGCGCAGTTGACCATGATATCCACCGGACCCAATGTATCATTTGTGCGGGACACCAGATCAAGGACCTGATGACAAAGAAAGCGAATATAAATCAGAGTCCATTTTCAAGTTGCTCTAGGCCTATTTTTCAAAAAAGAGACTCGGAGCACAACCATTCATAAGAAAAAGAGTTTAATTTGTGTATTAAACAAGAAGGCCCAAGGAAATTCGGACATGGCCCAACAGAGTCCAAGTGTTGTTTCTACGAGGGTTTAGTTTTAGAAAATTTCCACTGAATGAACCTACCACAATTAGTCAAAGCGAAAACTCTTTATAAGGATGGAAGAAGATTGACCGTATCTTAACTATAATAATAGAGATATCGTTTGCCTTGCCGTGTAATCACGTCAGCGATAGATTTACAAATTAATTGACAACAGTACATAGACCAGCAAAAACCTGAAGTGCATGGAATTAAGATTGGTACCGTTAAATCGTATCACAGAATACAAGCATCTACTTTAATACCTCTTGCCTGTTAGCCACATTTGTTTCCATAGAAACCGCCACATCACCCAACTCTGCAATTTCATCTTTTAGTCGATCCAGCCTGAAAAACAGAACAAAACGTAACCCTAACAACCTGAATCTTTTTTACGGTGGACAATTTCCTTCCATTATCAATACAGCTGAGTACCAGAATTTTTGTTTCAGTTCCCCACCAAGGCGAAAGCACGGGACAACACATCTCACAGAGTCAACATTCGTCACAGGGAGAACACTCGTCAGAGGGGCAACACTTGTTACAGGCACCAATTTCTACAGAAAATCACTCGTTTATCCTTTATTTCAACCCCCAGTTGTTCAAACATTGGATAGCACTATCCAACGGATAAGTACTAGGAGAAACAATTGGGTTTATATAGGCTGGATAGTGATTTATCCAGTCAGCATGAGTGGCTAGCGTTATCCACCCTTTGAACGATTGGTGCGTGGAGAAAGTGGCGCAAGACTGAGTTTTATCCAATCAGTGACCTCGAGCTCCAGTCTAGTCCCCAGGCGTTCTCCACCCTACTAACCCACATCCTATCGTATGCTGGACGTCTGAAACGGATTCCTTGCCAAACTTTTCAAGCCGCAGGAGAGAAATCCAAGAAACTACTAGGCTGCGTGAGGTCTTTTCTTTGTACAGTGCGCGCCTATGTTCAACCTAACGCTCGTTCACCAGGCATCGGCGCGTTCTGTCCAAGTTGTTTGATCAGGTACCTTTCTTTTCTCCGAGCAGCTAAAACAACTTTAGCACCATGCTCTGCAAGGGTTCTAGCCACACTCTCACCAATACCACTGGACGCTCCAGTTACTATGGCAACCTTTCCTTCTAGGGACCTGGGACCTAGAGAGATTATCAAAGAAAAATATTTATAACCATTAACTTCGAAACCACAGTAAATGCTACGAAGTTTGCGAAAACTAGTACAAAACATCATTATAATATGCGATTGTCTGTAAAGGAATGCTTCTCTGTCAAATTCTCCATAATTGGTGTGTCTATTTGGAATTCTATTCCACTTTCTGTTTAAATTATCAACATATCTAATTTTCGAAAAAAAATATAACCACTACTCCTTAACGTTCTATATAATGAAGATAATTATTTGAATGTTAATTATTTAATAGAACATTTTATTAGTTGTATAAACCTCCAGTTGTAATTTTACTCTATTTTGAAATAACAAAATCCCTGTACTTGAATTTACATGTAAGGTGTTTGTTTCTTTCTGTATACTATTGTATTTCTTTTCTTTTCCTTTTTTCTTATGTAGTTTAATATCGCCTTTATTTAAAGTTTTCTCCTGCCTAGATTAGCGTAGTACCTATTTGCGGGCATAAAGTATTGTAAAGTTCTGTTAATAAATACATTGTTGTTGTTTGTTTTGTTATTGCATGAGGTGAAGGGTTACCGTCGCATAAACGGCGAGTTCAGTCGCGCGTTAACTTTGAATTTTGCGAGTTTCAAATAGATGGTTCACTCGCAAGCTAATCAAGGCCCTGCAGTTGGAGAAGCCAACTTGTCACTGAAGACTGTCACAGAAGGCTGTTATCACTAGGCAGTTCTCTCTACCAAATTAGCGAGAATGGAAAACGCACTATCAAAATAGACACAAATACATTCTCATTTTATAAACACAGCGGAGCAGTACGAAACATAAAATGCCACAGAGCTAAATAATACACTGAGTCTAGGAATTTCCATCGAGAAGACTGTTATAGCTTCACAAACATTTAGTAAATTAGAGATCTTAATTACGCTACCGTTGGACGAAGACATCTTTTAGTAGTGTTCACTTTGAAACCACCTCACTGGTATCAAAAGGGGAACTGGTAATTCGCAAAGTGCCCTATATACACATCACGATGTGTACTCTCGGACTTGTTGCTTGGCAACAAACACTATTAATACGAATGTGTGATTATGGCCAATTTGCGGGTGATGTAAGGCATTTTTTGAACAGTGACCCTCAAAATTCCTGGACGGCAAAAGAAAATTTTTTAAGTAAAATTTTGATTTTAACATCCCATTACGGAGTGAATGCGAGTACATAAAACTAAAATTTTCATAGAAAGTAAGTGCCATTTCTTGTGTAATAGTGAGGGAATGAAGCCCATATGCTGATGAGATAACAGTAAACGAAAGCTCTATTGCAAGGTCTATTATGGATCACCGTAGTTCTTGAAAATTTTATTACCTTAAGATACGTCAGAAAACTCTTACACTTTACACCTAATGGTATGATTAGCAGGGAGAGCACATAAGTTATTGGAAGTCCAAGAATAAAGGAAACAAACCTCGTATCTTTTTCTTTGGGTTCGGTAGAACACCCTGCGATACCAGAGCAGAAAAGTAGTGTGTAAGAAGCTCTGAATTGACGAGCGGATAAGTAACTTTAAAATGCTCCATAGCTGCATCAAAATTCTTCATGGTATAGGTGCTCAAGTTTGAAAGAAACGAAGAATCCCTGTAGAAAAAGGACAATAATAGGCGTCAGTTTAAAATAGGCACGTAATGCCTACAGACCTTTGCAGTTACGGCTTCAACTTAAACAGTTTAAAATAAAAGAAAACCGACGCCTCATATTTATACTGTTCGAGACGGGATGGGAGGATCGGCAATGTGACCGAGTCCTATTTCATTTACGAATGGCTCAGCCGTTTTTCCTGCCAAGATCAACCGGAAAATTAAACTCAACGGCTTTGATTTACTCACATTGATTAGGAGCCGTTCTGTTCTGTGCCACTCCTGTGAATGGTCATTTTGCGATTTTCTGGCCTCCAACTTGAACTTAGATTAATTATTATTAATTATTATTAAGTCCAGCATCTGAAACAACAGGCATTTTTGTTCACTTGCATTGGTCAAAAATGATCCTAATCAAAGAGCTGTGTTCCGCTCAAAGAACCAAGTCATTGGCTTGCCGCCGGAATCTTTTAAGATGACTCGAAGAGATGATTTATCTCAAAACTCACCCCATCCAGATCTCCAGCAGTCGAAGTAGTGGAATGAGTCCACATTGTGGATTATTCTTGCACAAGATTTCAATCCTATTTACAGAAGTTACAAAGTATTACAGTTAGAGTAACATTTACGAATTGGTTTTATTAACCGAGTGAGATGATAAAAAGATTTAAAACATGACGGGTTGCTCGTGCTCAAAACATCACTAGACCGTGTGAATCTAGATTTACTATAAGTGGAAAACAAGGAAATTTAAAAAGGAAGGAAGAGCATTCACAGAATTTCAAGAATTAACCTTACCTACTACACCAATCTTTAAAAGGAATAATATCCAAAGGATAACCATGAACACTCATCCACTGAAATAACCACCTGGAAAAAGTGATACTCTTTTTACACAGACTGTAATATATTCATTGGCCTTGAAAATAAATTATTGTCCTTACTTAAGTAAACTATCTGCAATCCTGAGTCTATTAGCGTACCGTTAGGGAAAAAGAAGAGAAAAAGAAAACGACAACACGTACTTTGCGTTCAGAGGTTGTGGATTGATGATGTGAAATACTTTTCCCATAGACATTGACATCTCCTAAATTGCGTGATACAAAAACTGAATTAGTTGCAATGCTAATAACGTTTACGTCACTACAATGCTTATGGTCAGAAGACGTTTTTAGTGTGAAAACGCCATTTTCAGTGCACTTCCGTTTTCTTCAAAGCACGTAACTAAACTAAACTTTGCAAGATTACCACACAAGAAGGGGTCTTTCAGGTGCTGGTAATAGGTCACTTCCGAGTTCCAAAAACCCTTACTTTCAAAATGAGGCTAGGTGCACAACCTTTCTTGTGAAAACGAGTTTTACTTGCACGAGAATGAAAAATGACTTCCATATCAAAGGCTGAGCACCTACCCTCGTTTTGAAACAGAGGCCCGGGAGAACTCTGAAATGGCCTATTGATTTTCGCTAAGTTAAATACAGAAATTGACATTCTTCAGTCCACTATTTTCGTCTATAAGACCAACACCTCTATCATACGGTGTCGGGCTCAGCAATGTCCGTTTTAGAGACGGTTAATTTTAATAGTTCATGTAATGTACGCCTAGTCCAACCTGTGTCATCTTGACGATCATTTCACTGACAAAATCTACTGGAGTCATTTCCACCATCCAGTCCACATCGGGTGCAGAAAGCGTCGCAGTGATGCCTTTGATCATCAGAAGAATAAAATCTATTGGGTTCCACCGCACACGTTCACGATCACCAGCCAAGTTACCTAAGATACAAGATACAGAAGGGTCAAAGAGGAACTGCTCCGGCTCCTGCCTCGTACTCAGACGTCTCTCTCTCTCTCTCTCTCAGAAAATGTGCGCGCAAAGGAAGGCGGGAAGGAGCTGCTGTACCCTCCCCATGGTCCCTTGCGGTTCATCACCATTCGCTTGCCTCTACCTTGCCAAATACGAAGCGCCTGGGGAGGAGGCTGCTCTGTACGAAAGCCGAGGAGGATCTTCCGGCTTCCGACTTCCGACTTCTCATTTCCGACTTCCGACTTCAAAGGATTTCAAAGATGAAGGATTGCAATAACGTAAACCAAAAGAAAGTAAAGCAATGTAAACTTACTGTTTCCGGAAGTGGGGAGAGGTAATTTCGCGGTTTAGCTCTTATTTTTTTACGGTTTTTCGCAGATATTGAGTCCGATAGTTCTTTTGGAATAGAAAAAAATAATGAATGTTTTCTATGTTAATTTTTCTTATAATGTCCCGGGTCATTGATCAGATCAAAACAAATTACTTAAAATGCCAGATCTGTTGGGCTAGACGATGGTTGTTCACTCTCAAACGTGTGAATTGCAACTTGATGTTCTAGTTGCTGCCAGGGAAACTCGGTGAAATTTCGATACAACTTTCGTTTCGATTGAACAAGAAAACATTTTGGGTGAAATTCTTCGTTCTTTAAAAGTTTGGAAATTTTTTTCGAAGGAATTAAAAGAAAAAAAGCGGCGACACGGATGGCGAATGAATTTTCGTGTTTTTTTTGTTCAAATTTTCCTTATTTTAAAAAGGTCCCTTGAAATTTACCACAAAGATGGCAAAGGCCCTTCGTTACGTTTCAGTAGTGAAAATATAGTCGTGAAAGTAGCTTCCAGTCAGTCAAATTTTTTCCAGAGAAAGAAAAAAAAAACAGAGGAATGAATTTTCGTGTTTTTCTTTCTTCATATTTTGCGGGAGTTTATCTTTACAGGACCTAACTTTCACGAATTATTGGAATGTCCTAAAAAATTCTATTCCACTCGTTTTTCACTTCCTACGGTTGATCTTAGTGAAGTCTTGTCAAAATCATGACAATAACATTGCTTGTTGTTCCATACCTAATCTGTAAATAGAAACAGGAAGCCCCTTGGTTTTGGCCCTCAACACCAACTGTTCTGCAACCCACTTGGACTGCGAATACCTGTAAGAAGACATCCAGCAATGATATGACTGTGGTATGAGACATGTAAAGGGAATTTAAGAAAATTTCAGCACTGATAAGGCAGGCACCTGTAGACTGTTCACAGACCCTCTACTTTGTCTTTAGAGATCGTCGATCGCGCGCATGAAATATAAGTAAACCGAGGGGGTTTGGTGACCGCTAGAACAAGGGCGTGCCCACAAAATTCCGACAGGCTAAGACACATCTTTTTCAAAGGATGACTAAATTAGACGATGCTGCTTGTAAATCTCAAACGTAGGATATCTTTGCCATACCTCTATGTTGGACAATACATCAGAGGTTTTGAAAGGCAACCTGTATCACCTTAACCAGAGACTGCTGTCGTAAGTAGTGACGTGGGTGATATTTTGTACAGTGTTAACGTAGGATACAAATCTAACATGACCAGTGTACACAAAATCTTACAATACTAGTGTGTTCTTTCTCTGCTTTAGAAAACACAACGGACAGGAAATGCAATGCTTTGAAATGACACTTGCCATTAGGCAACATAACATATAAAAGGCAAGGACATTCGTAGAATCTGGTATCCTTCCATGATATCTCGAATTGATGGGAATACTTTAATATCTAGATACGTTGGACAAGTCAAACATACCCATCATCAAGTTTGCAGGCATATTCTTTCATGTCTGCGTCTTCTGAACAGTTTGATAATCCATGAGGAAAAACAGCATCCGTGCTGAATTGGAGGAAGTGGAACAAAAATTATCAAGTTAAATCTACAGGGTTTTGTGTGCATCACAACCATTTACAAACATTCAAATGAAAGCTACTTTTCTGTTACACTGTTTTTGAAAATGCTGTTTTTTGCATCACTCTATGAAACAGCCATTTACTTAACTGAAGAAATCTTTAGGAAGGCTGCAGTAAAACTAGAGCTGGTGATATTAAACTTTCAAGCACTAGACTTGACAACTTGATACTAAGTATTCACCTTTGCCAAAATAATTACACAGAAAGAAAAAAACGCCTTAATTGCTAACATGGTTCAATCGCTCAGAAATGACTTTAGAAAACATTCAAGAAGAATGTTTTTGTACCTGATGTAATGCAAAGGTTTGATTTTGCTCGTACATGCAAAGAGCAAAATGTTCTGTGTTCCATGAACATTTGCTCCTCGTAAAGCCTGCGGAAGAAATGTGGAGTCAGTCATGATACAGACAACAAAATAATACAATCAAGGAGAAGACCTAACCCTTTCACTGTAAGCACACATCATTGTAAAATGCATTTTGGAAAAAAAATTATTGGTTGTACCATAGGTGAAAAATGCATACTTATTACATACTGAGTTGTGTTCTTCAAAGTAGACAGACAGTCGCAAAATTACAATAATCTAACTAGACTGCAACAACCTCCCCTGGCCCAGGCTGACAAGCTAAATAAACTGACCTGGTATGGATAGACCATGTTAACAGCAGCAGCAGCATGGATGATGAAGTCAATCTGTAATGAGGTGATACACAAGGTGAGTGTTATGGAGCCAGAAATAACAAAGAATGCCTTAGATAAGCAATACATTCTGGCCACCGGATGGACTTGCTGCGCAGCAGACGCAATGAGGTTATGATGGCCGGTGATTCTGACTAAAATAGAATCTGCCACATACTTAAGGCATTGAAAATGCTAAATTCACTGAGAAATGAAGGTGTTACTAACCTCTGATGACAGGTGCACATACTCTTCCTCACTCACTCCAAGCTTCATTAATGAGACATCACCTAAAGCAAAGACGTTGAAGTTAAGTGAAATCAGTTGTCAAGGTGTGATATACTTAAAAAATGTTGATTTGCTCAGCACCACGGCAGTGCTACAAATACTGCCACGGGTAAATTATGGGTATTACCGCTATTATTATTATTATTGATTTCTAAGGTTAAAGAATTTCTCTTAAGATCACTGTCAAGTCACACAGGGCCTTTTCACAAACACCCCTTAAATTTGAATCTTTTTTATTTTTACTGTAGGCAATTATCTGTATCACCAGCTCAGCTGAGGAAATCAAATTTTCATATTTTTCTTCATCACAGAAATGTTCAGTAGCACAATTTCTCAGATTTCTTTAGAAACTTGTCCCTCAAACTCTAAAACAACAACAAAAAATACCTTTCAAAACAGTCACTCGATGTTCAAAGCCATAATCAACATATCGCTCCTCTTCAGTCATTTGCTGACGGTCACTTCTTGAAGGAAGTATCTTGAATTTTTGCAAAACTTGCTTTAACCTTTCCTTTACATCTAAACCAGGTTGTTCACGTACAATACAGAAAATGTGCACCTTCAATCACAAAAAAGTTAACCATTAACCTTTGGAATGCAAAAAACTCCTGTTTTGATACAAGAAGTTATGTTAAATTCACCTTGGTAAACCTTATCAAATCTCTCAACAAAAACATTCCTAAGAAGCCAGTTGCACCAGTTAACAGTACACGCCCTCTTATCCACCGTCGAGAGTTCTTGAAGTTTCCAGAGCGCCAAAATGCTCTTAACATGATGTCCATGCTATCACAAAAGAAGAATAAAAAATAGCAATCTTTTTAGATACACTTAAGTTTAAATAGTTGCCTTGTTTATTTTTTTCTCATGGAATCTACTTCCAGCTTTTAAGTCTTTGGACCTCTTAAAAAAGTATGTGAATCAAATAGTACTTTTTGTTTCCAATACCTTAATACAACTAAAAACTTGGACATTATCGTTATGTTTGATTAAGGGGAACTCCTGGAACGGAAAGGATTTTAAAATTCATTATTAATTGAGGTGACTTATATTGAAAACAACAACTTCTATACTGTGAAATATAACTCATTGCTTTACTAGGTCGTATGTTGCTTTACTGGCTGAAAGATACAGGCACAGAAGTTACATTACCACATGTAGGAAACATGATTGTGCTAAGGTTGAAACACTGGTTTTCTGTGGAGTCTAATGTTAGACATCAAGTGTAATAAGAAGAGATGTTGAGTTTACACACTTAACGAATTCCTGATCAGTGGCATAATGATAATCGACCTCTTTAAGCAAATCAACCTTGCCTTCTGAGAGATTCCTGAAAGCAAGAATAACCAACAATGTCAGACAGGATAACTTTTCAGTTTCATATTAAATATTTTTGTCAGGCAATCTATCACAACTGCAGGAACTACATTGACTGGAAGTACCGACCTTTCCTGTAGACTCTAAAAGCATGCATTCTGAATATTGTTTAGAGAACTGAACACTACTACAGCCAGAGAAACAGACTGGCCCATGAATATGAATTCAATATTTCACAATAAATTTCATACTGACATAAGTTGTAAGGGGTCTGAGAATATAAGCCACTATGTCCTAAAAATTATGCAGGACTGAAAAGTTTACTTCACTAACTTCTTGCTCTGCAGTGTGCCATCTTGAATCAGTTCATCAATCCTTTTCGCCATCTGTGCTACTGTTGGGTAGGCAAACAGATCCTGTACTGTCAGACTTGTACCAAATGCCTTGTTTACTTTTTGAAGAAGATGCGTTGCCAAAAGAGAGTGTCTGTAAAAAAAAAAATTATGAAAAAAAGAGTTTCAAACTTTCACTAACAGTTGTTTAAAAAAATATAGCATGTGACCTAACAAATAAGTCCTTTGAGGAAGCAAGTACCGCAGGAAAAATTTCTTGACCCTACAAAAGCAAAATTCTGCAGCCACACCTTCTGAGTTTCACTCTTTTCAAATTAATTTTTAAGCAGTTTGCCCTCATCTTTAAATGCCACATATCCTCAAGGCAGGTCCAACTGTTATTAAAAGTAATATGGACATCTGGAACACAAGCAAAATGCAGCCTTACACAGCAATAATATTGCATGTCTCAAAAGTAGGAACTGTCACTGAATCTTGGTACAATCAAATAACACACAGAGGTCACCTAACAATGGATAAATTCCATAAAGCTCTTACAAAACTGATGTCTGCAGACAGTTTCAACACAATAGTAATCACTGCGTCCATTACACAATGAGGTACACAATTTCATTTGTCTTACCCTCCAAGATCAAAGAATCCTTCGTGAACATCTATACTGGATACATTTAGCACTTCACTCCACAGCTTTACAAGACTACATTCTGTGGGAGTACTTGGCAAACCTTCCTCATCTGTTCCCTCTGAACCAATAGGAGGAAGCTTCTTTTTGTCTAACTTTCCGGCTGGTGTCACAGGGATACTACCAAGAAAAAAACATAAAGAAAACATGAAATTTTTTGTTTGCACCATTTAAGCATTAAGTAAACAGTCAATCGTACACACACAATCCATTATTTGCTCAATAACAAACCTTGCAAGAAGAACAAAATGAGATGGTATCATATAAAAAGGAAGCCTTTTCTTTAATATTGCTCTGATATCCTTCTTGCAAGCCTGACAAAAATGGAACAAAAACAAACAAAGACAAATGAGGCATAATAATATTTGTCTATCAGAATTACGAGTTGAACCAAATGGTAATGGTTAGCATCTCAAGATATGAAGAACACATCGAAATCAAACATCAATCACATACATTGTAAATTCATTGTCACTGCTTAATAATCTCAGGAATTCTGCAGTAAATAGTCAAGAGAATGTCCACCCCCACTCCTCAAGTCTTTCTCAAAGATCACCTTAACCTAACCAAAGAGACGTAATTACCTTGTTTCCATGATGTGGAACAACATAGGCCACCAGGTACTTATCTTCCCCCTCTTCTCCAAGAGCAACCACACAGCAGGCTTGAACCATAGGCAGCTGAATAAGTGCTGCTTCAACAGCCTGTTGGAGGTAAAAACATACTAAAGATTTAAAATGCAGCAGTGAACCGCACATAAAATAAGTCTCATATTCTACAGAAAACCTGAAATATGACTATGTAGAATTTGATAAACAAAATCCCTATACAAATGATGCTGAGAGACAAGTAGAAACTTTAGACCCTGGCATATACATAGACCTGAAGACAAGCTGGGACTATAGTTGAGCCTGGTTAGCTGCGCTCTGGGAGAACACCATGCCTGCTGAGTAGGAGGACTTTGGTTCAAACCCCTTGCTGGACCAACACTCAGGGTCTTTTAAATAACTGAGAAGAAAGTGCTGCTTTTTTAAAGACGTCTGCAAATGGTTAGACTTTCTAGTCTTCTCAGATAAGGACGAAAAACTGAAGGTCCCATCTCACAGCATTTTCAATTATTATATATCTGGTTCTTGTTGGACATAAAAGAACCCACACCACTGGAAAGAGTAGGGGACATAGACCCCGGTAGTGTGGCCAACCTCTCCTGGGCTGGGTGGGTAATACCTATAACGAGAGACCTAATATAGGGATAACCTTATGATCCTCCTTCAGGAGTTGCAATGGCTACCTGTAAACAGTGTATGCTATGAGTGCGTCTTTACATCAGGCTACCAATACCTACCTGTGTTTCAATACTGTATCCTCTAATCTTCACCATTGAGTCACAGCGACCACAAATCTCCAACAAGCCAGATGAAAGTAAGTAACCCCAGTCACCTGTACGATACAGTTTAGGACCAGCTGACTGAGGGACTTCCTCTGGACGCTCAATAAATCTGTAAGCATTCAATTCTGGTCTGTTGAGGTAACCATGAGCTAATGTAGGTCCTCCAACAAAAATCTAAAGCAGAAGGAATTGTAAATACATAATGCTGACATCAATCAGAAAGTAGTAAACATTAAGGAGCAATTTGTTGTCAACCCATGCATGCCCCTTTCTATTTTTTTCAGTGATGTCATCTAAAAAAGGTTCAGTTATTCTGCACACACAAAACTAACTAAAAAGAAATGTAATTTATGTTTTTTTCATATATTTTTATCATTTGACTGTAGTTTTAAAGGATTCTAGGCTTCCGTACAATGTAGCAGATTTACAGAGTACAAAGAAAGTCAGTTTTACAGCTTAATTGCCATTTGGGCAAACTGCAGCTAGCAACTACTTGCCCAAAAGTCATTTCAACTAGCACAAAAAAATTTTTCAGTGTGCGAAAAAATGCAGACTGCTGACATAAAATAATAAGGTAAACATTGTTGTGAAATGCTTTAACAGAATCCCTATCTCTTAAACAAACCTTAGAGGACTTAAAGTTTAAGGACAGGGAATCTGTTAGAGCAATTCACAACAATGTTTACCTTGTTTACCTGCCAGTCTGCAGTCTGCATAATTATGTTGCACACCAAAATTTTTTGATGAGCATTGATTACAGTTCTTCTGTAGTTTTAATTCCGGTAGGTCAAGTTAAGAACAGAATTCAGTTGTCCAATAATCTGCAAAATCCACTAGCCCTGGGCTATATAAGACACTGCTTTTTTGCACGCTGAATTCACCTCTCCTGGGAGGGCCACTGGTAATGGTTTCAGATCATCATCCATGATAGCAACATAGACCCCTGGCAACAACTTTCCAACTGGGCAGAATTTACGCTTCATATCATCTTTTTCAGACAGCTTCAGAAAGAGGAAAAGAGAAAACATGATTATAAAAAAACAAAGCATATACAAGCACAAACTGTATAATGTAGAAAAACCAATAAAAAAATATTCAAACATACACCTTTTTCGGATAGTTTGATAAAAACTTAATAAAGTTACAATACAATAAGTTTATTTACTTCATCTTGGAAGGGCAAATTTGTAAGGTCAGCAACAGCTACATCATGACATTCTGAAATGCTGTAGAGATTCAGCAGCTTGATCCAAGGCAGAGTCCTCATACACCTGTCTCTCAGGGCTGTGGTCACAACTTCTCCACAGAGCCAGATGACTCTCATAGACGAAAGGTGACCAGCAATGTCACTGTCTTCACAAGTCAAAATTGTCTCTAGAAAAATATATTGAAAATTAAATAAAAAATAAGACTGCAGAAACTATGATTAAAGAGAGCAGTTCAAGGCTGTGCTCTTTGAGCCCAGTGCTTGGAACCAAATTATTTGTTGAAAAATCTGAGATTTTCTAGTCGGTCAAAAAGATGCCAAATTAGAACACAGCCCTGGAGTTGATCCTTTGACGAAAATCGTTGTTGGGTCAAGATGGATAAGGAACTGGTCTTGCAAGTGTGTATGACAAGTCTTTGGTTAACTAGCTACCCCAGGGTCTCAATCTGAGGGTTTGCTTTTTTATAATTTCTGGTTCTTAAGCATTTCAACCCTGGACACCCTAGTAAGCAGCTACTTCTGAGGGAAATACATTCCTGTTTGATTGTTTATTAATAGGCATAGCTTTTCTCCACATAGCCATCACTTTTACGCAGCTGTAATCTGCTCTTCAATGAGAATTCATGATCAGTTTACAGTACTTTTCAGAGGATTAATCATGGCTGTCGTGGAGATTTCAAGTTTCCAGGAACAGGTAATTAGTAGACAGGGAATTAACCAAATAGAAAGTTCTTTTGGTTTTATCTTCCTTTTGCTTCCCATGAAAGAAGCCAAGGGTGATCATATTCCTAGTAGACAGGGGAAACCCACAGCCCTTAGTGACTGCCCCGACAAAGGCAGTAAGTAAAAAATAACAAGGACAATAGCAAATATTTCACTTACCAAGAAGAGATGGAGTGAACAGGACACGTGTTATCCCATGCTTCTTCATAAATTTCAGCAGAAGTGGTGGATCATAAATGACTGAGTCAGGAATCGCATACAAGGGGATCCCTTTAAGAAGAGGTCGGAATAGCTCCCATGTAAAGAAAATGTTACAAGCAACACGATCATCAGGTTGGAATGGATAATTTTGATGTCGCCAGGTATATGAGAAAACCGCACCGCGGTGTGGACAACATATTCCTGAAAATTTGAACTTAAAGTAAGTTTACAATACATAAGAGAGAAACTTTAAGTGGACATTGTCCTCAGCCAAGTGTTGCTTGTATGTACATGTATTACAAAAATGAAACAAGCCACATAAACCAAGAATTGTGAATGATATCAACCACCCAAATCAAGTTTTTCTCACTAAGCCAAATAACAGCCACGGCTATAACTTAGATCCAAACCAGGTTCAGTAGCAATACCAGAGTCAGGGACGCAAAGACATGCAAATTCGTTTACATGGCTGAAACTTAACTCCAGTGCTTGGTGGCCAGCCGGGCCAGTTTCCTTGAATTCTTAGTCGCCCCAGAGAGTCCCAGGACTCACCATAACTATTGGTAACAAAAGCAGTGTATTATATCATATGTACTATTAGCAGCCATGCGAAATAAATAAAGCAAAGATTATTTTCCAAAATTTTGTCCCACAAGGTTATTCAGGGCAGAGGGCATTGAATTTTATAGCTGGAAAATTTTCATTGAACATTGTCTTGGACCTGCTTTTTCAATTTCCGCTATTCAATGTACTGACCAAGAAAATAAGAAAAAAAAAACAAGCACTTTTAAAATCAAAATCCTCCATTTGTTTTTGTTTGATAAACGCGGGATTCACCTTTGTTTCTAAGGTCACTTTAATTTTACCAAAAAAGCGCGGCAAATGCATCAATGAAAACAATTTAATAAGAAAGAAACACTTTCGTATTAAAATAATTTCATTTTGCTCACTTTATTAAAGTTGCATTTAAGGTAATCCGGTCATTAAACTTTCATCACAACATCAAACAGCTGGCGATATGCAACAAACCTTCACTGACCTTCAGCTGACCACCGTCAAAAATCAGCAGTGATGAGTGCAGAGTCCAAAGAGAAATTTGAACCCAAAACTAGAAAAGCTTGATTGAAAGCACGGAAGAAACTTTTATATTTCCGTCACAGACATTTGTTCTTATCTTTTGATCCAGCATTTTTTTAAAACGAAAATTAATAATTCATTATAGGCAAAGAAACTACTTGCTGTTAGATATATTACTGTCAGTAAATTAACTCAAGTAAATATGTTTGTCTCTTGGAAGAGTCAAAGTTTTCTAAAAAAAGAACCGTGACATTTTACCTTTTGGTTTACCAGTTGTCCCCGATGAATAAACAATGTAAGCTAAATCATCTAATGTACTCTTTACTTTCTCTAAAGCTGGTCCAGCTTCATTCTCCTTTGCGAGTCTGTCTGCCCAGCCTTCGTTCAAAACAATCACAGTAACTGAGCTTGGGATTTTTTCCTTCAGATTTTCAGTTGTTATGACCGCTGCAGGTTTTGCATCTTCTAAAATCGAATATAGCAAGTTTTCAGGGTATGAAAGTTCCAACGGCATGTAAGCACCACCGGCTCTAAGGATGGCTGTGTAAGCAATAGGATATTCCAGCGATTTTTCCAGATACATGCCCACAGCACTGTTCCTTTCCACTCCTTTATGTCTTAGATTTGTGGCCAAAATATCGGTGAGATAGTCGAGCTCGGAAAAAGAAATGGAGCGACCATCATCCGATACAACGGCGGTGGCAGTCGGATTAGTCCTCTTCATTTGACGATCGAAAATTTCGTGGAGACATCCCTCGTTTTCATAATCCATGCTTTACAGTAAGGATATTTTAATTATCACGACCAAAATCTGCCAGACTAGTGACTATCCTTCGCCCCGAACTCCTCCGTTATCCCAAATACAGACGGCCCAGTGAAACCCGACACAGTTGTGCAATTTGACTCCACGTGGTACGTAGCTTTGTTGTTTCTTTCATGCTTGAATCGCAACTTCCGGTTGAATTGTCAACTATCAAAACGATTTCCGGTTGCCTAACAAAGGGACAATGGGAAATTTGCAACAATGGCTTGACTGTATGAAGAACATTTATATTCAATGAAGAACTATTTACAGGTTCCTGCTAGAGCACTGAAAGTCTTGAAAAGTTTAGTAAGTTTTTCTAAGGGACGGACCATTAGAAAACTTATGGGGGGGGGGGGCGAAGTAAAAAAAAAATATTCGCGCAAGGGAAAATAAAAAAAAAATTCATGCACGCCAATTAATCCTAAAAAAATGTTCATGCTATGGCCTAAAAAAAATTCATACAAGGAATTTGATAACGAAAAAAAATTCCTGCGGCTCGAAAATTCCCCCCCCCCATAACTTTTCTAATGGTCCGTCCCCAAGCTGTTTCTCAAATGTTAACCTCGCCCGCAGACGTTCTTTGTCTGCCCAATTAGTAAGGCACTGTGCCTGAGCAGGAGTTATGGGCTCCTGGCCTGAGCTATAACACACGAGACTTTCATAAAGTTCATTATTATTCTTATTACCCCTATACGCCTGCCAAGAATTCATTTCAAGTCTACCGGTTGGTGCAGTAGGATTTGCTTGCAATAGGTTTGCAATGCAAACACGGGTGGGCATCTGGCACCTTTCGGTGTGAGCCACAGGAATCCCAAGGTCACTAATCTGGAAACCTGCTTTGTTGGCCTCAATAAAAGGGGAAGAGAAGAAATTGGGTAACTACAAAATCAAGGTTTAGGGGTGAGTAAAGGACAACAGCTACCTGTTTTACGTCAACATCAATGTAACCATTTAACATTACTTATATGCGATAACGTCTACTAGCATATTTAATCGATCAACTTAAATTCCCGACATATAGGAAATAATTTCACTAGCGTTTTTTCTGTTTTCTTCAAGTCTTATAATATCCAAAACAATATCCAAATGATTGTAAGTGTAGAAAATTTTGTCTTTCGTCCTTATCTTCGCGTTTCACTTCTTTCCCTTTTGCCTCTCCCTGTCTTGGAAAAGTTGCGACTATCGATGAGTCTGACTTTAATAGAACGAAAGCTTGTCACAGTTTTCTCTGTCATTGCGCTCTCTCTTGCAATGTTGTTTGTTCGAGCTCGTTGCATTTTCATGTCAAAATGATGGTTAAAAGTGTCACGTCTTCGTAAGAGGGCAAAGCCGCTCCTTGTACAAGGTCGCAGTCTGTTCGGCTTTTTGGCGGGAAAATTTAGAGGTGAAAAGCACGCTGGGATTTTTTCGTCAAAAATGTTCGTATTGTGCCAAAAATAAAAACAGCAAGTATCAGGAGCCCATTTGATGGGCTCCTGCAAGTATGAATTCTGATGTTGCAGGGAAACTGGCCTATTAGCTGCACCAGTTGATGTGTGCCTATCCAACTAACCAATCAGAGCAACTTACGTCCTTGAAATATTTTCGTAAAGAATAAAAACTAAAAAACAAACAGTTTCCAGAATGACTATCTGGCCTGAGTGCAACCCTTTCTGTAACCAACAGGTACCAATGACACCTTTCTGGCTTTTCCACTAAATTTCATGGCAAAATTGTCAGGAAACATTTTGAACTTGACTTGTGGGCAAGTCTACACCATACTCTGAACTAGACCGTCAGCTACAAAGGCTAACAACAGGTAGTTGCCAACTTCAATGAACAACAAGGACATCTCTCCTGTTTTTTTTTTACTTTAGTAGGCTTATATATGACCAGAAAAACATAAGACTCCTTGTGAGTTTCTGATAGAACTTCACAACAATCATGATTAATGAGACAGATATACATTAAGCAAGGGTTATTTTAATGTCAGCTTTAGCAAACAATACAGGAGCGTTGTGGTTCTTTGAAAACAGCAAAGGAACAGGCAAATGTTTCGTGTTATACTTTAGTTTGCTTTTGAAGTCTATAAACTGTATTTATATCACTGGTTGCACTGCTATGTAGAAAGTTACTGTTGTTGCAGCTTCTGATCTGCTTCTGTAAGACCAACAGCTGTATTAAGCCTCTTTCCCTTCAAACTTCCCCAGACCACATGATCACCGAGGCCTAAGATCTGAGCAGCAGCTAGAGCAGCACCATCAGGGTTGAGAGTTGTGGTGCAACCTAATCCAGATGGCAGTCGCAGAGACGACCAGACATCTTGGGCACCCCACTGGGAACTCATTGGGGGGCAGTTGATCACTGGGAAGGCTGTATTACCAGATAAAACTGGTCCAAGACCATTGCTACGTCCAGCAACTGCAATGATGACGACAGGATTGCCTTGGCCTTCATACCATCGTAAAACCTGCAAAGCATCCTCTGTTCCCTTGTGAGCAGAGCAAACTCGGAGATCTGCAGGGATGCCAAACTCTTTCAGTGCAGTCTCGATCTTCTTACAATGGTCCAAGTCACTGGGTGAGCCCATGAAGACAACAGCATGCCCTGGGTGATGAACATTAAGCTTCTGCACTTCAGCTGCAACCCATTCATAATTTTTCTTGACTTGTTCCAAGGCTTCTGGAGTAACCTCAGGCAGGTTCCTATAGACTTGCTTGTCACGCATCAGACGTTTGTCCCCAGATGGCCAAATCCGCCAAGAATCGTTATCCACAACATCAGCAAGAAGAAGCTCTCCAGTCTTGTGGTTCACTCCAAACTCCACTTTCATATCAACAAGAGCGACATCCACTGTTGCCCAGGCTCTCTCAATGATCTCAAAGACGGCGACAGCTGTTTCACCCATGACATTTAGCTCATGCTTGCCAATCTTCTTGCCGCCAGCGATTAACTCAGCCTCTACACACTGTTCGTAGGTCCAGAATGGATCATGCTGGGCATCATCTTTAAAAAACATTTCCAGCTTGACAGGTGCGAACCTGTAGCCCTCCTTGACTCCAGGGTACCTCTTTAAGAATGACCCTGTTGCTATGCGACGAGTTACTACTTCCAGGGGTATCATATCACAGCGGATTCCAATAAAAGATTCTTCATCATGCTTTTTCACAAAGTGAGTCTTGATGCCGCAGGTGCTTAGCAGTTGAAAGACTGCAGTGGTTGTGGCATTGCTGAATTTTGCCTTGCCAGCAAGGTCATTCTTCCTGGTGCTGTCAAAAGCAGTGATCTTGTCCTTTGACCTCAAAAGAACATGGTTGCCATCTGGTGAGTCTGGTAAGGCAAAAATTTTCTTGGTTTTACCTTCATTCAGCTGCTCTCCAATCTTGATGTCTGCAATAGTAAAATAACAAATACTGTGTTAAATACTTAGGTAGACAAATCAGGTAAATTATATTACCTTAAAAAGAAAACATGCCAATCTCATTGAATTGCAATATCTTGCCTTGACAATTCATACTGAAATCAGTCATCGTGTATAAAATGACCACCAACTGCGAAAAAGGTTCTTACTCCAGATGGTGCGATAAATAATCAAACACAAACATTCCATTACTAATGTTTCTATTTTTCATGCTCAATAATTTAATGCTTTCTGGAAATTTTTATGGCTTGGAAATTCGGCATGAAATTTTTGGGGGTTACGTTTTGGTCCAGGGATTTTTGGGGGTTTGTTTGAAGCCCTTGGGATTTTTTGGGGTTTTGATTTTTGCCCCTATTCGATCATCCCTGTCTTTTGAAATCCAGAGAAGCCCCCCTGGGACATACAATAGTAAAACACTGACAGGGACATGGCTTATTCCTCAAAACCTGAAACAAAATTCAAAATTCAGACGAAGAACATACATACCCCCCCTCCCACCCACTCACAAGAGGGCCTGTGTTATGCCAGAAGGATGAAAGCTAAAACTATTTGGGAGTGGAAAATTTGCACACACTGGGGAGAGTGGTGCTTTCAACTGGTTTGCTTTGAATTTCTTCACAAAATTCTTATACGTTAAACTTCAAGCCAGCTACAAGATGAAAATGAAAGTCACTAATGATAACCAATTTAACACTATGATCACTGGATATGGTTTTTGTTCAAGTGTAGAGGGAAAGCAGTATTTGAAAAAAACTATTTGACTTTAAAAAAAGAATATCTTCTACCCTTAACTTTGTTATTGTGGTTGAATATGCAAATTGTTGAACCAATCCACAGGGGATCGGTGGTGGGAAAAGCAGGGGATCGGTGGTGGGAAAAGCAGGGGCATAGGGGTGGGGGTCTCAGGGCTACAAGGCAAGATACAAGGAGAGGGTGCAACATTATCCCCCACCATGAAAGAAACTGCTATAAGAAAATCATTTCAAACATTAAAGCAAACTCGGTGGAATAAGACAGTAAGTTTGGTCCTAGCAGATTATGCAATCAGTCAAGTGTGTTTTCCTCGGATGCACATGCTTGGTTATCGTGACCCAGAGTGAACGGCGGCTAAAATCTTTAGTGACTGAGAAATAGAAAAGAACATTTTGGAAGAAAAGTTCAAGTACATTTGTCGTTGAACAGGAGATTGTCTTGTCCGAGCTCAAAGAAGAAAAGCGACGAATGTGTTACTAATGGTTTCCACGTGCACGCAGCTTTGACAATCCTCATATCACAAATAACTACGATGCTACTTCAACAACAAGTTTGAAAAAAGAATATTCAATTGGTCTTTTCCTACCTGATGATGGTTTTTGTTCGGCTGCCATTGGAGAAAATATTTCGGATGAAAAAATAACTTCACGTAGTCGAATCCTCGATCACCTCACTTTCTTAGACGACTGCGAGCTGCACGTGTGACAATTCTAATTTATACAAGAGAACACGTGGTTCTATTGCTACCAATCAGACAACAGAATTCAATTGGTTTCCCGCCAACGTTCCCGCCTGAAGTTGGAAAGAACTTCGAAAGCATGGCCAAGACTTGCGATACTGGATAGAGAGTTTTTTGGTCAAGGACTAAGTGTAACTGATTCGTTTTGCGAAAGTGTATGGTATTTTTCTTATGTACTCCATCAATTATTTTCGGTGATAACTTTCAAACGGCGGTGAAACACTCTAAAAGACACGGCTTCGGGAGAGATCAAAAGATTTCAAAATGTCCGACGAGTCAGGGTTAACACATGCTTGTGGTGTTTTCGCGTGCATTAGAGCTGATGGCGATCCTTTAGAAGAAATTGATGTGGCCAGTATAATCTCCCTTGGCTTAGTTTCCCTTCAGCATCGGTAAGTGTTAAATTTTGGACGTCAGTTCCTAATATTTTCTCAAATCGTTAAATGCTAATTAACACAACTAATTCAATGTTCAACGTCTGTATGAACCACCAGCCCGGTTAAGTACGAAAGATTGTTGTCTTGGGTACTATGTGATATTATTAAAGTTAAAATTTGTTATTTTCAGCTTTTTCTGCTGGGTTATGTATTCTATGGTCCTTTGTATTCCACAAACATTTCGGTTTCCTTATTAAATAGTTCCTTTTCCTGTAATTAAGAACAGAGATAATGGCATTCATTAATTATCCCTTTTATAAGCTCCAATATCCACGTAGAGACTTAAAGGGTTAATTGATTGTGAAAGTGATAATTTGTTCAGGACTTGGTCCATGAGAAAAGATAGTTGAGCAGGGTTGTCACTAAGATTTTAAGTTGCCGGGTAAATACAACAAGTAGCCGGGGAATCAAATGGCTAGGGATTTGTTTTGGTTCTATTTTTCTACTATTTTCCAATAAAAGTAGCCGTGGGCCACTCTCTTAGTAGCCGGGGAAAATCCCCGGCCCCCGGCTCTTAATGACAACCCTGGTTGAGGATGGGATGAGGTGAGTCCAACTTTGGAGATTAGCAGGGAATGACAGAGAACTAATAAATGTTATATATTTTCCTTTATGACCTGAGAAAAAGAGCGCATGACAGATAACAGCTGCAAGAAACTGTCAGACCAGAAATTTTTACAATTATTGAATTTGGCTTTCGTATAATCTGAAGAATTATGGAGATCGAGGAGGGTGTTATACGGCTGAGGAGGATAACGCCCCCCGAATTCAATAATTGTTTTATTATTCAGTTCAAAATACTTATTCCTAGTTAAAAAACAACCTAAAACATGCTTTCCTCCATCAATGTTAAGTTCATCTTCGATAGTGCAGGTTTATCAGCAAGTTTAGGAGATAAAAAGTTGTTAAGTTCTGCAAATATTCTCCAAATAGCAAATGCGTCCGTCAAGTTGTCTTCTCGCTGCCCCTGCTATGTTTTTAGCCAATAGCTTGCCTATTTCTTCCTCTTGAAACAAGTGAAATGTTCCACCATTTTGTGCCCACTACCAAAACAACTCAACCTTGTCTCCAGCAGGTCTTCTTGGTTAACAGTTCAATCATCTGGCACTTTGGCAGTACAATATTTCTTGAAGTCATTTTTCACATATGGCAAAATTCTTCCAAATGTGGTTGAAAATAGCTGGTTATGATGAATTATGCATGGATTTTTGCCAATCGAAACAGAGAAATACTTTGAATGAATAATAAAGTAAATTAGACAACTTTATAACTGGCGAATCTGTCCAGCTAGCTTATTGTAGTTTTAAAGTAGCTATCTGCTATTAAAGTAGTAAAAAATTAGTAACACTGGATGTTAAATGGGAATTGAGCTGTCAGTTGACCTTTGAAATGTACATGAGAAATCCTTTCACATTTATGTGCGCCATTTAATAATTTTAGTATCCTTTCAGGATAAGTACATCACCTGACTAAAACTGCTTTTTTGATTTTTTTTCTTCTTGTTATTCATGTTGGTTCAGTTTAATCCTTTGTTCAAATTTTATATTCTTTGTTTTGGAGGCATGGTAATGTATGATAATGAGTTTCAAACAGAGGGAAGAAAAATCTAACTCAAATATAAAATTGAATTATAATGTACAAAATGTGGTTTCTTTGCTTTGCAGGGGCCAAGAAAGTGCAGGAATAGTCACCAATGATGGCAAACAATTTCACCAGCACAAGGGGATGGGTTTAGTAAACCATATATTCCAAGAGCAGCACATCAAATCCCTGCCTGGACACATGGGGATTGGACATACGCGGTACTCAACAGCAGGTGCCTCGGAACTCGTCAACTGTCAGCCTTTTGTTGTTGACACTATACATGGTCACATGGCAGTTGGACATAATGGTGAACTTGTAAATGCAAAGGCATTAAGGAAAAAAGTTCTTATGCAAGGAACTGGTCTGTCCACAGGCAGTGACAGTGAAGTTATTACACAGTTGTTGACGGCGACCCCACCATGCGGGGAACCAGATGGTGCCAACTGGCCTGGAAGAATTTATCAGATGATGCAGCTTACGCAGTTATCGTATTCGCTAGTGATCATGACACAGGACTGTATCTATGCTGTCAGGGATCCCCATGGCAACCGGCCTTTGTGTATTGGGAAACTAAGAAACTTGAATGACAGCCCTGAACTGTCACGGCTTGGTGGAGAAGTAATCCACTCTGGATATGACAGTGATTGTATTGATGATAGCACTCTGGGCTGGGTTGTATCCTCTGAGTCTTGTGGCTTTCACTCATTTGGCGCGTCCATGTGCAGGGAGGTAAAACCAGGAGAAATTGTTGAGTTAACCACAAAAGGTTTTAAGTCCATGAGGATTGTTTCTCTGCCAGATCCAGAAAAACCTATGTCATTCTGTATCTTTGAGTATGTGTACTTTGCTCGGCCTGACAGCATGTTTGAGGGACAGATGGTGTATAGTGTGCGACAACAGTGTGGTAAACAGTTAGCAATTGAAGCGCCAGTAGAAGCCGAGCTTGTGAGCACAGTCCCAGAGTCTGCTACCCCGGCAGCATTAGGTTACTCATTACATACTGGCATTCCATACGTTGAGGTGCTCACCAAGAACCGTTACGTTGGACGGACATTCATTCAACCCAGCAATAGGCTTAGGAAGCTGGGTGTGGCCAGGAAATTTGGACCACTGTCAATGAATTTTAAGGGAAAGAGGGTTGTTCTGATTGACGATTCCATTGTGCGAGGAAATACAATAGGTCCTATTGTCAAGCTATTGAAACAGGCAGGAGCCAAGGAGGTGAGCGATTAAATAGGTCTCGGGAGTTGTACCCGGATAAAACCAACTGCCAAATTGTAAATGAAAGTGGGTAGCCTGTGCCTCAGACAAAACTAGACTTGTGGTTAAGACCGTCTGCAAAGTAAAATCTTGTTCTGGGCTTCCACCTGTGTACCAGGATTTGAGGACGCACCATGATTGGCATGTTAAAAATGCCATTGTTGGTTCGCCAATCTGGTTGAAGGGAAATTCCAATGCATTTCCAGTAACTCGTTGAGCTTGTGGGGCTGAGAACAAGTATATCAGCCCTGCTTTCTAAATTTTACTTTGAGGTAAAGAATGGCAGTCCTTTTACAGGAGAATTCATTATAACGTGGGATTGTTATATCAGGGCTTCACGTCACTTAGCTCTACACCCCAGCTTGGAAAAATATAAATAATGTGGCCTTTACTGATGGTCCTGATTCCAGCCCAATTAATAATTGTGTTGAGCAGGCCCTGGTTGTGAAACGCAGAATAGCTTTATCCACCAGATAGATCACTCTCTATCAGATAGGCATAGGATTACCAAATTCCATCATCCACTGGATAGCATTCTCGGATCATTATACGTTTCTGGAAAACTGCCCACCTACCCCTCCCCTAAGCCAACATTTTGCCCTAAGTCAGAAGTATGTGTTAATATTGGCTTAGGGGAGGGGTAGGTGGGCAGTTTCCCAGAAACTTATAAAAATCTGCATTCTCCACCTTTTAAACAACTGTGGCCAGAATGTTTTTAGTTGTGTTATTATCTTTTTTGTTTTGCTCATGTTTAGGTCCACATACGAGTTGCATCACCCCCATTAAAACATCCGTGCTATATGGGAATCAACATCCCAACAAGAGAAGAGTTGATTGCAAACAAGATGAGTGCTGATGAACTAGCAAAGCAGCTTGGAGCAGATAGTATAATCTACTTGACTTTAGAGGGACTCCTGACGGCAGTACAGTCTGGGATACCAAGCTCTGCTGGTAAAAAGGACGGTCACTGTACAGCATGTTTGAATGGACAGTATCCAGTTGAGTTGGATTGGTAAAGTGAAAAGGCTCTAAGATATGGTGTAATGAATGCTTATATACACCTGTTGCAGTGCATCGCATAAACCATATTCAGCCAGATGCTGCAGTCTTTTCAAGCCTTTGCAAGTTAATAGGGTTTTTACATGACTCAGTGCCATATCAAGAGAATTCTGGTACTGTTCTCAGTAAAAAAGTCTTTGACTAGACAGTCTTTTTTAGTAGTTAGATTCACAAAAGAGTAGTAACCAAATAATGCAGACTCAAGGGGGAATCTAATCTAGTTTTTACCTCTCGTAAAGGCGTAAAGGTTGTCATTGTATTTCAGTTCAAGGTTTTTCTTAGTTTGAAGGCTACAGATGTCTGGTTGCTTATCTTTGACACCAAAAACAGTCAAACCCTGAAGATTACAATACAAATTGTACAAATTTGTCGCTTTATTTCCTTTGTCAATCCTGTATATAGAAATATGCTCTACCTGGTGCTCAAATATACAATTTGACAGTTAAAACTACCCAGCATTCAAGTTGACTATTTTGCAAGTAAATTTTTAAAGTAGGGCCCTTTTAGTCCCCCCTAGCTACTGCATGTCCAACGAAAATGTGTGTGCCATGGCGGCATAAAAAAGTGCCTTAATATATTTATTGTCTTTCCATATTTTTATTTCCTTACTACTTTTTTTAGGCAATTTATTTTTTGTTACTTAAATATTCATCTTACTGCAATGGCAACAGTAAGATGGTTGGAAGAATTTATTACTAGCGTAAGGTGTGGGTTTGTGTGCATCTAAGATATTAACATAAAAATGGTGTCATTACCTAAGTGCAATATTTTTTGTGTGGAACTTTTTTTCAGATGTGTTGTGAGGACAGAAACTATCCTTGATCAATAAAATGTTTGTTGTCTAGTTTATTGTGTAAATTCATTTGTTTTTCCAGTGTGACCATTACTTTAATTTAAAAAGGAAACGTTACTTCTAGGAAGCTACCATAAAATTCCAAAAATAAGCCCCAGGGCTTATATTTTTGAGAATGACGGGCTTATTTTTGGAGGGGCTTATGTTCGGGGGGAAATTTGGTTTCAAAATGGATTGGGCTAGCTTGTAGTGGGAAGGAAATGTACCGTTTTTGCTTTGTTTTACTTTGTATTTGAGGGCAATTTCCAAGTACAGGCCCCTGGGGGGCTTATACTTGGAGGGGCGATGTAACAGAGCGTTTTTTGAGTTATCAATTTGGGGGGCTCATTTTCGGAATTTTACAGTATTGTCTTCTCAACAAAAAATGTACACAGTGGTAGTAAATCATTAACCTTTAATCCATTCAAAAATTAATCAATCATAATGTAATCACTCTCGCTCTGCTTTTCCAGCATTCTTACTCATAAAATTGAATAGTCTCTACGGCAATATTATTTAATATATTAATTTACGTCTCGAGGCAAGGCTAACAACATGGACTCTACATAACCTGAAATGTCAGATCAAACATAAACAAAAGCTAGGACATTCTCATCCTAACATAAAAAAATAAATACCACTGGTGAGCTTGTTGAAGACAAGGGGTACTTACCATTTGCACAAACCACCTGGGTGAAAATCTTCTACATAAAACACAAACCTATAAAATTTGATGTGGTTGGAGAATGACCCGCTACAATGCATATCTAAATAAGCTGAACAGACTAAAAAGAGTAGAAAACTTACATCACCACAAAGCAAAGCCTATGTTTTCTGAAGCTCCCCAAAAGGAATGGCATGAACCATTTTATTTTTCAACCACTTGGTTTCCCTTACAAATGGTAAGTACCCTAGGTAGACTACGTACATTCCCAACTTGTCCGTTTATGTTTAGTAAGTGGGTTTTATAATTAAAATCTGCATTATGAAAACCTACAGTATGCTAACCTCCTACACAAACTGGCTCAGGCTTTTGTCACGCATTCCTCACCCACGGTGTTTCTTAGTGTTGTGGAAACCATTGTTTGTTTGCTTTTGTTTTGTGGTGTGGGTATTATTGAGTGTCTTTTCAATCTTTTGCATTACATCATTAACTTGGTGATTGTCCACAACAATGAGAACAACAATACTGAGAACCTGTCCGCAACAACAAGAAACTACCCTCAACCACAAATCAAGCGCTAAGAATGTCCGCATAGGAGGCTAAATGTGTTCTAACTTAGATAAAAAAAGCTTTTACAATATTAATATACAGCACTGATATATTTTGATAATATCACAACATGTTGTACCTTGTGCAGAAGTGGTTCCATTGCTTTGTACTGGTTGTTATTTCACTAATCTAGTTTTCTTGTTTTGCCTTTGTAGAGTGTAAACACGACAAGACATATCTTTTGACAAATAAATAATTGTGGTAAAAAAGTCTATTTGCAGAAATCTGGAATTCTCCATATCCTTCACTGATTTATCTATGTAAGTTACAGTACTTAAGGGAAAAAAAATTATGTGAGAAAAATAGTAATACACCTGCATTCCAAATTGCATGCCCAGCCTTTGGATTTTCCAAACAATATTAGGTTCCTGGACTTAAAAAACCAGTTGACTTCTGTTGCACTTATCTTGGTCATTGTAGTCCTGAATAGGACTGTTTTTGATAGTTACTAACATTTCTACAACCTGTGCCAGTAACTGCTGGCTTATGTGAGGTGAGCCAGCCCAGTAAGCAACATATATTACCGTGACAAAAGATGGATCATCCAATAACATCACGGTTTTAGAACCGCAATGACTTAGTTGACCAGTTTGGTCACCAAATACCAATTACATACCGTCAACTGATGATATTCAGCTCGCTTTTACTCCGACAATAACTTAAGCACAGATTGTCGCTGTCAACAATGTTTGTAAAATATCCACACTCTCCCAGATATTCATATCCAAATGTTTCCATTTCTGTTAAAATTATTTCAAATCTATTCATAATACATTCTCCTGTACAAAAATATCTAACACCTCAACAAAAACTAATATTTTCAAATACCTACAATCTAAATTATTTACATGTACACCTATAAATAAATATTCTCTCTGTTTTTCTTTGGTCATTCAATTGGAAACCTAGATCTTTTTATGTCATTTTCAGAGGGTCCTATGTTGCATTTTTGTGACATAGGTCCCATAGGTCCTATAAATTATTAGAGGAGGTTTTAACATAAACCCATTCCTGTACACAACACAGCAACTGTATTTTGCACAGCTGCTGGCAAGAAAACGGAATGTTTCAAGTTTCTGGCAGTTCTAGGCCAGACAAAATGCACCAAACTTTAACAATCTTCTTTCCTCATTTTTTTCTTATTTTTCCAGTTTTTTGAAAACTGCTATGGACACATAGTAATCTGCTCTACATAAAATTTGTAATCATTCTGACCTTTTAATTTGTTGCTTGCTACTTGGATCGTGAATACAGCCAATCTTAAAACTTTAAGACCCAAGAGTGACCAACATCAAGTTTCTCCCAACAATAGCAAAACATAATCAAGAGTCAAGCTTACTAGAATTAGTAAAATGATCAAGAAAGGTAAAATACTTTGATCATTTAACAAATTCTCTCAACTAACAGTATGGAGTTTAGTATGGAAAATTTGTATATTGATACTTTAGGTTCAAAGGGTACCATAATTACTCAATAACAGGGAGCTTTAGCATCGATGATGGCGACGACAGCGAAAACGTCACTTTCAAGATGAATTTGCTGCATTTATTCCAGTTTGCTGAAAATGTCAAATGTAGGCAAATTTCGCTGAAATTGATTTCTTAGAGACCGCACTCAAGTTTAGAAAGAGAAAGAAAAATTTGTCATTGCTTGTTTACATCCTCCATAAAAAATGAAATTAGGCCTTATCAAGTCGTAGTTGTGCTGTAATGATGAAGAAATATGCAAAAAAGGTTGTTGGTTTGCTAAAAAAAAACCTATTGCTTTTTTGACGTTCTCCTTGCCGTCGCTGTTGTCATTGCTAAAGCTTCCTAATTATTAACCACTGTAGTGTTAATTACATTTTCAGTTTCTGATGTGTCTTTTATTCAAAGGCCACATTTTCTCTCTATCAAAATCACATTTCTTAAATCACTGACCAGTTATGGAGAATCATTAGTAAATATTATGTTTACTGGTAATTTTGCTTCCATCTGCAGTGTTTGATGGAGTAAACACGGGTATACGGAAGGCTATGGGTATATGGAAGGCTCTCTCTAACTGGACACCTCGGACTATGAGATGGGTACCTTCCTACAACACACACCTAGAGTTAGTTTGTCCTTTTTTTTTTTCAATTCTTGGACTCTCTTTGCTCCCACCTCTTAAAAATGGACTCAGTATTGTAGGTCTTAGAGAGTTCAATGTACTAAGGATCCTTTTGTTCCTTTTCCACTGTTGCAGAATAAATGATTACTCCTTTTCTTCTGTTGGCAATGACTTGGACATCATTTCAAAGTTCAGGATTTGGCCATTCTCTTTGTTATACTCTCCGCTTGTATGGCCTATCTTTTCATCATCAGTTTTGTTTTCTCCCTCTTCAAATTCGTCGAAGAAAATCTCAAAATTCAAACTCTTTGGACGTTGTTTTAAGCGTGATGAATGTTTATCTGTGTGTCTATATTTGACAACATGATCCTCTTCAGCTGCAGATGAAAGATCCTGGAAGCTTTCTGCAACTGCAAGTTTACGACCATCTTGAAGCGACTTGCTAAGTTTTTCCAAGGCTTTAACCTAAAAAATAACAAACCAGTTGTCAGTTATTACATTGTTGTGAGCTCTCCCCACCAGGAGGAAAAAATTTTAGCAGGTAAAAAAATTAGTCAGACCAAAAATGGACTCCAAATCACGATAACCAATTCCAAGTAATCCTGCAATATTGACATTAAAGTTACAGTTTTAAACTTTACTTTTTAACTTTAGCACTTTAGAAAGACGAACAACATAGGAGCAAATTTAACTGTATGTTTTCTAGATCAAAATTAGTTGAAAAATTATTTAAACACCTTGGAAAAATTAAGTATTGTGCTACATTCATGAAAGGTCCTTATATATTACACATTTTAATTAAAACAGTTACAAAACAAAATTTAAGATATAAACTTACCTTAACAAAAAAAGAAAAATAAATTTACTAAAAAAATTAATGAACTGTCAAAGTATTTATACTCACTGGCTCCACATACATGCTCCTTTCGTTGGGTTTTAACCATCAGAATATTTTCAGTTCAGGCCCCAGTTGTTCAAAAGCTGAATAGCACTATCCACCGGATAAATCACTACCCAGTAGATAAGTATTAGGGAAACCAATTTTGCACTATCCACTGAATAGAGACTTATCCGCTGGATAGCGCTATCCACCCTTTGAACAACTTGGGCCCGTTGTTGAAACAGTTATAACACTATTAATAGCATTTATACTACACATGAGAAATTTCTACAATTTGATTGGATTAGAGCAGTGGTATTTCAGCTTAATTTGAAATACCTACATGTGAAAATTACAAACCTTTTGTGGGTAGTAGTATAAGCAAATAATAGCATTAATACAATTTTAGAGGTTACAATTACGAGTAGAAAAATATGTCCACTCCCTCTCCCTTTATTTTTTAATGATTATTATTGTTAAAATCACTTTTTCTTTTAGTTATTTACATTATTTTAAGACTTCAAACAAGGTTTATTTTTATAATGAAAATTTAATCCTTAATCTGGTAAAAACAACAGTATCAACAAAATGATCCCCTTACATTTATTGTGAAATTTACATTTTTATATTCTACCAACCCAGAAAAGAAAGTTGGTTAAACTGTCACTAACTTTTCAAGGTTATTTACCTGTGTTTCGTTTACCGTAATAATTTACAGTTGTCCCTAAAATGAGCAAACAAGAAATAAATAATGATAATTTTACAAATTAATTGCACCAGATTCGTAGTCAAGGAACTCTAGCCATAATCATATTAATGAGAAAATAACTTCATTAATAAGAGAAAGAGTCACTTTTGTTGGTCGTCATTTATTTTTTCAAAAAATACTTATACTTAATCTGACAAACATAAAAAAGGATTACAACAATGTAATAATTATTATATATCAATATTTGTTATAAAATAAATTCCTTAGAGAAGAAAAAAGAAAATTTATATTAACTCATTTAATAACTAAAATGTATGAAATGTTTAGTTCTCTTTTATCTTTTATATGTTGTTATGATCCCTTTGTTTAAAACACTTAAGTTACTTATACTTAGATTTTACTTTTGTTAACCTTGACAGAATCTAATTTTCAATTAATTAATATGCACAGTATATTATTTTTTACAATCTTTAATTTTAAAATGTTTTAAGTTTATCATGTCCTGTAGTCTTACTGAAACACATAGACTTTTCAAACCATAGCCGAAAACAAAAACCATAAGGCATTACAATAACATATTTTCACCAAAGACCAGCCAACAACAACAGCCCCAGGACAAAAAAGTGTGAATTAACAAGTTTTATGGCACCATTGATATCACAGCCTAAACCTCATGGGTGGTTGTCTGATAACTTTACATTTATCTTGTCCAATAGATGCAGCATTCTCACTCCTCACTGGCCTTCTCCGTGGACTCTGATTTGGGGACCCACCAGGGGTCTTCCCACTGCTCAAGGGCCTCCTCCAAACAGGAACATAATTAGCAGGGGTTCTTATGGAGGGACGCGTTTTTGTGGCTGAGTTACTAGTTAGTTCTTCCATGTCCATATTAAGATTTTCCCTTGCACTATGAAAATCTTTTTTTATAAAGTTCCTTGATAGTGGGCTTAGGGCTTTCCTTCCTCTTCGGTCCCCATGGGCTGGACCCATGGACTTGGGGATTCCTTTCCCCCTGCTTTTCTGTACAATAAAACAAGTAAGACATCTGTTACTTTGGGTGTATGAAAAAAACGAACCTTTCCAACAACATGCATTTGGTCCCTAATACTTGACAAAGATGAATCCCAGTGAATGGTTAATATTGCCCTGCATCTAGCAAACCTTTCCAACACAGCATTTTACCGAAATAAGCATATGATTAATATAATTATTTGTCTGTTAGTTTATTTTCAAGAAAAAGATTGGGTCACACCCACGGTAAAGAACCATACAACATAATTCTGACAGTAGTAACAGCAAAAAACACGATCGCAACAGAGGGAACCCCAGCACCTCAGAATGGAAGAAAGACAAGACCTGAAATGAGTAAACCATTGTGCTGTTTAGAATGAAAGTTACATAGTTAGACAGAAAGAATAAAAAACAACTTCATTAATTTTAAAAAAAGCATTTCTTTAATATTATTTTCTATTAAATGAATGAACAGACTATAATTATTATGTCAATTTGCTCTTGTTTAAATAAATTTACATGCTACAAATAATCAGCGTACTGTAACTTGTATGTCAATATAATCAAAATAATGAAAAAATTCATTAATTCCTATCATATTCTTTAAATCCTACCACATCAATAAATTTTACAGGCCTTCTTTCTGAAGATAGACCCTAGTCTCTTATCCACCATTAATAATGAGGAAAACAAATCTTACTATTTACATTATTCTTAACAATAAATAATTAATTATTTTGCATTCCAATATAAAATACCTGTGAAATACTTTGTTTCTTTGAAAAGAAGCTCTCAATCATTCACTTCATTGGAAAATATCAAATATTTACTTGCTCACATTTACTGCTTACTGCGAAGCAAAAAGTTGCGAGGGGAAAAGCCCATATAATACAAATTCAATCCTGTTATTCTCAAAATAACTTGATCAGCATTGAAAGACATTAAACTTTTTTTACAGCAACTTTCCTTGGTTGTTTTAAGCTTCAATCCCTTCATCTAAGGCAATTTTTTTCTACTTTCTCTAGTTCGATCCTTTTCAGGTAAGAAGTTATCAACTTGCCTACAGTATCTCCCACGATCACAAATTTTATACACATTTCTTACTAGGTTATTGCCAAATTTTCTAATTACAGATACCATGCACCTTAATTTTACTACCAACTTTTATCATCACTTTTCACTACCAATTTTACTCCTATAGAATGGTTTTACCATTTATGGTGCCAGACACCTTAACAAATTAATCATCTGTAAGAACATTATGTATTATTCAACCAAAATAATAATTAACTATTTTTCCTGTGTTACAAAATTGATGTAGTTAAGTCTCTAAACTTTAAGCAGTTCTGCGAAAATAACGTTAAAAGAAAAAATATTCTCAACATCTTTTGTAATATTATTGTTATAGCAGATTTATATGTCACATCAAACTAAACTTCAACAGCAACATTTTCCCCTTCTTTAAAGCTCATTTTAATTCTTCTGAGTTCCTCAGTTATGTCACTATGACTACAACTAGTTTTTTTATGAGAAGCATGCTGGCTTGCAAGTCCAGTAGTTTGGCCAGCATGAGCATGGCTATTGTCCTCATCTATTAAGACAGGCTTAAGGACAACATTCCGTTCAACAAACTGTTGCAAGTTGACCTCATCATTTTCAGTTATTTCTGGTACATGAAAACTGTTCATAGGAGTTCCATCTTTAGATTCCACCCTTGTGCCAAGAGATCTTTTTCTTTTCCTACCTGTGTCAATATTATCAATCTGAGGAATGTTTTCTTGCAATGACCCACCGTGTGTTTTCCTCAAAATAGGTTTGCGTTTAACATCCGACCGTGAAAAGCCATGCGGGTAAGGTAGAACACTTTCTTCACTAACAGCATTTAGCACTAATTCAGATAAGTGTTGCTGACCGGTTGGAGCATTAATTTCTGGACTGCTTACATGCCGCAGCGGCAAATCCCCAACCAACAAATTTTCCAGGTTACGCCGCAAATTTTCAGAAAAATTTAGTTTGCTGTCTGACCCATGCTGTAAATTGTGAGAAGCAATATTTTCAGCAGACAAGTTGAGAACTTCATCTGAGAAAACAACTTTCTTTGTGTCAAGTTGTTGATTTTCTCTTTGAAGAGAGTGCTTCTTTGAATTAAGTTGAGTTTCCTTGGAGAGATAATTTACCGTTTGCACAGCAATGGCAGCTCCTCTCAGCCTCCTACGTGGATCAAAATTTTTCGTGATTTCCACTCTAAGATTTTGATGAATATCCTTGTCACCAGTAGTGTGTCCCTGTGGGAAAAAAACACATGAACACATTGTAAATAAAAAATGGTATTTGAATTAATGAAGGAAAGGGCTTATTTTAAAAACCAAGAAAAAGAAATGTTACTATACCTTTATCCAAGAGTGATTCAATACTTCAAGAGCAGAGAATCTTTTATTGTCATCCACAATGAGCATCTGGTTTATAAGATCCTAAAAGACAAAAGAAAACTATAATCCTCTATTTAGCCACCTGGGGGCTTATTTTTTTCAAGCATGTTCAGGGGGGAGCTTATTTAATTATGCAAAACACATTACCAGTTGCATTTCTTAAGATTAAGAGTCAGTTGGACAATTGCCTATAAAACCATCATTCGTTTTGAGAAAATTTCAATCTCATTTACTGTAAGTAAGCAAGTTGCTGTAAGTATAAGCATCAAATTTCTCTGACGGGAGAGAGGTTTCTTCAGGAAGGGCTTGTGCATGGTTTCGAGGCACTATACTGCTATTCAAAACAATGAAAAGTTGTTATCAGTTCTGCAGAGGGAATGAGAGCAAAGAAGTGGAAAAAGTAGAGCGTTGTGTACCTTTGCAGAATCTGAAATGTCATCCCAAAATGGTGACAGGTATTCAAATTCCCCAGCAAGGATTAAGTCGAACAGTTCATCTTGATCAGGACTGAAATGAAAAATGATGATATCAGCACAAAATTGAACACAACACCTTGATGAAGAAATCCTATTTTGATCAATAGGAGTATCAAAATGGTGAATGATACTTTGTAAAGTCAAACCTTCTAAACGGAGGGAATCCACAAAGGAGAATGTATGTAATTACTCCAGCTGCCCAGATATCAACCTTAAGACCATACCTACAAACAAAAAAACTAACTCTCATAACAACAATAAAAAATAATAATAAAAATAGTAATAGTGACAATAACAATAAATTTTAGTATTAAACAGTAAGCACACATACACTTATTTTCACTTCCCTTGAAAAATAAACGGCTTCCAAATTAAAAAAAAAAATGAAAAAAAGTACAAAAACAGTTTATGGCAAAATATAATCACCACCCTTTTATGAGACATGATTCTCATTATTAGAACACTTATCTATTCTCAGAGTGCAGGATATGACTCTTAATGAACCCCTAAAAGTACCTAAAGTACCAGTGGATTATATGCTGTCCCCTGAATAAAGCTCTGTCCAGTAGATAAACAATTGCAGTGAATTGGTTCCTTTAATACTTATTTGGCGGATAAAGATTTATCCGCTGGATAGCGCCATCCCACGTTTTAACAACCAAGGCTAGGGCTCAAAATTCTTGCACAATCCAATGTATGAATATTACAATAAAGTATACATAATATGAACAAAGATGGCAACAACAGGCCAAGGCAAGGAACGTACCCCGTTTCATCCAGAATCTCTGGTGCAACGTACGTTGGTGTTCCACAAACAAGAAACATTGGGCTGTTCACCTCTGTGGCCAAACCAAAGTCTGCTAGCTTTAAAGATTTTCTATTATCTGAATAATTTACAACCTACAGCACAAAACAAGAAATAGAGGAATTTGTTATTAAGAAACAGAGTTTGCTTGAACTCTGATTACCTCAACCACGCTTGTCTCTCTCTTAATTGACCATTTAACAGTTATAGATGGAAACGAAGCTGGAGTTGACCTTGTTTTGATACAATTATCCCTTTCTGCTTCACTTATTTATGTAAAACTTGTTGGTCTTATGCTAACTAGTATTTTTCAAGCACAATTTCCATATGAAAACAAACCACACCATAAGGAGGTTTCATCAAAACATGGTCAACCTCAGCCTGACATTTAAATTGAAGGCTAAAGTACTAAGCCTACAACTGTAAAATGGTCTAATAAGGCCACACCATAATAGAATGAAGAGTACTGTTGAATGACAACTGGGCAAAGTGTTTGTTTGCTGGAATGACTGTAGATTTTGCACCCAAGAGAATTAACATTATTTTTGGAGGATCAACTGCAATACAGTACTTACTAATAAATTTTCTGGTTTAATATCCCTGTGAACAATGTTCATAGAGTGTAAGTAATGAAGTGCAGATGCCAAGTCCCTGATCATGTGACTTGCATCCTTTTCTGTGTATTTAGTTGCTCGTACAATGGCCTCAAACAGGTCTCCACCCTGAAAAGAAGAAAATGCAGAAAGAATGATAAACAAAATAATATTCTACTAATAATACTAGTAATAACCAAAGGATGTGGAGTGTGGGCGACAACTACTGCAGGTCAAAAAGTCTGCTCCATCATTGTGCTTCGTATAAGTTTCATGTGACAGATAGTCAAGACACGCATGATCAGATTACCAGTGATAGAAGACCAAACGCGTGTGATCAAATTGCGTTCTGTACATTCCATTCATTCTTAGTGGAAGTCTAAACAAATGCTGGCTACAAAATCTAATGCAAGCGTAATAACAACTTGGAGATTTGGATTGCGGGCTCCTGTTGTCCCCCGCAATTATGATGTAATAAACGTAAGCTTCTCAGAATGGTAATTCCTTTCCTACAGAAGTGGTGGGCAGTAGTTGATAAAATATCAAGAAAATTCATCTTGTGTGATCATGTCCGTAATTCTCATGACCACTCTGTTCTACAGAGCATTGATATTACAAGGAGAAATTTGATGCTGATCACTCTTAGGGCCTAAAGGGTTAAGCCCTCAGCTACTTTCACAAAAGGAAAATAGAACAAAAAAAACTTCCTAGCTGTTTTCCCCTTCTTACCCCCTCCCCCCCACGACCCCCCTTCTCTCAATCAACACAATCAAAAGCTGAAATTTTCACCTGTGGCAAGGAAAACAATAAAAACTAGAATAAAGGTAGATTTATTTAACCTTCAGTCAATCTCACCTTAACTAATTCCATAACCAGGAAAATTTCTTTGGGTGTCTCATATTCTTCTATAAGCTCTACAATATTCTTATGTTTCACTCTTCTTAATATACTGATCTCATTTTCTACCATGTGTTCCTACAGAAGAAGAGAACACAACTGATTGATATAACAGAATTGTTAGATATCTTTTTAAGTTTTCAGATAGCAGGAAAATATAAAACTGGTAGATCTAGGGGAGGGGCACAGTGAACCCCGGATTCCACCTTATTTCTAGGCCAAAGGGATGAGAAAACCTATTTTCGAGGCCACGGCCCCAACCCTCTTGAAAGCCTGAATCTGTCACTGTTAGGTTTCGACCAAATGCAAACAATGAGAAATGATGTTATCAACATGCCACAAACATGGGACAAAGAAAAACCCCGAGTACCCGATAGGAATTGACCCTATGACCTTCTGTAAACCGCTTGAATGCTCTAACCACTGAGCTACAAAGGAAAGAAAAAATCTGAGTCTCTTTTTTTTTCTTTGTCCCATCTCATGCCCATGACATATTGATCACATCATTTCTCTTTTCTTCACTGAGCTTAAAATTTACCATCTTTCTTTATTTATCACACACATGACGATTTCGACATTGTTGATCCTTGCAGTATGCAGGACACACGTCATACATGAACCTTGTATATGGCCCAGCTCACCACAAGTCCTTCATACCTCAGTGGTTAGAGCATCTGACTGGTGTATGGAAGATCACAGGTTCAATTCCTGATGGGGACTCAGAATTTTTCTTTGTCCCATGCTTGTGATATATTGATTACATTTCTCATTTCTTCACTGAGGGTTAAACTAAACTATCTTTCTCTTTATTGCACAAACAATGTTTCACAAACCTTTCCTTTAACTTTAGCTTTGCTAATAATCTTAAGAGCATATTCTTTATTTGTTTTCCTACAAAAGAATAAAAACAACACTGTAAGAATACAAACAAATTAAACTGTTGTTAAAAAACTTAAAGTCTTGATTATGCTTTGGACTTGACAACGATGTTCTAACACGGTAGTTCTAAGACGATCATTGTTGGACAGTATTGGAAAAAAATATTGGCAAACATGGCTCCTTAACATCAAAACAATGTAGGGCTTAAGACTTGTCTAACCAATGATGATGGATATGACAGATGCAAGATACACATACCTATTTTTACATTCTCTAACTACGGCAAAGTTTCCATCTCCAATAACTTTTCCTATTCTGTAAAACCCATGCACTGATATCCTCTCACGCTTTATTTTCTTTGGATCTTTGACTGGAAATAAAAACATTTAAAATCATTTTCATAAATATATCATTATCTAATTATTTTCAGGCAAATGTTTATGTGAATAACAATTTTTAAAAAATTCTTAATAGTAAAAATAATTTTGAAATCACTAAACCTTTTTTTTTTCTTTTTCAATAACATACTAAGGATTTACCCTGTCAAAAAGGGCATAAATTACTCTAAAAGTGGGAGTTGCAAAAAAATGTAATACATTGGGTAAAATAAAAATAAATCTTCCACACATAAATTTTTAAAAAGCTTGGTAAGTGCAATAATATTAAGGAGTCTATAGTACCAGAATTACACCACAAAACACAACATAAAAGGAAATGTTTACTCATAAAAGCAATACCTAGAGGCAAGGACTTTCTATTATTTTCGAGACCGAAGAGCAAAAAAACTAAGATCAATTTTAAATATACTAACAGCTCAAGGCTCTTAAGGAACTCTGAATTTTAATGAATTGTCAATAGCTGAGACACAAAAGAAACTTATAACCTAAAGGCCTTTCTAGTTTTAAAAATTTAAAGTGATAAAAATCTTTCTTTCCTCTTTTTAATGATTTTAACTTTTACTGCATATAGATATTTAAATTTGTATTATTAAGGCCTTTAAGGAAATGCCACAGTTCTGACTTCAATATTGTCTGTCTCCAAGCTTTATTTATTGTTTTATATTTGGACTTAATCCTAAGAAGACCTACGTTACACCTGGGTGATTAACAGCACATAGGGGTGAAAAAGAAAAAAATGCAATATTGCTTCATCTATTAAGAAATTGCTATGGAAGAGCCATCAAATAATTTAATGCAAAATAGGTCAAATTTCCTACTCTAGTCCCAAGATAAGGGATGGTTTTATTACAAGCTGCAGGAAGCCATTTAACCATAGGAAGGAATACAAAGTCGGCCAATGAAAATGCTTGTAGTAAAGAGGTTTGAGTAACACCTGCTACGCAGGAAACTAACAAAGATTCCTTTTCTTGAATAATCACTTTCATTTAAAATGCTTTTATGTAGTCAACACTTAAAATGATTTTTCTCCAAATTAAAATCTGTTAGACATATTAAAATGAGGTGTTCTGGTAGAGTCAATACATTTTCAGCTGCTTTTAGTTCCTACAAAATTCAGCTGAAACATTCACAGTGTAAAAAAGAAAAATATTACACAAGTCTAGAGGTTAAATTACAGGTTGAATTGAACGTGCCAGACAATTAATTTTCTGTTGACCCAAGATATTTCACTTTGATTTTAATAAAGAGTTTTTTTTCAATTCTATTTGTGCCATAAGATTTTTAGAATAAACTACTTTTCAAAATGTAATCTACAAAAACTCTGAAAAATTCAACATGGAAAAAAAATTTTTTTTTGATTAATAATCAGCTAGGGAAGTAGACTATATCACAAACTTAGTGAGATCTGTGTTGAACAGACAGGATGACCAAATATTAGTCACTAAAGGAAACAAAATTCATGGTAACAATGAAGACAATGTAAATAATTGAGGCTTTTGTGTCATTATGAACAGAGAAAGACTGGTGACCAAAGAAACAACAATACTTTGCTCTGTATTTTGCATTTGAAGCTAATAATCGTGTGGGCAAGACCTCAGTTATAAAGTGATCACAAGACAAGCCTCTTGCAGAAGAGGTGAAAACCATGGTATCTCAAAAAAAAAGTACACTGATGTAAATTTAGCTTTCATATTATCAATGAAACTGCTGAAGTCAACAGAGGGTAGTTTTAAGTAAAGCATATTATGTGTTCTTTAGGAGTGGCTAGTCATACTGATCAACACAGAGGTTTTTAAGAGATCAGGGACTTCATGTTATCTTTCCAGTAATCAAAATGTACCATTTTAGAATAGCATTTCACTAATCCATGCCTTTGTCAATTTATTTAATTTTACTTAGTTAACATTATGATTTTGTTATTCATGATTTATAAAAGCTGGACACATGTTGCAAATTAAAGAAGGACTTTAAATTTAACACCTAGCAACAGCTGTTCCCCCAGAGGAATGAAAGAGTGTTTTGTTTATCACTATAAAGGAAAGGACGATTAATTTGAAGCCAAAATGACCCTTCACCAGTTGTTGATAAGTTTTAATAATATTGTCAGTTAACACCCATCACCAAATAGATTTATCACGAACTCTATTCATACAAATTTCCCCATCAGTGTTTTTGGAAGGAAAGTTAGATTTATTAATGAGTTAAGAGGACACACATGGTGGAGGAATAATCTCCGTTTATTTCACTACTGGCGAAAAGAGAGAGAGATCACACATATGAGGCAGGTTAAAAGGGTTTCAACAAAACCGCCCATAAATTCAAAGGAGATAATTAATATTCTAAGTACATTGGTGTTCGGCCCAAGGCAAATTAAATCAAATCTCTTAATGACTTAAGCTAAGGTTAAAAGTATTTTCAGGGCTATGCTTTACAGTGAAATTTATTGCAGTATTGGTTAAATTCAAATTACTGTTCCTTTTTCTTGTTTAAAAAAATTAATATCAGCACTAGTAACAGACAAAAGAAATTTGAAATTTTACACTGTTGACAATGCTATTGAATCAGCTGAACACCTAACTTGTCAAGTGATCAAAAATTCTTGGCCAAATCAAGAAACAGAAGCTCGGATCTTTAGAATGAAATTATACAAACAAATCTGCTCCATGTAAAATTAAAATACTTTAGCCTTACACTTATACCTTAGGTGATGAATAACAGTTTAACTTTTTCTAGATTATTTTATCTTCTTGTTGTCTTTTTTGTTCAGTTTTCTATTCCTAGGTAGTATACTATAGCTACACATGACAAGCCTTTAAAGCATTCAACTAAATGGCTATATTTATAGATTATCATAGCTTATACACTAGTTATGACAACAGCTTTTGCTTGTTTCAACTAAGATACAGCCCTACATTTATGCAATAGATCAATTTTTAAAACGTTTCTTCCACATGAATAACAAAGTTTATTCCTACTTTAAACAGCTAAAACTTGCTCAACTTTAACTGGGCAAAGCTTAATGAGAGAAGCATGCAACAAGGTGTGAAACAAGGAAAGAAGTTATCTACGAGTGTTTATATAATATTATTAATGTTTAATATTGCAGTTTGTTTTGACGAGTTAGTTCAGTGAATCAGGCCTCTGATTCCACAAGCATTTAGCAAGGAGCTCCTAGCAGTTATTCAAATGATGGATCCATTCCGGTTTCAATTTGTTCTGCAGAGGAAGAAGAAGCACATGACATAAAATTTTAGTGTTTCAGTTTACATGTTTCCAATTTATTGTGGGCAATAAATCATGAAGACAAAAACACATTTTGATAATCTGACACTAGTGGATCTATTGGACCAGTTTTAAACCACACAACTAATACACCACTATCTAAATTAATTTTTTTTTAAAACTTCAATAATATTTCAAGGAGAAACTGGTAAGATGGGAGGTTACCTAGGATATTATTTTCATGAAAACTAACAGCAAAACCTTCAATGTGTTTTTGTCTTCATAAGTTGCAGGAAGATCTAAGTAATTAGGTTTATAAGGCATCAACAGGTTGTACAAGAAAAAACGCAGGTATTACAGGTTTCTGTTACCAATTTCAGTGGCTTATTACAGGTACCTGTTGGACAACTGGTAAAAAAAAATACATCCTTGACTTCTCATGTTAACGCTCATGATGACATATTCATGAGTTCATCCTCAGCCATCCTACACCGTCTCCAAAGTACAGAGTCTTGTTACCCCGTCGATTCACAAATCCTTCATACCACCCGTCCCATGGTTTGCTTAGGAAACTGAATCCACATGGGGGACGGGAGATTGAGGTCAAAGATTACATTTCAATCGCACTAGAAGCTAAACCCAGGGGGAGAGGGTGGGACTTGTGTAGCCTCAGGCCTACTTTTATGTGATTCAAAACTGGCCCAATAAAAACTCACTAATGTGATCTTTCTTTTCACCCAATTTTGTTCTCTATAATTGAAAACAATTGCTTAGGACAGCTCCTTGCAAATAGAAAGGGAAGTTAGAGCAATAATGCTGGATGAAATCATAATCAGATAATCATTAATAATCATAATAAGAAAGCTAAGCGAGAAAAAGTTCATCAAAGGAAAAATAGATTTCAAAAGAAAAGAGGAAGATAAGGAAAATGCAGTTGGATGAACAAGTAACAGAAGGCACAAAACACAGGTAGGGTAGACATGCATGGTACTTATGGGGTGATGGCTTTATTCAAAAAAAAAATCTGGTAAAAAAATCAAGCTTGAAAAAATAGTAATAGTGATGTTCTTTTAACAAGGCACCTAATATGCACAGAACACCCAACGTGATACACAAATTTCAGTGTATACGTTGTTCCATTGAACTAACATGCATCCCATTTTTCCTTTTTATCTCACTTATCGTTGCCCAAATTCAGTGAAACAGAGTTTGGGCAAAAGTCATTGGGCTTAATAATTCCACTTCAGTCTTGTAAACTCAGAGCTCGTAAAAAGTATGTTATTACAGTGGCACTTTGGAAAAAGTGAAAACGAATACTTGCAAGGAAGAAAATGGAGTTTTAACCAGTCACCCTTTTCAAATGGAGTTTGGAAGTACCCTATTTCCAAAATCCTTGCAAAAAAAAACAAACAACCAAACAGAAAATACTGGTCCTATGTTCCATAAAAACTGAGTTAAAATAAAACCCCCTGAAGAATCCTTCAGCAGCCTTTGTGTGCAATATCTGCCATGTCTTTAATGTGTGACAGCCCAAATTGTAATATTTTGGTGGTTCATTTAATAACACTTGTGCTACCCTAACAACAATCATTTTGCACTTATCTTGGTTTTCAGCTCACATTAAGTTTTCAAGATGAAGATAAATGTCTCAAGAATCTTGTTCTTAAATCTAGGTTGATGTATTTAATAAGGTTAAAATGTGAAGTTAAAATCTATTTACTGCAAGCATAGGACTGTAACACATTACCAATAAAGCATTAGTAAAGAAAAAAATCATAAAATTTATATTTCCATACTAAAGAATAGGTTGGCCTGTCACACAGAAAAAACACATTTGAAAGACTTGCAAATTTCAAAAGCTACTGTAAGTAAAACAATTGCCCAAAATAAACAAAATTACTGTATCGGCCTTTAATGTGTATTTTATTGTTAAAATAAATTATTTACAGGTTGAGTACACAAGTATGTATGAATTAACAGACACAAGAATGGTCCTTTTTTTAGTTTAAAGCTGATTTTAATCATTACTTACAGCTCAAAGGGTTTTGGAATTTATCTTTCAGAATCTACTGCTACTCATGCTCTAGCTCAAACTTAGTTTAACAGTTTAGATGTTTATCATACTTCCTGCTTTCATTTTTAGACATTTCTTTTTGAGGAGAAAATCCTTGCTAATTTTAAAAATATTTTGATTTAAACACTGTCTATTCAGTTTTTTTAATTTTCTGTCTAAAGAGGAAAACAAGACGAAGATGTGAAACTAAAACACAGTTTAAAGACTTAATCCAAATTCATGGCAATTAATGATTTTTAAGTCATATTTTAATAATATTATTTTATTAGCTTTAACAAAGAGTATTAAACAAATGTTTCAGCATTTTCAAAATGTATTATTCCCTAGAGGTTGTACTTAACATCTTTTGATTCTAATTGACACTTGTTTGGAACAAACTTGGATGACTGCTGATCATGATTCAACATTTAAGCAAAGTGGACTGATCAGATTAAATTGTATTTCTTGACATAAAAAGCCAATTGTGTGGGATTGCACTGCATCTGATTTAATGTAAGTGTGTTCCAGTAAGAAATTCCTTTACAAGCTTCCATTCACTTTGGTCTCCATGCTTGTTATCAAACAATACACAGCAGTCAGGGATTGAAGGGTGCCGATCAGGTGATAAGAGTTTCATAATTCGTTCAGCTGTCAGGGCATTACAGTAAAAATATTGTCAGTGTTTTGTCACTTAGAACTGCTAACTTTAGGTTATAAAAATAATGTTCAGAAAAAATTAAATTTTATAAAAAATTACAATTCGGCTTATTCGCTCAAGAAAGGACATACTAAATATTTATTTTTTATCTATGCAAAAGTATATTGGGAGTTATCAACAGGAAATTGTTGGTAAATAGCTGTTATTTTTTCGGCTAGCTTACACAACATGTACTGCTATCTCTTTTTTGCCTTCTTCTTGCATTTAATTCAATGTCACTTTTAGATCTTTTCTTCAGTGTCTGAGGTAACTCGTCAGGTTGCAAAAAAACATGGCTGTGGTTCTCAAGTAAATGTGAACCTGAGTTACATGTCAAAGAAAACGAAGCTGCCTCATCTAAGCTGTCATTTTCAACATTCTGCAAAGAATTGACTCTTTCCTCTAATTTTTCTAATGCCTCTTGTAACTCAGCAGTTAATTTTTTCAGTTCTCTGTTTTCTTGTTCTAATTGAAGTGTTGAAAATCTTTCCTGCAAGTCTTCTGCACAGAGATTGTTTAGTTCTGCATCTGGCAAACTTAATGTGCGGTGCAATTTTTTTCTAGGACCAACAACATCCTCGTATGATTTATCATTTTCAGAATGTAAGCCCGAATCCTCATCTTCAAACTTTGAGAAAACTGACGGCGTATTTGGTCGACTACTGATTGGGGAGGATAATTGACTGCTAAATGGTGAAGTGGGCCGGCTACTAAACGGTGTGTTTACATGGCTATCACATGAAGTAGTTCCCGTACTTGCTATTAATTCTAATTTTTTTTCCGGCTCTGAATCATAGTCACTAAGCCACACTGTGGAATAAAACTTGTCACTTGTTGGAGGGGTGACCTTTGCTTTAGGTCTCCTAATGACCTTCTTCGGAGCTCCCTTCCGCCAAGCTGTGTAATGTATGAAAATTTGTCTAAGTAAACAATGGCATGTCTCCCAAAAGCTTTTACAAACAAGGCCATTTGTATGGGTGTGTTTCATTTGGAAAGGCGAGTAACTACAGGACATTGTCTGTTACTTAATGTTCTTTAATTAGCTTATTCTTTTTTTTTCCATTAAGTGCATTAATAAACTTTTAAATAAACGGGAAAAGACATTGCAGAAAAGATTACATTTTATGCAGCTTAACTTTTACAGGTAAAATTGCACTCAAATTTAGCACTTTAAACTGTGTGACAGGCCAGTCAACCTTGGTCTTTAGAATGGATTTTACATGTTGATCATACTGTTTAACATCTGTTATCTTTTTACTCTGCACATTTGACAGGCAAAATATATTGTTTAACCTCTAATAACTAAAATTTAGATTTTTAAAGAAATACGGAGACACACAAGAGCAAACTGTATAGATTTAGAATAAGCATTGGTTTTATAGGGAACAAAACAGCTAGCCTATCCAAACTTCCCACAGGGGACTCCTTGTGCCTTTCTTGTGAAATGAAATGAGAAATAAATGTTACATTTTTCTTGCAGCAAAACTATTTTCATTTATAAGGATATTCTTGGTATCTGGCTGTCTATATTCCTGCAAACAAGGTATGATCTTGAATAAATTTCAAATCCTTGTGAAGATAATTCTCACCTGTGTCCGGGGAGTCCTTCTCAAAAACATTAGCTGGATACCTGTTTTAAATAAACATTTTCAAATATTTATTTTTGCTTAAAATATCAAACATGAGATCCAGTGTGCAGATATCCCCTACTTTTTTTTCGGTCAAAAAAACTTTTCAAATATTGCAGACACCTCTGAGAAAGACATTTGACCACAAAAAGGTTTAAAGATAAAATTTCCGATCAAACATTTCTGATTACAGTCATAAAGATGGAACAGGGTCTTTGTACAGAGATGCTCCTTTCAATGACATAATAATTTGTCAGCATTGTTAATTTTGATTGATTTTTTACCAACTTCCTTTCAGAACAAGTAAACCAAAAAAAGCTTTTGTAGAATTTGAGACACCTTCCCTTAATAGTTCTTATCCTTTGTTCAAAAGGATGTGAGGGTTGTCCACTACACACGACTAATTTCCACTGGAAAAACAAACAGATTTCACAGCACTTCCTGATTGCTCGTCTCAGTTCATGGTTATAGAATGAGGTATTTCAGAACTAGACATACAGTTACTCAAGTGGACTCTAATTGATGATGACTGAAATCTAGCAGAGTATCTATTGAAGGATGGAAAAGTGGTAAAAGACGCCAAAAGCTGAGACTTCAATCAAAAGTGTTGTATAACTTTTAGAAACTTACAACTCATCATTAGGATGAACAGGGCCACTGTTTGGAGTCTGCAAAAAAAAATGGAATGTGACAGTTGTGACTTTTTTTTAGGCAGGGGGGGGGGGGCAAAGTCAACCTCTAAGGTTGAGTGTGTCCTCTTTTACATCAAAACTGCTGGGATGCCAAAGAGAATTAAGGCTCTGAAAAACGTTAAGCAGACTATACATTAATTTCTCTAAAAAACAATGATGAAGCAGGTTTATTCAAACATCATCACCAACACAATGACCACATCTCTGAAACTATTGTTTCTGGCCAGACTCTCAAATGGTAAAATATTATCATTTACAGAGCTCTCAAGCATCGACTCCACTTTCAGAAATATTACAGTTTCGATTTTCAAAACTAAGTTTAAGATAGATTTTCAACACTTCTATGACTATTGACACCACACCAACAAGTCAGAGACTAGTTGAACAGACCAAGGGACAATGGAATGACATTGATCAATCAAAATAAAATTTCTAACCAAACCAAAGTGTTGTGTATACTTTGAACAATTTTTATCAGTGAAGTGAGACTAGAAATATTAATTTTTGAAAATGGAAAACCTAGTTTAAGACTGATCAGTCCAAGAGGACCAACGCTGGAGACACCGCAGACACACCACTCGTTTGTTTCAAACAAAATTTTCGCAATTACTGGCATAATGGAGCGCACTCATAAACTTAGAATAATAATATGCTGAGCTTCATTAAACAAACTAGAAGAAAAAAACTAAAATAAACCAACCCTTCTGCCAGAAGACCCTGTGGGACTCTTGGCACTGGCTGCTGTTAGAAGGAAACATACTGTGAGTAAATACTTTAACAACTTTTACGGCATAACACTAAAACAGGAATACATATGGATATTTTTTAAGTTGAAATTACTTTTCCAAGAACCACAGGCAGACAAAATAAATACAAGATACAAAACTTTTAAAAAAATGTTTTCTTTGACGGGCCAGTTCAGAAAGTAAAAGGTAATAAATGAAGCTTCTTTCCATGGAATAAACAAGGATATCATTCATTTTGCTTGTTCTCCAATGGTTTTATGATAATTTCAATTACATCCCAGGGGAATAACATTCTAAACCTATGCTTTAACTGAGAAAATTCTAAAGACTCCTCGTAACTGCCAATATATATTCATTTACAGTACAAGTGTCGCACAGAAACATATAGACTTTGCAAAGTAAAAATTGCCTAGTAACTGTATTTCCTTGCAATTTGCCACCATGAAGATGTTTGACGTTCAAGAGAATTTACAGCAGTAACAATCCCAACTTACTTCTTGGGCTGTGACCATTCATCTACAAGACAACAGAAATGTTTAAGATGATTATTAGTTATTTTGCTCTACAATTCTCTTACTATTTCACATATAGAAATGCAGATATGAAATGCAGTTCAACCAGTTTCTGTGATAATGACATCTTATGATAACATCCAATAGCCTGCAAACAGCAGACATATTTCCGGTCGTCGCTTCTCTCCCTCCGAAAATTAATTTTTGGAGGGAGAGAAGCGACGCCCGGAAATACGTCTGCCATTCACAGGCTAGTCATCCAATTGCTTCTTTGGCAAAATATCTTTCACAATGCGCTAGTTTTGTTTTCCCTCTTTTACAAAACAAAACAAAACAATTTTATTCCTACATTTAAATACGAATTGCTGTTACTTCTGTAAGTCAAAGGACTACTACATCAAGGTGAAATCAAAATTTTCCGTCAGAAAGTAATCTCTAGATATGCAGCGACCTGTCAAACAGGTTTTATAAGATATAAAAAAACCAACTGCACAGTAACGTGGGATATTTTGCACTTATTTCATGCCTTTTTGTGCAATAAGTAGCATAGCTGGATAGATAAGAAATAATCATTATATTTTTTATCATAAACAATAAATACATATTGGGATAGATTGTTATACCCTGTTGGCTGGAGGTCCAGGACTTGTCCGTCGATCCTTGCTGGCACTCTTAACTGCATAAAGATATTTTAAAAAACTTATTCAAAGGCTTTTATTGCCCACAGGTTTAGAAAATTAGGAAGAGGGTTTTGACCTAGCGGCTGTTTAAACACCCATGTTTTTACTCTGACACAACTGTGTATTTCGCAGACATCATGGTTCGGAACAGTCAAAATCAAGATTAATTACTTAAGATGAATTGTTGTATTTAGAAAAATACTGGTTCAGCGAACGATAAAAAATATACATGGTAATGTTAAAATGCAAAAATTATCTCACCTGGTATAAATAAAAGAGGTTCAGAGCTTTAAAACCAAATCAACATTTAATGTTATTTTAACTTAGAAATATCTTGGATGGTCTCTCAACTTCTCCATTTAGGTAATTTTTAACAACCGCTTCCAAGAGTTTACTTTAGTGTAAAATAAGATGAATTTGAGTTTGAACTTATTCATTTATGCCTTAAATTTGTGTTAAAATTTTACCTGAGGAAGAGCGCCGCACTTGGCGATCACGACTAGGGCCATGGCCACCTGAAATAGCAATTCTTGTTATTTTTTATTAACATTATTTTGCCTAAAGCATTAGGGGTTTTATCTCATTGAGAACATTTTTTAAAAAGGAGGTAATTTGTACTTGTTCTTATTGGTTTTGTTTAATACTCAACCTAATAAAAAGGACATAAATTCAGTTTTTATCCAATAACTGTACTTTAAAGAATTATATTGGAAAAATGACATAAAAAAACAGAACCTTGTGTGTTTTATTGCCATTGTTATCATCATCAAATTACCTAATGGATGAAGTCTTTTCTTATACCGAGTAAAATATTCATTCAAAGTTTTAAATAGGGAATGACTGTGATTGCTTTGGTTTAGATACTGCTCCTTTTTTAAAAAAAAGATAGTATGAAATTAAAATACATTTCGATTTAGTACTCATTTGGCTTTGTAGCATAAGTAATAACTGCTTTTATTCAGGTTTCAACAATGAGAGAGAAACATTTAAATGTTTGTTTAATATTAATAATTTTTATATAAAACAGTGAAACCAACAAAACCATAAACACCAGAAATATTTCCGGAATGTTGCTGTTGAAGAAAAAGGCCAATCATGCATGAGAAAATTAAACTGCAAGCTGCAAGCCAAAAAACCACAAACTTTCTAATTGTTAATTAGAAAGTTTGTGGTTTTCTGTCTCGCTGGCATGTCCTGATCTTTGCTGTGATTGGTTATAACACAACAAACATTCTTAAACATTTCAAGTGTTCTGTTTTGACAGTTTGACTGTGATATCAAAGTATGCTCAATTTGGGCATTTTTTACCTGATTCATTTGAGCCACTGTCTCGTCGACCACGTGGGGTTCGTAACGAGGAGGACCGTTTTAGTCCACTTGGCCTTTTGAGGTCTCTATATGGAGTAATCTTATAACCTAAAAAATTCATTTTGTGAAAACAAAAATATCTTCAGTCGGTATAATATATCTTTTAATTCCTACTTCTAAAAAATTAATTTTCTCAAAGATGAAGGAAACTTTCCCTTTAACCTCCTCCTTCTCATTAACAGGTACAAAATAGCAAACATGATGATGTGTTTTGCTGATAATGAGTTGGTTTTGGGTTCATAGGTGCATTTAAGGGCTTCTTAAGAAAAAAGCAACCACTACACATGATTTTGCACTTTTTATTTTTTATTATAAAAGTCTCACACATACATGGCAGTTGTGTCTTTAAAACAACAACGTAATGTAAAATGCAATAATACAAAATAAATGACATCTTTCCAGTTCCATTTTGTAAGAAATATTTCACTGCCATCATTCATCTTTCTTTCAGGTTTCATTAAAACATCATCTTTAATTGCTTAGTGCTTTCAGCTATTCCAAAAATATTCTCTACTCTCCCATATTTATAAAACCTTAAAAAGTACTCCTTGGACATTATTGTAGCGACTTGTCATTGAATATTTCTGACATTCATGTTAAAAAATCCCTAGTCTCTCATAACCTCTCTCCAATCCTTCACATGATGAACTACTATCCCTTAAAAAATGTTAATTCAATAACAAACTGAATTGTTGTATATTGTTGATGTAAACTGTGCCTAATATAACATTATAATATGAATATCATGAACTTTAAGTTCCTTGCCATTTTAGTAGCATTTTAAAATGTATGTTAAATATCTCTTAACTGAAACACAAGCTTTATTAGCATTGAATATACCCTGTTATATATAACCCTTTAATTACCTCTGCCCCAATAATTTTTATTGACTATAATATTAATTTATTAATGAAATGTCTATACAATGTTCAATGAAATGCACATGTCACAACTAGGCAGTTCAAGTTCATTATATTGCTATCAATTGAGTACACATACCCAGCGTGAACATGAAAATCATGGAACATTTTTTAAAAATAAAACCAATGGTATCCTTATTTTTCTTATGTTCTGTCATCCAATGTATTATGTGAGCACTTATGTGAATTAAAATATTATTCCTGCATGCTTTTGAAACTCAAGGATGTGTTTTGTTGCAACTACAGTAGTTCCTTGTGTATTAAAAAATGCACTTAAGAATGGTAATGAAACACAACAGTAATACAGCCATTGTAATTCTGTCACTCTATATGTGAATCTATATTCTTTGTTCCACCTTTTAACTATGGAATTAAACTACCACATTATAACACAACACGACACAACAGGACAGGACAAGGATGGAAGCCTAAAAAATGAAACTAATCACATGCAAAAGTCCAAGAAGTTTAATTGATTTATCTAAAACTGCATTGCATAACATTTTTTTTTTTTTTATGGGTATGGCCAATTTTTCAGAATTGTACGAGATGTAATGCCATGCATTTGTTGTCAGTGAAAGGATTAATACTTTTACACTACTCATGTTATTCCTCACTCTACGTTTTTTAATCTCAATGATAAACTGCTACTTTGCGACAATAATTTATTATTAATATTAGTAATATTAATTTGTTAATCACCTTGTATTAGAGAGACTTAATAGAATTATTGTTATAACACAGCTTAATTTAATTTCATCTGTTGTAATAAAAGTTGATCAGGACATTTCAACAAAAATACTGAATGCTATCAAAAATACTTGTTCTTTTATCAAGAATCATGATCTAGGATATGTTTGAATCACACTAAATTTTTGCACTACGAAATATGATTTGATGCACAAATGTTATCGAAAATAGAAATGACTCTAACATGAAAAGCTAATCCACATTAATTATTTGTTGAGTAACGTTTTCAATCTCTTGGTTTTGGACCTTGTTTTATAAGGGATCAAATAATATTACCGACAAAATGCATAGTTCAATCTTAAGCACAAAGCTCAAGTATAACATATAGAGGATGTGTTAGTTTTAGAAGAATAAACAATTTTGAATGTGCACAAGTATGCCTTTTAAAAGCTCTGCTTATTGTGTTTATAAATCTAGAGCATCAAGCTCGTGTAAAACGAATGGATAAATACTTTTCAAGCTTTCACCAAAACAGTGCACAAATAAATACGACTACAAAAATCTATAAATAAAATGCAAAGAAAGCAACGTTAACAGTTTACTATTTGTAGAACTCTTTCTGTAAAACTCTCTCACGGGAACATTCTTATTTTTTATGGGAGACATGATTATCCACACACATTTGAGTAATAAAAATTTGAACAATATTGATCCCCATTTCCTTGACATAAAACTGGTATAATAAGTTTTGTGGTAACATCAATATCATTATAATGGTTATGATTATAATTATTATGATTATTAGTATCATTATCACTAATAGTTTTATTATAACTCATGCAACTGTCTACCCTTACTATTTTAACTACAACACAACCTCGACAAAACACTGCTATTGTACCTAAAAATCTGCTGCCTTTTTTGGAGGGTTAAATAAACAAGACTTAACTGTAGATGAGAGTTTAAAAGTAGCTGGGCCAATTTAAGTGAAGTGCTTTTAGAGAAAAATCAGGTGTCATGATAATTGGCCAAGTGGTTGGTCAACGGACAAAAAATATGTAATTTCAAATTATCTGAAGCCACAGACGAATTTGTTAAATCAATAAAAATTTCAAGATCAGTGAGTGTATCTGGAACTTTTTCTAATCAAATTTGAAATTATGACTACCTTAGTCAAGTAAGGTCATGAAAGCTACATGTAACAACAATCAACCTTTTAAGCCCCAATACACATATACAAATTCTCCAAACTGATCTCCATACATTTGTTAAAGAGTGTGTTGAGAGAATTTGATAAAAGATCAGGGCATTATCTCTTTGGTGATCATTTCATTGATTCTCATAACCTAATATCTTGACAATGTATGAATATCGTTAGGAGAAAATTGATGTTGGTCACCATTAGGAATTAAAGGGTTAAGCAGTGATCGTTTCAAGTGAGTCAACAGGTGACAGGTTTAATGTCATGGGCTTTAGATCTAATTTGCTGACAGGATCAAAATCTTCTCCCTGATCATCATTGGAGAACATCATAGGTCGAACTGATGCAGTTGGTTTCCCTTCTTGTAGTCCTTGGCTTTTGCTTATCTTCTCATTGTAAATATAAATATAATATCCATGTCGACCCTCGACATTTTCAGATTCAGGATCTTCTCTCTGTGAGTCATTCAAAGGCAATACTTTTGGTTCTGCGGGTCTCAATCTTCCTCGTATTGCAACAGGAGTATCTGAGCCAGCTTTTGGTCTGATAGGAACAGGTTTATCAGAACCAGCCTTCTTCTTAGCTGGTCTGAAAGTACCATTTTCTTTTGCTTGAGGCATGAGAGCTTTACGAGAAAACTCTGATGGAACCCCCAGGGCAGTTTTTGGTCTTTGAGGAGTGAAACTTGCAGAAGATCTTTGCGTTGATTTTGGTGAAGGTGAAAAAGATTTTCTGGAAGGTCTGGGTGAAACTGATCTTGCTCTGACTGGTAGCGGCCTTGGTAATGTCAAATTTGACATGGATGCCGCTAAGATGCAGTGCAAGTGAACTGTAAACTTCTTTTCTGGAGGAGGGGGCTCGGGACGCAGGCCAGGAATATAGGAATAAGTATCTGTTACAGGTGCATAACGCCAGCGAGGGCGAGGGTAGAACCCTGGGATCAGAAAAAAAGCACCAAGTATTATTAAACTTGGCTGAGGAAACTAGCCCAGTAAAAGTTTACCGTTTGCCATCGTATAAGCGAGCTCAAAATGAGTGCGGGATTCCTATACATTAAGGGTCCTATTTCCTGGCCTGCTTTGAGCATGGTTCTTAAAAGTGTGAGATTTCAAGCGACAAGGGCAATGACAGGTTCATAAGTTTGTCATCATAAATGAAGAGCACGTGCACAGTCTCTCGGCACATTATTAAATAGTAATTTGCTCATTTTTGTCTCGCTTACACGAGAGTCACACCACTAATCAAAAGTGTTCACATTAAACCCCAAAGAATAAACTGGACTGATCTTTTTCTTAAATAACTTGACATACTAATTTAGGAACATCAGGAACATGACTAGGTGGTCAACACCCGTGGGTCTAAAATAGAGATCATTTTCAACAGGTCAGTGTACAGGTCACCATTATACAGATAAAAAAACTGCACTAGTGTCTACCAGCCCTAATCTCTTAACAAAATGCTCTATTAGATTGAGGAGAATCTGTGTGGTTTGGGAATTTATCAATGGAGCAGTGACCTGTACTCTGAACGTGACCTGTACTTTAGACCCTGCCTTTAAGAAGAGACATTTTCTTGGAAATTTTCCCCAAAATTCATAAGAAAAAAAAATTCAAAAGCAAGCTATCAAACCATTCCAGTAACAAAGTCTAATTTGGGACTACAACTTGTATTTCACGAGATTGTCGTTTTCATCAGATCTGTCAGAAAACCCAAAAGAAACTGTTCCATTCGCAGCATGGAGTTTCCAAAATCCAAAGATTACAGTTTTATCAAATGATACCATTTTTTCAATACCTTTACCCAAATGATCACACCAGAAAAGATACTAAGATTCAAGGCATTTAGGAAAAAAAAAATCCACCACTCACTTTGTACATCAACATCAAATCCTTCCTCTGGGAATTTTTCATGGCTTTGCAGGGCAACAAACATGGTGTCATCATTGAACAGATGTCGAAGCTCTCTGATCTGAAAACAATGAATCCATTTGGAAGTGATTCAACAATAACAAAAAACATCAACTGGAAAACGGAAGTGCTGAGACAGTTAAACACCAAATTCACAGGAAAAAAATTTATGGTTAGATAACTTAAGATAATAAAGTTATTGAAAATTTAAACAAAATTAAGGATGACGGATAAAAATGAAAAAAACTTTATTTAATAGGATTATTGTATAAAGCATGTTCATAAAATGAGATTTATTACACTCCAAAACATAAATGTATCATCAACCCAAATGCACTGAGAAAATGCGATTAACCCTTCCACCCCCAGAGTGGCATTAAGTGAAATTCTAGAATAAAAACAACACTGATGAAGACTAAGGAAGCTTAAGACACCACTGAATGTCTTTCAAGTTAATGGTCACACTTTTAAGAGGATTATGGCCCAGGCTCATAGATTGGAACCATCTTGTACAGCTTATTAAACAGCACCACAGGAACCTTCTGCTCAATAGTTTTCATTAAAATGGTCACAGTATAGGATTCCACCCATAGATTCAGAAGTTAGCCGGACATTGTACAGCACAAAATGAATTAAAGTTCACATTGAAAGTTTTACTTACAGAAAAAGGGTTGAATGGACTGATCATGCGTCAGATCAACGAACCATAACATTGCCACTTGATGACAAATAATATTAAAACATATGACAAAGATGAAAATTAAGCAATATCGAGCATTATTGGGAGCTTTAATTAACATCCACTTCCTTCCCATTGATCAATGTAATAGATCCAAACTATCCTCTATACAATTAAACGCTGCAGCTAGTCTTTCTACTTTTATAAACTATCAACTTCTTTGGTTTCACACCCATGGTGAGACACAATAAAAACTCAAATGTATGGACTACTTCTGTTTTTAAACCCAAGCCAGTTCCCTTCAGGAATGTTACTCTGTGTATTTTGAAAATCGGTACTCTGAACTGAAACAACAGGTGATTAAAGAGTTGGATTGTCGACAAATGTTGCTTATGCACGCAAGAAAAATAGGCCAAACATGTCTTGAGTATAGATGTAATATAGTCAATAGCTTACTCTGCATATCAGAACATTAGTCATTTAATTAAATAAGATCATTTGTTGATTAAAAACTGTCCTGAAATAAATGCCAATGGGCAGATTTTACTGTGAGACAAAAAAATATGGCATCAGACCAATTTAACTTTCAGTCTTTTGATGACATCTTCAAGTGAAACAACTTGTATGTAGCTCATGTAACTTTGTGTTATTGCTTACTGTGCTGTGCAAAATAGTTTCATTATCTGACGAGTAATAACATCTATAAATCAAATGCACATAGTTCATTGTATTTTCCAGGGGCGATGTTTATTATATCACATCCCATGGTTTCTAACATCTACTTGGACTACAATTTGCCTGTTGTAGCAGAATGAGTTAAAAATACATTTCACTTGAGGAAAAAAGTTTGAAAAATTTTAACTCACTAAGATGAGCATCACATGCACGACCAAATCAACCCAGAGGTGGTAAAACTTGTCTCCTAAAATATCTATATCTTCTCTGAGAAAGAATGCCTTTGCTTCTTCATTTGTAATCTTACACTTGATAAGCAAAAATCCAGGGAAAAAATGAACGAAAATCCTCCACAGAATTTTTAATCACACTTTAATTTCAAAGGTGTCAAATGTAAATAGAAAATACAAAGGAAATTACTTTTTTTCAATGAAGCAGAACCTCACAAGCGCTTTTTGTTTCTTCACCAGCAAAGCATTTTGTAATTTTTCACAAGATGGTGAACAGATAATATAAGAGAAGAGTACAGCTGTATTCTTGTTTGAAACAATCTGATTCTTGGATAATGATGGGAGAACCTCTGTTCTTTGAATAAGAATAAATATTTACAACTTACAACTAATGCAAACAAAATTCCCAAATGATTACTTAAAGGTCTGTTTTTATCAGACAAATGAAACTTTCACATTGGCCCTTGATGAAGTGGAGATGAAAAAAAACTAACGCAACAAGCTGTAATGTATGAAGATGTTAAAACAAATAAACGAAATACAGGAAAGGAGTTGATTTATATGTCAAGTCATTTTATACGCGACCAATGTAGTGTGGAAGTCAACAAATAAAGCACTTGGCTTTCGTACAATGTGACAGGGGATGAAATTTGTGATGCAATTTAATGTAATCCTAAACTCCCGTGAAAAATACTGATCGGCTAAACTTCTTCAAAGGGTCGATCTTTCACACCAGAACGCATTTGTGGACTTATTACGAAATTCGTCAGATCTGCGAACAAAGGACGCCTGCCGTGAAAATTTTACCTTAGGCGAGCTGCGAAATCTCGCATGAAAAACAAAAACAAATCAGAAAATATTTGCTCTTGCGACAGCTATTTCCCTTCAATGTGAATCCACCCATAACTGTATAAATTGGAAAAATTGCTCAGTCGAAAAATCGTCCTTAGAAAGAAGGTAAGCTTCTTAAAAGTGACCAAGACTAACGGTATAAATAATGAAAGCCTTGATCCACGTGGCGGGCACACGGACTAAAATTGAAAAGCGCTTGAAATCAAACAAACTATACTCTGGGGAATAAATTTAACGAGAAAAATGAAAGGAAATATCTACACGTTGTATAGCTTCCCATTAACCAGAAAGAAAAGCGACGAAAAATAATCCACGAAACAGACACAGTCATTCACGCAACAAAATTTCCACGCGGCTAAAATTCATTTCTGTGTCATCGCCGGATTCGCAGTTCATTACGGCTGAAATAGACATCAGGACATGATTTCATTATGAACGCCATTACGCCAGAAACGTTTTCGAAAAAAGGGAAACATGTTTATAGCTTTGACTCAAGGAAAATTATTGCGAGCCGCGTGTTGCTTATAGTTTTGACACGAGCCCACCATGGCCTTATCACAATAGATCGGAGTAAAACCTTGACGAACAAATTCGTCCAACCATTCAACTAAAATCTGTCAACAACAAAGAGATAGAGATATTTTTCTCAAGGTAAAGGCGAACAAAGGCAACCTATCCAAGACTAAAGATAAATTATTAATGGATGTGGTAACACAGATGCCAGTTCAATGGCCTGATCAAGCAAAAGAACGAAAAATGGCCGACAATAAAATCAAATAAGCTTACCTGTTTTCCATCGACTGTGTGTAGTTTGTCGACCTTTCCAAGTGTTCCCTTTGAAGACAGATGATCCAAAACTTGTTCCAAGCTAACTGCTGTTTTAGCATTGAGTAGCATGGTTACTTTCTTTTGTGGGGGTTTTCCATTCTTCATAACTGTGACCAATTTCGGTTTGATGAAATCCCGGCTTCCATCGATCTGATGAGATGGTGAGGACGTCGGCGCGTTTTCTTTCTTGTGATGCGCGAGCGACCAAGAGGGCTTCATGCTCCCATATCCGCCCTCAACCTCCTTGAAGACATTACACGAAGAACAAACATAACTAGAGCCGTACTGAAGCTCGTTCACGTCTGTAATCATCTTGCCATTTTCAGCGTTGAATACAAAACGTACAGCTCCCGTCGAAAGTTCCAGCTTGTTTGATAACTCCGCCAGCAGAGCATCGAACTCCTTGTACCGCTCGGGAGACACAGCTAGTTTAAGCCCGCAAAAAAACCGATCCCCATTTCTGTAAAAGCGAATTTGTTTGGCGCTTAGACTTTGGTTTCTTCGTAGGAGCGACGTGCGGTTAATTTCTTTACAGCTCGCATTTCGCGAGTTTGACCGACTCAGTCCCGGCGAAGGAGAACGAGATCGATCATGGCCGTTATGGTGGTCTCCATTCATCATGCCATTCTCCATGCTTGATCCTAGCGACACAACTAGAAAAAAGAGAAGAAGAATTGTTTAATTATTCACATAAGATTTGGCTTAGTTTTCTCAACGTGACCGTATAAATAAGTGGTTTTCAACCTTAGCACAGTGAAGTAAAAACGCCACCGCAAAATTGGGAGTTGCTTACATTCGGCCGGCGCCCGATTTGTTCCTTTCCGCTCGGCTCCTCACGGCTCTTTATCAGTTTGCTAATGCGTTTAGGGCTAAAACTCTGTCCAAAAAAATAAAAATAATAGCCTCATATTCTATTCTGAACTGGTGAGGGCCCAAATTGCACCTGCACCGAAGAAATTACGGCCAGTCTGTAAAAGCTTGACAACCGCGAATAATATTTTGACTTGTTCTGACCCATGAAGTGCCGCTTACTGATTGGACAGCTAGACAATAGAACAATAAAAAATTACAAGAACCAATCAAAGTAACTTATTGCTCACTGCAACTACCCGTATTGTGTTTCGCGAAAAAGAAGTCTTTTTTTTTTTTTTTTTTTTTTTCCTTCCTCTGTTACAGTTTTGATTAATGAAAATGCATTATTCTTGGTGAAATATTCTCGCTTGTTATTTTCCCAATTTTTGGGTTGAGTACTAAATCACCATGAGAAAAATCATTGTTTGAAGGGGATAAACATGAATTATTGATCAGAGTTTATGTGGACACATTTATCGGATATCACTCTTTCCTGTGTTTGAGGGAAATCTTTTGTCTCATGGGCGCGACAAAATTATTGTTATGCATTTTGGATTCTATAGCTCCGAAAAAAATTCAAAGAACTAACAGCTAGGCTGTACTGATTAGATAGCTCTAAAATTATGTCACGTTGAATTCATTTCTCAGCGCCTAATCAAAAATACCTGCTTCTTTCCAATAAGGCACTAGTACTTACAGGTAAAAACAATTTGTGTGCGTCATTATTCTTTTCCTTCAAAAAATTTAATAAACTGTATCGCCTGGACCTTTCCTATGGGTAACATTTTTTGAGGAACGAAAAATTACTTATTTTGTGTTAGTGCCTAGAGAAAAATCGTTTTACCCTTTGAGCACCTGCCGCGAGTTAATTTGTACGCTGCATGATAGATTTTGTTCCCGAACTGTTCATATTGAGCACTAAAAAACTCCTTAAAAGGAATTCACGCATTTTAACGAGCTTCAGGCGAGCTGTGACTCATCAAGGAGCAAGCACGTCTACTTGAAAATGGCCTTGTTGAGGCTGTGAATGACTTAATTAATCCACGAAGAACGCCTGACACCATCTTGGGTATTGGATGTAAATTTTCTGTCTTTCCATTTAAACATATATTGAAAGACACACTTTCCAATATCCAGGGGGAGAGGAAAAAAGACTTTAATACGTTACAACAATAAAACGAAAGGAGAATAAAAGTTTCATACAACCCGGGGCTAGATTTAAAGGCCACAATGTTTACTTTTTTGGTAGCTAAGGAGAAATTTGGCAAATGCCGAAACTGATTATATATATATGTAGGATGTTATATTTGTTTTATTCTTTTCTTTTCGACAAGTGCTATTCATCGATAAGAAAACATTCGACGTTCTTAAGATGTGTTTTTCCTTGTCCCTTAGTTAAAAGGGTTGTAAAAATTCCCCAGGAGATCCTGTATATGTAAGTTTCCAAAAGAACTATTCATTTGATGTTCTCGAGATTGGACTTAAAATTTCAAAGAAAATTGCCTCAAGTTTTACTCAAGGTACGTCCGAGATAATGGTCTTCAACTCAAAAAGCGTATGACTGTCTGACAAACTTCCTCCGCATATTTTAACGATTATAGGGTGTGGCTCCGGATTTTAACATAATTTTTTTTCTTTTATCGCTGGACTCCGCAGGGTTAAACATACTATTTATTGTACGTGATGAGTGTATATAGCAAAACATGTAAAGAATATTCCTAAAATGGACAAAAGCGTGCGATTTTAGCAGTAAAAATATACCAGGATGTTGCTTATCTTATGAACGCGACCTTTTGAACATTGAGTGTCAACGATAAAGCAGAAAATTAGACTTCCAAAATGAATATCATATTCATGATTCACTGTTTTTTGCATATCGTTATCTGCTGATAAAGGTATCATCTGGTGCAAGTCAAGATATCTCGTGATATCTGCTCCATCAAAAATTTATGGTCCTTCTAGGGGCAATCCAGTTGACATATTTTGAACATAGATCAGCAATTTATTCCTTGCACCTGTAGAAGACAATGGATCTTAGCTGAGCTCCAAAGTGCTGTTTGCCCGTTGTGAAGAGGAGATCTCCATGAAAAAGCACATAAACACTCGAGTCGTAACATTCAAATTGAACTTGAAAGCCTTCTAGAATACGTTTTTGCGCTAAATTCTGCTATCGTGAATATATCTACCGCGGCTCAACGGGGAGGGACAATGCCATATATTTATGTTAGTTTGGTAAGATCAAGTGCTGGAATTAACATTTCGAAACATGCTGTGAAATTTTCTTAAAGCCTCCAGCTTAACATTGTTCCCTGCACTATGGCAAAATTAAGTTGAAAGTCACGAAATATTTCGTCGCGATTTGTCAAACTTGCTATCGGGCTTCATTTTTGTTGTCCACGAAAAATAATTTTGTCAGCAGCCCCAGGAAACGCAAAAACAAACTGATTCACTGCAACCCGACCAAGAAGCCATAGACACGCTGCTGAAATTCGTCAGGGTTACAAGTTGTTTAACTGGTCACACGCTGCACTCACAGAAACTACTAGGAATAGGAAAATTTGGGGGGCAGATATGTTGGGAAGTTGATTATAACAAAACAGTTGTGATCCGGTCTGCATTATGCACATGCATTTTAAAATTACTTTAGTTTCACTTCCCACAAAAAGAAAATATTTATCTTCACAAAACTTCAAGCACCCCATTTTAAATTGTATACTTTATACATTGCCCCTACTTGCTGGCTATAGCTCGCTAGAAAGTCTACACTATTCTGGCCAGTTTAACCTATTTAAAATTAGATTTTTGTACGTCACTCAAAGTTTGTATACCTTAAAGAACAAAGGGAGGGACTTCCAAGAGAAGAGATCCAAACTTTGAGGCTAGTATTTACCCTTCAGTGGCAATTACAACCCCTATACTACTACATGAAAAATTTCTGCAATTTGATTGGCTTAGATTAGTGGTATTTCAGCTTAATTTGAAATACCTGCACGTGAAAATTACAGACCTTTTGCCGGTAGTAGTATAAACAAATAAAGCATGATTTCGACGTGATATTTGGCATAAATACCACGAGTGATAGTTCAAAATTGTCTCAAATTTCACTCGCCTAACATCCCGAGAAATTACGTATAACAATTTCGAAATATCACTCGTGGTATTTATCCCTAATATCACTACAAATCATGCTATTACCTATAGTAACCTTAACCAAATTACTCTGAGACTGGCCATTGGACGTGGATTCATTTGTAGTACGCGCGTAAAGCCGTCACATTTTGCCATTAGATTGTTTTTAAGCTTTAAAAGTATATGATAACGTCCAACGGCCAAATGTGATGACTATATATAAGCGCGCATGCTGCACAGTGAATCCCGCCAGGTTTTCAACTCAGTCCTTTTTTGATTCACAATTAAGAAACTCATCATTTTGCATGTTTTACAAATTACCATTTGCGCGTATTTACTTAAGGCGAATCGGAAAATATTTTTATTTTGTCTCTTCAATAGCCTGGGACCCGCCTCCTTGGTGGGGAAAAAAGAAAAAGTCGGCTGGAGCGCAATCTTCCATTTTTTTCCCTCGCGCGTTTCCTCGCGAGTTTTACTCGTTCGTAGTTTCCAGGCACGTTGTGGGCGCGTCCGCCATGATGAAGGTTGGTTTTCACAGTCAGTTAAGACAAGTCAGAAAGTCGGGAAGGGACTGACCATTAGAAAAGTTATGGGGGGAAGGGAAATTTTCAAGCCGCAGGAATTTTTTTCGTTATCAAATTCCTTGTATGAATTTCTTTTAGGCCATAGCATGAAATTTTGGGGGGAATTTTTCTCATTTAATTTTCCCTATTGCGCGAATAATTTTTTTGTACTTGCCCCCCGCATAAGTTTTCTAATGGTCCGTCCGATCCCTAGCCTCCCACGCAGGCGTTTTTAGGGGAGCTCGTATTTCTTCCCTCCCCAGGGAAGAGGGGAGGGACGAAATACGAGTTCCTTTGAAAACGCCTGCGTGGGAGGCTATCCGATCCCTAAACCTCTGGTATTTTAAGTTAAAGTCCTTCTGATCTTGAGCGTGACTTGCGTGAGTTCTATTAAGTGTACAACGAGTTTGTCACGAGATTTACAAACTCACCAAAAATCAGATGATTTTCAAACCGTCGTTTCAAAACTGTGTAACAATGGCTATGGGAAGTCTCTTTGTTTTCTTCTTGGCCTCACTGTGCGCATTACAAAAGGTTGATTCCAAATCTTTCACTATTGACTTCGAGAACGATCGTTTCTTAAAAGATGGTGAACCTTTCCGGTACATATCAGGTGACTTCCATTACTTCAGAGTGCCCCGTTTCTATTGGAAAGACAGGCTCATGAAAATGAAAGCAGGTGGTTTAAACACAGTGCAGACCTACATCGCTTGGAATGTTCACGAACCAGCCCAGGGAAACTACAACTTTGAAGGCGATGCAGATCTTGTGAGTTTTATTGAGCTCGCTAACAGCGTTGGTCTTTTGGTCATAGTGAGAGCAGGGCCTTTCATTTGCGCTGAATGGGATTTTGGCGGATTTCCAGCTTGGTTATTGAAAGATCCATCCATCACGTTAAGGTCATCAAAGGACAGACGTTATCTTGACGCAGTGGACACATGGATGTCTGTAGTACTCCCCAAACTCAAGCCACTGCTGTACGCAAACGGAGGGCCCATCATATCAGTACAAGTCGAGAATGAGTATGGGAGCTCCTTGGTGTGTGACCATGACTATATGAAACATTTAGAGCAGTTATTCCGCAAGTATTTAGGCAATGATGTTATTCTTTTTACAGTTGACAGTGACTGGCAATTCCTCCTTGCATGTGGTACAATACCCTCTCTTTACGCGACTGTGGATTTTGGACCGGAGGTTGACCCAGAAGAGGCTTTTGCGGTGATGCGCAAATTTACCCCAAAGGGACCCCTGGTAAATTCTGAGTTTTACACTGGGTGGATAGACTACTGGGGTGAAAAGCATCAAACAAAATCAGCTTCAGTGGTTGCTAAATCGCTCGACAAGATCCTGTCCATGAATGCGTCTGTCAATTTCTACATGTTTGAGGATGGTACTAACTTCGGATTTATGAGTGGCGCAAATTTGAATTTAATCTTGTACAAACCAATACCGACCAGCTATGTCTATGATGCTCCTTTGACGGAAGCAGGTGACGTGGGAACTAAATTTCACGTCATACGAAAGACCATTTCCAATCACGAGAACATACCAGAGATTCCCATTCCACCAAACACGACCAAGTTCGCTTATGGTAAGATTCAGATGACCCCACTTTCGACGTTCCTTGACGCCGTGCCAAAACTTTCTGCCCATGGTCCTGTGAATTCAACTTTCCCCTTAACTATGGAACAAATTGGTCAGAACTATGGCTTTGTTCTCTACCGCACGGAAATTCCAAAAGCGTTCATTAACACCACTGTCACTTTGGAATTCACTAGTTTAGTCCGCGACAGAGCAATTATTTTTGTAGGGAAAACCCGCCAAGCAACATTATTCCGTCGGCCGGGACAGAAAAGTGCCACCCTTCACATTGAAACAAATTTGCAGCTAGATATTCTGGTTGAGAATACAGGGAGGATAAACGCAGGCATAAGGATGGTGGATCCTAAAGGAATTTTCGGAAACGTTACTTTACAAAAAACGCCGCTTCGTAACTGGCAAATATATCCCATAGACTTGAACAATGTCGTGTCAGGGCCTTCAAACGTCGCCAAGAATTTTCCTACAAAACATAACCCCCTTTCAACCAACGCATTTACTCCTACGTTATATCATGGTGTGATTCCGAATGGAAATGGGTCGTTTGACACTTTTCTTCAACTTCCTGGATGGAGTAAGGGGCAGGCATTTGTAAATGGATTTAATGTAGGTCGTTATTGGCCTGTAGTTGGCCCACAACAGACTCTGTTTGTGCCGGCAAACGTGCTGTCACTCAACAGGAATCCAGCCAGTATAGTGTTACTGGAGCTGGATAGTTCTCCGTGTGTAAATCCAAAGACATGTTTCGTAAAATTTGTTGCAGAGCCATCAATAAATGGGCCAGTTCATCCTATAGGCGGTCACCCCTGAGTTAGCGAAAGAAATCAGCATGATTAAGATAAAGAGTTCCCACACTGATCTGACACCGAAACTATTATCAGTAATTTGTATTTAATAGCATAGCCTAGACAAAACTGTTTAATTCTCTAAAGTATTACTCTCGCACATCACTGGCATCATCGTTAATGGTATTGCCCCTTTCCGAGAGTTTTTCCGAGATGGGTGTGCCATGGGCAACTACTCTTGTATCCAGATCTCCCACGTAAGACAGAGCCGGTAACATCTGGGTAGGAGATTAGGGGGAAAGTTCTTGCAATAAATTTGACGATAAGAATCAAAATGTATTAGTGCCATGGAAACTGAGTCGGTTCCTGATCGAAAATAGGCACAACTTCATGTAGCACTTTACAATATATAATTTACTGATCATACTAAGTCAGTGGAAACAAGTTTAAGGACAAGTCGTTCGATACCTCATCACCGAAAATAGTCAGTTTGCAAAAAAGAGTTAGATGCAAAGCGAACATTGAATTAATTGAACATTGACGTGTGAAACAAATTAGAAACCTAAACTGAAATATATAAAATGATCTAATAGTTTGATTTGTGTGTTTGCTTACTTGTCTTCTCCATGACCAACGTGCGCGTAGATCCTTGTTTCTCGATCATGGCCATTTCTTGACGTCTGTTTATACCGCTTAGAACTTTTACTCACTATATATATAGTGTTCAAACCGTGAACCAACTGAAGTTTTCCCCATTCAGAATGTAAAGAGAAGGCAGCTTTGCCATAGATATGTTTGTATGGTGCGGGCGGAAAGGTGAAATACGCTATCTTCAGTCGCTCTGAAACCTCCAAAAACTGGGCGAAATCAGTCCCTTGACGTTATCACCAGTTCTTCGAAAGGTATGGGCTCATAGACGCATAATATTTGCCAGGAATTTAATATATTAACTAACAATGCAAAACTTATCAGGGGCACCCAACGTCAATTTTCGGAAAATGATCTGTTCGGAAGACGATTTGAGATCTAGAATTTTCGGAACATTTGCTGTAATATTTCTTGCTTGCCTGCCTCTCCTAGGATTTTCGAACATCTAAAAAATGGTATAATTGCCCATTTTTAACGGATTTTTACCCTAAAAAGGTCACCTAGAATTTTCGGGAGCCTTTCTTCTGGCTGGAATTTTCGAAGAGGTAAGTTTTGATCCCTATAATTTTCGGATCACTAGACTTTCAGCGAGGAAATCCGAACAGATGAAAAATTTTTAGGGGATAAAAATATGCCTATATCTACCGTTTAAATACTAAAATACGTTTAACAATGCTTTGTTTAAGTGGTTTTGCACTATATTCTCGTTGGGTGCCCCTGACTTAATTGAAGTCAGAATTTCGAAACCATTACACCCACGGTTTTCTTTTAAATAATTTGCAGATGATGAGTGAAGAGGACCTAGCAAGGAACCTGTACGAGAAAATAAAACTGTGAAATCAGAAAAGCGAGCTGATAGAGTGTACAGATGAGCTTCACCAAGAGACCACGAAAGTGCCCAACAGTTCCCGAGTGTTCTTTAATATTCCTTATAAGTCTCCACAGAGGAAATAGAGTCTTAAAAAAGGGAAAAAAACGGTGCGCGCTCGTATAGATGAAGTTAGCCCACGTGCCGATACATCTCAAGAGAGAATTATTCTTTGTTGAAAACTCGATGAAACCGCTTGACTTACAGCGCGTTAAAAATGAATACGATCAAGAGAGGATAGACCGGCTCTATCCTCAACAATCCCTGAGTAGCGCAGACCCAGTTGCTTGTTCAGTGGATTTGATTTATCGGTATATCGCACGCATGGCAGGCTTAACAAGGCTAGCAGCGAAACTGAGCGTCTTCATCTAAGATGGAAAGTCCACATTGATCCAGAATGCTTAAAAGAGACAAAAAGGCTGTCTCAGTATGCGGCTAAGTGCTGTACAAACGTTTTTTACATGGCTGAATCCGCGAGTGGAGGGGGAAAGATGAAGTAAATCCTGTGTTCGCGGGCGTTGTTCCCGCGAGAAAAAGTTCTCTTTTTGGGCATATTAAAAATCCTTCAATGACCGCGCTTTTACGGTCAAGATGGCTAAATTATATTGACCTCGTTCATTTCAAGCGTTTTGACCTCGACTTCGTCTCGGTCCATAAAAACGAAGAAACGAACTTAGTTAACATCTAGCCATCTTGACCAAACGTTGGTCAAGCGTCAAATTGTATGTTAGAAACTTCCATTGTGGGATGTGGTTACCATGGTACAGTAGTAGACTCAAATGTTTTCCATGCATTCGTTCCAGACATTCTAGTTATCAGAAAATGTTATGCCATCTGTTCTAAAAATAAACTACTAAGATCGGACTTCACTGGCTAGTATTTAATTAGTTGTAACTACCGAATTGATTCAATAAAAAATGGACTTTTACTTGTATCTGTAAGCTTCTTTATGGGTTTACGGTCATCTCACCACTAACAAAATCAATGGTTTGGTGGCGAGGTGACCAGATAACGCACCCTTTCTTTGATCCACTACTTTGACTAAACTGGATTTTGCCGTGAAGGACCATCATACCTTTAGGATTAATAGAAACGTAAAGCCTTATGCATAAAAAATTATTTCAGTAACTTATGGAATTCGTTTTCTTGCAAGGTCTACCTTGTATACTAGTATTTAACAAAACAACGTTACCAAAACCCGCTGCGTATTTGATTTCCTCACTCATGGTCACTGGCAGGCTGTCTTCTGCATTATTTCATATTAATGGTGAAAATCATTGCAGAGTGTTTTTCAGAAAAAATATGGCATTCATTCATTTTGATATGGGGTGAACAGTTCCATTTATAGATGGAGTTGACACAAATTCAACATAACAAGATTCTGGAAGTTCACATGGAGCACCATCCAACTCAAATAAAAGAACACTGGCAGTTTTCTGCTTGAGTGATATTACATTTGCTGGTACAAACAGAGTGATCTGTGGACCAATCACAGGCCAGTAGTGACCCAAATTAAAGCCGTTTACAAATGCTTGCCCTTTACTCCATCCAGGAAGGTGAAGAAATGTGTCGTATGAGGAATTTACAGGAAATTCTCCATAGAAAAAAGAAGGAGCAAAATCATAATCCTTGTTAGCTAAACCACTAATATTTTTATCAGGATTCCAAGGAAAGTCAAAAGCACCTGAAAACAGATTTTCTAAGTTAACAGAATAAATCTGCCAGTTCATAAGGACTTTACCATTTAAGGTAATATTTCCCAGGATTCCTTTAGGCTCCGCCAGACCACCATTGCATCTACCCATATTCTCAACCAGAACATCAAGCTGTAAAAAGATCCCAATGTTCAGAACAACAGCTTGATCTCCAGGATGACGGAACAAAACTGCTTTGCGAATTTTTCCTACAAAAATAATGGCCCGGTCACGTGCTAAACTACTGATATTTAAGACAACAGTTGACTGAGCAAACTGTACAGGAATTTGTGTTCGGTAAAGAATGAATCCATAGCTTTGTCCAAGCTTTTCCATGGCCAAAGGAAATGTTGAATTCACGGGGCCATGAGGAGCAGAAAGCTTTGGCACAGCATCAAGGAAGGTTGAAAGTTGGGTCATTTGAACTTTACCATATGCAAACTTTGTGGTGTTTGGTGGGATGGGAATCTCAGGTATTTTCTCATACTTGGCAATTGTCTCTCGCAGGATGTGAAACTTTGTAGTTGTATCACCAGCTTCTGTCAAAGGAGCATCATAATCATAGCTTGTAATACTCGGCAATAAACCTTTAACTTGATTGTACCCTGCACCATTCATGAAACCAAAGTTTGTACCTCCCATGTACATGTAAAAGTTGACAGACGCATTCATCAATAACATCTTGTCAAATGTCTTAGCAACAATTTCTGCAGACCTTGTTTGATGAGGTACACTCCACACATCTAGCCACCCTGGGTAAAATTCAGTGTTTACAAGTGGCCCCCTGGGGGAGTATTTGCGCATAACTGAAAATGCTTTTTCTGGGTCGGTTTTAGAACCAAAATCTATTGTGGCATATAGAGAGGGGATAGACCCACACTTTAAAAGGGACTCACTGTCACCATCTACAGTAAACAGAATTACGTCATTACCAAGGTGTTCACGGAAAACCTGTTCGAGAAACTGTAGATATGCGTGATCACAGGCAAAATAATACCCATATTCATTTTCAACTTGGACAGAAATGATGGGGCCTCCATTCGAGTAAAGCAATGGCTTGAGTTTTGGTAAAAGTACGCTCATCCAGGACTCAACATAGGACAGGTATTCCTTATTGTCCGTCGATCTTAAAATGATCGACGAATTTTTCTTTAACAACCAAGGGGGATACCCGCCAAACTCCCATTCCGCACAAATATAAGGACCAGCTCGGATGATGACCAGAAGTCCGAGGTTGTTCGCCATTTTAATGAAACTCACAAGATCTGCATCACCCTCAAAGTTGAACTGGCCATGAACTGGTTCGTGAATATTCCAAGCGATGTAAGTCTGGACCGCGTTCAAACCGCCTGCTTTCATTTTCAACAGTCTGTCTTTCCAATAGAAACGGGGCACCCTAAAGTAATGGAAGCATCCAGAAATGTAACGAAAAGGTTTGCCATCTTTGAGAAAACAGTTGTTCTCGTAATCTATAGCGAAAGATCGTGCCTCGGAAAGATGTGACGTGCACAGGAAGGTTAATAAAACAAGGAACAGGGTAATAATGACGGCCATATTGGTTCTAGCCTGATACTCAGCCGTCCGACGTCGTTCGCGGTCCCTTTCGCTTCCTCGCTTCCGCTACCTCGGACGTCTGAGAATTGGTTGTCGCAATGAATGGTTTAGATCTGTCACGCAATTGCAGGTCCCCGCATAAGTAACCTGTGCACGCCATGCTCTCAGATAGCCGGGACGTCGCGAAAATACAGGCTACTGAATCTGTAGCAATCAACAGGGCGTATCCAGAAAATATACAGCAAGTGTAGACACTTGCTAGGCAAATAGATGCTATATATTTTACTGAGAATTCTTTAAAGATATTACAAACTTTGAAAAAGAAACAAAAGTAAAATTGGTTTGCCTGTGTTGTGCCAATCCGCCGGATAATACAAATCCTATGATTGGCTAATAGACCACAGCGGGTCCAGTCTTTCACGGAGCACAAGCCATGTGTCCTTCCTTTGACCATTCAATTTCATCCACGCGTCCAATTTTAAATTTCTCTCTGTCCTTATTTTAGCGGCTTGGCTCCTCAACGGTTTTACTCCGAACCTAAAATTCTATAAACCTTCGACTAGGCCTCGAAATATTAATCGTAGCTAAACTGTTTTTCATCATGAGGCCTAAATTGTTGGTGTGTGTAGGACTTGTAGCACTTCTTTGTACTTTGTCATCAGCTGAAGACGTCAACGAACCTGACGAAGATGATGTTGAAATAGATAGTGAAAATGAGCCAGAAGATAAGGTAAGAAATGGGAAGTATTACTTTTGATTGCTTCAAATTTGCCGGTATCGCTGACTTTGTTTTATTTTTACCGCTTTACAGGGCAAAGAGAAAAAGAAAGCGGCCGAAACTGAAGCGTATCAACCCCCAGAAATCGCTTTAGAGCATGAAGATTCTGTTTTTCTTGCGGAACCATTTGCAAAGCGGCAGGAATTCGAAAGCAGGTATTAAAAGCTAAACTTCAAATTCTTTACCGGCTTATGTTCATTTAGTTTTGCAGTGTGCGTGTTTTTTAGTTTGCATAGTGACAAGCCTTTTTCTGGTACGCGTTGCACATGTGTGTAAATAGGCTCTGGTTTTGACAGAACACTCATGCAGGTTGAAGCATATTTTGCAAGCGTTGAAAATACATATTTTGTCTCTTTTACTAACTATAATCCTATGTTGCCTTTTAATTCCTAATTAATTTATTTGCAGCAAAGATTCTCAACAACTCTGTGATGTTGCATGTGGAAGTTTTAAAGAAGTTCATGTTTTCATGTCCCACCCTAAATAACATCATCTTTCTTCCACTAAATTTCTACCTATTTTGTTTTGTTGAGTAATTTGGAATTATGTAAAAAAGTTTGTCCTTCTGAAGGACTAAGATTAAAGGGTAAAATACCCTTTTAAAGTGCAACAGGTGTAGATGCTAGCTATGTAGATCCTCAGGTGATCTGTTAGACATTGTTTTTGCATATGTTCAGGCAAATAGTTCAGGCAAATAGTTCATGTAGCTCAGTAATAATTTAGATGACAAAAGAGTGTCATAGTGTTTTTTCACTTACTAAACAGTAGTCTTCATCACATGTGGCCTAAAGGCTTGTCATGCAATCTCCCTAAGTCCATCAAGCAATAATATTACTCGCTATGACTGCCCTGCACAGCATTAGAGAATGCATATAATAAAGCAGGTTTTTTCCTTTTAAGAGAAGTCACCAATGGAGACAGTTTTGCTGTAAAAATGGTCCACTATCCATTGACCTTCTCTCACAAGCATAGACGTTAGAATGGCCATTTTGTGATAACAAAAATACTGCTTGCACTGGGAGGTTTTCCTGATGGTTATAAAACTCTGTTTGCTGGTGTTAAGACTTCCAAGTAAATGTCCTTGCTGTTGTACAATTAATGTTAAACACACTGTTTATAGCTTTGTGACTTAACATATGTTAATTTTGTTTAATATTTTCAGATGGCAGAAATCTGAGGCTAAAAAGGATGGAGTGGATGCTGAAATTTCCAAATATGATGGTAAGTCGCTGTTAGATTGAAATATCTGTCATTGTAAGTTATTCCATCTTTTGAATCATATGTTTTGAGTGACAGCAACAAAAAAATTATTTTAATAGTAGTTTGTTTCCAAGGAAACAGGAGCAAAAAAACTCCTTCTCCAGATAGTGACTTTTTTGGAATCAATCCACTATAACGATTTTTGTACTGAATCACTATCATTGTTACTCTCCAGATTATTTTTCCTATCCCTCCTTTGTGAAAAAAAAAAAGATAAAACCTTGTAGTGCCAATTTCCACCCTGGCAACTGGTGGCTTAGCAACATCAAATCAGACGTAACCTCATACTCCTATAACCTGCTGTTTTTGTCCTGGTTGTCCTTGTATTTCGTTGCTCACCATAGAACCTTCAGGACCCTGAGGGTTGTGGGTACAACTCTTACCTGGAGTTCAGAATTTTTTCTGACCTTTCTGGTGTTCGAATTCTCCTTCTTACAAATTCTCCTGCAACAAGCCTGAAACAATGATTTCATTAGGCTTTGGCAAATCCTAATATCACTATCACTTAGGTAAAAACAAAATTGATCTTATCATGGTTGCTGTATTAACTTGTACTTTTGTATCTTTATTCAAACCTTAAAATTGTTTTTATTCCTCTGTCAGGTGAATGGTCGTTTGAGGAGCCATCAACTAAGTTATTCACTGGAGACATTGGACTGGTTCTCAAGGTAATTATAAGTTATTTATTTATTTATTTTGCTGATTTGCAGCTGACATCACAGCATCCATTGCTGGTGGACAAGAACAAAAGCATTTCCCTCCACTGGGATCAAAACTTTTTTTCATTCAAATGAACCCCATTTTTTTTATTATTCTCTCACCAACCTGCAAACCAGGATTAAGGCTGTACCCTGTAAGGTTTCAAGTTGTGGGGTATATGAAGTTAGTAGACAGGGAATTGAATGGCTAGGAAATTCTTTTGGTTGTATGAAAGTAGCCTGGGGTCTTGCTCATAATAGCCAGAGGAAATCCAGCCATCAGTGACATCCTTACTTTTTCCATCAACCAATATTTTTGTGCCTGGCAACCATTTGTGAATCTTGGTCAGAAAAAGTCGAGGAGCTTGGAGTGCTGATAATGATGTGACGTGGAATGCAGTAATGAAAAGGGAATTTTGTTCTTTGTCTTCTTTTTAGTCCAAGGCAAGACACCATGCAATTTCATCATTGCTGAAGAAACCATTTGAGTTTAAGGACAAGCCACTTGTGGTACAGTAAGTGCAAGATAATAATTTATTATTATTAAATAAAATTATAATAATTATTTGTATGATATTAATGTTAGGGATTGTTAAATGCATCTTGTAATATTATTTTGTTTTGGGAAGGCTATTTGTGTAGTTCTAACTGGAGTTTGGCAGGGCTGTCACTAAGATTTCAAGTTTCATTGATTAGGCAGGAAATAGCTAGGGCATCAGGCTCATAATCACCAGGAGAAATCGGCGGCCCCTTGCCTGTAGTAACAGCCCATATCGGGAGGGAGTCCTCTAATGTAAGGAAAATCATCCCCTTTCTTTATTCTTGATGTGTGCCTTTGGTGTTCAAATATTGAAGTCAATAAATATATTTTTTTAAGATATGAAGTGAAATTTCAGCAAGCAATGGAATGTGGTGGTGCCTATGTCAAGCTCCTCTCTAAACATGATGCACTTCAGTTGGTAAGTGTTTTTAATTTACAACTATGAATATTGTTTTAAGTAGGTATGATATGATCATCTGGGTGTGTGTAGTCATGATTAGGACTGTTGGTGATAATTAATTTAAATTTTGTGACATCATTTTGTAAATCCATTGTTAGATACAAAAGAATTATAGGTCGGTTAATTAAACGGAGTCTAATTTAGACCTCAGTTTAAGAAATCTTTGGACCTCCAGATCTCTTCTTTAGTGGGTCAGTTGATGAAGATAAATGCCTTTCTAGTCTACACTATTTATGCTTATATGAAACTGTTCACGACAAATCATGAAATGGTGTTTAGACAAAAGCGTCAGGCAAACTGCAAATGACTTAGAACACGGTCTTGCTAAACACTGGTTAAACTCTGTTTAAATAACCTGCCCTTTCAGTTTAGAGTTTTTTTAGAACATAGCAGCAACTAAAATTTATGGCATAATAACTGAAATTGTTGGAATGTTTGAAATTCAAAAGTAGGAAGCTGATATTCATATTTGACTTCTGGCTCATTCGCTCATTCTCAACTTCTTTGAATTCTTATGTAACTTTCTGTGGTTGGCCAAAGTGCTAACTTGCGGTACATATTTTTAACAGTTTATGATATTCTTCTAGAATGAAAAAATTCTGTCTTGTCTCCTTAATTCAGAAACTCTTCCATGACAAAAGCCCGTACACCATTATGTTTGGACCAGACAAGTGTGGTGAAGATAAAAAGGTGAGTATTAAAACAACCAGCTAATGATAAATGGTCTTTTTTTTTTCAATTGCTTAAACCCCCATATAAAATAACTTGAGTTAACATTATCAGTGTCTCTTCAATCATTTTGGGTGGTTGAGTCCTTTCATACAATAATGAATTTTGCCTGATAAAAAATTAATAAATTTTTTTTTCAGCTTCACTTCATTTTTAGGCACAAGAATCCGAAGACTGGTGAATATGAGGAGAAACATGCCAAGAAACCAACTGGGAATTTCCAGAGTGTTTTTGATGGCAAGAAAACTCATCTCTTCACCTTGGTAGTTAGACCAGACAACACGTTTGAAGTGTTTGTGGACCAAGCAAGTGTTAGCTCTGGAAGTTTGTTGGAAGATTTCACTCCACCAGTCAACCCTCCTAAGGAGATTGATGATCCAGATGACAAAAAGCCAGAGGATTGGGATGAGCGAGAGAAGATTCCTGATCCTGATGCTGAAAAGCCAGATGATTGGGATGAAGATGCACCTGCAAAAATACCTGATCCTGATGCAAAGGTTAGGCTCAGTGTCTCATCTGCATTTAGCTCTGAGAATAGTTCCTTTCTTTGCTTGTTGTACTTTGGAAGAAAAATAATATGCAAATGAATTTATTTAAAAGAGTAGATGTTCAGATATTCTTTAAAGGCTGGTTTTTTTAGAAAATGTGGTGATAAGGCATATAAGGACTATATGATTTGATCCTGTGCCATATATCAAGTCCAGTGACTTCACTTATCTTGGGTCTCACAGAGCTCAGTGGTTGTAGAATTCCTATTTGCGGACCACTAACTTGCAAGGTCGAAGTTTAATTAATTCGCATTGGGCACAAAGATTTGTTTTCTTGTTGTTTGTGTTTGTTTTTGTCTTCACTTTTGCTGAGAAAGACTCGAACTTTTACTGGAATCGTTGTTCTTACAGCTGTGTGGAGGTGTTTTTGTCGCCCGTTGCATTGTCTTCTTAGACAAGGAACTTCACTCCACTTTGTCTCTCTTTACCCTGGTATATAAATGGGTACTGGTGACATACTGCTGGGGGGGTATCCCTGCAATGGACTAGGATCCCATACATGGGGGAGTAGCAATACTCCAAGGCATTCCTCATGCTAAGGAAACTGGGATAAGCTCTGGCTTTTTGGTCTTTGGCTTGTGTGTGCCTTTACCTTTCTTTTTTACCTTGTTCATACAGCTGTACATGGGTGTCAAACTTCCTGATAAGAAATGATAAAAAATTTTTTACAACTGTAGAAACCAGATGACTGGTTAGATGATGAGCCTGAGTTTGTACCTGATCCTAATGGGGTGAAACCAGATGACTGGGATGAGGAGGAGGATGGAGAATGGGAAGCACCTCAAATTGGTGAGTCTGACATTTATATATTGGGCCTGGCAAAGTGCTGTCTGATAGCAGGGTGTTCATTAGGCATTAGAGGTCGGGGAATTCTCCATTTGCTTGGAAGAATTCTCCTGCAAATGTTTAGTAGCCTGTGACTATTTTTTATCCAGACAAAGAGATTTTTCAAAATATTCTCCCATAATGTTACATCTCACTCCTGCTACTAGAATTCTTAATGAAAACCCCGCCAATAGACCTGGAACATCATCCATTTGGACTTGCTTGATCCTCAAAGTTTGGGCCGGTTAACTACAGCACCAAATATCTTCTCACAAGATTTAAAATTCATCACAATCCATGAAGTAGGTCAACAAAATCAATTACCTGATCACAGAAGATGAACGCAAATGTATCTCCTTATTTTGACAACTTCTCCCCACCTTTGTTGGGGAATGAAGCTTTAGAATCCCAAGTAGTTTGAGGGTAGAACAGGAAACAATTTACAACTGTGTAACTTTGAGACTTCTATCTCCTCCATGCAGCAAATCCAAAATGCGAGAAGGCTGGTTGTGGTGAATGGAAACCTCCTGTCGTAGACAATCCTGCTTACAAGGGAAAATGGTCAGCTCCTCTTATTGACAATCCCAATTACAAGGTAGTGTTTTATGGACAAGCTCTATCAGAAAAATACACCTATTTAAAGAAATGATTTTCCTTAAACATTTTGTTTGAACTGCTGGTTAGACTGGACTGAAATTGTACCCTTTGACAGTTTCTTTTTCATTGACTTTCTCTTAGCCAGGAACTGGTATCTATTTTGAACGGTACTAAATCACATAATATGATCATGCTGTAAAAACACTTTTACACTTCCCTTTCCTGTTGTATGCCTTTCTTATTTGTAATGTTAGGGAGTTTAAGCAACCATGATGACTACAACAGTCAAAATGTCGCTAAAAAATGAATTTGCATCCTCACAACTTTATCGCTTCTATCTGGACCTGCCCAATTTGTCAAAAGTAGGAAATTTTTCCGGGAATTGAATACTTAAGGACTTAATTCAGCTTTAAAAAGAGAAAGGAAAATTTCTAGTCTAATGTTTATGAGGTTTCATGTCATAGTCGTTGAGTGGACATCAAAGAAATGTACTAAAAAGTGTGATGCATGTGCAGAAACATTGTTTTGCTCATTAAAACAATTGTTTTTTGAAGTTGTCATCGTCATTGTGATTGCTTAAGCTCCCCATTACTATAGTACTAATGAATAATTCCATGTAAAAACTGCTCATTGAAGTGCAGTTAAGTGCCTAGGTTACAATTCAACATAGCTTGTCATTTTCATTTGCCATTATAAATGGCCAGTTCTGATGACAAGTTCTACTTGGTATAAGTTTTCTGCCTCTGGCAGTATTCTGTTGCAGTAAATGAAATACCAAATTAATTAATATATTGCAGGGTATCTGGAAACCCAGGAAGATTGCCAACCCTGATTATTTTGAGGACAAAGAACCTTTCAAGATGACAAGTATTGTAAGTGAAAACAACTTTGATTAAAAGTTATTTTTCTGGACCTTGACCTTGACCTTGACTTGATGCACAACAGTAGTCTGCTGTTTCTAAGTATTGAAACTTATTCCCGCATAATATAGTGACTTAACTCATGCTGCCATTCCCTGCCACATCATGTATTGATTGCAAACGTTACAGAAGAAATACAAACAAGGAAATGGCTGATAGCCATTGCTATGAGAAGAATGTATTTGTATGTAATTGTTAGAGGTAAAGAGCACTAAGAGCACTCACAGCTTGCTGTTATTGTTCTCTCATTCTGCAAGGAACTTTTGTAGTAGGTGTACAATCTTTTTGTCTTGTAAAACATTGATACATATTCATTCTTCATGTGTGTTGTTTGCCTGTAGGCTGCTGTTGGCCTGGAACTCTGGTCCATGACTCCTGATATCTTGTTTGATAATTTTATTATCGCGAATGACAAGTATGTAGCTGACAAGTTTGCCGCAGACAGGTATTTTTTTTTTTTTTTAATTTTTTTTGTTTTGACAAACATAATGCTGACTTACTTACATAGTACTTAGTTACATAAAGCTTTAATACCTACTTACATATAACTTGCTAAGACCGCAGACAGATATGATGAAAAAATGTGTGGTTCCAGAAAATATCCATACCCCCCCCACGGAGGGTCACGGAATTTCCTAGGGGTAGGGGGGTCTAAAAGAGACAAATTTCTGAAGGGGAGGGGGGTACATAAAGAGTTTTTCTTTCCAGAGGGTTTGAAATGCGATCGAATGAACACTTACGTATTTTTCCAATTGATTCGGGGTAGCCAAGAAAAACCAAAAGTTCTATCCGTGGAAATAGACGTAGGATTCCTTGTCATATATTTTCTATTATTATCCCGGCGCCAGATGACACGTACAGCTCCGAGGCACACCTCTGAGCACGTTTGACGTCGAGTCAAACAATTTCCCGCGAATTTCAAAGCTTCAGTAACTAGATTATCGCATAGTTTTATCGTTTTTCTGTGTAGTTACGAGTTTGGAAACGTTAGCAAAGTCGACACGATGCCATTTGTTTTAAGCATATTTTTTTTTGTAACCGTGAACAGCGATGAGAGACGGCGAAGATTTCATTTCGTTGTTTAGTTACCGGAATGAACTTGAAAAGTACGTTTACACATGAAATTAAAAAAGTTAAAAAAAAAACTGTAAGGCGTGAAATTTACTATCATTTACAAACTACAGAGATAAAGCGTACAACTTTATTGAAGTATTCCTGTTGAAAGACGAACTTAAGTTTTTAAAAAACATGTTGCGTGACGGATTATGATTCCCGCTGATAAGCTTAAGTCACTTCACGGCTCCACACAGGAAAACAACATTTGTTAGCAGTACTGTTCGCACATTATACTACATGTAGATAAAATTACACCTGCAAAGTACAAAAAATATCATGGAGATTAGCATCGAGTCAATTCCTGAGTTTTGCTTTGACAGCAAAAACAAGAATGATGTAATATTATAGTCATTTCGTGTTTAAAGTAATTCGATACGTTGTTTCGTCTATGCATAAATTACAAACTTCGACTAGGTTACAAAACGTTGATGATACCGTCAACTTTCAGTACTTTCTTAGATATTTTTTGAATGAAATCTTCTGTCAATTAAGCAGACGAAAGGTCAGCTGCCAGAACTATAGTGTTAATAAGCTCAGTTGTTAGAGTTTGAACATTTCAAAATAGAGGAAGCGAGAAGCGTCTATTCATCGTCTAGGATTTTCCACGGTCATTTTTAAGAAAATTAAATCTCATAGCCTCCTCCAGCAATTTTGTACCTTACCTAGCGAATATCTCCATAAATAATGTTCCATGAAATAGCAAGTGTGGTATGGCCAAATAAACACGTAAAAATTATGCCGCTTTACGTCTTCATCTGAATTGTAACATCGGCTGCGGCCAAATTTTATTTCGGCACTAAGTAGACCAAAATAAATCAATGAAGTCTTTTTATTTGTGGATTTGGAATTTCCTAGGGGTAGGGGCGACCAAGTGAAAAAATCATGGAAATTCCAGGGGGTAGGGGGGAGCAACCTGAAGCCCTCTGGAACGGAAAATCCGGGGGGGTGGGGGCTCAAACTGTAAACAACCCTCCGTGGGGGGGGTATGGATATTTTCTGGAACTACACAATATAATAATCTTATTTCTGTGAACTACTACAATTTTGATGCTGTAAAAAAAAACTTGTTACTGCTGGCTAAAGTTCTTGACTCTCCTTTTCAGCTGGGTGAAGAAAAACATCAAAGAAACTTATGGTGGAGATGAAGAGGTCAGCAACAATTTTTTACTTTAAAAATCTTTTTGTAGTTATGTATTTGAATTTCTGTCCCTGTGTGTTTTGCAAAAGGCCAAAAAATGTTTTAGCTAGGGAAATTCGAGATCTTAGAGTAGTTTGTATTTAACAATGTTGTTTTTGTACCATTTTAGGGTGGAATAGTCAGTAATCTGATGGAAGCTACCAATGAGAGACCTTGGCTTTGGGTCCTGTTTATCATCGTTATCATTTTACCATTTGTTTTAATTGCTGCCTGCTGTTTCCCTGGGAGTAAGGTACATGCCTGGGTGAATGAAACTTATTAAATGTGCACTGACAAGTTATTTTGCCACTCAGTGCTAATATTACAGTTGACTCCCAATAGCTCGAACTCCCGATAACTCGAACTTTTTTCAATTTCCCTTGAAGGTTCCAGTTATCGGGAGTCAACTGTATATGTATATCTGTTCTGCTGTCCTAAGTATTATATATATACTGCATCTATTTTTCGTTGCCATAATATACAATATCAGTCTTCCCAAATGTTCCCCTCTCCTACTTAGTATTATTTCATTTTCCGTAGTTAATACAAATACAAACTATTGAGGAACAAGTCAGTATAGCCTGAGAAAACAGCCAACATTTTTCAATGCCACCTCTGTCTTCCCCTTTGAAATGACGTCTGAGGAACGAGTACAGAAATTCCATACTAATGACCTGTCACTACCCAGCGGCATCACGAAATGTGGGCTCTTTTCTCAGGCTAGTCTGTAAAGTCATTTGTATTTTGAACCAATCATTTAATTTGTTTGTAGAGCGATGCTGCTGCCAAGAAGAAGAAAACTGATGAACCAACTGAAGATGTTGCCCCAGAAGACAATGAGGTATTATTGTTAAATATATTTTACAATATTAAAAAGAACAGGTTCAAAATTTGTCTTAATCTAACATCGGTCAATCTGTCATTTTTTACGTGTAAAGGTTTCTATCTTCTGCTAATAGTCCCTTGTGCAGGCATTATTTAGGTTTCATTGCAATGAGTCACTTTGGTTGTTATGTCTAGATGTAGTGCTACCATACAAAATGGCCACCATAATTCTGAACAATGATGATGAAGTTCAAATGTATTGAATATGTTACTTTAACGATGGAACTTTCATTGTAGAATGAATCAGAGAAAAAGGAAGATGAGACACCAGCAGAAGGAGGTGAAGAGGTGAGTGCAGTAGTACGAAGAAATTGTTAAAAAATGTCACGTAAATAAAGTTCATTCATTCATTCACTTACATGTAAGATGAGATTGGCTAAGCTGTGATCTCTGTGTTTGTGAGGGCATTATTGTCTTGTTAACTCAGGGTTACCTTTTTTTGTAGGCTGAAGAAAAAAATGAGGAAGAAGAAAAGGTGAGAGAATAAAAGCTTGGGAAGTTCTTACTTAAGAAATGGTAAAATAGCATTTTTGTGAAGTGCTTTTGGTTGTTGACCATCCAAGGATTTCCAAAAAGTTGTCTAAGTGAAAGACGGTACCATGTCATTCTTGATGTACTTACTCAGTATGCAGAAAAGGTGGGTCTTGTGAGAGCTTCCAAGATGTCCAGGGATTACTGTTAGCTGAATACTGTTATCAAGTTAAAAAAGTACCATCCCTTGAAAGTAGCTTGAGGAAATGTCTGCTTAACCCTAAAGTAGCAAGGCATGTTGCCATGTCTCTCAAGTAAGGCATGTAATACTGTTTGTAGTGGGTTTGTTGCTTCTTTGAGAAGTCATGGTTAAAGCTCCAGTAAAATGCAGATTTAACGTTTGTTTTGTAGGAGGCTGAGGGAAATGAAAATGATACAGAGGGTAAAGATGAGGTTGATGAAGAGGACGGCGCTAAGTAAGCAATTTTGCTAGATTTGTTTCTTATTTTTGATCTGAAAGTTGATTTTTTTACAATAAATTCACCTTGCTTTATTTTACAACAACTGCTGTCACGAAGCTCTTAGAAACCTCCTAACTTCATTACATTCTTTCTGACATGAAGCTCTATTGTTTCAGGACTTGGCCTGTTGTTTCTGTAGTTTGGATATCGTTAACCCCTAATCCTGTTAGCTGTTCTAGGAACCTTCAGGCAGCCCGTTAAACTCAAGTGGCTTGTGAAGCTGCGAACTTTGGCAAAATTCCTTGAATGTTCAATGCATTTTGTGACCAGTGGAAGCACTTCAAGTACTGCTTGATTTGTACCATTACAAACCGTGCTTCTCATGCCATTAGCTATTACCATTCCCAAAATGTGTAATGATTTTGGCAGGAATTCAGAAGTAATAAGTATTAACTTGTTAATTTCACAATTCTGTTTCCTTCGCAGGAGGACAACTAGAAGAAGGACGCGCAAAGACAACTGATTATTATGATTTGCTACAGCTCACAAGGACATTGTTTTTAACTCATCATGACAGAGCCCTTAATTTGATCAGTTCTCTTTGTCTTTCTGATTCTTCTTGCTGTGCTTCATCTTGTTAGTTTCTTTGTGACTGACAAGTAAGAGTTCTGAATGAATATTAGTCCAGGGGTGCTGGTGAATGTCTGCACAATTAAATTAACATGTAACACTGCTGAGATGGTGACATTTTGTTTTGGTGCATTAAACAGTGTGGTTTTTTTGTGTGAGCTGGAAAAATATAGAATAAAGAATTCAAAGAACAAAGTGTCGTACCACAAGGTTTGGTCACATTCACTCTCAAAGTTGAATAAACTTGATGCAGAAACAAAAAACCATGATCATAAATACTGGAGAAAACGAGGCTAACTCTTCCTTCAGAGCCACTTGGTATTTCTAGATATTTTATGTAATAATCAAGCAAAACAACTTTTCCAAGTCTAGTGGTTTTTATTATTATTGCTAATTCTTTGCTCCATTTAGGTTGAATTCTTGTCAGCAAATCAGTATTAATTTTTCTTTTATTTTAGGTCAGGTCGCTTACATTTAATTAATTTGATAGTGTTGTTCAAAGTTTTCACAATTTGTAGCACTGCATTGATTCCATTTTAATAAAATTTTCGTCTCCTCTTCTTGCCTCTTACTGTTATGTTTAGTCTCACAATATTGTACTAAAAACTCACCAAACAGCCCTTGTACCCTTTTGCCTGGACAAATTCCACCCACAAACAAGCACCATAGATAGCTTAACTCAGGTTATGAAATCATGGTATAGAAGTCAGCTTACAATATGTCAAGATAACTTGTAAAATCCGGATTGGTGCTTTTGCATTTAAAAAAACTTTGCCCAGTAGACAGTAACCCAGCAACATTGTGGACATCATTTGGAACTCTGGTTGCATCCTGACAAATATATTAACTTTATCAAACCATTAATAGCCTCTGCCACAGACAGAACTAAACTTCTGGCGCCAATTGTTCAAAAGGTGGATAGCACTACCCACCATATAAATCTCTATCCAGTGGATAGCGTAATTGTTTTCCCTAATACTTATCCACTGAATAGTGATTTATCCGATGGATAGCGCTATCCAGCTTTTGAACAACTGGGGCCTGGTTAAGGCAGTTGGTGAAACCGCACCGAAATTTTTGTTCTTGGCCCCCATTTGCATACCAGGATTTGGGTACATGCCATGATTGGCCTGTTAAAAAAGCCATGGTCAGCTTGTCAATTAGGTTGAAAGGAAATTTAAAACACTTTTGTGTTAATTTTTTGAGTCTGTTGGAGGCACAGAACAAGGAACTTGGCACTGCTCCACAGGTGTTACTAAACCAGGGTTGGATTACATCTGTGACACGGGCTAACCATTAACCCTTTCACTGCCAAATTTGGCCGAAAGCAAATTTTGCCCAAATTTCATTTTGTGAAATTGGAAAAACAAACAGCACCATGCGTAAGTACAGGCAGAGAGGTTTCATTTGAATGGTCACATCGTAGGATTTTGTGTGCAAAAGTTGGAGTCACCTTACAAAACTCTATCAAGCACTCTGGCAGTAAAAGGGTTAAAACTAATGTTGTATCAGGGAGACAGGACTGAAACTATCTTGAGCGTAATCATTCTTGTCTTGAGTCCCTGTTATTTCTTTTGGTCACTACAATAAAATAATAGGGAGTCACTCCTTCTTTAGCTAAAAAGCTGCACGGCCCTTGTGATGAGAATGGAGTATGATCACCCAGGAAACATTTTGTGATTTACACTCCTTGTCGAATACCGTAAAACTTTTATTGGCTTTTGCTTACAAAAAACACAATATTTACATAAAACCTGTGTTCTTACAACAACAGCTCACTAAATTGAAATTCAAATATAAACCTATTAATTCTCAACTTTACCAATAGAAAAGTCGCATGTAATGTTATATTAAATTATTATTGATTTTATAAGCTAGCTTAATTTGTAACATACCAGTGTTATACTACTACATGAGAAATTTCTTTAATTTGATTGGCTATGAGCAGTGGTATTTCAGCTTAATTTGAAATACCTACATGTGAAAATTACAAAACCTTTGCAGGTAGTAGTATAAACAAATAATAGCATGATTTGTACATGATATTTGGCAAAAATACCACTAGTGATATTTCAAAATTGTCTCAAATTTCACGAGCCGTTACAAATAACAATTTTGAAATATCACTCGTGGTATTTATACCAAATATCACTACAAATCATGCTATTACCTATACTAATCTTTGCATCCTAATTCCTTTGATCTTTATTGCTACAGTGAGATGAGTATTTCAATGTTTCTTTTAACCTTATTTATTGCAAACATGTATGCATATACTGCAGCTATAGATAAATACCACAGGGTTCAAAGAAAATCATTTTCAGGCAAGCTGAAGCTAGCATTTACTAGCCTAGATGTCATTTCACTTTTTGACTAGCAGAATTGATTTCACAGTTCTTCTGTTATTTGAATTCCTCAAAAAACATCACTTGCCCGTCGGGCAAGTTAAAATCAGAATTCACTAGCCCAATAGCAAAATCCACTAGCCCCATGCTATCGCACATTAGTAAAATCCAACTAGTGGTTTATTAATGCTGCGTTCTGATTGGTTGGTCTTCTACTAGGCTACATGTTATAGCCCCCTGGTAGCGAAAAGCACAGGCTTTTTGGTTGCAAAAAAGGATTAAAGTCTAGCTTTAAGGTCTCGGTAAATGAAAATTTTAGTACATTGCTCGATTTTGTTTTTTTTGGATTTTTGGCATGAGTGGGTCCTAAATTTTATTTTGGCAGAAAAAGAAAATCAGAAAGTGCTTTTTAACCGTTCTAAAATGAGCCTTTTCTGCGCTAACCAGCCAAGCGTGGACCTCGCGCTAAATCTTTAGAGCTGATTTTCTCTCACTCTATTTTAGACGCAAAAATCAAAATTCTCCGACCTCCAGTCGGGACAGGTTTTAAGCTATCGCTTTGAAACTTTCAGATATGATGGATAATGATATAGACTCAAAAAGGGTGTGAGGAATTTTCCGATTTCCCTTTGTAACTCATTTTATGTCAGTTTCTTTGCGTAAATCGCGCTCGAGATTCGACTTTTTAGTTTGAAATGCAATAATTCCGCTAATACGAGACATATGCAAATTTCCTCACACCCTTTTTTAGGTCTTTTATCTGTCAATCAGATGCAATAAAAAGGAAGTGAATATTTAACAACGCGAAAGGGCTGGAGCTTCAGCAGTAAACTCGATACCTCTGAGTTCGAGAGCAAAAAACTTAAGCGCCTTTTGAAATTCGATAAAATAAAATCTTTTATAAGGTAATTTAGTCTTTTAGCTTTAATTTGATATATAACTTGCCTTTGTAGCGAAAATACTCGCGCGACTAGAATTTTTTTCTGTGGGCACCTCGTTTTCCTTTACCGAGACCTTAACTAGCTAAATTTTTTTTACTGTCGATATTTTTGACCAACTAGCTGGATTTTATTAAAACAATATTATTATTCCCCTCGCCCTCATGGCTTCTGAGTTAATAGCCCATTGGGGCTCGAGGAATAATTGTTAAATACTTTCTCTGCATGCTGATACGAGGTAACTGGTTTCTATGTACGGTCAATTCTCCTACAGCAGGAATTTAGCACTGGTCCCTGCCGTTCTTTATAAGGAGCGCACTTTTCTACGATGGTCCCTTAACAGTGGTTCCAGCCACGTCTGTCATAAAGGGACTTAATTTGCACATTCTGATTGATCAACAACCTAATGTTTGTTTCACTGGTAAATTCACTACAAACTTGTTCACACCCTTAACTATAGTAGAGAAGACTGGTAATGAAAGGCAGCAAATTGACAGACTGTGCACAAATTAGTGCACAATCCTTCAGTTAACAAATTGTGACGAAATAAATTAAATCAAGATTTTTCTGGGTCAGATCAAAATGACAGGAATGCTCTTGAATGATCTGCACCCACAAGTCCACAAAAACATGCAACAAAAGAGTCAGACAGGCCTCATAACCAGTCCATTCTTATAAATTAGTAACAATTGGGCATTTGTTTGATGGTATGATTGCATCAAATGGAGAGAAAGACGATTATTATTTATCAAGTTGAAGTAGATTAAGGCCCAGTTGAAACCTTTAACTTTTCATGTACCAAGATTAATAACTATATGGTTCGAACCAAACTATATAAGTTTGACGGTTGCTTCAAATGTTAAACATAATTTGTCGGACTCAATTCATTTTCATGACGTACAATGATCTACAATGCTTACCAGTAAAAAATTAATACATTATAATAATTTATGCATTAGATTAGGCACATGAAAATTTTGACGTTTCTAACAAGTCGCTCTGTAGTAAGAAATTCCCATGTTCGCCACTCAAACTTAATTCATGGTTTGACCCTAATTAGTCATGTCAGACTTAACTGATTTTGAGTACAAAACAGTCCATATTTTTGCATATTCAAGTATGTGCAAGCAGTCAAACAAAAGGTCTGGAACGAGGCTGAAAACAGAGAGCAAGACTGGGGAGAGATGCTAAAAATCTCTCGCCTCAAACGCCCTGTGAGGCTCGCGTGATTCACGTGTGTATGACTCTTACACCACGCTTTGCCGATCTCTTTACTGATTTTGAGAAAAAACCGACCATTTTGCAGTCTATAACTGATTCAAACCTCAATCTTTTTTCAGGTAGTTAATTGAAGGGATTAGGTTCAGTACATGAAAAGTTTGACTGGGCTTAAGCTTTGCTTTCTCTAGTAATGCTTCTGTTGTATGCAATAACCCATTAAAGATTTCACACTAAAACTAAACCAGTAGAATTCTCGCAACTACACCAAAATGTAACATAATATTGATCAGACTTGTGTCCCAGGATGCAAGAAAAAGTGCCAGGGAAATCAAGTTTTGTCAATGTATCATTATTATTTTTTCTTTTTGACAAAATTCATTTGATATAAAATACAATTTAATGCTAATATTTAACAAGAGTCTACGTTAAGAGTTGCCTTTATCCTCCCCAGCAATAACATGTATCTGAAACCAGAAGTAAAAGAATTCTTAACATATTTTTATTTCTAAGTTTTAAACTAGGTGTGTTACCATCATTGTCTTAAATTGGTCTCATGAAAATGCCTGCGGGCACCCAGATAATACAAACACTACGTTGTCTCTTAATCTTCTTCATTGTCATTGTTGTTGCTGTCATTGTTTGTAATTTGTCCCCCCTAGATGTAGCCTTATTTTGGAGAGTGGGGGGGCTTCCCTTTGCCCTGCTACCTCACTACCCTGCCTACTGCCTAAAAACAGGGACCCAGATAATAGGATGGAAAATGAGGCGTGAAAATATGAAATAAAAATGATAATGCCATACAGGCCAAAAAACAAAAAAAAATTCTTGAAGAGAGGGATTCTAGTCTCACTGGTGAGGTATGAACTGGAAATTTGCCCATGAAACAGGATACCACAACCCTCCCTGGTTTTGCCACGCTTGTGCTAGAAGTACATTTTAGACTATTATACTGTTTTTACCTCACTTAAAATAATCCAACTTTCACTGTTGTGGCCCCAGACTCGTATTCTCATCTCTGAGACTTTGCCAATATCCTGCGGAACCTGGCCTTCAGCTAGTCCGTTGGGACTAAAGACTCCTACTCTGATGTAACTAGATAATGGATACTCATACTTCATGAAATTCTTCTTGGCTTCTGGAGATGCATCGCTTCCAGGTTCTGAAGTAAAAAAATCAATTTTTAAGGATACTGACTGCCTGTTAACCCATTCCCCCCCGAACTGCCTGTAACCATGCTGATCCACGTCCCTTTTACAGTTTGTAACATCATCAGTTTTAATGGTCAAGGACAACTTTTTCAGCTAACTTGTGCAGGGTGAAGAGATCTTTCAAACCATACCAGAGCGAGCCTGATTCAGTCAGGGAGGTTAGAGAACAAAGCAAAATAACTATGTAACTTTAAGTGAATCTAACCTGACATCTTCTTGGCTTGAGCCAATGCCTTCACAGGAAGAACTTCAACAGAAGCATTTCTTATAATATCACCTGGATGTTCAAGGTTTCCTGACTTGAACTTGAACCTGACAAATTAAATGAAAGGTAAGGATGAAGGGGCTGATGTGATGGGCAACTAAAGGTGTTTAGGATGTTGCGCCACACCTGCAGACCTGCAAATTAAACCCTCCAGTGCTACAAATAATAGAAATGAAACATGAACACGCTGATCTTTTTCCACTGGTTATTTTTTTCTTCATTCTGTTAACTTCGAGCATGTTCTATGTGCATTTTTGTATGTTGCAGTGTTAATGGAAATAGAATAGGGGAGGGTAGGGTGGGTGACTCCAGTACAGAATTTCCTGCAAACTGACTTGGAACGAAAATTCTTGCATTGAGTCTTAATTAATTTATAATATTATTAATTTACACCAAGAAATACGAAAAATGTTGACAAAAGTAAGTGTTGTAGGCCTGGAGAAATAGTCCTGCCCAAAGTAAATCAGCCAACCTCCCCTCAGCAAAAGTTAAATGGTCCACCACTAAACAGCACCACTTTTCCCCCTCACAGCTAGTTCCTGAATTCTAGTGGAATCACAGAGTTGAGATCAGATGTCAGCATAGCCTTTGTGGCTGCTTGCATTGACTGAGGGGTTGTGAAGCACTGCTACAATCCCCCCTCCCTCCCCTCCCCCCCCAAAAAATAAATAACAACTCTCACACAGATGGACAAACGATTATCCACCAGCTGGGCAGGCTAATGTTGTCATGTAATGGTGCAATCTTCCTCCAGTTGAGTGCGAAAATGCCCCCCTCCCCAAGGCAAAATAATCATGGTGAATCTCACATTATTTATGATTGCTAATGATGATAAAGACTGATAAGCAGCAGAAGTAGCAGCAGAAAAAGAACATACCTTTCTATTCTAATTTCCTTGTGGAATTTCAGTCTTATAACATCATCAGCATGTGGTGGATAAGCCCAGAAGAATGTCTGTCCCTTGTATGCACGATCAATACTGAAGGCTTGATAAGGTTCCAGTGTGGTCACTGCCTCAGCTTGAGGGTTTAGGTGAGCTTGGAATAATGGTGCTTTCTTGAAGTCTTTATCCTTTTACAAATAAACAACAAGATATCAAAACTGAATAATACTATATTACATTACCCAGGTCTATAAAGTGCAGAGAATAACACAAAAAAGCAACTCAATGAAACTTCTACGTTCAGCACATTTTCCCCAATCTTCACTGCTACATGTTCTATTACTCTCCTCAGGGTTTATCTTCTAAGCCATAACAATGAACAACAACAATATGGTCTCCATGCTCATCCAGACCCTTATAGGACAATGGGGGAACTCAGCCTCAAAATTTTTTTTTTCCAGTCCTGCGGGATTCATTTTGGCCTAAAAAGTTGGGGGCCTGGGCCCCCTCCACTATATTTGTTCATCAGTGCAAAGATCATGAGAATCTTTACAAAAAATGATAGCCAAAGGAAAAAAACTTGAAAGCAAATTCTTGTCAGTAATATCAAAAGAAGTGATTAAACAGTTGTGTGTGTGCATGTGTGTGTGTGTATTAAGGGCTAAACCTATTTTGAGGGACTGGTTTTCACTTACAATCAAAGTCTGTTTCTTTCCTTTGAGTGATGATTCTTTTCCTACATGTTGAAACAGGGAGGGTTTGAACCTTATTCGCAGGTGCATCTTTTCCCTTGCACAATGTTGCTAAAAAAGAAAAGAACAACAATCTTTACTAACAACAACACTATCATTCAACATCATCACAATCATTCCCATCATCACAATCACCATCTCCATTATCATCAGACAGCATCAATATCATCAACTCTTACACATCATCGACATCACCATTGTAAATATTACATGTAATATCATTACCATCACTTTCAACTTCACAATCATCATCATCACAGAATGATGATGCGAACTGAAAGCCATGGGTTTTAATCCTGTTGAAGTCCTGAATTTTTTTGCGTTCATTTGCAATTGCTTAAATTGCAATTACCACTGCAATGATCATATCTTCATTTAACCCTTTGCTTGCCAACGGGACCTAAAAGTCCCAAAGGATTCAAGTTTCATAAGAAAACACAAAGAGGTGAAACAACCCAAAGGGACCTAGAAGTCTCAAGAGCCTTTGCCCCTCTATTTCTGTAGCCAGGACAAAAGCTGTCATCATACATGACATAAAAATTGTCATCATTTCAAAATGGCTGCTCATTGAGGGAACACGTGGCATCAGGTTTGTACCATTTTGACTTATTTTAACTGAGTTGTGTGTTGAGTAGTCAGCAGAGTAATTTTTTATGGATTGTTTAATACTAGGAAAATAAGATGAAAAATCTTTTTGGTTCTGCACTTTTAAATTCAGTATCGAAGGATCATAATGTTAGTTCGGGACTCAAACGTCCCGTCGTGTGTCACTGGCACCTATATTCTGGGCTGAAAATTTTTTTGTTTTTGAAGAAACACAGCTAACATTATTGATAAAACAAAATAAATACATTTAGTGTAAATGAAATGTTGAAAGTAAGACTATGAATTTTTAAACCAGTTCTAATAATATTATAAATGGAATAAATACTGTCTATACAGGAAGAAGCAATACTGCAATGGCACACTCCTCATGGAAAGTCTTCAGTAGCTCCAGGACATCCAGAACAGATGATCCTGATGAAGTGCTTTTCATGCAAGGTCTTTCTGTGTTGTAATGAAAAGCATTTGCAGCAGTGGGGGCATCCCTAGTAAGTTGAGTGAAAGGAAACAAGTGCAACATTTCCTTTGTTTGTTGGCTAAAACCGGACATTCGTAGCAATAACAGGGACACCTCTCTTTTAGTATTTACATGTGTTTATATATCAACTTATGTTTTGAGAACATTGTTGTTTATTTGTAAACTTGGAGTATAAATTAGCAAAATTGTAACACTGCTTTCACTACACGTTATGCTTGTGTATTTCTAAGTTGAAAAGAGTTTCTTGTTTTTTGAACATGTATTGACATATATGTAAGTCTAAAAGCAAATTAAAGAGCTATTTTCGAACTTTTGTGTTATTTCTTTATGTTCGGTATTACATGTCGGGACTTTCAAGTCCCAGTCATGGTGTTGCCATGGCAACCATACATTTTTCAACAAAAGTTGCATCATTCTACTTTAGTGGCTTAATTATGACAAAATACCAAAAGGGTTCATGCATACTGGACATATTACCCAGCATGGTAAACAAAGGGTTAAACATCACCATCATCACCAACATTATGATTACTATCATTAACTTAATCGTCATGATTAGCTTCATGTTTATCATCACCATTTCCATCATCATCATCATCATCATCATCATCATCATCATCATCATTAGCAGCAGCAGCAGTATTCTCACCACAACCAATAAATATTTAAAGGCTCTTATCAGACAACAATCAACCTATTATTTTTATAGTTATACACTTACTTGATCTTTCTCTGGGTTGCAGACTTTCACCCAAAGAATGTGATCCATAAGCCAGTCAACAGGCTTGTCTTTGTAGAACAAGAGAATGAATTCTACCACCAAACTAAGGTCACTTGAGCGGAAAAGCTTTCCTATTGAATTGAAATACAGTAAACGCCTGCTAATAAGAACCTACCTTTTTTTCAGTCTGGCAAAATAGGTTGTTTTATTTTGGGGTAATTATTGGCAATTTAATTAGGCTGAGTAGGTTCGTAATTAGGTTCTTAATTTTTATGAAGGAGATAATAGATTCCTGATTACCAGAAAAATGAATAAACATTTTATTTATTCACAATTGAATTATTACAACCACAACATAACTGATTACCAAATTTAAATACAGTTTAGTACAGTACGTTTTTGTTATACTTGAATTTGCAACTCGAAGTTAAACTCCTTTGTTAAATTGTTTAGCATAGAAGAACCTGCTTGGCCAAACAGGTTGTTGTATTTTTGGGTATTAAGTGGCAAGTTTCTGCCAGGAGGTTCTTAATCCACAGGTTTGTATTAGCGGGTGTTTACTGTACATGTAATGATCATAACATTCTTCTTGTGTACCATGTTTTAACACATGTTATATTCAAAGTTCCTTTTTTTTTGTTTATTTAGTTAATATCTCCAAAAAATACTATTAATTGAAAAAGATCACAAAAAAAGGAAGAAATTAAGAGATAAAGAGCAAAAGTTAATTGAACTAACTCTTTGCCCCGTTGGTTGACAAAAAAAACTTAGTTAAAGGGATAATGAGAAGAAAATGGTACATAATGTACAAAAAGGTGACACACAGTACATGTACAATAAGTAAAAATAATAATACATGCTTGCAACTTACCTATGAAACCAAGAGTAGAGAACTCCAGCATAAGCCATTTATTTGTCACTTGTTGAAGTGCAAATGTTTTGATGGTGGAGGCAAAACTAGGTGTAGCCACCAAATCATCTTCAAGCTAGACAAAAACAGGACAAAAAAGTTGAGACATCATTAACTACAAATCATTGCAGTGGTAGTTAGCCCAAACAAGCTAATTATGTGTGACCATAATAATTTATTATATTAAATTCAAACTAAAAAGTGAACATATTCACCTGAATATAAAATCTTGCTTTTCGCTGGCAGTACATCATCAGGAAACAGAAATCAAGATTTTGTTTTGTTCTCCATCTACGACCAAACAACCAAATATTAAACTGGCAGTGAGTCTGTCAAGTAGCTGTCAACAAATTAATCTGGCAGCACCACATTTTTTAACCCAGCTAAGGGTAACTCTTAATTACCTTCGATTCCCAATTTATGAATAACATGGGTTAGGAGATTGAGGAAATTGAAAATTAATCCAGGTTAAAGAATAATCCTAACCTTAATTTAATTTACCACTGTAACATTATATACAGTTACACATTTATAGTTGGGATGTGACCTCTTTCAAAGAGAGTGAATTCATATGTACAAGTATCTATCAAAATAGGAGAATGTTGAACATGCGTCAATTTAGTTCAGGACTGTTGACAGAACAGAACAGAGGGCTGGACTTTCAATTGAGATAAGGCTCAGGACACACACAAGCAAACTACAAAACCATGAAATGTCTCACCTCTGGTGTTCAGCTGAGGTTATGTCTAATTAGCTTCATCTTTGCAATGCATTAACATTTGAGAAATATTATCTCAAGCATTCACAGCTTTTCATCACACAAGTTTTGCTTACTTGACTCTCTCCCTTGAATCACCAAATGTAAGCGGCACAGCTTCCAAATCTGGATAGAAACTAGTAGAAGGAGACACAATCTCCACTAATCCAGATTCAACATCTGAAGGAAACCTGAAGTAAAGGAACATACAAATAAAACTCAAGTGAAAACCTGTCAATACCACAACCACTAGGATGTATGGCAGGTTCTCATTGCAGTTTAAAGGAAAATGATTTTGACCTAGAATTCATTTTAAGCTACAGAGGGTTAGTGCTCACAATGACAGCTTTTAAATTCCTTTCAAGTCACCAAAATACCTTATTGAATTGGTTTGTATTAAACCCGTGAAAGGATGATGATGAAGTTATGAATATATGAAAATCATACATTGTTTTACGGGTGTAATATGAACTAATTCAACGACCTGCTCCCAGTTGGCTTGTGAGCTCAACTGGAAGAGCGATGCACCGGTATCACAGAGGTCAAGGGTTTGAATCCTGACAAGCCTGAATTTCTTCTGGCTTTCTTGTCGCAACTGCAAAAGTTGCATCTATAACTGTCACGATCTTCTTTCATATAATTCTTCACCCTGCAGTTCACATGTATGATTTTCATATATATTTCATAACTTCATTACGTATACTGTTTAGGGGTAGTGGACAAAACACTGGACTACCCTAAAATGGACTATGCCGCTGAAGTTTAGTGGTTAGAGAAAGGAAACGTAGTGAATCGGGTTCCATTTAGGGTCATTATACTGGGAAAACTGACCTAACACTTTATTCACTAATAGTTTCCTAACCCTAAACACTAAACTTCCACCATGTATTCCATTTTAGGGTGGTCCATATGGGTATTCAGTGGAGGAAGTCCATGGACTGAGACTTAGTGTTTTGTCCACCACCCTGTTTTGGTGTTGTTGCTACCCCAGGTTAAGCCATGATTACCTTTTGAACTTTACATATGATATTTCAACCACTTAAAAACAAGAGACTCCTCATATCAATAATAATACTGTGTATTACCGTTCTTTCACATCATTAGCAACACTTGATGCATACTCTCTGTTGGTCTGCAGGTAAAATTAGAACTCCAAATAAATAACAAGATATCAAATGTATCATTGCCACATGGGAACACATTTTCAAAAAAATAGTAAATAATTATTTAACTTTCACTAGTGTCTGAAGAAGCTAGGGGTAATATTTTAAGTAAAAATGGCTTCTTCAATGTCTATGATGGCTCTTATGCTTAGGCTTGTCCAAATGTGTGTACTGGTATTGACTGACACTAAAATAGGCAACTTCATGGTCCTTGGCTATGGAGGTGAGCCCCCTCTTACCTTTATCTGCTCAAGGGATGTGCACATACAGAGTTATAACATAACCAATTACGGGAGAATTCCATCACACAACAGAGGTAGCCTCTATAGTCACCTTTTGGTATCCACGGTGAGATTTGATGGAGCTGGCTACACATCATGCTCTTGTCGGTCAAGGGCTGGTTTAATAACAAAATAAAGGTATTTACCTCACCCACAAAGATAACTATAACACTGTCATCTTTGTCTTCCTGTGTCATTCCATCCAGGAGGGATGCAAGAGTATTCAAAAGGTATGATGTCTTCTCACGCTTTATCGTGGGAATTCCGAACACTAAAGAAACTGCAAAATAGAAGTTTGCAGGGAGCAACGACAAAATGCTGTGTTAAATACTTTACATGCCATGATCTAACTTGGTAAAAAATGCCGAGGTTAATAGAGCGATGGAAGATATTATAGATCATGCATCACACGCATTATTATAAGCTGTTTATTGTTTGACTCACGGTGGTCACTTTGCTATTGCATGTTTTGACCATTTTTGTACCGACTGTTGATCTTTGTTAGGCAATGGCATAGATTTTGTTGCAAATCGGCACCATCACCAAAAAATTGAGTACATTATAAGGAAGATCTAAGCTCTCAGCCACACCATTTGCTATGAGATACTTGATTTGACCAGTATTGTCATTATTGCTATCACAACTACTATAGTTAATAACACTAGAGGTAATCATTGATTACAGATCCGCGTTCGTCACTTACAGAAATGAGATCAAGTAGAAAGGAGTCCAGTTTCCTGGCTGAGATGCCCCTGATAAAATTAGTGGGGGCGGCTAATTGCCAGTCTCCCCCCCAATAACTTGAAACAGGGGCTTTGTACCACAGGAACACCAAGATTAGGATGTGTTCTGACAAATGCAATTAGACCTTTTGATTTGAGGACGAGAAGGACAACAAGTACGAGATTTGACTTCAAGTTTTTAGGCTTATTCTCAAAAAATAGATACCCTGGAAAGCTTTATTGTGCTTTTGATTCACAGAAAAGTTAGCATCGTCAATCTTTACAAAAAGAAGGTTAATCCCTCTCTCAAACGCAAAATGATAAAACTTCTAACATTTGATAACTCAATTCTGCCACTACGACACTCTTGCTAAAACTAGTGGTAGAATGATGTCGGCTATCATGTTTTCCCTCCAAAATGATGCTGGTTTATGCATGAGCGATACTCAGTACTGAGAAAATCTCGTTCTCATAGTCATTCTTGTCTTAGAATCTAAAGGCCTCGATTGCTGTACCTTCCTTACATGTACATTGTCTGCATTATTGCATTACAATCATACCTCCTTGACGATCTTTTGTGACATGTATCGCAGGCTTTAAGCTATTTGGGGAATCCATAAGATGTGGCATAAAAGCATAAATACTTGGTAATTGTAGCACCTGGTGCTCATTAAAAAATATCGTATTTGAATTCTCAGTTCTGTTGGATGTGTTAGTTCTTTTTGTTTTTTCAGCTACCATCACCGACAACTTTGTCTTTAATAAAATAAGCTCCTGTGATCTGGCAGAGCTCTGGAATTCAGCATCTCGTAATCTATCCCTGAGGGACTCTATTTTGGTAATCAGATCTACATCTACTTGGCTGGGTGGCAAACTTTTTGGCAAATCTAAAATGAAAGTTCAAATAACAATAAAATTAGCAATTTATTTTTTAATGTTGAGAAAACTGCAACCTTCCAACAACAAGTTAATAACAGGTCTGTTCAAAAGCACAGGCTTTTTGCTCACATGATTTGCTCAACCCGTCATAACCAATCCTGTTGTACATGTAGCACGCGTACAGCTATTAGACCTGGATTTGAAACTATATCCTAGCTACATGCCACATATACTCAACAAAGATCTGACTCCATTCTTGCAGTCTCTCTCAGGTAAGCCAAAATTGAGCAAGTGAAAGAAAGGCTCTACTATCAGGATGCTTCCATGTGGCAGACACCAAATTTATCACGCCATTTTTGACCAGTCAATAAGCATTTTGAGCCCTTATCCTTCGTCAGGGTGAATCAAGGGATTGTAGGCTGTGTGAGGTTTATGAAGTTTGTATATCAAACATTGGAGCTATGCCATTTGAAGGAAAGTTGGTAACATGAAAAATACATTTATGTAAGAATAAATTGATTAAATGAAAAGAGTTTGATGATTCTCTGGATCAGATTTAGATTGCAAAATCTCAAAATAAAATTTGGCCTGAACATTTTTTACCGGGCAATTACGTTACCCTGTGAGCAAAGATTTCTTTATGGCATGGCAGTTAACAAACCAGTGATACAAATGACTTTGTAGATACTAAAACTCATTCCAGAAAGAAATCTCTCCTTGCAGGGTAAGGCAAAGAAGGTGAAAACTCAAGACTCTTTAATACCCGCCAGAAATCTCTCCAGTGCTATGCATTATTAAAAGCCTGATGAAGCTTCCTAAGATCAGTTGCATGCTGCTAGCCTAAACAAATCTTTTGAAATATTGATGGAGAAAGACATGCAGTCGGCAGTGTTTTAAGAAGCTGGAAGAAAATTTAATAGACTAGAAAGGAACTAGCCTTTGTTTCACCAGTAAATTAACAGATCGCAAGCTCAGAAGTATTCATTTACTATTAATTGTCACTCTCAATACCATTTCACAATAAAATATCATTCAACACAAGCTAAAAAAGTAAAGTGTATAATTCACAATTAATAATTTTTTTAAGGAGGAAAGAAAATTCTTTGGCAGGTTACATCTTGAAGTACTTAAAGATTAAAGTATTGCAGAAATTAAATTAAAATCTAAGCACATGAGCCAAATGAAAATTTCCAGTCTCTGACTTCTTATTCAACAACACTCAAGTTGATACATATATAGAGGTATAGAATAGTCTATCGAAAAATGGTGAATCTTGCTCAATTTTGACCAAGTCTCAAATTCTCAGAATTAAGAATAAGAGTCCTAGAATCTCAGGCTTACCGGTCTGTCTCAAAATCTTGAATAAAAATTCTGAAAATATAGGTCTCAAAGTTTCATGAGTTGTAATAATTATTGAAGTATGCTATACATTGGTCTCTGTTGGCAAAAAATGTAACCATTATTAATATAAACCATACAACCACACATATATTGTATCTGTTTGAAGGGCAGTTATGGATGGACTTTGTATATGAATAATCATCAATTCAAAACTTCTCAGTGAAATATTGCACCACAAAATAAACAGTATTTTTTATTTTTGAGAGAAAAAATCCAACATAAATCTTTCCTATTAGACAATTTAATATGGTGAAAGGAGGTATCTGAGAAGCAATATTCTTTGAGTGACTGCATTTTAAAATAGTATAGTCTTTCACCCAAATACTCAGCTGGGATTCATATGACCAGTTAACACTGGTGCAAAAAGCAACAAAGATCATGAGAAAATCCCTTTTAAACATAAAAAAAATACATGCAGCAATTAATTCATACTTGCACTATTTTTTGGAATCTGCTTCTTAAATTTTTATCTACAGAGTATGGACTAATCAAATATTCATGTATTAATTGTTGCCAAGATATTAAAGCACCAAGCAAAAACTTCATCTTTCTGTAAAAGTCTATTGCACAAAGTACTTTCGATCAATTAATTGGTAGGTGGGGTAGGACTTGGTAAATAAAAACTTTTCCTTTTTTCCAAGGCTTAAAATATATAATTGTATCTAAAATAAGCAACAAAAAAAAAACAAGTTACTTCCGACAAACAGCTCTTTCTTCAGCTGTTATTATAATACTGCCAGTAGCTATTATTTAGGGGCACAGATGTTGAAAAAGGCTAACTAAGTTCTGCTTTTAAATAATGAGAAACAAAACGAAGTAACAATGTTTTTCAGACCGCTCCACAATCTCTTGAATATTGACGTTGAAACACATGTCTTCAGCAAAACGACATCAAAACATTCCCTCGGCCGATTCAGAGTAATGTAGCGGAACAAGGCTCACATTATAGTGTAAGATAATAAATTCAAAGTGTGACTAGGCAAATTTTCGAATTCTCACGTTATCATTTTGTAAAAATGAAAGCTTATGGACGTTGAATCGGCTACAAAAACGGGGGAAAGTGTCTGCGAGTGGGAAGGTTAGGAAAGCCACTGCTTATGACGAGTACTCTATATCTAAATGACTTCAAAAGTTTTTGCTCCTCTGTGGTAGGTAATTGCTAAGAATGACTGCATATTGTCAAGCGTTAAATAAAAACAAAACGGCAGTCATGGGTGTCAAAAGGGTTCAAAGATGAGATGGGATCGACATGGTATCGATCAATGCTCAAACTTCAGACTCACCCTGCAGCCACTTGTCTTAATCCGCCGCAATGTCCCCAAACTATTTCATGTTTATCAACAAAAAGGTGATATCTTTGCAGAACCCTGGTTAAGTTATCTCGGGCCAAAGAACACACCTCTTCAAAATCACTTTATTCACTTAGCAAAGTAAGTTTATAACTTATCGGCTGTGGTTTATAACGCCGAGACGGCAACTGGAATTTTATATAAAAATCACTAAGGTAAATAAACCTTCACTCACCTTCTCTCCGTACAATGAAATGGTACATAAGCGGGCACACAATCACGATAAACAATATTAAGAATCTGTTCCTTTTAAGGACTGCCCAAATCATGTTTTTCACCCTGTCAAAGAGAGAGAAAATCGCTCGGTAGAGTAATCGATAACGCCGCCATGGAGTTCTTCAGTCCTTTGACTAATAGGACAGTAGATGGTACCTTATATGAGGTATTTTACCTATCCAGCGCGTCGCGTCTTGTCTTGGTCTTGTCTCCTGATATTGACAGAAACAGCCTATGATGATTGGTTGATAGCAATGACCCCCCCTCCCCGACCCCCCGCCCCGCCACTCTGCAACCGAATTGGTATTGCAAGCTTATTCCCAGTCGTTCAAGGAGAGTTAGCGTTGATCAAAAATTCCTTCATTTTATTTTAATCAACTAGCCCTCAGGTTCGACTCAGTTTTGGCAATAGAGAAATGACATTCATCCTCTCTTAATTATGGTACCAGCGATATTTAGCTGGTCAAGCTATCACAAGATTAAAAAAAGAAACTTGTTTAACAGCTAGATGGGTTAATCCCCTATTTGCATAAAATTACAGTTGAGTGTGAAACTGATTGAAGCACATTTACCTATAGAATTTGAACAAAAATATAAAGCAGCATTGGAAGAGAGACGGCCGTAAGAGCAAGTGGCGATCAGGCAATGCAAAGAACCGCGCTAAAATGTGATGGTCGGTTGTTGATACGATGCTGATTTAAAATTTTGATTCACTCAAGGGTAATGTTATGAAATGATTGACATCAGTCGCGTGATATGACCGGTCTAGCGAGACCTTTCCCCTGATCGATCCTTTGGGAAGGGTTAAGGAGCAAATACCTCTTTCACTATAACGCTGGCCTTAGCATCGGCGAACATTGACATTGTTGCATAACTGATTCGAAACATAAAGATTTGTATCGGAAAAACCTATCGTTTCCCTAACCTACGAAAATGAAAGGATTTTAATAAGAAACAGCTTACCTTTACAAATGTATTTTACGTCTCTCCTGGGTGGTCCACGGGCCGATTAATGGCCGTTTTATGGGTGGTACTGTAAACGGTTTTCTCTCTATGTAAAGGTTTATATGGAGGAAAACCGGTTACAATACAACCCATAAAACGGCCATAAATCGGCCCGTGGACCACACAGGAGAGACGTAAAACACATTTGATGTAAGGTAAGCTGTTTTGTATTGAAATCCTTTCATTTTCGTAGATTACGGAAACGATAGGTTTTTTTCCCAACAATGCCGATTTTTCGCCAATCCTCATTTCGAGCTTGGGCTACCTGTGGTTGTAGTAGTCGAAATATTAACCATAACAAGACTGGCAAGAAGTACCGGGCTGATCTCGATTATATTGTTTCCTTTTTTCAAAGCTTTTATTTAAGCCATGCGCAGCCTTACATGATTGGCATGTCTTTGGTGATGCGTGGCTAGAAAATTAAAATGAAAAATGGTGAATAATGTCCAGTATACTCATTTCCGTGTATATTCATGGTCCTTGAACACATGAACACGCCTGGTACCTATGTCCTTTCAGCTCTTATTTCTAGTGTGCGGGCTCCTGGTGTGGGTTAATCAACGCAGACGAAGTTTTCTGTCGAACATCAAGAGGCTGAGTTTCACTAGGCAAATTTAGTCTCCAAGACCTTATTCATTTCCCCGAAAAAGACATTACAGCTTATCGTTATTTGTTTTGTTTTGTTTTGTTTTTACTGACCACTCCAGTTGGTTTAGAAAAAAAATTCAAAAAAAGACCAAGAAACGAAACACAACATTTCGTAAAAATTGCTTCGCAACACAGTGCCGGTGCAAGAAATAAAATTATTCAAAGTTATTACTACATAGCTTACCTCCGACACGAAGCCACTGCGTTTGGGACCACAAAAAATGTATTTGAAACTGTAAATAATAATTCTGTTCGTTTTTAAATCTGTGCAACGTACACCCGCTTAAAGTAATAAAACTAGCAAATGTTCTTTTCTCGCCGTAGGATTGCATCTACTTACTCCTTTCCTCTCCCCCACTCCCTTGCGCAAGCGGTCAACAAATGTCCCGTGGTTTTTATTCATAAACGGGCCAGCTAGACAATCTCTAAAGATAGCTTAGAGGGCCAGTGAACAGCAAGAGAGAATGATGAACGAGCTATCAAAGAACCATCTGATCACACACAGCTTTAGTGGCAAACAAATATACGCGGACAAGAGAAAATGAGGCAGAAGAGATCAATAGGAGATGAGAGCATATACGCGCATTACGTTGACATTACATTTTAATATAAATGAGTCAAATCAAGAGAACTTAAAAAGGCTCGCTTTTATGTTATCTTGGTAAAGTGGTTAATTTTCTTTTGTCAGGAATTTTGTGATTTCATTAGAAATTTATTTAGATAAAATTTCTGTTACATTTTGTGAAAAGAAAATCATTTCCTTTTCATCTTTTTAGGTTTTGAATGGTAAAGTTTCGTATTTTAATTTGCAGTCTTTGAGATCTCAACTCTGAAACTGACGGCGTTGCCAGAGAAACTTGAATTTGGCCCAAAAGTGCGTGTTAAAGGAGAGGGGATAGGACTGAGAAAAATTCTCTGCCACAATCAAGATCATTGCAGTATTATGATGTCTGAATGTTATCAGAGAGATTTTAATATAGTGACGTTCCGGCAAACGTCAGATTCAAGTTGAGAATTTCTCAAAATAGAAAACGTGCAGCTCGAAACAGTCCAAAACAATTGCTATGGACGTCTATGCAGCTATTTTGCAAAGGCCCGCCTCTTAATTCCCCCACGCTCAAGTTCCTCATCTGAAACAATGTCACACTGTTTAGCATGTTTAGTAAGACACAGTATGTATGTCGGCATGACAATAGTGTAATTATCCCTGCGAATCCCCTCCTTCCTTTGAAAAATTCCTAAGTTACACCCCTAAAATAACAGAAACGTTTTCCCTCAGAGCAATGCCGTTGGAACCTTCTCTTAGCATCATTTATTGCTTAAAAACTTGCCTTGAAGCCATCAAATGATGTCAAATAAGTAGCAACAGTAGTTAAGGTAACCTTGACGTTCGCCAAAGAACTGTTAACGTAAACCTTGAACATCTAACTAGGAAATAAAAGCACCCGTCAATCATAGACTAGCTCAAAATAGCCCTTGCGATGGGTTAAAAGGCAATTGTTTGCGCAAGATTACAAGATTAAAATAAAGGTGATTGGATAGTCTGATCTGGGCAAAGGGCAGCGCAAAGCTGCTATGTATTTCCCGCCATTTAATTCCTTAACCCCTGTCAAGCTTGTTCTTAGATTTTTCGAAAAGCGAGACAAAACCCACGCACTGTGTAGTTTATCTGCCTATGTAAAGGAATCAGGATTCTAGAATCTGGGATCTGGGAAAGTTTTGCTAGTGGAATCCGAAATCTGGGAAAATATTGCTTGTAAAATCAGGAATCCCACTAACGAATGGAATCCAGTACCTGGAATCCGGAATCCAAGTCTTGGCATCCAGAATCCAAGACTGACTTGGATTGATTTCCCTTGCATGGAGCGAAGTTTAGCACAGGCCTCCTTTCTTGCAAATGTTTATCCCGGACTGGCAACAGATGAACCTAAAACGGTGAATCTGATATAGAATTATGTAACATCAGCAAGGACAACTGCGATGCTGTACGTTATACTGACTTCTAGGTTTGTAATAGAGATGCTTATTTTAAAAGAAAACTTCCACTTTATTTGACAAGTCGTAGCTCTGAATAATTGTTGTTTAATTCGGCTATCAATTCAAAGCTATCTGCTAACCTGAATCAGGATTATAAAGAGATCCGCCGCATCCGCGATGTTGCATTAAGCTAAGTTTTTGAACGTGAACTTGTAGGGACTTTAAGATCCAACGACGCGGACGGCAGCGAGAACGTCAAAAAAAAACAATAGGTTTTATAAGAAAAACAACAACTTTGCACGTGCATCACTCTTATCTGTACATTTCTTTTCCCGTTTTTGCACAACTACGACGTGAAAATGCCTAATTTCACCTTTTATGGAGAACGTAAACAACGTAAACGTAAACAATTTCTCTTTCTGAACTTGGACATGGTCCCTAGGAATTCAACTCCAGTAGGGTTCGCCTACATTTGACAAAGTAAGTGGGTAGGAATAATTGCGATGAAGAATGAAAGGACGCAAATTCACTTTTTAAGCGACGTTCTCGTTGCCGTTGGAATGAGCACGCACGCGTAAAATTATGGTGCCAAGGTTTGAAATTGATTCTGAAACTCGATCTGTTTTTTTAACGCGAAAGTTGCGGTTGAAATGGTTTTGCTTTAGAGGGTCAAAAGGTAAGTTGTTAAAGATCAATCGTTGTTGCATATCGCCGTACGCGTTAAGTCGACTTAATACAAACAGACGGCCGGCGTAGAAGGTTAAAAGGTTTGAAACGGTTGATTACTTTCACTTTAATTTTACGTATATTCGGGAACTTGGCCGGGGATCAAATTAGTCGAATTAATAGTAAAAATTGCCTACCTGGTCAATAAATCAGATTTAAGTGCCCATGCTAAGAAGAATGTTTCGATTTTCTTGCATCATACAATTTGGAATGAAATTTTTATTCAAAGGACAAAGAGTTACCATATGGTGAGTGTGACATTTTTGTACCTTTTTCAACCAATAATGAAAGAATTGTTTAGATAACCAGTAACACCAGCTTACATGATTGCTCTGTGTCATGGAGTCGTTTATAATGCGTCACTTGCTTAGTTGAGGGTGGTATTTTCATGTTTTTTACAGCCGCTCCTGGTTTATTAATCACCCTACAAATAACCTTTTTTTTTCAGGAGAACGTAAGTCAGCGGGAGAGCCATCCACACGACCAGTTTCATTTACGAATATTCATCTTTTTTTCGGGCAAAAATCACTCTGAACAATAAAGGCGGGGATGGCAACAAGTTCCCTGTTAGCACAACCCTATTTTTTCTTTGCGCATACACGATAATTTTTATTTCCTTCAAATAACTTGTGCGCTATTGTTTGGCAACTGTATTTGCATATCTTCCCAAAAAAGAATGAGCTAAATTAAATTTGTCTTAAAATACACCAATTTCTTTCCCAGGAGCGACTGGGAACAAGTCCGGAAGGACACCAGGACCCAATCCCCCAAGAGTAATAGACTGCAAGGCAAAATGGAGGAGGTGGACAACATTATTATCCATACATTCAGGCAGATCGGCTGGTAAGAATACGCTATACACAGTGTTTGGCTGTCCTCTAGTCGTAATTAGACATCTTAAGGTAGTTTTTCTCTAAAATGAAGTGGAAACGGAACGTTTTGTAGCGTTATCGTGGCCAGGGGAGATTTGCAATTCATACCCTCTTCTCTTGCCGTATTGAGGTCTTTTGATATCCTCTCTCGAAAAAGTTTTGTGACGCTTAGATTTGTCTCGTTTAGCAAACCGTTTTTAAACACACAAACAAAGTACAGTACCAAAGGAGCGTATTCATGGAGCATTTTTGGTTAAGAGTGGTTAAACTCCACTAAGATTTGTTGTTAATTAATCCTCTTCTTCTCAAAATACTAGTGACATCCCTGAAGATGTCTCAAGCTTGAGAGAGTTTACGACAGCCATGATTGTTGGTGCAACATCCAAATGTCTTCGTATGATCAAAGATGATCTGCAGATTCCTTCAGTGTTGCCTGCTAGCATGTCATCCAAGTTTAGGTTGGGGACAACCTTAGCTACAGCTTGTCAGGTAGGTCTTTTGATGTGAAAAGAAAGCTGTGAACAATGGACTGCAAGACAATGGATGTATATACTGACAGAAGGCATAAGAATGATTTATTGAATTGGCTGGGTACCAGACATTTGGGTGGGACAAACTGCAAGGGTCTTAAAAACATAACTGATGAAAATGTGATGGACAAAATTCTGCAAGGAAGTACAAACTCAGTGGTATTGCCAGCACCCTACACATGTACCCAGTCATGTCTTGTGTTCTGTCCTCATCAGCAACTAGCCATACCGCTTACTTTGGTACAGTGGAGGTTCAGGGGGCGGTACTACCTATAATGGCCTATACAGGGAGGCTCCACCCAAAAGGGGTACCTTTTTCAGGCTTCAGGTATATGAAAGGGTACGGATTTTACTCGTTGAAGTATATGAAAGGGCAGGGGAATCTGTCATTTGGGTCTGTGAAAGGGCCTAAAGGGCTGAACAGATGAATTTTATGGCGTTATAAAGTCGGGAAAACATTCTATTTTTGTTATTGATTCCTATTTAAATGACAGTGCATTTACAGCAGTTAAAAGGAATGAAAAGTTCTAAACAAGGTATGTGAAAGGGGCATCACTTCTCAATAGAAAGTATACAAAAGGGGTACCTTTTTCGTGAAAAACAGTATATAAGAGGGTAAGGGGTTGGACCTCGGGGCTGAGCCTCCCGGTATAAAAATTTGGAGGGTAAAATTCAGACTAGTGACATCGCCTTGAAACAGTGACATAAGACAGACGATTTGCAACAGTGACAGGGAAAACTGCAAATACAATAGTAAACTAGCGAAAACAACATGACTTCCTCTTCAGTACTTCAGATGAAAATTCAGATTAAGAACATTGGGAGCCCCACTAAGAAGTCCTCACTGTGGACTTTCTTGCTATGTAAGTGTGGCCACAGCCACTTTCTGTCATTATAGTTCATCCTCTGCACCTTTTATATGTTACTGTCGACGTGACTAGACCAGTGGCTGTTCAACTATGAGCATATGACGAACCATCTGCTGTGTGACTTATTTCGTTGTAGGAAGTGGGTTATCGTGGGGAAATAGGATACCAAACATTCCTTTACTCCAATGAAGCAGACATCAGGAAGTTGTTCATGTTTTTAGTGGAGAATCTTCCAAAAGAGAGTTCAGAATCAGCAAGCGAGCCAGCGATGGGTAAGTTTAACAGACTATCTGCCAACCACACTTTTTCACGGAAGTGTTTTTCTAGGACATTTAACTCTTTGATGATCAAAGAACACTTGATCTGGTCTGTAAAATGTTCATTGGGGGCGAGCATGTGGACCTGATGCAACATAAAGCAACTCTGGTAACTCTGGAAGAGGTAACCTCCCCAACAAAACCTGTCTCCAGGTGCTTGGAGAGCAGAAGGACCTGCAAACAAAATTTTGAAAAATATATATGATGAAGACCACAATGAAAAAGAAAACAAACAAACAACACTCAACCAAGGGACTGGAGTGCAATGCCATAACGATTCTTTTATGTTGCTCATTAAAAAATCTTCCCTTATAAAGAAATGATATATTCAGTAGGAAATGGAGTAAATGTTTTCAAGGTCATTTGTGTCACAGTAAAGATGCACTGAAGCAAAATAAATTAAAGAACATCTCTGTGTAAATGTTAACTTTCTTATAAGTTGCCTAAGAATTTGAGTCTTTTTTAATATATATATTTCACATTCTTTTGGGGATTCTGAGATGACATATTTTCCTCTGTCCATATTGGTATTGTTGTTGCCTTCATTCACAGGTTCAGCTGTGATGCTCAATAGAAGGATAGCTGCCGAGTTGTCAAAGAGACTTGCTAAGCCTTGGACGCCTTCTTTCTGTAAGAAAGACAACATTAGCTGGACTGGAACTAAACCTCGAGCCTGGCATAAGGAGGTGGGTGAGAAAAGCACTAGCAAAATGAACTACCTTCTCAATACCTTCTTGTGCCTTCTGGTATGAGTACAAATAGTGCGATACTAAACGCACAGTGATGAAATAATAAAGGAACTTACAGTTATATCCCTAACATTCATCAGAATTAATGAATTTGTTGTGTAACTTAAAAATGGTTACATTAACTTCAAACTATTATCTTGATTTGCAGGGAACCAGATGTGTCAGAAGGTTTCATGCATGCCCTTTGAGAATCCCAGAAGGTTTGGGAGATTTAACCAAGAAAATACCCAAAGGTAATTTACTGTCCAGTCTTCGATACAAAAGTATTAGTATTTTATCAAATTTTCAACTAATCAAAAACACTATGCAGATCTGGGTAGTGACCAGTCATCAATATTCGTCAGACATCATTTTGCTAGGAAACCAGTAACTGTTGTGACGTCACAAAATGTTGGCTGTTTTCTCAGGCAAGATAAGCACATTATATTTTTTTAATGTGCTCAGAAAATGTTGTCTGTAGTGATCCATTAACAGTAGAGAGATCCTTATCTTATTTTCCATGCTTAGCAGATTCCATGTGATATCCTACTGGTATTGATGGTACAGATCACAATCTCCAATTTTTTCCTTCAAAAGAAACCAGTAGAACCTGTTATGTTACAGAATGTTTCTGATATATTTTCCTTGTTTTTTGCTTGTGTATGCAGATGTTAAGGCATATTATGGAACTTCCTTGCCTTTTATCACAAGTCAGCCAGCCTGTCGTCAAGATGTAGCCCCATCTGTGCTTGAAGAAAATGCGATAGCAGTCACCTTAGCAAATGAGTGGGAGAACGAGTGGAATCAGAGTGGACTGGCATCACGACTCTCTAAAGAGGTATGCAGTGATACCGGTATATAACATTGTGAGCCAACTTTGTTTGTGTGGAAAACTACAGTGAATTGATGATCTTACTACATTGGAGACAAAAAAAGTAACATGGGCTCTATTTCAGGATTAACAGTTACCAGACACTAAAATTCATGGCTAATCCTTATTTCATTTTTTGTTAAATACTAAAAACAATAGAGCCATACAAAAGCTCAGCTCACAAGGTTTCATTTGAATGGTCACACCTTAGGATTTCATCCATTTACTCAGAAACTGCAATAGATCTACACACAAAACAAATAGCACCATGTGAAAGAACCACTGAGGAGTTTTCATTTAAATGGTAACACCACATTACTTCATCCACTGACTATGATGTGGAAAACGAGTGGTACAATGTGAAAGTACGGCTGAAGAGGTTTCATTTGAATGGTCACACCCTTGGATTTTTTATGACAGAAGTACATAATTAGAGTCCTTTCAATAACATTGTATTATTAATTATTAATTGTCGTGTTAATTTGGCAAAGGAATACCTGGCTCAGAAGAGAGAGCGTCTGGAAAAGAAGATCAAGCAACATCTACAGAGTGAGCTACAACGAGCAAACTTGAATGCTGTTGCTAATGCTGACCTCAGTGATATTGTATCATCTCTTTCTGGTAAGGAGTTGTTGTACTTCCAAGACCACCCTAACAAATAGGTGATGAGAATAAAAGGGAATATTTATTATTTATTTAATTGAAGTAACTTACAAATGCCTGCTGCCTCTGTGCAGGCAGGATACTTTGTCATCAACTATTTATTTTTATTTTTTATTTATTTTATTTTATTTGCCACACTAATTACAAAAAATATAGGAAAAGAAGAAGAATCAATTGAAGAGAAGAAGGCGAAAAAGTCGAAGATGGAAAGATTTATAAACTGTTTTCATACTTACTCAATAATTTAATCTTCAGTTTTTTTTCTAAAAAGAGGAGAGGGATTGAGAGTTGATGATCTTGTTGTCAAGTGAATTAAAAACTTAGGCCCTTGAAAAAAGGGCGAGAACTTCTTCGTGTTTGTACGACAATACGGTAGACGGTAGGCCTGGGAATTTCTTGTATTGTAAGAGTGGAATTGATTGCTTTGAGAGAAATTGTTATTAAACTTTGGAGGTAAGAATGAATTTTTGCAAGAATACATAAATTGGCCCAGTTGAAGCAAATGGATATCATTAAATTTTAGCATACCGTAATATCATTAAATTTTAGTATAACTAGCAGATATTTACTAACAAAGGTAAATAGACTTTTACTGCACTTAACCTCAAAGAGAAATATTATTATTAATTCTCACTATTTTTACCTGATTTTCTAATTTTTTTTAAAATCCAAGATGGTGGCCAAGATGGCGACCATGTTTGGTGACATCACAGACCTCCAGCAGTGCCACCACCCATAAAATATACCCCATCTTGTAGAGAAGATCAAAGGCTTTCCACTGAAGGCAAAACCATTTCAAAATACTGCAACATATCAAAAAGTCAAGGGGGGTCCATCAACCCCCCCCCGCCCCCTTGTACCACTGTGGGGGTATGACTTTGCACGTACGTTCGAGGGTTAAGTTGTCTTAATATATGATTTTAGGCATTTTTTTCATTTCAACACATGTACCACACAACCCCCCTTCGGACCCCTTCAATAATCAATTGGCATGAGTCTGAAATTTTGTAGGTTCTTTTGTTAAGCTCCTTAAAGGTTTTTTAGAAAACTGATTTGCCTGACTTTTAGACAAAGCATCAGGAGCTGCTGCACCATCCAAAGGGTCTCGCTTTACTCGAACAGAACAACTTCAGTTTGCCCAGGTGAGTTTGATCAATGGATGTTAATTCATATTGATATGTTAATGCAATCTGTCATACTAGTATTATTAATTTGGTTGTAAGGAAGGAGGTGCAAGAACGGGGGGGGGGGGGGTAATTGACATGTTATCGTCCGCAGAGGGAGTAGGAGTTGAAGGAGCTGTTTCATAAAATTTTATTAAAATTCAAATAGTGGGAGATGACGCCAAGTTGAGTGACATTAAAATAAGGGCTCAAAACATTCAAAGAAGGTATAAATAACACAGCTAATGAAAAAGAAAGCACAGATGGACAAACTTGAAGCAGATTAAAATGGATCACAATCGCAGTTTTTTAAAAAACTTGTTAGCCTAACAGTCACTCAAAGTTCATTTTTGTTGTTTGTTTGATATAATGTGTTAGAAGAGATACTTGTTTGATGCGTAGCTGTGATTTTATCACTTACAAGAAAAGTCCTTACAAACGTCAAGTTCCTTAGTGAAAAAGGATGGGTTATAGGCTATAGTAGCTACACAGGAGTAATACAGCCCTTGTCATAGTAATTTGTTATCTTCAATTCATTGCTGTTTGTTTGTTAGGATGAAGAAAAGACAGCAGCCATGGCAGGTTTGAGTGAAGAAGGACCTCCTAAAGTAGATACTGAAGAGGTAAGATGACCAGCGCCAATTGGAAACTGAGTCCATGGCTTTCACTGTTGATGCAGTGACTGATGCATTTGAGTATCATGCGAAGGAAGTGGATAGAAGAGATGAAGAAATAAATGTTATGTTTGCTGTTATGAAGTAAGCTTCTGTCAGGGAAGGGGGCAGTGGAGAAATTTGTCATGAGAAAGGCATTCTGTTAAGAGGTTAATCAAGGGCTTGGACTTTGAATTAAACTGTTATTTCGGCATTGAGAAAGCCTTTATACCTTAGCCTGAAATCACTTCTGTGTTAAAATGTAAAATTCCTTCATTTTTATGTTATCAGGAGATGAGGAAGAAGAGAGAAGAAGAACTAGATGCCCTTCAATCCAAACTCAGTGAAATGAATGCATCAATTGAGCAAAATGAGTTAGAAATCAAAAAATCTTTAGCGGAAATACAACAGGTGTGTTTACCTTTTTTCACTTGTAATATATCGCAACGGAATTAACTTATTACCGTAAGGTTTGCTTGGTGTTACAAAACTGTTTACCACTGTAATGTTGGAAATTGTTTTTCTTCTAGACAAACGAACAAATATCCAACAAAAAATCCAAGAATGTTGAGCAGGAGGAGATTTACAAAGTAAAGAAAAGGACTATTGACTTGCTCCCTGACGCGGAAAATAACATTGATAAGCTTCAGGTAATATAGACTGGAAAGAAAAATTGCTTCTATTTTGTCTGACGGCACTTCTAGCTATGGTAAAATGGGCAACAGAAGTGTGCAACCTGTTTTGCAACATTTCCTGCAAAAATTGAAAAGTAATATAACGTTTTAGGGGGTCCTGGGGTGACCGTGACCCCCCTTGGTAGGCCTTCTTTTGAGCAAACTTTCGCCAACTGCTCTTGTCTTTAGTTAATATGGGCCTTCATGCTGCGATAATACGACTGAGCCCGCTGATACACAAGGGAGAGCAGCGGTATAAACCATATATAGTCGGCGATCCCCGGATGGTGTCCCTGTCTGTGATCCCCCCTTTGAAAAAAATCCTGGCTACGCCCCTGCGTAATGATATCAAACATTCCAATAGAAAAGCTTCCTTGTCATGTGTTCCCAATTCTTAATACGTGCATTATCGGAGGTCAAGTAATCTTGTTTTTAAACACTTAAAAGACCTGACGTAACGTTTTAGTTTTAAAGATATGTTTCAGATACTTATGTTCTTTTCACCGTGTAACACTTACCAAGGAAGAAGGCGGTCAATGCACATATTTTGAGGCATTGCTTTCTTCTCCTTAAAAATCTTTGTGCTGTTCTCGGCACTACGTACAAGTGGTGGTTTTAAAACTCTCATTTCACAAACTTTGTTTTTATCATTCAGAGTGTGGTGGATGCCAGTGCACAACGACTTGTTAGCTTGGCACAGCAGTGGGAGAAACACAGGGCACCTTTGATAGAGCAGTACAGAGAACTGAAGCAGCTTAATGCTAACAGAGTGGTAAGTCTGTGAGAAACACAGGTCACCTTTGAAAAAGCAGTACAGAGAACCGAAGTGGCTTAGTGCTAATAGAATGGTGCAATGTAGGTCTGTGGAATCCGTGGTCCGCCCACCATGTGTGGTAAGATCGTTCTTAATTCGAGTGTATTTTTTTACTCTTTGTGTTTCTTGTTCTTAGTCGGAAGCTCAAAAGCAGCTGGAAGAGATAAAGTCTCTTCGAGAAAAAATGAAAGAAGTTGCAGATGAGGCACGAGGGAAGGAAGACATTTACAAACAACTGGTAATGTTTGCTTACTTTATCCAATATATCTGGTCAAGTTACAGTTATGAATGCTCGTAGCTTCAAAGTTATACATGAAGGCTGCATTGGTCACAGAGTTTTAAGACGGTACCTGCCTAGCTGCCTAACACGGTGAATAGTTAGACTTGCTTTAAGTCGACCTGTCATTAGTCTGCTACACAGCCGTTTTTAGAGTCGTCACGCAATGCTCCTCCCCAGCGTTGCGTGACGACACTAAAAACGGCTGTGTAGCAGACTAACCTGTCATAAGTTCTCAAAATATTTCAAAACTGAGAAGCCATGTTTGTTTTATTTTTGCGTGGAAGTCGCTCGGATTTTAAAGCTCGCGCCGTACTAGTGCTCATGCTGCACACGGCCAATTTACTCTAGAGAGCCGCCTTAACTCTAGTGAATACATATTGCCACTCTCATCATGTGATTGGGATACCTGTGGTTTGGATTCCATTTAAGGATGACAGATGTTGAAAGTTGAGCTCTGTGCAAAGCGTGGCATATTGAAGAACTTTGTATTCCGACTTACATCATCCACTTTGTTTTTCAGCTGCTGGAACTTGGTAACTACATAGCTTTAGATATTTCTGCTCAAATTTTTCAGGTTGTTGAGTACGAGACTATGAGAAAGGATGTGAATAGATCAGCGTACACTCGCCGAATACTGGAAATTGTGGGAAATATCAAGAAACAAAAAGAGGAGATAAACTTTTAATTTTTAGTGCTTTTAGTTTTAATTCTTTAGGGGCTGTGTCCGGTGCAGTTCATTTTAGTGATAATTCTGTTGTATGGACAAAACAGAGATCCGAGACAAACTCAATGATTTTTTTGACTTGAAAATTTTGAACAGTTTTTATTTTAATCCGTTGCCATCTTTAGTTTTAATGGCATCTGTTGTTTCTGGTTATTTTAATCTTAGTTTATCAGTGACAATAAATGAGCTTTAAAACTCAAACTCAAATTTTATTTATGCTATATTAAAACAATCTTAAATGACAGAAACTAACTCGTAAAGTAAAACTCCAAATCAGCTTCAATCTCTTCAGTCAGCGAGTTGTGAGCCGATTCCTGCTAGCCTGTCTTTGTTAGCTAGGTTTTTAAACTGTTTAAGGTTTGCTTATCATATTGCGTCTCGTCTAAGTGGAATCCCTGAGGGTCAGTTTAGTCGGTAGAGGGCTGGCTTGTGGAGCAAGATGTCGTGGGTTTGATTCTCGAAAACGGACCGATACTCATGTCCCAGGTTCTTAACTGGGAAAGAACGTATTACCTTTGTCTTGCAGCTGCCTCGACCTTCGCCTAGCCTGGGTTGACCACGTAAATATGGTGCGCGGTCCCATCTTGGGCAGGCCACGAAAATTAGTTTCGACTTAGTGCTAAATACATTGAGTACACTGAAGGAAACAAATGTGAGTGTTTTGTTCTGAAGTTGCTCGTTAGTTTACGCATGTGTTTGACAGTAGTTTGTGTTTTACATGGCAGATTTTGATCGACACCAAAGATGTGCAAAAAGAAATCAACCAACTTTCGGGAAAACTGGACAGAACATTTGCTGTAACAGATGAACTCATCTTCAGGGTTTGTTTTTAAAGTGTCAGCTTAATGTTTCAGAAAAGAGCTTTTTTATTTCTATAAGTCACGCAGGTAAATCCATCATTTTTTAAAATAACAAGCCTGGCAGGAAATTCAGAGTTTTGCAGTAACGTAAAATAATCTCTTGCAAATATTGAAGCCCTCGTACCCATAATACGCAGAATGCGCACCACTTGCCAGGCTGGTGCTAGCCTGCGTGGCAGGCGTTAAAAGGGGAAGGGGAAGAGGAAGGGGAAGGGGGGATTTGGGCGTGCGAGAGCGCGTGGGGCGCTCCTCCCTCGCGCGTGGTCTCGCGCCCTAATTCCCTTCCCCTTCCCTTTCGAACGCCCCCCATGCAGACCAGGCTGGTGCACATTCTTCGTACGGGACCATAAATCCCGCATCAGGACTTACACAGTTGTACTTAAAGCACATTCTCTACCTAATCCCCGGAACAAAGTGCCTATGTACTAGGAATAGATTATCTAAGTATGATAAGCTCGCAGTCACTTCGTTTCCGATATTTTCTTGCTCAGGATGCTAAGAAGGACGAGTCTTGCCGCAAAGCGTATAAATATCTAGCCAGTCTTCACGAGGTATGTCCATTTAGTTCTAGCTGCTAGCCGACCTACTACATACCAGCAGTGTTTATTTAGACAGTCAGTCCACCATCTGGGTGAGCTCTTCTCGCTGTACCATTACCTTACCACCAACGACTTTTAGTCCTATTCTAACGCCGGGCAGTTTGAACTTTGCAAGTCAAAATGGGAAAAATAGCAAACACCTTAGTTATTATCAAACTGGAATGTAAATAGGACGACCGTTTTCCACGGTTACCGGTCGTTTCCGTACCAGTTTATTCAGTCGACTTGTAAGTTGTTTCACGTACTTGGATTAAGGAACGAAGAATATTCACCCAAAATGTTTTCTTGTTTACACGCAAGCTATACTTGAAGTGATCGAAATTTTTGTACCATTTCACTGCTTGTATTTGTATCGAAACGACCGGTTACCGTTTTCCACTCATAAATTTCCAAATGCGCTGTCTAATTTTCAGCCACGACAATACCTTTTAATAAACACCTAAAAGCCTACGTGATCGTTAATTTCCAGAATTGCAAGGAACTGATTAATTCAGTGGAAGAAACTGGACTCATCTTGAGAGAAATACGAGATTTAGAGGATCAGGTATTGTATGAGACATATTGATACCCATCCAAAGTAAAACAACACAGTGGAGAAACCTTATAACGGGACTGTAAAGCATACATATTCTCGCAGTCACGTGGACTAAACTCGGCCTTTTTGAGTGACGCTGGTCAACCGGAAGTGAGGCGTTTTCTCTTTTAATAGGCTGATCAAACTACTGGCTTGACCAATGGCAGAGCGGCAAATTGGTCACCGGAAGTCGTGTTTATTCCTTTCCGCGCGCTTTCCCGTCGTCAACTGACGTTCCCGTCCTGTTGCTAAATCAGCCTAATATATCTTGACGGCTCCAAATTCGTAACGAGACGACTTGCCCAAAAGTGAAGACAAACCACTGTCAAATATTGCCAAATGTCCTCTTCCGGTTGACATGCCTCGTTCAACTAAACGTCTTTCCCTATTACCACAGATTACTCCATTTGTGGCGCCTTCTATTCAACCAAACAATGTATTATTGAATGGTTGTAGGGCAAAGACATATACAGGCCTCCGTCCCTTTTTCCCAGTCGTTGATCAATCCACAAGTCGGGCGAAGAAAGATTCAGATATCTCCTTTCCTCCCCCGGGAGAGCAAGATCAGTGCAAAAACCCCTCTCCCCCAGGGCCAACACTCGCCGGCTTGAAATTGATAGGTTTAGTTAACATCAATGTTCATTTTCTTCAGATTGAAATGGAAAGTCAGAAAAACACAACAACTAACTTGGAGCGAATCTCAGCGGACTTAAAACAAATGAAAGACGAAAACAACACATTGGCGAAAAAGCTCAAGGCAGCCAAATGAGAAAGCTGGTATTTTTATATAAAATAGAAAATTTTGTAAAACGAGCCATACTTTTAGAAATAAATTGATTTTTATTGACCTTTGGTCGCGTTTACACCGCAAAAATTTTTTCCTCGACCAGGAAAATTCTGTATTTTCCCATTTGCTACACTTTAAATACGTTGTTACCATGAAGAGTGTCGTCCAGGCTCCCAAGCCAATATCAAGACATGAAATATAAAATCTAATCATACAAAAGTAAAAACAGTTATTTCAATCAAAGTTTTCGGTTTAAAAGGCCTCAAGCCTACGCGACAAGACCGCAATGTCATGTGGGTAGCTGTAAACGCTTTGCAGCTGTAAATCCGATTTCACAAACGTTCAACTTTGCGATTTTATGATAGGAGAACTTTGCTTCATGACTTTGGGTTTTAGTAATTTTGGGGGGGAAAAATTATCCTACTGCTTTGTGGTCTCAAAATAGCTGTAAATATAAGTTTATTAAGTGGCACTGAAAACAGATAGCAAAGATCCAAACTACAATCATTGTGATTTGGGCACAGCACACTGGCAACAGAAGAATGTATTGTTGAAATTATGCGCAATATTTTCGCATTAAATTTAATCGGTCATTTCACGAGTCAATACATCAAAAAGGAAGTCTGTTTAAGGTTTTTACCCACCATAATTCATTCACTTCTTGAGGTGGGTAGTCATTGAGTAAATTTACTCACTGTATAGCCGGGTACCAACGGACGCAAAATTGTTGGCCAGCAACTCCCAACATTACTGGGAGTTGTTGCGTCCGTTTGCATGTAGCTAAAAGTTTGACGGGTTTCAAACTTTGCGCAACAACACGCAACAACATGCGACGGGGTTGCAAATGGACGCAACATATAACATCGAATAATGTTGCGTCCGTTTGCATCGGGCTTATCATAATAAACAAAAATGAATCTGTTTTCCCTTGCTTATTTCTGTCCGACAATTTCTTCCGATCCAATAGACCCTTCCACGGTTACTTTCAACTTTTGACGTGGACAAGTTAAAGAAAATCCGTCGACATTACTGGAAAAAGCGCCTTAAAATTAGTAAAATTGCCAAGTTTGAACCGAAGTGATTTGCTGAAAACTATCGAAGATACATGTATAGCTCCTCAAAGTTGCAAAATTTAACAACATTTGTATGGTGGGGTGGGGGCGCAAACTTGCCTCCCACACCCCTCCCCATACAAACGTCCTTAAATTTTCGCAACTTTGCTTCGCTATATCTTCGCTCTTTTAAGCATTCACTTTCAAATTTGGCAAGTTTACTGATATTAAGGCAAACTTTCCAGTAGCCTGCGAACAGCAGACGCATTTCCGGTCGTCGCTTCTCTCCCTCCGAAAATAGGGAGAGAAGCGACGACCGGAAATGCTTCCCAATGACGTCGACGGACTTTCCCTAACTTGTCCATGTCAAAAGTTGAAAAAAAACGTGGAAAGGTACTATGGTTTGACCGTATCGAGCGGACATAATCCACCATTAGTCTTCCTTGTTTGTTAAGATACATCTTAGTCAACTGTCATAATCTACAAATTCTAGTTGTGTCCAGTCTTGTATCGTACAACAATGCGCGCCACTGACGTGTAGGTACCAAACAGAAACATTAGAAGACCAATGAGCATGATAGCAGCGTCTTTGAAAAAAGTGAAAGTAGGAACGCGGCCATCTCCCTCTGTTGTCAAGGTGATGATGTGAATTGCCACCGGGAAAATAATGGCGAGTGCTGAGCAACTGATAGAGCCGACCAATGAAATAAAATTATCTAGTTGGGGTATGCCTATTGCCAGAATACCTGAAATTAAAACAAAACGGTTTTGATGAGACAGAACCGGTCGTTGTATATGTTCACAGGTGCGATTGCAAACTCAGAATGGGACTATGTTAATAATATTCGTTTGAGAGGACATACTATAAGGTCTTCTTAAGAGCTAGAGAGTATTATAGGGAAGTACTCCTTATAATGTCCTATACGAGAGGCTCCGGCCGAAAGGGGTACCTTTTTCAGGCTTCAGGTATATGAAAGGGTACGGATTTTACCTTTGAAGTATATGAAAGGGTAGAAAAATCTCAGTGTCATTACAGTCTGTAAAAAGGCCCAAAATGGATAACAGATGCATGTTATGGTTGCGAAAAAGTATAGAAAACGTTCTGATTTTGTGGTTTATTCATACTTTAAAAACAGTATCAATTAAATTAGATCAACCTAGTCCCCAGAGCGCCCTGGGGACGAGGTTGAAAATAGATAAAAATTACTTTATTTAGGGCTCAATACATTTACTCCCAGAGCTGTAGTTGGAACAGAGGTACATAGAGTGGACGTAAGAACCTTACGCCCACTTACGTTGATAGGAAAATAGACAGTTGACTGCACCGATAGCAAAAATATTGATGACAAAATCAGCAAAAAATTATTATAATTAATGCTTCTTGATACAAATTTTGTGAAATCGTATTCATAACTTTACAGAAGCATTTTGTGCATGAGTAAAGGTAGATTTGCGACAAGTTGACCTCTCATGAGTTCTTAACAGTGAGCAAAGCCCGGGGGGTACTGCCATATATGGGCTATATGGGTATGCGCCGCTGTACAGGGTATGGTTTTCAAGCAGTTTACTCTAGGATAGGGTATATAGATCAGAGCGTTTAGGTCTAGAATAGGGTATCATTTTTCAGGAAACTGATCAGTTGGTTGAAGATTTTTAGTGACCTCGGTAGTTTCTGGAAAACAGCTACTCTAGGATAGGGGGGATTTGGTGAGTTTGCTCTAGTATAGAGTAGCAAAATTCAGCTGAACTAGCTCTGGTATAGGTTAAAGGTTCCAGGGTCCCAGCGGCACATCCCCACCTAGAAATTCCTAAAGTACCCTCCCCCCCCGGGGGGAGCAAAGCGAGCTTCAATGCATCGGGCAGCGACCGAGCGAGCCGCGAAGTCTCGAGGTCGACTTGTTTCGCCTGAATGGATTTGAATCATATTATAAATTCACGCGGAAAAAGAATGATTGACATGTGCTGTGTCGGGAGCAGCGTGAAATATCACTCACTGTCCTATTGGTCAATTCTGGTAGAATTTTCGACCGGTGATTTCGCGCCAAATAGGTATGAAAAGGCCTTTAAAATGGGATAACAACAAACCAGGAAGAAAATGAAGGACTTTCAGAAAGTCTAGGGTAAAATCGCTTAGTAATGACTTAAGCACAGAATTGACCTAAAACAGCAATATCATCGTAACAGAACCCCTTTGAATACTATAATAGGCTGATACTCACAAGTAAAAGTCACTGTTGCCGCCCTGATGGCGTAGTCGGCCACGTCCTGATATTCCTCAGGTACGTGTTTAAGAATCACAGGTTGGATTATCACCATGGGAACATAAAACTGAAGAAAATACGTCAGGAAAATGCAGCTGGCAAACAGCAGTTTTACTCCTAAATAAATTCTTAAAGAGAGAAAACCAAAGAGTTTAACGGAGTAAACGGTAAATCAACTTGTTCTTGTTGAAAGGGCGTTGTTTGAGGAAAAACACTAAGAAAATAACTGATATAGGAGACCCAACTAAACATCTCCCCCTCCTTTTTAAGTCTCGTCAAAATGATTTTCTTTTGTTTGCAAGGATCTCTTCTTAAAACAATGAGGAGCGCTTGGGGTGGGGGTTGGGGGAGAGGTAGGATAATAGTGAGTGAAGGTTTTAGCGAATTGAGGGAAGAACTGTAGAGAAAGTTTTCGGTGACGATCTAACTCCAAGTTCCCAATTTTCTTGCAAAGCACCACAGAACCTGCAATCTCATTGGCAGGGTGCCATCTATTTCCTCCGGAAATGTTGCGACGGTATAGGGGAAGTGTTTATATTTGTAACGTTTCTACATAAGTGCTGAGACTGCAAAGCTGGGTGGGTTTAATGCAAATAGTTAGTTTTATCTTGTTAAGATGAGGGTTATTGGCCATCAAAAGCAGATTCTTCATGTTCGCTGTGGAGGGCTTATTACTCGAAACGTCAGATTTACCTATAGTCGACTTATCTGACTAAACCTCTCTTCACGGCAGAACGGGCCTCTTTGTATCGTAGGGAGGCTGGGGAGAGGGAGAAATGAAAGCGCGCGGGGGACGATGGGATGGGGAAAAAAAGGAAGCTCCCGCCTTTTCACTCTTTTCATCGTCGCCCGCGCGCTTGCTATTTTTATTGAGATGCCCAGCTGGAACCTCTGCGGAGGAGAAAGTGACAAAACCAAATTTGGTTGACGTTCGTCCTTGGTCACGCAGTGTATACCTACCCTTCATTGGGCAGATTCAGCGTTATACTGCCCAGACATTTTTCCTGACAAAACATGTATCCCAAAATTCCTATCGAGGAAAACAACACGAAAACGATTCCCATTCCAAGGTTAATGACCCAGCCGTAGTTTTGAGGCTCTGCCATCTTGTTCTCAATCGGCAACACCTATCAATGACATACAATGAACCCAATCAACTCTTTCACTCAAAGAGCCAGTAAAGGTTTTTGTTTTTTTTCAAAAAATTTTTCTTCGGCCCTTCGGGCCTCAGTTTGGTCTAAAAATAGGGGAAGGGCGCCCCGGGGCCCCTGGGCCCCTCCCCTGGATTCGCCACTGGTTTTCTTGGGTGGTCATGTGACACGATAAAGCCACATAAATGGGTTTTCCACCGTGAAAAGATTCAAAGAACCGAATCAAGGGATTTAAGAGCTGCGCGGTGAGGTTGATACATTGAATCATTGAGTTACTCTATTGGTAGAAACATGGTAACAAAAACAAGGATACATCAGACCTAGGCAAAAATTCAAAGGCCAAATACATCATACATACCACTGCAATTCCCTCAAAGGCATATACAGCCATTGCAAAGAAGACGGGTAAGTTCATCCACCCACTAAAGGCAGGCAGCCTGTCAACGTCATGAATGTTTCTTACGATGTACTGAAGTATAATAACAAGAGCTACAAGACAGAGGATGTTTGCCACGATGGAGAATGGCACTAGGGTACGAAGGTCCCGGATGAAGGACAACAGGATTATTGGAAGAAGAATTATTGCAATCCAAGTTTTAATGTCCAGAGCGTTGGATACCTGAAACGTAGAAGAAGAGGAACTTGGAGGTTTATATCAAATGAACGGTGGGAGGGGTGGAGGGAAGGCTTCGTAGAGCGTGATCACTGATGGAGTTGGTGATGGCAACCACTAACTTCAAGAACACGGAAAGGTTGTGTTAATAGTGATGACGTCACTGATGACGAGGTATTAACCCTTTAAGCCCTAAGGGTGATCAACGTCAAAGGGTGATCAACTTTATAAAATTAGTCATGAGAATTTGGACATGATCACACAAGATGAATCTAATTTACTTCAACAAAACATTGAGCATAGGGTAAAAAGAGAATTTGAATTTTGATGTTAGGGTCTAAAGGGTTAAACGATGACGATGATGGTCTTCATGAAGAATGGTTGTGAAAATGAGGATGATGATGATAATAAGGACAATCAAGTAATATAAGGTGACGGTGATAACGATATGGCGATAAATATGTATGATACTAACGATGATGACGATGTTGTCTGATCAAGTATGTAAGGCTGCTTCATTTCACCTCTACAACATCAGGCGCATACGAAAATATCTTACAAGTGAATCTACACAGGGCCACTGTTATCAGCCGTATTGATTATTGTAACAGCTTAATTCAAGATTCCGGCTGTACATATCGCTAAATTTGAATAGTGCAGCTCGGCTAGTCTATTACATTCCTAGATTTCTACATTGGCTGCCTGTGTCTTTTTGTTGAATACAAAGTGCTAATTTTAACCTATAAGGCAATACATGGCTATGCTTCACTATATATTTGATTTAATAGAACTGGGGAACGACAAATTATAATTTAAGATCATCGTCAAGCTACTACTACAACCTTATAATGCTACAAAAACAAAAAAAGACATTGGGAGACAGAGCATTTCAAGGTCCGGGACTGTGGAACGGTCTCCCAAATGACATTAGAAATGCTAAGACAATGGACGTTTTTAAGTCCTTAGTGAAAACTCATCTTTTTAGGAAAGCGTATGCTTGTTATTTTTTTTAGAATTTTACATTTTTGACTCTGTGTAATTTTTAGTTTATTTATTAGATATGGACTGGATAGTTTTACTATATTAGATTTATTATTTTATTATTATTTTAATGTAACTTGTAAGGCGCATTTGAATATATTCATATAGATATTATTATTATTATTATCATTATGCCTTTAGTGCTGGTACTGTTTCTGTAATTGTAATTTTTTTTTTTTCACCCATGAAGCACTTAGGAGTTCTTAAGAACTCTTTTAAACGTGTCCGTGCGTTCCAGATCAAATTTCAATTTGAAGGTGTTGGTTTTTAGGAGAGGAAAAAACCGGAGTAGCTAGAGAGAAGGAAGAGAACCAACAACAAACTCAACCCACATATGGCGTCGACACCGGGACTTGAACCCAGCAGGAGCCAGGCATGGCACAACACTGCGCCACTCTTACTCGCTAAATCGCTGCTGCTGATAATGATGGCGATATGATAGAAATAAGACGAAAAATGACGGAGACGAGAATGACAGTCGTTGCAGTTACGGTTGCATACTGTTAAAAAATTTCAAAGGCAAATAAAACCTCGCATGGCACTCTCACCTGTCTTAGGTTATCGCCGATAAATACAAAATATACACAGGCAATTCCCAGTTGTGATATACACAGAAAAATGTTCACGATGAGTCTGAAAAATGTTAAAATCGTCTTATCATTCTATTTACAATAGTTCAACAAAAGGTAATGAATCAAGGGGTAGGTGATAGAAAATAGCCGTCATTTTATATTACGCCCAATACGGGCGGGTGAAATAAACCTTCGAGGCCTTGGGTGAATTCGGCCCTTTCACAGTGAGAAAAGCTTTTGGAATTTAGTGCTCAGTCTTTAAACAATCTCTACGACAACAGCCTGTTTAAAAGAATGAGAAAATAAATAAACAGATCGGGCGGGAAAAAATGGCGCAAGGAAAATTAAAGAACTTTACTTCGCGCCATTTTTCCCGACCGATTAGACTTTCTCTTGATCTCCAAGGATGAAACGAAAATACCCATTGGAGCAAATTTATTCAGTGGTCAGAGGAAAAGCTCAGCTTCCTTACAACCTGACCGTACTGTGGCTGTTGCTACTAACTGTTACGTAATCTATTCGATGGAATTTGAGCCTTTTGGGGGGGGGAGGGGGGGTAGGGGGGAAGGGGGAGGGGAATAAATGGTAAAGCTGTTACCGTACCTTCCAACATAAGCTCTTTTTGGCCAGTAGCGCCTCAGACATTCCTCTGCAACCTCTCCATAACCCAAAGCCGCCTCTCCAGTTCTACAACAAAAAAGCAACAAAAGGGAGGTGGAGAAACAACATAGGATGATGAAAGTATGAATCTCATATTTTAGAACCTCGTAATGATGAAATAAATGAAATGTTAGGATCATCGCAGTAAAACACGCGACTTATGCAGTTGCGAAAAGAAAGCTTAAAAAAATTCAGGATTGCCGGGATTCGAACTCTTACCTCTACGATACCTCGAGCTCGAGATACGTGGGGGGGGGGCACTCTAACCAACTGAGGAGCCAATGCATTTGAAGCTGCTCATGAAATTACAATAACGGATAAAACTTAAGGCAGAATACATATCTAGCCGATCTTTTGAAAACCAGCCTAACGAAATCTACACTCATTTGAGTGAAAAGCCGTCAAAAAGCAGGTTTTTTAAGCGCGATACGCTCCAAAATCACACCAATGAAGGAAAAGGAAAGCAGAAAAAGAAAAAGTGGGGAGAAGAAAGGAGGAGAAGAGAAAAAAGCAATGGTTGCACTCTTAGTTTTTATAGTGGCTACTTTGGAGATAGTTTTTGTACGAAAAAAACTGTTGGACGGAAGAAGTCTATTTGGCAATAACGTTTTCAAAAATCCGGCTAGATATATATCGCCATAAAGTGGTTTGTGGGCTCCGTCACTCCAGTTATATAGTTCTTCTCTTATAAAATGTAGATTTAAGAAGGACGCTACGGTACGGCTATGTATTGAACGAACCAAAGAGACTGAAAAATACTGAATACAAAGGGTATGATTGCGACTGTAACTTGGACAAATATCATCATCATCATCATCTAGCTTACCTTCGACAGAAGACATTACTACAATAAACCAAAAGATGCATGCAGTGAACCGTAACCACAGCAACAAGCAACATCCCCAGGGGACCAACCTGAAAGATATATTCATAGTAAGGTATTGGCCGAGAGGGATTGGTACACTAAATCCCAATCCTCAATCATGAATATTTGTCTGTCTGAATATTTGCTTCCGTCTTAGTTGGTTCCAGTCCTCTTTCCTACTCATTTGTTTCCGCTACGGTTCAAGTACCTATTTACACTTCCTCAAAGAGTGTTAGGATCAATTTAGGTTTCCGGGAAACTGCCCACTTACCCCTCCCCTAAGTCAACATTAACACTTACTTCTTCCTTAGGGCAAAATGTTGGATTAGGGGAGGGGTAGGTGGGCATTTTCCCAGAAACTTAAATTGATCCAAAGAGTGTTACATCAAAATATCCGATATGTGACAATCCACCGCGGGCGCGGCGTAGCTTCGCTCCGTCACAGGACACCGCGCCTAAATTGCAGTTCTTATGTGCAAACAAAAAGACATGGTTTTCGTGCTCCCGCAAGAGTGTAGACATACCCTGAGTATACCTCTAACTTGGATTTAGAAGCGATCCATTTAAAACGACATGTGTTTTGCTCTAGTTATAATAGTGGGTACCAGAGCTATAAGACATCTTGAAAATTTTACAGCATGGTAGAAGTTTAATGATAAGTCTGAATATACAATGACATTGTTTACTTCGGTTTCGTTGAAAAAGACCGTCTAATGCTTGCATCAGTGGCTTGCATAAACAATTGGCCCCTAAAACGGGACAAGCAAACTTACGACAATCCCAGCGTGCTTTACGGCTTCGGGCAATCCCAGCATTCCCGTCCCGATGCTTCCTCTTAATAGATGAGCCAGGGCCTGCATATTGCTGTATAGAAAAACAACAATTAATAAGGAAGTTTTGATCTATAAAACTGTCTGTCCGTTCCCAGGCTACTGGATTTTAAAAGGGCAGTTGCTAGAACTAAAAAGAATCCACTGTTAGTGATCCAACTGAGTGTAGAAGCCAACAATAAAGACACGCTACACGCCTCACAAAGCCATCACAAACGCCAAGGGCATGCGCAGAGTACTCAGACAGGTCTTTTATCAACTCCTGGCCCCAGTTGTTGAAAAGGTGGATAACGCTGTTCACTAGATTAATATCTATCCAGTCCAGTGGATAACACAATTGGTGTTCGTAACACGTATCCGCTGGATAGTGATTTATCCAACAGATAGCGCTATACAGGGTTTGAACAATTGGGGCCAGAGCACCCCGCTTCTCTATTTCATATGATAACAGTTTATGCTCAGGCTTGAAACTCGAGGCTCTGGTAACGAGAATAAACCAGTTCGGCCGGTTCGCGCACTCGCAGATGATATGTGTAGCTTGCGCTTTTTGTGTCTTTTGTTTTAAAAAAAGAACTCACGTGGTTGTATTATTAAGATATTTTCTTTTCTCTTCAATAGATTGTTCTGAAGAAGGAGTATTTAAACCACCACTTGAGGAGCTATAAGATTTGTCCTCATTTTCGCCAACGAGACGAGCGTTTTCATCTGTTTCCCCGATGGGAGAGGCTTGTCCTTGACTATCTTTGATCGGTGGCGGATTAGGCTCATCATGCAAAGCTTGAAGCTGTATAAATACAAAAGATATCAGTTATATTCCTGGCCTCCAGTTGTTCATAACGTAGTTATGTCAGTAACTTATACATAGTGCTATGTATCTATCTTTTGAAAATCTGAGGCCTGACCTGAAACATGTGTAAGTAACTGCTTTAAGGTTTTCACTGGCAAGATTTCTTCAAACATGACTCATGGTAGCCTGGAAGAGCATCCGGTTTTTTCGCCTCATGGTGCTTTGGACATTTTTTTATCCAAGCGAGTCCACGCTCTGTCGACTCGACATGCAAGTGAGAGTAAAGTTGGGCATAGTGTATAACGCTGATCAGACAGCTGAAAAAGGAACTTAAATTGCTCAATGTTTTGGTTAGATAGAACTAACCTTCATTTCTTCTGTCTAAGCGAAACACCGGACGGTAATGAATATCAGTTTATGCTACTGTACCTATAGTACTGTATATCGGATTATACGTTATAGTACTGAGTTTCTTTCTTGTCAGACTACAACCGCAACAATAATAAGCTTTATTTGCAAGACCGTTAACTTAAAAGTATTCCAAAATCGTACAACAAACTAAGATAACGATTAAAAACTACGTTGATAACAACTTTTTCTGAAGTTTAAAACAAGATGCTATGAATTAAATTAATTCTTTGTTAATAAGATACGAAGCAGATTTCAAAAAATGTCATAATCAATTCGTCAACCGATAATTACTTAATACTGCGATCAGAGATTGTAGCTTACTATAAAATTTTCCTCTCATTTAGAGTATTCGGAGCAGTAAAACAGAAAATGAATTTCGTCTTCGATTTGATTACATCTACAAGCAGGGCAAAAACTATCGAATCTAATTATTTGGTTGTATCTGCCAATCTCGATCATGAACTTGTGGTTGCTTAACCGAAAGGGTCTTCTCTTAGGTGTTTTTCTTGTAATGGGGAGGTATTTTGAAGTGGCGTTACTAGAAATAAGAAAGGAGTGTCATACCTGTAAGTGTATCTCCAAGATCTGCAAATTCTGATTGTCAATTTCGCGAGTTGAATTGAATGAGCACAGTGTGTTGGTAATTTGGCATACACATTCATACCTTATAGTACTTTCTTAATGAAAAATTTGTTGGCCCTACGTTTTTCCTTTTGTTACGCAAAATGCGAGAGGTATTGAGCATGTCAGACATAACGATTCAGTGATTCGAGATTACTTCTGTTAATTGATTCTCTTTGTTCCCTTTCGCCATATTTCACACTCGCTTTCTTCTTCACTCTCCCTTCTTTTTAAAAATTTAAGAAAGCAAACCTTTATGATGTCTTTGCTGTTTGCTATGTTGTTCTTTTCAGCGCAAGTGCGACATTGAGCTGTGTTTCCCTCCACAACAAGCCAACCAATATAAGACCAATAGTAAACCCGGATTTCCTAGATCACCGATTAAATGGGTTTTTATGTCCTCGTAAGGTGAACAATTTTGAGCATGAATTACGCTTTTTAAAATAGTTCAGTCTATGCGAAGGCAGTCATGATTATACACACTCACTGAAGGTCAGCGGTGAATAAGGTACCTAATATCGTAGGTGACGAATTACTCCTTAATTTTGGCGCGAAATTTCAGCGTTAATTTGTAATTTCACATGTGAAATTACAAAATTGCCTTGGCAACCTTCCGTACGTCTCAATGTCAAGATGGCGACGAAGTTTTAAATTGTGATGAATGAAGATGTCAGGGCAAAAAAGAAGGTTTAGAAAACCTCAACACACGAAAGAGCACATCAAGAAGGATTCTAACAGGTATTTTGTCGAAAAACTCTGAACTTAAGCCAAATTTAAGCTCTAAACGTTAGAGAGAGTGCAGGAGTTCTCGATCGATACGATCCAGGATAAACATGTCAAAAATCCAAGATTTCTAACGTAATTCGTCACCCATGATATTAATAGGTAATCAAATGGTATACTCGTGAAATTAGGGAATAATTTCACTTGCGTTTTGTCCAAATCCTAATAATTTGCCTCGCCTAAAGGCTTGGGTAATTATAAGGATTTGGACAAAACGCAAGTGAAATTATTCCCTAATTTCACTCGTCACCATTTGATTACACATACTTATTTGACTCGTACCAGTCTCTTTAATACCACACCAGTTATTTCAGTCTTGCCAGGAGACATAAATATGGCTCCTGGCCTTGTCTATTGGTCTTAAAAAAGTGTTTTAATTCTATTAAGAATTCCGAGCCGAGTATAAAATGAAAAAGAAAACCTTGATCTCTTTGAGCTGAAGGTTTCAACGGTTGCTTCGACTCCAAACAATGTAGTAATTTTTTTGTCCGTTTTCTAAAGTAATGCTGAACATATGTCAATTAAGGATACATTGCTGCGAGCGACAGGTGATTTGGAAGTAAAATCACACACCTCTGCTGAGTTTAAAACTTTCTTAGAACTACATCGATGGTTCCCCTTTAAAAAAAAAACTCTACGTTTTTCATGCAAGGAAACGTAATAAATTGTGAAATAACCCGAAAACGTTCGAGCTAATTTTGTCTGTAATTAAATTTAAAATTCAAGCGTCTGCTCTCAAAGCCATCATTGTGCGGTGAAAATATTTAATTTCTGTAGAACTGAAAATTATCTTGTCTGTACGTGTTTTACGTTCTCGGCTATTTATATACAAAAAATCTTAGTTGAAAAGAAATAAAATCAAAGCAAGGCTTATTAAATCCCAGAAAATTCACCAAAATTGTGAGCCTGCACAAAGAAGAAAAGAAATTGAAATAGGGTTTCGTCGCTTCTAAGTATGGAAATTCTTATAACCCGGCATGCGCGCTAAAGAAAGAATAAGAATACCTGTACTAGAGGAATTTTCTCCTCGTTCATCGTTAGCGTTTTGATATGATTTGCTTGAAACTTGGAACATCAGACTGTCACTTGTGAGAAGGAAACAGAGTCGGAAAATTCACTCTATTTGCATTTTCTTGATTTATGTTTTATTATTTATGATATATATGAATAGGTATTAAGTCAGAAAAATAAGTCTTCATTTACGCTGACCAATCAGGAGAGCCAACAACAACACTATCGGTTTCGTAATAACACAAAATTTTACTCTATACAATAAACAAAATGGTCCGGCCGCTGGCAACTTTTGTCTTGTTAACAATTTAAAAAACCGAGTCGATACTTACAAACGATGTATTCAGACTTTCAATATTACAAGTGTTAATGTGTTACTTCCAAATAACTCGGATTTTATCAAGTCCCTTCCCCTTCGCTTTCGAACGCCTGCCACAAAGGCTATATAATTGGCTGACAGTATGCGTTTGCGCCTTCCGTATGTTATTTACACACTGTAAATCAGAAAGATCTGTTTTAGCCCTAAAAATGGGGCCGTTTCGGTGAGTAAAATACAGTCCTATTTTTGAGTCTAATTTGGCTCCCTTTAATCAGGGCCAAGACAGTCCAATTAGCTAGGGCTAATTTGGACCCAAGGGCTGAAATGGGCCCCAGAGTGGGCTGGAATAGCTTTTGATTAAGCTTCTTTGGCTTGCATTGAGCTCATATGGCTCCAGATCTTTTTTTTGTCAGTGTGGGAACAGAGCGTAATAAAATACATTTTTTTCGTATCAGAGATGACTTTGAAATTGTAAAACCGAATACTTTAAAGGCAAATTTTGAATTAAGTAATAATTCAATGGATGCACATCTGATTAGTTGTTCTTCATCAACTGTAGTAGCTTGAAGTACCCGCAATGAACCTAATTAACAGTCATTGACACTTCTGCAAGAGCAAGTGAACGCTATTAGAAACGTTGTAGAAAATCAGAAATGACCGGAAGTCCTAAAATCTAGGACTTCAAATCCTGTGTCCCCAGAGCCTCCTGGTCCTCGTGCTCAGGCCCCCAGGAGGCTCTGGGGACGAGAATGGTAAACCTTGTGAACTGTCAACCTTGCCACCACAGCCTTTCCCTCAGAAAATGAAAAAAAATACCGAGCCCTGGTGAACTGTATGATTTAGGGTTTGTTCGATTGATCGTACTCCGGAAAAAGAATACGGAAAAGTTTTGTTACAAACTCTTGTACCGTGATTTTTGGACCATTTTAACTCCACATCATTTCATAATCGGAATATTTTATTTCAAGCAGATTTCTAAATATTGCAATGTGAATGCCAAAACTAGTGATTTCCAGAGCTTATGCACGCTTTAAGGCTACCTTCACCCTTGGTACACTGACATGCCCCAACAGGGTACCCTGACGAACTAAAGTGCAAGCAGACTTGAGTAAAACCCACGTGGGCATTTTTTTTCTGTTTTTACTGTTTGTGCCTCTGCAGGCTATGAAAAAATTAAATATGAAGAAAAAAATGGCGCTGACCATGCTGAGAGAGGCTTTTCTGCTTGCGTTCTAAGAGCAGGAAAAAAAAGATAAGATTTAAAATCCTAAAATTCAGTGCTTGTGTTCTAGAATACTTGCTTATATCGTGCCAATTTTTCTGCATTCTAAAGTTTTCTTCGGTAGGCGTTTGTCAGATCAAGCTTCCTCAGCAAGAACCAAGTTTCCGTTGACTCGAACCTATACAGAAATGACAAATCAGTTTGGAATGAAAAGGAAATAAAGCGTTTTACTATCGCCAGCTGACTGCCTAGTCACGTTTTCTGGACTGGTTCGTATTTAGAAACTAATTAAGAAATAAAAAAATTACGGGAAGGGATTTTGCTAAAGTAAAGTTGACTTCAACTCGTAAAAACAAAAATTGAGGAAATGAGTTGTTTTGATAGTTACTACGTGGCTGTGTGATTTCCCGTGAGGAGAAACAACAAGACAGATAAAGGGCATGGTCGCCGTTAAAGCAGAAGCTATTTGATTTATAATTTCCGTACCCATACCTGGCATGTATTGTTTTGCTTGTTCATTAGTCGTTGGCGCGAATAAAAGGAAGAAAAAGTCGTTTCGGTGGGGCTTCCCTATTCTTTAGATGGCCTTTGGGCTTGATATAAGATTTAGCTTTTATTGTGTAGAAAGATACACTTGTTGTGGTTTTTTAGTACTGAGTTTGTCTTTCATCTTCCGCAACACAAAAAATATAATTACCTCGTGGCCATTTGGGGGCGCAAGTTTTTATTAGCTGACATGAAGAACTTTTTAAAGGCCGAAAGGCGAAAACGTGGTATTCTAAATTCCATTCTGGAGCAAAAATTGCCTTGTGAGCAAGCTTGTATTGTTGGCAGAAGTTGCTCCTTTTGTAACCCTAAAATATGTTTAATGAACACGTCTAAGAGTAAACTTACCAGTAGACTATGTCCGATACAATTAGCTCAATATCGTAATAAAAACCTTTCTTAAGTTATAGGTAAAGAGGGACAAAATGCAAATAATAACAAAAAAATTAAAATAACGCCAGAAACTATACACAGGATATAAATTTGGGTATCAAATTTAGGGTATCTTTATGAATCAGTAAAGCCGGGCTGACACTGGTGCATGGTTGGCTATTCTCTTGTTTTGTTGCCGAGAAGTCAGAGAACAACAATGAATTCCTCTTATGTAAATCAATCAGTCCTGCATGAGCTAGTGGGTGTTATGTGGGTGGGTGTAAACGAAAAAAATAAATACTCCTAAGTGTTTCATTTTGCATTTATCACATTCTTAGTGGGAACAGAGATTTTGTTTCATGAACCGGGACTAATACTTAATTTTTGACATCAGCCTCTCCGCTTAAACACAAAAGGTGAATGCTTCCAGTGAAAGTGCGACAGGATCGGTAAAACCTCTTCTAACAGGAAAATTTATGTAATGATGTTTTAGACAATTTTTACAAAGATGCTTTTACTTTACAATTAATAGGCTAGAGAACTCTTTCGTTTGAGTGAATCGTGTCATCCCAAAGTGTTTTTGTTTAAATAAAATGCTTGCCGTATCATTTTTGCCGCTCAGTTTGCTATCATGGCTATACTTGGCTATACGCTGGCTCCTTTGAGAAAAGAAATGTTATTGGTAGTGTATTAAGTTGATCTGCATGAATGTACTCGATTATTTGATGGGAGTTTGAAGCAATACATAAAGTTCGAGAAATAAAAATTACATGTATTAAACAATGTTTCAGTCTCAAATATCTGAGACTCATTCACTCGGTAAAGGATGATTCGGCAAAGAATGAAAATTCAGTTTTACAAGTTCCTAATTAATCTACTCCTTCTGCCATCTGTTCTTCCTACTTTTAATGTGACAAAGTTGAATAAACAAACAGCGTTTGCAGAACCTTCGTTTGACTTTTTAGTTTGGCCATCAAAAGCAGAGTGAATTATTGGCAGGACGTATACCAAGACTTCGAAGACTATAGACTAATTTTTAGAAATCATTTCCCATATCTATCAAAAACTATCTTATAAACATAACGGCTTATCCGAACGAAACAAACACATAGTTTTCTCTCACGACCAGCATATGCTCGGTGTCATCGCTGCCACAACGTTGGTGGGAAATCACTCTAGGTCTTATCACACATGAAACTCTGCGGAGAACATACTTTGTAGTAATCTTGAGCACAAACATGAACTCGTACAATTTAACCTGACGAGTACGAGGGTAAAATTTACAACGCCAACAGCCAACAACTTGAAACGAAATGTGGAACCATATTTAAATCTGTGCATTTATTTAAAAAAATATATAGAATGACCGTTTATTGCACTGAAAACAAGCAGCAAGTTTTTTTGGAATTACAATGTCAAATGTATCACTTTAGATACAGTTAACACATAGTGTTAATGTAAACATACAGGTTGTTTTCGACCCTGTGAATTGTAAAAACGGAATCATCTTTTATTTTAGGAGTACTTCCTTCAAGTTCAGCTGCTTTCTTTACCGTCAAAATAGTCTTTAATTTTTACATAGATAAGAACCAATTTCAACAAAAGAGTCAATTTGCATGCTAAGACTGATTCTTCTGGCGTTTAAAGCAAAATTAAAGGGTCGTGTTTGTAAGTGTGTGTGTTTTTTTTAAATGCGCCAGGCAGCGTTTTATAGAATTGGCCAGCTATTCCAATTACGGTATCCATTTTGCCAATGTTTCCGTGAACACTGATACCGCGTATATTTCCTTGCTTCCTCGACTTGTTTCATCCATCATTTATAATAATTGATTTATGGCATCGATTCCATGTTTTAACTGATATACATTAAGGAGTTGCTGGCGATAGCGACAGAAATCCTCAATTAATGTGATGCACCCTCGATTTTGTCTCGTTTTGTTTCCACTTGCACAAAGCAAACTTCTCTCCAATTGACTCCCACAAACTTGACCGAAATTTCCCGTTCAAAAACCCGTATAAAAATGGGTTTAAGGCACTATTGAGAAACGTTAGGAGCATGACTGGTACCTTGACTGTTCTGGAGAAACGACGGTGATGAATAGAGCTATAGAATATGAAAATAAAGTAAGGGCTCCAACAGATTAGAAAAACCGCCACAATTAACCAAAGCATTTTAAAACCCCTCGCCTTTTGCCGTCGTCTGTTCTTTATAATCCTTGAGGTATATAACTTCTTGAAACGTGAGGTGTTAGTCGCAGAAGTTATTTCTTCTCCTACAACAGTGTTTTCTGGCGTATGAGCAATGGTGGTTTCGCCATGGTAGTCCGTGATAACGTTGAGTTGGGAACTGCTTGGTTGCGTGCTGTTAATCGGGTTAGGCGGGGTCACTTTGGCTTGATGAACCCGGCGAAATTGTCTCCTGGCTGTGAACAGAATAGAGACATATGTGAATGCGATTATTGAAAATGGCCCAACAAAACAAGTTATGAATAAAAATATTGTGTAGCCGTTATCAGCTGTTGGTTTTCCAAACTCCGGCCGGCAGATTGATTCTTCAACCACAAATTTGTATCCCTGTCCCCAGCCAATGACAGGCAGAATGGAGCATACGGCAGCATGAAGCCAAACATATACCAACATCATTACACTTTTCCTGTGCGTGACTAGGATGCAGTATTTCAGTGGACGACATATCGCCAGATATCGATCGATAGCTACTAAAACCAGAGTTAGAATAGACGCAATACACAGAACTGAGATCAGAAACCCTGTAAGCTTACACATGACCTCGCCAAATACCCATCGACCGGTGATGGCAGACACTAAAGCAAAAGGCATACACAGCACGGATAACAAGAAATCTGTAGCCGCGAGATTAAAGATAAAAGAGTTCGTAATCGTTCGTAGAGATCGATGAACCAGAATACAGCGACATATAAAGCTGTTAGCTACGGCGCTAACTATCATTATCAGTGTAAGAAAAACGCTTTGGACAACAATCAAGGCGGGGAGGTTGGACGCTTGCACTGGTTTAAGACTAGCATTCCTGGAATTGTCCATGCTCGATTCAAGGTCAACGGCGGAGTGTTTAGCTGTTGATGCCCGATGCTTGTTTGGTATTTTCCTAATTTAAATGCTGCACAGATCAATGTCTTCGGCAAATTTTACACCAGGATCTACCGGGACGCTAAGTGCTAATGTAGAAGCCCTGAAGAGTCAAGATAATCCAGGTCGTTTCTCCTGTATTTTGACACATTTCTCGCCTAAAACATTTCCATAATACTTGATTTTACTTCTTATGACTGCCTTCTGCTGTAAAATTGAGCTTAAAAAAAGCATGATGAATATTTAAACAACAACTACATCAGTGCTCCGTATACGTGCATGTCTTCCCCGAAAGCAATTAGATATGTGCGCACGTAAGAATCCATTACAATCACACACCTGCCGAATGTAAATAAAAACAACAAATTCACAGACTGTCCACAGATTTCCATTTCAATATCTGTAAATTGACTTTTGGCTGGAACAACTGATGTTGAATTTAATCGTATCTTCTTTTCGTTTTCAACAAAACACAATTTGTCTTTTAACGGGGTGTGTGCATTAAGGCCGTGAAACGAATTGTTTATAGCTATTAAAAGTGTACAGGAAAGCTAAATGAAATGCGCTGTTAATTAAAAGCAAACTCAGTTCTTTAAGATCTTTTTTGAACAAAGAGCTTTCCTTTTAAAAGATGACTTTGATGGCAGTTTTCAACACGAGGAAGGGAACACACATTGCTAGAAAGATTGGTTTCTAGCATTGATTACACTAATAGCGGAGGGTTCAGATTCACCAGTGATAGAAAACGTTCCAGAAGTTTCCTTTGAGTGGAATTTAAAACAAATATTTTCGAATTCAAAGCCGTAAAAAGAGTAATAAACGTTAGAATTCTTTTTTCAGCTAAATCTAAAGGGATCAAGTTGCTTTTTGTTGAGTCGAGTTCTTTTCTGTTCTGAATGGAACCTGGCAGTCTGCACCTTCTTCGCTTATCGCATAATGATGTTTAACAGTTTATCTTTAAAAAATATTCATTTTTTCCGAAATAAGATCAGACCAGGTCAAAAATCAGTAAAAAAGAATCTTCTTTCAGTCGGACGCAAAAAAAGAAAAAAGACAAGGCAACGAACACAAATGAATTTTCTTTTAGACAGCGCTATAACCTTTTCTGAAGCGTGACAACACCAAGACTCTCTCTAATAAAGATTTCTTGTGAAAGAACAAACAAACGCGGACAGGCAGATCCTGTGCAAATATTTGATGTCAAAAGTGTCAAGGTGACTCGCCATTTTATGCAAATACTGATTTTTTCCAAGTGAAAATCCCCTTTTAGAAATGACATCGATTCAATTTTGTTTTGATTAATATTCACCTTTTTTTTCTACACTTTTCTACAAATTGAAATCATTTTTATTTTGTTGTAAGAATCATGATGCCATTCTTTGAAATATAGACTTCCAGGAACAAAACGATAACACTCGAGAATTTCTTCTGATGAATATTCGCTTTGAATTAATTTGGAATTTTCTGAAAAGCTACAATAGGTCGGGTACAAAGTATGAAGATTCATACTTGGCTCTTACACTGAGGGGAATCTCGCAACAATAAAAAAATGAAAAAAATTATTAATCAATGAACCAATTCCGAGTATTAAAATTCATACTTGGCTGCGATGCTTGGGGGTAACAAAATAAAAGAAATCATCTTGAGGGTCAGTAATGAATAATACATTTCTTTTGTTTTATTCCCCCAAGCCTTGCAGCCAAGTTTGAATTTTAATATATCGAAAATGGTCTATTCCTTTTTCCCAGTGTCATCCATTCCTTTTTCAACCTCGTTCCCAGGGTCTTCTCGTTTTCCAAGAAGAAGAGAGGATCCTGGGGACGAGGTTTGGTCCTTTTCCTTTACTTCTCAGCCTCAGAGAAAGGTATAAAGTTTAATAATTCGAAACTGACCTATTTGCAATGCACAGAATAATTATCCGAATTAGGTATCAGTCGACACCCAATGTTTCGTACGTTAGTTGAATCATATGCCATGGGCCAAATTCATATTCTGAATTCTTTTTAAACGAACATCCTTCATTCACACTCTGCTTACATTAGATGCTGACTAATTATTTTCAAAATAGTGTTATGAAGTACATGCTTAACTTGGAAATAGAAGGGAAATTCCAGCTTTTAACGGACGAATCCGGTTCTTGACGCTGTTTGCTATATTCACCATGGACCGTTTCAATCATATTTATACACCTGTTGGTTCCGCTTACGATACGATGAGATGACAGTGTTACTTTAAATAGACCAAGATAGAAATTCAAAGTGATCTTCTGGGGCAAAAGCGTGCAGCAAAGTAAGCCTTTAAAAATAACTCAGTTCAGTATCCTTCCCAGCATTCTGCTGGAGCTCGTTCGCCCTTTGCTTTCACGTCTTTCACAGCACTGCCGCTGAACAAAACCCCAGTGTACGAGGGCTACAAGAAGAGTTGCGCTGGAGCCCTTTTCTACTGAAGTCCCGGGAATTACTGGGACGTTTGAGAGATGGGCCCCTGGAGTGGATTACATGAACGGAGCGCGTTGTAATCTCAGTTATCAGTTAGATTTTCGGTGATCTCTCAGTTAATTATTGATGAAAAACATTATTATTATTATTACTATTCATTCAAAATATTTCCCCAAAATACCTTCACTACTCAGCTAACAATAAAAATTTTTACCAATTTTCAGCTACAGGTAAAAATGCAGAGCCCCATCCTGTGTAAATTGGGACAAGGAACTAAAGGGTAATTAGTCGAGGAGGGGCCTAAAGGGGCCTAAAGAGGTTCCTCTACTTTTTCCCCGCCCTGCAATCTCCTTCTGACTTTCGTTTGCTCTCGGCTTGGTTCCTATTCTCTATTTTATATCATGGCAAACCAAAAATTGGCTGTCATTTGTCTGACACTTTATGAATTTCTGCCTCGGATTAATAGTGAAGTTTTATGGTCCTGTTCACTCCGGCGCGTACAATAAGTCAGAAGGTTTCAACAAGAATGTGCTAATTTTTTTAAGAAGAATATTTCATTATTTTTCATTAATGTACGGGATTTTCTGGATGCTTCTGTGCTACTATCTCAGGGCCATTTACATAGTAATAGGGCTTACAAAGGCTTCTCAAGGTCAAGATAGCAAAAAAATGCAGTCCATATATACAGGTTATGACAGCCTTTTATTGCCGGCTGTATTAAGGAGTCATTTATTTTATCAGCTAATTTCTGATCTAATTCAGACTAGTTCTTTTATAATTTTAAAACCTCACTTACACGACCTTGCCGGGTAATTATGGTTGTTTTTTGGGGGGAGGGGGGAGATGGTGAGGAAATGGGATTGAATTTAAAATGAATGGAGGTATGTACACATAAAAAAGGTAGTCCTTTAGTGAGCTCAGGGGCACCTTGTTGTGGTGGTGGGTTATCTTCTTTTTGTCTGTTCACAAGATAATAGGACAAAGAGAGAATCTTAGGGCGTCGGCGGGGATATGTGGGATATTTTTAGAGGTTGTAATTAAACGGAAGTCTAATTCCATGGAAGTCCGCACATTTAAATCGATCGCTTGAAACGTCATCAAGTCCAAGCGCGACTTTCTCAAAGCAAACACCTCTCTGGAAACCAACTTCTGATTAATTTCAAGCGTTTAATTGGTCTAAATATAAAGTAAAATAGAAACTATAACAGGATGAATTATAAGGCATAAAAAGGCGGCCTAGCCTCCCTGCAGACGTCCTTTGGGGTTCGTTCGTCACGCATTCATTTCTCCGTGGGGGAGTAATGAATGCGTGACGAACGAACCCCCAAAGGACGTCTGCGGGGAGGCTAAAGGCTGCCGGGATTCAACTTATGATTAGTTAGAGCAATCTTTATTTCAACTCCTTGGAATAAACATCCTCGTCTAAAGAAGAAAAAGAATCAATTATTTAAGGAGATGTGATGACCAGTCCGGCCAAAAGAATGGGGGATTTGCCCTATGATAAGATAGAGTTAGTAAGTAATTCAAATTTTTGTACTTGGGACCCGACAACCGATGTCGTCGCACATGATTGCTGATACTTTTTATCATTTGCATAATTGCATTTTAATTACATTGTAAAAATTAAAAATTTGCATAATGGACTAATATGGCTTCCAAGATCAAACTAACGAATATATTGGTAGATTTACTTTGTTTTTTAGTGGTTTTAGTTCTTTTCATCGCCAGTGAGGTCTTCATTTATGGAACTGACGAAGGTTTGTACCCGTTTAAGCGCAATTTTCTCTGTGGAGACACGAGTATACAATGGCCAAAGAAAGAAAGCACCGTTCCATTCTCGATCAACGCGGCTCTTTCATTTGTAGTCCCTATAGTCGCGGTAAGTGATCAAGATTTAACTAGTTAACTATTACTGTATTTTCTACGGGAAGGAAAAGTACAAAAGGCACCTCTCTATTACGGACAGTTTCCAATATCTCGACAAAATTCTCATATATCATTTTCTTTAAAAAAAACCTCTATTATACGGACTCTGTCTAATAGGGCCACTAAATCTCGGCCCCAGAGAGTAAATTCATACAAAACTTAACTTCTATATTACTGACACTGCGGTGTTCAGGTGAATCCCGAGTCCCGAATCCTGATCAGGTGAGTCTGCACAGGGTGAATCCCGTCTGGCTGGTGAGCTATGCAAGGTGATGCAAAGCCCATACTAGACAGTTCGATTAGTCTTTCGCCCCTAGTCGCTGTATACCAAACAACGATTTGCGAAAGGCGTACAGAGGAACAAAACCGACTTTTTGAAAGCTTTAATAACTACACAAGAGATAGCATAAAGAGATCTTTTCTATTACATTTTGTACTCGAGTTACTGCCGGTTACTGCACTTGCAAAATAGCGAAAGACGTTTTCAGACTTCAGCTTTACATTACAACTTTTAACACGCCGCATTGCGCTGTTTCGTTTTAAAGTAGTAATTTGTCCGTAGCTGAGATGTACAATGTTGTATGTTACTGAAAGACAGTGTGTTTGTCCTTTGAATTTATAACTTTAAATGCAGTTTAAAGACGACTCAGTGAGTTTAGCTACTGAAAACATAAAACTGTAAGTGGAGTCATAAAAGTGGCGTCCTCATAGTGACCTCTTTTATACGGACGCTTCGCTCTCTCTCTCTCTGTTCGGTGTCCATATAAGAGAGGTTCGACTGTTATTAATGGTTCACCCTCTCATATCCTTTCTAAAGTCCATTCATGACAAAATATATGTCTTCCAAGAAACAGACAAAGGGGACAAAATACAAAACGGAACAGTTTCCAAAGAACGTAACTGCAATCCATTTTTTTAACCCCTTTCAGCTGCCTCAGCTTTTCGTATATCAGTGCTTTGCTGTTCAAATGGTCCCTCTGTTTTTAAGCGTTTATACCATATTTTTGGTAAATTGTTCACCAGTTTTTTTGGTTATGCCTGCATCACGTTCGCTAGCGTGACAGACTTTTATTTCATTTTATATATTTATTCGTTTACTTATTTACAATAAGGTTTCCAGTGACTGTAAAGTACTTCTTTTGAAAATTTTGAGCCTGGTTTCCAATGATCTCGACTAACCGCGATGGGTAACCGGTCTGCATCAGGTCTAATCATGGTACTGAGACCGGGATTTGACTGCAACTCGAGTGGCGGGATTTGCCCCTTCCAGTCCTTATAGGATGAAGAAGCTACCCACATTTTTCAGTGAAAACCAACCTAGAGAAATTTGCAGTTATTTGAGTGGAAAAGGCCAAAAGGCAGGGTTTATTGCGTCCGACAAGCCCAAAAATCACACTCTAACGAAGGAAAGGAAAAGAAGCAATAGTGAGGAGAAAGAAACGAGGGGAAGTGACAAGCGAAAAAAGCTTGCAATGGTTGCACCCTTATTTTCTTATATTAACTACTTTTGAGGCTATTTTTGAAAGAAAAAACTGTTTCGGGTCCAAGAGGTCTATTTGAGGGTAACGTTTGCAAAAATTCAGCCAGATATATAAAATTTTATACTGCGATGGATATGAAACGGCAAACTGATCCTTACGGCAAGGCGATGAACAAGTAAACAAAAGAATAAAGCAAAAAATATACATTTAAACAAATTGCCCAATATTTCTGTTTGAAAACAAACCTTCTTCAGAGGCTAAAGGAAAAATGAAAATAGAACTAAAAGTTCACGGGGGGGGGATGGTACTTCCTTATAAGAGGCTAATGGGGATAGGCCGCTGGATGGAGTCGCATTTTCACGTCTGTATTGACTATAATGGGTTCGCATTTTCAATGCATTTCTTGAATTTTCGGATTTTGGAGGAAAGAAAGTTCTTCACATTTACGGTTAGCAAACGTACCAGAGTTTGTACTGTAGGTGAAAAGTAAAGTGTTCTTCATTTAATATAAGCCGTAGATACGTAAATAGAAAGTGACTATGTTGGGATCGCGAAAATTACATATTTGCCCAAAAGTGACTAAGATGGGGTTTATAATTGGCTATAGAATAGACTATAATGAGGTAGGGGCTCTGAGAGGCCAGAGGCACATACCCAGCAAAAATTAACCTTAGTAACCCCCAGGATATTTACCCACAAGATAAAAAAATATTTTTCTTTCGGAAATGTTATCTTTTGTCATTCTGGTAAAATAGGTACTAAAAGTACATAAACATAAAACTAAATTCAAGTCTTGTTAAAGGCCTTATAAAAAGGCGGAAAGTAACGACTGACTTGCAAGAAATCGATGAAAGAAAATTTGAAGTATTGGTAGAGCTTTTACAAATTTTTTGTGCTTTGTTTCTGTTGCCGGATATTATGAGAGAAATCACAGGACTGGGCTTACGTGTAATCTATGCCACTAGACTTCCACTATCCAGCAATTAATTCCCTTGTGTTGAAACAAAATTGCGATACAAGTTGCTGGAACTGCTGGTAGCTCCCATGGTAAATGCCAGCACGTCCTGTCTATTCTTTATCTAAGAAACGTCACTGATGAAGACGAGTTTTTCAAACTTTTATTCCGTGGTAATAAACTGGTCCTTATTATATTATTGTGACTCGAGATTTGGAACATTTTATCTCGATGGTGAGCAATGCCTTTATGAGTTACGATGATAAAAGAAAATTCTATAAACTGATGGAATATTTCCTTTTAACACCACCCTTCAGAGAAGATAGCGGAGGTTTATAGTCATTGAAGCGTTTAACACAGAAAGAGAAATTAACATAATGGTCGGAGATTTACCCAGGAGCCGAAACAAGTAGAGGAATGTAGCGCGAAAAACTCAGCGTTGCGTGTCTGCTCTTCAATCGGTGTAGACCGCACGATCAACAGGCCATGATGTCTTCGAAAAGCAAACTTGTCGACTTGTTGTTCGATTCGACTTGTTTCTTTCTGATTTTCATCCTTTTCATCGTGGTTCGCATTCTAATATTTGGAACTAATGAAGGATTGTACCCAACAAAGCATGCATTTCTTTGTGAAGATACGAACATAAATTGGCCTTACCAAGAAGAGAGTGTGGGAGTTGCAGTCATCACTTTTCTTTCGTATATTATCCCAATAGTTGTGGTAAGTAATTATCTTTTATCATGTCATATGTTCCTTGCTTACTACTAACCAATACTTTCGTTTCGAGTCGTACTCCTCAGTTTGTAGATGAAAGACTAGAGTGTGCCCAGTCAAATGTAAAACTACTACGCCATCATCCTTATCAAACGTTCTTTTATATCATTTCAAAGCGAAAAATGTATGTCAAGGTTTTCCTTCAACTTTCTTGTTGCATGCAGTTTAAAGTAAAAGTTCGGGCAGATCAAGTTTTTAAACTTTTGAAAACTTCTTTGTTGAGTTTTCACCGTGGAGATCAATCTTCTATTTTTACACTGCCGCAGCTGTCGTAAAACTCTATCACAGTAACTTAAGTTCCAAGCTAACTCGATATCATTATCCACCGATAACAACTTCCAAACCCTTCCAAATGATAGAAAAGTCTTTTCATAAGCAGCTGTTAACGTTCAAGAACGCTCAGGAATAACAATATAATTACCCCACGAGGCATGACTGTTGAAAATAGCACTTTATTATTATCTTTGAAAAACTGAGGGCGAGACCCTAAAGGCGTTGTTATTTCTGATAATTATAATATATAAATTGGTTGAAAAGTCAGCTTGAATAGTGTTGCTCAATCCTGAATTAAAGTGGCAACATAAGGTGGTATTTGATAACTAGGGATGTCAAGTAATTCAGTTAGTATGATTTAGAACAAAAGCTAAGTTATCATGCAAATAAGTCGTCAGTTTAGAATTCTTCAAGGATTGTTATGAGATTCTCAATTTAACTAAAAAATAACACCACTTTTGTCTGTGTAATCACAAGTTATAGATGATTTTAGACTAGTAACGGCCTCCATACGATGAAAAAGTTCTCTCTCTTCATTATCTCTGGAAAGGAAGCTCTAAGCCTTAACTGTTTATTCTTATAAAATTTCAATGCAAATTACTTTCTAGAAAAAAAAAGCCAGTCAACCAAATCTACTGAATAACTAATCGAACTAAGCTAACAACTGGCATTGCGACTGAAACAGAAATTCTGTAGTTCAAAACATATTACTTGTCCAACGGCCAATAAGCTAGGGCTGCTGTAGTTTGCAAAGTGTGTTTAACGCGTAAGAGCTCGGTGATCAAACGTTTGGGGAGCAAAATTTTTAAATGGCATAGTTGGTGATCTTTCTAGTTGTTTACTAATGCAGAATATAATTAATCATTTTGGACAATAAAAGAGGACAGATTGATTGCAATGCTCCAATTAACAGTTCTTCAATTAACAGGCTGTATATAAACCCTAACCAAATTGCGTTAAGTGATGAAAGCCACATCGGGTCACTTTCGTTGCCCGTTAGCTGCTCAGAAATTGGAAGAATACTAGACTTTTGTAAGAAAGTCAAGGCTGGGAATTGAATAATTTAAGAACAACTTAAGAACACTGCTGGCTCAGCCATTGTAAGAAAAGTTAAAGAAGTTACCAACAAAAACTAAAAAATAATGACGTGACATGACATTTAATGTTTGGCTGGAAATATACTTTTGCTCCTTCAGCTCATCGCCACCCCCGTGCCCCCTCTCCCCCCACCCACGTCCCCCCCCCATATGGGAACTATAAGTTGGAGAAGCTGAAGGAGCAATAGCCAGTTCCAGGCTCCGATTTTAGTCGAGTCCGCGAAATTGAGAAAGCACTAATACGAAAATAAAACGGGAGGAAAATGGGGAGAGAAAGTCCTCTCTCTCTCTTCATTCGTCCGCCACCGCACCTTTTTCCCAGATCACGCCCTTCTTATATTTTCGCGCGCCATACAACATCTTTTCTCCTTCTGAAAGCTGACAAACAAAAGAAATGACGCCCCCAGAAAATTCACTTAAAATGTTACCATTCTGCGTGCTTTTGCATTGAACAGATCTTCATTGTGGAGGTGTCTAACAACATGGGAAAGTCAGAGAACGATCAGGAAGATGAAGAACCGGAATCATTTGGTTTTTTTTCTTTGAAACCCTGGGTTACCAAGTAAGATGTTCAACTCTTTTTACTTACCACTCATTACTCGATCGATGCATATGTGTGTGATGAAAATAACCGACTTCGTTTCAGGATCGGGTGTAATGCGAGTTATTTTGACAGGTTTCAGGCCGTCTTTAAAATAAAAATGTAACAGTTTAAAGTGCCAAAGATTATATTTACCTCACACAAAAGGAAAAAATACACAAAATAGGCCAGACACATTCGTTAACCCAAGCAATCAATGCCAAGCGAGAAAACAAAATCGGTTGAAACCACAGCACTTTTTTAGTAACGTATACGAAATGATTTGAAAACAGAAAGAAGGAAGACTTATTTCTCGTAAAGTGCAGTACTCATTTTTTAAACAATCCATATTGACTTGAACATCGTTTTCATTCCCTTTATATTCCCTTTTCTACCGCAGCATGTTTTCATTGATCTTCGTGTTTGTTTTTGGCGGATTTCTTTCCCAAATTGTGACCGACCTTTCCAAGTTGACGGTAGGCCGTCTGAGACCCAGTTTTATGGCTGCATGCAAGGCTAATCTAACTGGACCTGGATGTCAAGGTTACGTTACAAGGGATGTGTGCACCGGGGATCTTTTTGAAATAAAACTTGCCAGGTATGAAATAATGTGATTACTTTGGAGTAAAACTCGCGAACTCCCTTGCCAAGGACCCTGTTATCAGAGGCCTCTTTTCCCTGGTATCAAGTAGAGGTAAGTGTTATCAGCTGAGCCAAAGGCCGAGGCTGATAACACTTACCGAGCCCTAGATTATTTAGGATATCTCAAAACCGAATCTAATAATTGTTTTATAAGAAAATAACGACAAACACACCGTCGCAAGGAACCTGAATTGATAGTATTGGTATACTAAATCATGCATTGCACACTCAACCTACAGATTAGTCAGTTATCTGCTAGCAGATCTAACTAATCTGTAGGTTGCATTGATTTCTAGACTGCGAGTAGTCTCTCTTTTTCTTCAGGTTTAGTATGGGGAGTGCACGCGCGCGCGAGCGGCGAAGCCGCAAGACGCGCGAAACGAGGGGGGCATTAGTCACGCGCGTGGCCATTTGCGTGTCTCGCATTTTGCTCGACGGACCACAGAAAAAAGAGAGACTGCTCGTAGTCTAATTGATTTTCAAAATTAGCTCTAGGATCTTATCCAATGAGAGGACAGATAATGAGAACAATGAGTAATAACCTTAATTATTTCACCGCAGTATGTCTTTTCCGTCTGGACACTCTTCTATTTCCATGTATGGCATGCTGTTCTTGGCGGTAAGTTAATTATGGCAACGTACGCTTGCCAGGTTCATATTTTCCACAGTGAACTGGTACTAGTTTGAAGACGAGGCAACTGAGTAGGGTTATAAACAAGCCTCGACTACACGCTATTGCCAGTTTATTGCCGAGCCAACTATGTTCAAACCATAGTGAACAGGAGGGGAGAAAACTGACTGAACGCTTCTGCGAACATCCCCAAGACATAAAAACAGTTTCCAAAAAGGCATCAAAACTATTCCTTTAAGATTTTTAAAGTTCTATTCAGATCATTTCAACACATGACAATCTATGGTCTCTCCCTATATTCACTTTTTTAGAAAACCAGAATGAGTTGCAGATGTCGAAAGGGGATTGAGAGGAAGGGAGAACTAGGAGAGAGGAATTTCCTTTCTCCTTCGCCATTGAGCGTTTTTCTCCTCCTCCTCCTTTTTTGCGCCTGTTAAAAAACATAATCCTTCAAATCGGCTGTTTGAAGGACTGTTTCCTTTCAACCTTTTTTATTTATCATTTATTTTTTTGTATGTTCCTAAAATGATCCCTCGTTCTTCATCTCTCTAGTTATATCTTCAAGCTGCTGTAAGGACAGAAACTAAATTACTCAAGCCATTGCTGCAGGTCGTTGCTGTCTCGCTGTCTCTGTTCGTTGGCTGGAGCCGAATTGCTGATAACAAACATTTTTCAACCGATGTTCTGGCTGGATTTGTACTTGGAGCCATTTTTGCATGGTTTGTGGTGAGTCTGGCCCTGGCATTTGCAGTAATAAAACCTGCAACTACAACCTTAGCGCAGGCCACGTTGACTGAAAGTTTTACCCACTTGTCCAAGACCTTGACTGACTTTTCGGCTAGTGCACCATGTACCAAGTGAATAGCAAGTTTCGAGTTACGTCACAAATGACACAACAATGATCCCCTAGCCCTTAGACAATAACACAATAAACTCCACACAATGGAATGACACAATAGTGCATATATCAGACTTGGGTAGTTTTGAGTTGTCTCTTCTTCGAAAGAATCGAAATGCCCATGGACGTATTTTGCCTGAAGGAAAACAACGATATAGAAGGTTCGACACTGTCAGGAAAGTGTATTGATCATATTCCAAATTATCTTTCGGTTTGCACATTTTTAGACAACCCTCGAAATAGCTGTATATCAGACAATCGAGCATCAGCCCTGTATAGCTGCAAAGTAAAAAAGTCTGATTCAGCCCCTGCTGGAGCCATTAAAGCACAATCTAGGCCAAAAGAGCTCAGTCAAAAGGCTATTTCAGTCCATGCTGGGGTCCCTTTTAGCCCTTGGGTCCAAATCAGCCTTAGCTAATTGGACTGTGTTGGCCCTGATTCAAGGGAGTTGAATATTAAGAATAAGAAATAGAACTGTATTTTACTCAGCTAAACGGCCCCATTTTTAGGGCTTTCTAATGTTCTGATTCTTTCTGATCTTTCTGATTTACTGTGTATATTTCTCATCTGATGCTTTTAAAAGACTCGTTCCTCTGAAAACTGCTCTTTTTTCTAGATAGAGAGAAAGTCAGAGAGAGATACCCTGCGAAGCAGAAGTTTCTCTCTTGCATGGGTTTTTGCTTTTACGAAGTCGTTCGGGTCGCTTGTCAGTCGCGTAGTCAGTTTGACCCAGCGAAAAAATAAGGCCATAACAAGCGGCATTTTATTTTTAATTGCAGGCGTTCAAGATCCTGAAGCTTTTTGCTATTCGAATCCGCAAGCCAAAAGTATACACACTCTTGCCGCAACAACAGCGAACATCTGTCGCAGATGAATGAAACTGCTTGTTAGATCTGCCGACTTGTTTATCACTTTTGACTATACTGAGCTGTAAATTCATACTGTAACAATCTATAGACACTGTATAGTTGTCAGTCATACAGTGGCAGTATTTTCTCAGTATCCAATTGGGATCTGTATTCTTTACACTTATTCCCCCGGTGGTTGTAGTGCGACTGCTGCTGGTGTGGGGTGATTCAACTCACTTATACAATTTTGATTTCCAAATAGATTACGGATATTTTAGGGTATTGACTTAGTATTTTGTAAATAAAAATCAATAAAAACACAACAAAAAATCTTAAGGAAATTTTAATCAAACATAAGCATAAGCATCCCAGTCTTTTGCATCAGATAGGGCTGACTACTTGTTTTCCGAATTTAAAAAATCAGGTACTGAGTATTATAAACTTCCATCCACCCGGGAAAGTTTGAAATAGCTGACAATTGTACAATTACAAGCAGACTGAAATAATTAAGTACTACCCAATTAATAAGTAGTTATGTAGTACTTTGGTTGTTAACTTCAACTGTTTAACACTTTGTTTACAGACAGTTATTTACGGAAAGAAAATTGTATATACGGCTCATTCTGAAACACTACGCAATCTAAACAAATGAAAATATATCTACTCATACTTAATGAAGGACTTAGTTTCTAGGTCATATCTTTCCGTCAGTGGGAAAGATAAATACGGCAAAGATTTGCTTTTATCAACTGCGTTGATGAAGTAGATTGGCCAACGTGGGGAAATAGAGAAGGTTTGGCGCCTCGGGCGTTAGCCCTTGAAAAGTCAGCCTCTAAATCCGCACCCAACGGTAAACCAATCTTTATTATCGGGATATATATAACTCACTACTGGTTTGGTAAATGGTGTGGGTTTTTTTTGCTCCACTTTCCAGGACCTAGTTTGGTCAAATGCCTCTTTAAGTTGTTTTAAATTCGTAACCTTTCTCAGGGTTCTATTTTTGCGCTTCTGTTTTCAAAGGGAGGAACCCTGTTCCTCAGCGACCATCCAGTAGCCAACGACATAAACATAAAATCGACAAAAAGAGGACCGCGACCACCTTCGCCTCTTCCACATGGTTTTTCAAACTCATATTGAATTCGAATCTTGGTTTTACACCCAAAATATGTACCTTTTCTTTCACATGCTTGTTATACACTTCATAATACTGTCCGATATCACTGGACTTGTCATCCCGAACTTTTCTGCATTCTTTCAAGATTTTTTTAAAGTCTTTAAATAATTTTGCACATTGATCCCGGTATTTTGTCAGCGCTAAATCCACCCATATGTCATCTTCTGCTTCTGAGAGATGCTGGTTAATGGGAGCATACTCAGCACATGCAGCCAAAAATGATTCCTCCCGCTGGTTATCACTCTCAGTTGGGAAGCCCGATAAGTTCTGGAACATAAACTTGCAGAGTTGGCAAGGAGCTTTGTAACCTTTATACCCATCCTTTTGAAATGCAAAAGACGCCCAGTCGATATTATCTTCAGTTTGTAAAGGCTGATAGTAAACAACTGCTTTTTTCAGGCTGTACTTAAAATTACAAATTCTATTGAACAAACAAAGAGGCCTTAAATAAGGACTCATGGCTATTGATGAGCCGAGAAAAAAGTTGCCATTATGGTAAACTAATGCCAGGACTTTAGGTTTGAATGTGTTTTGTTGTTAAGATATTTTAAAAGATCTTGTGCTTGATCCATCACACCATCAGCATGATCTTCGCTACCCTTGGGACCTTTTGTCTCCTCTGATATTTCACTAAACTGAAAATCAAAAGCGTTAATGAAAAGGTTTCTGTCAGTCCCTTCATTTAACTGTGATATTTAAGATCCCGAAAAAAACACAGATATTCCAAAGCTTCTACTATCAATGAATAGTAAAATGCAACTAGTGGTCTATTATCAATGCTGCGTTCTGATTGGTTGAGCTACTACTAGGCTATATGTTACAGCCCACCAGTAGCGAAAAGCACCGGCTTTTTGGCGGCAAAAAAGGATTGAAGTCCGCGCTGAAGTGTCTTGGATTTTGGAGAGAACTACCAAATACGCTATGGAACGTGAATTTCACGACCATAACAAGGTTTCCTCCGACGTTCTCAAACTCATTAATAATTCATTAAGAAAATACAAAGGAAATTAATGTTTAATGAGTGTTTGGAAACCGGATGAAACACTGCCTAGTATTTGCATCCTTAATTTCTCCTTCAAAAATGATTTTGTTTGAGAAGAAATATCAAACATTCGACACAGTGTTTCATCACCAGATGAAACACCTCGAAGTTCGTCAAAAATACTCCGCTGCGCGTCGTATTTTCAACTCTCTTCTCGGTGTTTCATCTGGTGATGAAACACTGCATCTCATGTTTGATATATTACTTGAATGCTGACTTCTTTATGAAGCAACTGCTTCTTAAGCTATGTATGTGATGTGGGCCTTTGGTTTCGCTTTATAAAATACGGTAGTACGTGACATAAACAAAACCTGGACAAAATAATCGCTACAGCAAAAGGAAAGCAACATAGCTTAATGACATCGCGCTCAGACTTATTTATTTCAATTTAACCAGCGCTGACAAAAGGTGGTGAATCAATTATACAGGCACATCCTTGACTGATTCAGAAATCTCTAACAATCGCTCGTTAATAATTCTAGTATCGCCACAACACAATGATCTGAAATATTATAAACCTGGGCCAGACCCAGCGTGAAATAAATAGTTGCAGCAGTAAATAGATCATAGTCAAAATGACATTTCAGCTACGACGCTTCTACTCATCTCCCAAAAAACTATGGAAATGAGAACCTTGAAAAGAACAAGTATTTAAAGAAATATACCGGAACAAATATAAAATGCTTTCGATCTGATCAAAGTTATATCTGAACCAAGAAGCAACCACGCATGGGAAATCAATTACCACATGTCCTACCTTTCAAAGATAAAGGATATCTACTAAAAAATATGTAAAACGGCACACGACAAACTATCGAAGAGTTCTCCAAGGCATACTTTCCTGCCAGGAACCAGAAAGGAACAGAAGCAACAAACGGCATGATGCGTCTACTGTCATTAGGACAGTTATCGTTTCGAATATGATCAAAACAACTACGTCTGATAAATCATTGACTCCGTAGGCAAACAGATGAATAATGTCCTCTAATCTTTCCTTCGATATGAATCCTCTTGATACTTATTTCGTCAATCAGTCCCACAATCCTTTCAAATTAACTTTCGTAAACGCGTCGTTCTGAGAAAAAAGGACGGCTATACAAAAGCCACGTCGTCCTTTCAATTTCGACTTGAAAACATATCCATCGCGCACGATCCTGCGACAAGTCTCGCGAGTTAGTTCCTTGATGTTAAGAGCTAAACCGTGATTGGTTAACAAGGTTTTACGTCACGGAAATCGTTTTGTCGCTCGGGTTCGCAGACGCTATTTTTCGGAGGGAGAGAAGCGACGACCATAAATGCGTCTGCGGTTCGAAGGCTAAGCTTTAAGCAGCTAAAATTTTTTTTTGTTCTCGACATTTTTCACCAACCAGTTGGATTTTACTAAAACAATATTAATCCTCTCGCCCTCATGGCCTCGGAGTCAATAGCCCATGAAGCCGCTATTGTCTCAGAGCACATTCGGGCTCGAGGAATAATTGTTGAATATACATTCCTTCTATCAGTCTATGAAAACGGACATTCCGGGGCATGTTGAAAAATCGGGAGAACATTTTTTTGTGATTGTTTTGAAACTTTATTTGAAAAAAAAAAAATAACATGACTTAATTTCTGAGGGTACAGGTGTCTCATTCTCGAGCCCTGAGCTTACGCTTCATGCGTAGAAGAGCACTGGGGTCGAGATTGACAGGTGTCTGTGCCTAAATCGCCATAAATTGTAAACAAATCATCCACATGAGCTTCCAATACAATACAAAGGAGGAAAAATGTATGATTTTTTGTATATTCACTCTCACCTTTTCGGGCAAGACCTGTTGAAGTGAAACAAACCTGAACATATGATGCACGACATACCTTCATATCATAGTCCCAGAGCTACACTTGGGATATGTTCATTAACATTCCTATGTACAAGTCGACGCCGAATTACCGGCGGATGTTCGATATCTCCGTTATCTTTAGAAGACGTAAAACCATGCATAATTACTCAAAATTTTTACTAACAATTTCCAGGAGTTTGCTTCCAGGGTCGATGGCCTGGTTTCTTTCTGGAAGCTGATCTGCCAATCCTAGTAACTTGCGCAGAACTTCCAGCTTTTCCAAGTTTGCATTCTTTGTCCCAAGTAGGAATACCAGATGCAATTTTAAGCTCCAGTAGATGTCTTCGAAATGTTGTTTCACTTTCTTAGGAACTCCATGCTCCTCGACAAGTGACAAAAGAAGGTCACACATCGCAATCACGTCACGTTTTAGTTTATTCTTTTTTGATCTTGTATCCAGCACGTTCGCTATTTCTTCTATGTACTTTTTAACTATTTCATCGGAAGGAGACGACATGTTCTGGGTAAAATTCACTAGCTTGACCATATATCAGACAGAAATAGAATGCGGCCAAGAGCACTTTATTCGGTAATTAATTCGGCGTTTACTGTCTAAGGTTTCACGGTCATCGAAGAAAGCTACCAATAAAAGTTTATTGTCGAAATGCGATGGACAAATTAAATCTCGACTTTTGTTCTAGGGTGTTTGTTTTGCCCACGTAGGTGCACAAATTACTACTGAATTATTTATATTTTGTAGCTCCACGGCCCAAAATTAACAAACTTTAGGGTCTCTTAAAACGAAAGCAAGCTTGTATCTCCTAAATTTCGAATTAAGGGTAGCACCCAGCTTTGGTAATTCCTAAAGTTCAGCTGTTTACAAAAAGCCTTTAAAGCTTCGCGAGTCCTTAATTTATTCAATGGGGGAAGCTAAACTTCATGTTAAATCTTTGGAAAGCTCTCCATTGAGAAAAAGGATGAAGATGGACCATTCCGGTTTTGGAGGCTGTAAACGCGAGAAGGCATTAGATATGTCAGAGGTAGGAGTACCATTTGAATCCATGAAGTTTTGTTGAAAGATCTTATTACTAGATCAGTTTTAATTTGCAAATTTTGAAGGGTGCCACTGGTTTATAATCTCGCAGATAACATTTGCAAAAAGTGGCGAAGAAAGTGCGAGTGACACCAAATCAAAGTGGCATACTGCAGCAATGTTGAAATTCCCACCACTTTCCCAGGTAAGGGTGGCAAGAAGCCTGGCCATAACTGTATGTTTTTTTTAACTTATCAACATTATTTCTTTCATCGTTGGTACGTTCCCACTGTATCAGTAATATCGAGTTTGTAAAAACAATCTCATCTCGCCAAATTCTAACAAACTATTCACTGTTGTCAGTGATGAAAAAGATCTAATTAGAACAAATCGCAGCTGAATCCCTTTCATTTGATCATATTAAGTTTACATTTCTGTATCTCAGCAGTTCGCAAGTAAGACTCCTCACCCCTCCTGGGTCCTATTGATCATGTACAATTGATCCTGTAGACTGACGTTGTTTTATTTTGTTTTTCGATAATTGCGAATAGCAAACCTACCACAATTGTTTTAAGTTAGTGTATATTGTTAATTATTAAAGGTTTAAGCTGAGATCAGGCTCTATTTTCGTTTCGCTTTGTAAATAACATTCCGGCGGGCATGGCGAAACGAAAAGAGAATTTCAGCGGTAGCCATTAGAGGGAATGTATGAGAACCGCTCAAATTGGGCCTGATCTCAGGTTATAACGGTTTTGAACTGATCGATGAGAAAGCAGGTCGTGACTGATCTCCAGTTCAGAGAGGTTGTTATAAATAGGAAATTATGAAATAGATATGAAATAGATTGTATGCAAGGAACAGCAAGCCTGATGGAAACAAAGGCAAACTATTGCCTGAAAAACCCGCATGTCAAAGAGAATCGACAAGTATCGATCTTCACACTTCACAATTCAGATTTTAAATGTTTTATGTTTACTTGTTCCATAATGGATACATTTAGCCCGCTGAATCAATTTAAAGAACCATTTCATTTTATAGATTTATCCGGAACTTCCGTCTACTTGTCATACATTTGTAAAATCGGGGAGATCGATTCCTTGACAGCAAAAGTATTCACTAAGAACATTTGGAGAAGAGTAAAATATTATTACTGGAAAAAGTACTTATTGAAAGGTCGTTTTCTACCTGTAGATATCTTGTATTATTATACATCAGACTCACTATGAAAAATCTGATTGGTCGATAGTATTCAATCAATTCACAATAGCTTGTGAACTTGACATGATAAATGCAATATCTGCTGCAGATATTGCATTTATCATGTCAAGTTCAACGTCTGCCTGGTTACCAAGCCCCTTGGAGTGTTCTCCTCAGAAACAGAATGGCTGAATGTCTTCTTTTGCCTATTGTTTAAAAATGTATAATAAAACAATTATTGAATTCGGTTTTCGCATGATATCATGAATTATCAAAACCTCGTGTCTGTATTATCTGCCTCAGCCTTCGGCTTCGGCAGATAACACATACCTCGGTTTTGGTAATTCATGATATCATGCTCAACCTCATCCAATAATTGTTTAGTAAGTACAGTCCTAAGTTAATATTGTGCTCTATTTTATTTCAGGAGGAGCTAAAGGAAATTTATGGACAAAATAGAAACGATATAGCAGAGGTTCGTGTTACAATGAAATCGTTTGTAAATAGGGTTGTAAATATTTCATCGATCGCGTCAGTACAACGCATTTTTTTTGTTTCATTTTGAAATGCACGAGGGAGAATTATTTTCGCATTTATTTTCCAGGTAAGGGTGCGCTCGATAGACTGTATCTCTGGAAAGACTTAGTGGAACAAACTCTACAAATTCTAGGAATCTCATAAATCGGAGCTGTGCTGATTACTAAGCACAATATGCCTTACGTTTTTATATTTTCACACACTGTGCTGGATAAAACAAGGCTGTGTAAAATTTATGATTAAGTTGTATGAGGATAATGAAATTCCAAAGAAAGTTTTGAGCAGATTACTAATGATTTGCAACCATCAATTGTCCGTAAGAGCAACTCAGTTTTAATCCAGAACAAACAACAACTTTTCACCTTTTGGTAAGGCTTACTGTATCTACCGTTTAACCCACTTGAGTACTTTTTAATTCCAAAGGAATCTGAGGAAAGTGATGATGATGATGAGGATGAGAAGGATGATGATGATGAAGTTCTAACTCTGGAAGATCTCAAGAAAACAGAGGCATATAAGTTGGCAATGGAGGGCTTGGCGGCTATGCGTGCTAAGGAAGCCCGGCACAATGAAACAGATTCAAGAAAATTAAATGAAAAGTTACAAAGCACTGAGGCTTGAGAAATAATAAAATGGTCATAGAAAACAAACTTTGAGTCTTTTAAAACTGTGTTCGCTGGTTTAATTCGACAAAACAGCTCATATAACAAAGGTTAACATCGTGTTCATGACTCAGAGAGATCTTATACAGTAATTATTTTGATAAAATTATATATATAAAAACTATGTTCACAACTAAAACAGAAAGCATCATTCTGTAACATAAACGGAGTTTGGCAGTAGTCTGTCGATCGCCTTCAATATATGAGACTCCCTAGTTCATCCACTATCGAGGTTCTCCGTGAGGAAGTCGAACTCAGCAACACCCGTACTGCTTACGTTATGCACATTCCCAACACATTGAGTCTCACCTCGGCAAGAAACAACGGCAAGCAAACTTCCAATAGCGTTTCTCTTCAGTCAACTTCATTTTAATATTCTCTTAGTTACGACAGCCATCTTGTCATGCGCAGTAAGAGATGCGCAGTGCAAAACAAGGGAATCACCGTCAAAGACTCGTATTCAGTCCTTTTTTACCATAAGGTAAGAAGCGATCGATCGTTTATTTTTTGTTTTAAATGCATCGAGGTGAGTCGGGCGTCGGGGTATCCCACGTCCCTCGGTACATTTGAAACTGAGATGGCTGCCCGTTATTTTGAACGCCCGGTCGCTCAACCTCGTCCCCAGGGCGTTTTTCCCTGGCTTTGGAGGTAAAAGCCAGGGAAAAGCGCCCTGGGAACGAGGTTGTCGGTCGCCACGATCTTACGAAAAATGGGGACTGTAGTCTATGCACTTCTTTGAGAAAAGCTCTAAAAGTCTCCTTCTAACGCCTACATAAACAAAGCATCTAGGATGATCTATCACACGGCGTTTTCCTTCTTTGCCATCATCACTGTGGGCCAGTCTGCAGCTACTTTTAAAAAATAAGTTCGAGCCCTTGTAGTCATCAACTTGATCGTTGTCATGATTCTATAAACACATGAACAGAAGCCGGGAAAAAAGTCTTAGTAGTTGCTTTCTGCCCTTGGGGCTACTCATGTTTTCACAGTCTCAGACAATCTTACAATGGCCTTCTTTTAAATTGCGTTTAGAGACTGGCGTACGATGATGGCAAAGATAATTTAAGTCCTTATAAGGTGATAAGGAGAGAGCATCAAGAGAGAATAATGGGATAGAGAGGGTAATACCCAGTCTACTGAGCCTTAGGGATATGTGACTTTCACCAAAGACATTTTTAGATCAATTAAATGCTCGAATTAATCGGAAGAAGGGTTCCGGAGAGATCCGCAAACTTTAATTTAGCGTTGTCGAGAGAAAATTCAACAGTTACCATTACAAATATTCTCCATTTTTTGCTTTGAGAACTTGATTTCTGGACTTAGTTAAAATGTGCGGACGTCTCAGGAATAAGACTTCCGTTTAATTACAACCATTAAATAACTTTAATGAAATTCACATACTCCGGCCAGGCCTATTATACTCTCTTGGTAACACATTTGGCACTCGGTAAAAATTATCTTTTACATTTGAAAAGGAGTAAAGAATCTTTTAGAAATACCCTCTTTCTCGAAAGCCTCATTGCTTTTTGGAGAAAGTCGATATAAGCCGTACCAGTGGAAAGTGAGCCCTAGCGACCTTAAAGTAAACTTAAGTAACCTAGAGGAACCTATGGTTATATGGTGGACTATACGAAATAACCAATGTACCGTACAGAAAATTTACTGACACGATTAAAGACATGTTCGTTTGTTACCTGCCAAGTGAAATAGACTGCCAAAGGTCCCAGGCTTCGTCAAGGGTTGTCGTTATTTGAATAATGACTAATGTATGACCATGTATCTATTTTGCATTTTTTCCATAGAATACACTATGTTATAAGATCGAGAGGAAAGTGCCAACTTTTATATTGTACTTTGATCTGATGTTTTAAGACTATTGAATTCTGAATTCACTATGTAAGAAAACTTTTAATTTTAAAGTAGTATATTTCTCTCTTCACCATACTTTTTAGCCTTAAATTCACGGCGACGTTAACATTTATTATGGATTAATTCCAATTAAACGTACTCGATAAATTGAAAACTTCAGCGATAAATTGATACCGCATTAAGGTTTAGTTTAAGGCAGGCCTAAAAACTGGCAACTTGATTTTTCTGAGCTGATGGAACATTTGATCTGATATACGATGAAAACGTCGCCAAGAGAAACTGAAGACGTTTTAGGCCGAAAAACTAACCTTGTTATTCTTTCTTATTTCTGCGTTCATAAAAAAGTGGGTGTCTTTTTTATTTTATTATATAGACGCGAGTGTTTTACTGGAAAATATACCACTCGTAAAATTCATAAGAACTACATCCGGGATTCAAGTGGTTTATTTTCCATAATCTCACACGTGAGTGAGTTTATCGATGACGTAATTTCTGTAATTTCCCTCCACAATTTGTAGGCGTCTTGCGTCTTTTGAATTTTACTTACACATCTTTCAAATCTTTGCTTATATTTTGTCATTGTAGAGCCCTATTCCGTTCAGTGTTATTTCTCAAGATTATTGTAAACAACGTCTTATATTGCTGTACTGTAAATTTGAGCCATCACAATTACTAATCTATTATTTTATCAATGTCTTTTTGTCTATATAATAAAAGGAACATTACACGGGGGCTTGAATATATGAATTTTATTTTCTCGTGGCAAAAACAATATTTTACTCACTCGCTGCGGACGTTCGTAAAATATTGTTTTGCCACCCGAAAATAAAATTCATATCTTCGCGCCACCGTGTAATATCCTCCATATAAACAGCGAACGATGCTTTTCACACGTGAAGCGAACGATGGTTTTCACACGTGAAAAAAATGATACTTCCAATCAGAATCGCGAACGATGTTTTTTCACGTGTTAGAAAAATGATACGTCCAATCAGACGCCGAAGAGGTGTGTGAGTTTGGCGCCAAAATTCCCACTTTTTCTTGCAGCTTGCAGCGCCGCTTCGCACAAATTCAACGAGGAAAGTTTTTCTCAAAGAGTTTTGCTCGTTAAAAAAGATAAAAACATTTGGGAAATGGAGTGGAATAGTTTCGTTTGTTTCACTGTAAATAAAGATTACTGTAGAGAACCGTCAAAACAACAGCGGAAGGCAGGAGCCCATCAAATTTGATGGGCTCCTGCGGAAGGGGAAAAACAGAACGAGACGTAAGCGACGCAAGCCTTATGTTGTGCTTTTTGTCGGAGCTACTTTTACGAAAGCCGATACCGCTCACAAGTTGTCGCTTCCTACTTGTCGCTTCCCAGTTTTCGCTTCCGAGATCGAAGGGGTGGGGGTGGGGGGGGTCGTGCGAATTACTAAGATGTTATTCACGATAGCCATCAACAAATTGTTTCCTTCTAAGTTTGTATTAAAAAAAGATAAACACACTATAAATTGTTGCTACGTTTAATCTGGCTTTAAGGGACAGAAAAAAGGCTTTAACGTACCTGTAACAGTACTATCTGACCGGCCATTTTACTTAAATTCATTCGTTTTCAATTATGCATTCAGAACAAACAGTAATGATTACTTGTAGTTCTTGGATTACCTCATATGCTTACCGCGGAGTCACTATGTCAGTTTAACAAACGTTTTTGCTAAAAAGCTGATACTTTGATTTTGCAGTGCGTAGCGGCAAATTTTAGCATTTGGGAAAGATTTAGAATAAAAAGGCCGCAAAATGATGACTGTCTTAGTCACATTAAATAAACACAATAACACATGGAAAGTGCTTCGTAAGGTATTTACGCACTCGTTGTTTTTGTATCAGAAATCTCACTTGTTCGTTTTCTGATACGCCAACAACTCGTGCGTAAATACCGTACGCCAGCAGTTTCCTTGAAGTACTCTCTATATATTTTAGTCCGTTAGAAAATCTAAATGAAACTTTTCTTATACCTCAAAGTGTTAGATGTACATGTCATACATCATGTTTTTTTCAAACTACCATTACATTCTGGTTTTATTCCAAAAATGTGTATTCTACGTTTTACATGCGTATAATACACATTTTTCAGACGTTTGACATCTTTAGATTCAAGAGCTCTGAAGCATTTTGAAGCAATTTTCTCAAAGTTTTCAAAAAATAATGTACAATCTTTCCGGAAGCTTCTCAGGGCAACATACACCGCTTCGTTATCAGGCGTATCCTCCAAAGAAGACTCTGCATCATCTGGGAGACACTGGTTTATAGGAGGATACTCACCACATGCCGCCAAAAATGTCCCCCCTACGGTGTTGGCACTTGCACCTTCCTGTCCCAAATTATCTGTCTCACCTAGGAAACCAGATAAGTTCTTGAACATAAACTTGCAGTTTTGACAAGGTGGTTTTTGGGTTTTATATCCCGCCGTAAACCAAAATGCTGTGGAATTCCAGAGGACTTTATGTTCAGTTTCCAGAGGCTGAAAGAATATAACTGCTTTCTTGAGGCTTTGTTTAAACTCACAAATTCGATTGTACAAACAGAGAGGCCTTAAGAAGTGACTGACTGCAACTGATGATCCAACAAACCATTTGCCATTACGGGACACCCGCGCCAAGACCTTGGGTTTGAATGTGTTCTTTTCTCGAAGTTTCCTTAACCAATCTTTTGCCTGAGTCATCACAGCGTTAGCATGACTTTCGCTGCCCTTTGGACCATCAGAACATTCTGCTATGTCACTTAACTGGAATTATACAAATATTAAAGTGGGCCATTGTTGTTTTATCAGTGAGTGCAATGTTCTAGTTCAATTTATGAATGATATTCTCTGTTGTGGCCATTCAAGGAATTATAATGAATAAATAAATGACCTCAAGTGAACTGAATGATTAGTCGGTATATTGATCTTCGGACTAACTGGTGATCATACTCAGTAGGCAAGGTCCGATCAGTTTCTTTGTCTCCCACGCAAGCTAATCCATTCTCTTGCTGCATCACTTTAAGGTGTGGACTGCCTCTTTTTCGTTTTAGTAGGAGGGGTCAGAAAAATTTCTTAGTGAGTTGGATGATATCTTAAATCTCTAATTCACCTCTTCTACCGGGCATTTGTTTGAGCAGTCCCTGGCCCGGTTCCTCAAAAAGATGGTATGCAACTCGAACTTTCAAAATGCTGTTGAGCCCTTACTCTGACGGATGCAGTAATGGTAAGACAAAATGTTGCTCTAAATAATTGACATAGGAAGGTAGAACACAAAAACGGAACAAAATTGTATTTTAATCCTGGATTAGCGCTTATCGGCCTTTTAGCATCCAACCGGGCCCAGAATACTAAATCCTTGAATATGGTAGGCTAATCGCACTCTCCCAGCCTGTCCAATTTATTTTTTCAGTGGAACCACGGTCTGGAACCTGCTCCGTAATTATGCCGGTTAGTCATCATTGATTTGACTTTCGTAAGTTTGTTCAAGCGGAACTGTAGTCACGCATATATATTGAATTATCTCTTGCAATGCCGACCACACATCAAGGAAGCTACCAAAGGGAAAGGGAACTTTCTCACTCAGGTAAACAGAATATTTGAAGGAGAAAAATATCCAAATGTTTGGAAGTCCAAATTTTTATTGCCTACCCAGGCTCGGCCTATCTTGTCCGCTCCTCAGGATTGCCGCCTTAGTTCCACAAGAACAGATTTTGTGTTGCTATATGATGAATAAATAAGCTTCGGTTCGGTCAACCTTCGGTTCAGTCAGGATAGTTGAATATTGATCCCGTTCTCTTTCTCTTTCCCCCTCTCTCCCTTCCTTTCTCTTTTTTTGCTTTTATGGACCTCCACTTCATGTCTGTCCATAAAAACCCATGATAATTTGGCCAATATCCAGCCTTCCTAACTTCACCGCTTGGTTACTCCGAAGTTTCGGTTTCGTCATGATTTAATTTTCCAGTTCAAAATGCCGAGACTGAACGTACGGTTAAAAATAGTTGGCTGAAGATTGACATATAACAAGTAAATGTAATAACTACTGTGCATTGAACTTAAAAATGGAGTCATGACGATACCGCGGAAATGTCGTTCGATTTTATTGTTGGTTTGTACTAGTTTCATTATGAACAAATTTGTTGTAATAAAGCACCCTGAGTACTTAGCCTTGTCGCTTAATGGCTCTTTTTACTGAACTTACTCTTTTTTTTTTTTCAAATAGGACACATTTTCGTGGTGGTGGGCATTTTTGGATGTACGGTATTTGTCAGTATAATCCGTCTACCTTAACATTTGCATGTTCCTCGTCCCCAGCCGGGTTTTCTTGTTAGACTTTAGATTTGCGTCAATGGCCATGTGTTTGATTTTGATTACCAGTTTCAGTGATCTTTACAACCATAGAACAAATGATCCCAAATCCTTGTACAAGCTCCCAACTTTTAAAGAATGTACATTGGCGCCATTGTCACTCTCTTTTGGCCAAGAGGCGTTCTGTTATTTCCGTTTTTGTTTATAATTCAAGACTGTATACTGAACCAAGGTAATGCGGAAATTTTCCACTCCTAAATTACACTGTTTCCCCGAATTGCTGAAACGTTTGCATTACTAAACATTAAGCATTCGACTATTCTAAAAGAAGGATTTCTATGGTTTTATTTGGCTTTTAGAAGTGCCTTACAAACGATTACAACAATGAGGTAAACTGAGTTTCGATCAAAATACCAGGAATCTAAAACATAAATTCAATTAGTGCCAGCTGTTACTTGTCTAACAAGAACGGTTGAAGTATTAAGCAGAGAACTACCTGGTGAAACTTCTTTCCGACTTCAGCATTTTCTCGATACTTCAAGTTATTCATCTCGTGAGGCATAAGGTAAAAGCCCGATAGAAATTTTGGACAGGCTATTTCACACGTTCTGTACTATCCAAATTGCCGTTATTTCTCGGCAACAGTGAGTCCGCCCTGACCTAAAGTTTTCAAATTTCGTAGTAAATATATACATATTCCAGCTTATTCCCCAGTGATAAAAATATAGCATTTACAGGCTACGCTAGAGAACTTGGTCAATGCTACCTTCAAAACTTTCCTAGGTGCATAACACTTGTATCTTAAGAGCAATGATCGACATGAAGGGTTCCGGTTCGGATCATCCAAGAACGGTCAGCTCTATCCCTGAACGTTCGATATTTTCCTAATTCTGTCAACAGAGAAATGTAACTAAGGCCCAGTTCAGACGTCATGCTTCTGCCATGCCTAACTAAAGTCAGGAATTAAGTTCGACAAAAGCACGGCAGAAGCACGGCGTCTGAATCAAACTTTTGAATTAAGCTCGGCAAGCAATTAAGTTCGACAAGCGCTGTCGTGCTACACGGCTCTGGCACGGCAGCGATTCAAACGTCGTGCTTCTGCCGCGCTAAACCAAAATTCGTAAATTATATTAATGTATTTTGGTGAGACTGCGTTCCCACGGGGAGTTGGAAGAATTGTTACGAGGCATCAGTAAATCCTGAATTTGGTTCGACTCTGGCACGACGTCTGAATCAAAGTTGTTTTCCTGCCGTGTTACAGTCGAACCAAATTACAATTAAGTTCGGCACGGCAGAACCACGACGTCTGAACTGGGTCTAAGGACTTTATTAAATGGTACTTACAATTTCCAAGAGTTTGCTTACAGGGTCAATGGCACATTCTTTCCCTGGAGCTGCATCTAGCTCTTCCACTGTCAATCCAATCTGCTGGCCTAGTGCATTGAGCTCCCTTACTTGAACAGCTTGTAGGTGGAATTTCAGATGCAATTTTAGGCTTCCATAGATGTCTTTAAAACTTTGCTTCAGTCTCTGAGGTACATCTCTATTTGGAACTCTTTTTTTACAGTCTTCTACTAGTAGCAACAGTAGCGTGCACATATCACGGACATCACTTTCCAGTTTCTTCTCTATGCTATTAACACCGTTCACTATTTCTTCTATGTATTGCCGGACTTCCTCATCTGTAGGACACGACATTTCAGCCTAGATACTATTTAAGAATCACTTTCTTTGTGAAAAGCTATAAAGATTTGCGGTTTGAAGAAGAGGCAGCGTATAGACAGCAAAATGACTTCTTAGCATCGAACGCAGTCAACCAAACTAAACTGTACTCTACGAATTCGACTCGCTATTGATTATAAATCAACTCAAACAAGATGCAGGCGTCGCCATGCAACGCATGAGGTCTTGCTTTATTTATACCCTACGGATATACTGGGCCCCTTGCATTATCAAATAGTGTCCTAATACATCCTACTCTCCGCAAAGGCTCCCACTGCAGTTGGAGAACAAAATAATTCATTGAAAGGTAAAAGTCGGTGCAGAGTTCCCTGTACACTCTCTTTTCGTCTCTCGCCAACCTTCTAATGAAATAAAGAGGCCTTTTTAGAAGAAAGAGAGCTGACAAGAGACACTTTCCTATATAAAATTTTCCCGTTCTGAGCAAAAACTCTTTATGCCACTGGAAGGCTGTGGGTGGTTTCCGGCGCGCTCAGTCTATTTTTAGTTTTGTGAATTAGCTTCTGTCACGTTTGCTTATGACTCATGGAATTTGTTTGGAATTCTTTTGTTTATGACCATTGGAACCTCGGCAGGGGTAGTTTGCAGAACGCCGAATGGCCGCCGAACGCCGGTCACTAAACTGGGCACACTGATCTGAAACTTGATTCACTTGTTTCCTAATCACTAAACTTCAGAGTCATTTGGCGTTTGGGAGCCGAGTTTGTCGTTTTGCAAAATACCCTTTACCGTTGGAACCTTGGCGGAAGAATGAAGGGTGGGCCTCGTCCCCAGGGACTTTGGTCCCAGGTTGGTCGTCCAACTGTATCGCCAGCATGGTAACTTACCAGGTAAGAAGTAAGAATCACGTGAGAAGAATACAAGAAGGAAGTGAGCCACTTTAACTCTCAGTAACGTCTGAATCGACGGGCAGTTAAAGCCGTCCAGTGACGTCACTACTCCTGTGCTGTAATTCCATCCTCGGAGATCCAGGGGCAGATAGTGGGGGCGAGGAAAAGTCTAAACGGGCGGAAAATTATGGCACGAAGAAAAGTAAATGACGGCGAGAAGAGCCCCTGGGGACAATGTCTTAACAGTCCAGTTCCCACGGTCGCCGCCGTTCTGCCTTCTGATTGGGCAGAAAAACACAAAAGTTTTCTGGGACCAATCAAAAGTCAGAACGGCGGCGACCGTTTGGAACTGGTCTTCTAAGACATCGTCCCCAGGGGCTCTTCTCCCTGTCCTTTACTTTTCTTCGTGCCATATATTTCCGCCCGTTTAGACTTTCCCTCGCCCCCACTATCTGCCCCTTGGTCTCCGAGGATCCTGTAATTCATGCAAAAAGTAAAAAATGATTTTCAAGTGGCAAACCAAGAAATATCGTTTGGAAATGTCTACATGATACAGAACAGCTGACAGAATTGCTCTACTCTTTTCGATCGTAATTCGTGTTTAACGTTCAAACTATCAACTGCATTCAGTACTCTAAACCGGTTGTAATTCAAACACGTAATAAAATAATACACACACGGAACACTTAGTTCAAAAAACACAACAATTTCGTTTAATTGAAAAGAAGCCATTTGGTCCTTAAGGAAGAAAAAAGAAAACCACAGGCGGCCCAAACTCACTTTACGAGGGAAGGGCCTTAATGTAATGTACATACCATAGGTGACGCGCCGGTATCGCGTTACTGGCGACCGTTAAAAATATAAAAGACTTTGTATGAGAAATATATTACTGAGTTCTTCGAAGGCCAAATAACGCTAAACCTTACTTTTTCTTAAATGAAATGAATAAAAAAGACTTACCTGCAATCTATTCCACTGCGTTTTGGTGTCTGTTTGTCGTTTCACTGTGTTTTTTGGCTTTATTGCGTAACCACTGTTACTAAAGGAGTAACAGTGGTTACGCAATAAAGCCAAAAACACCAGTGAAACGACAAAAATAAAATAAAAAAAGACTTACCTGCAATCTATTCCACTGCGTTTTGGTGTCTGTTTGTCGTTTCACTGTGTTTTTTGGCTTTATTGCGTAACCACTGTTACTAAAGGAGTAACAGTGGTTACGCAATAAAGCCAAAAACACCAGTGAAACGACAAACAGACACCAAAACGCAGTGGAATAGATTGCAGGTAAGTCTTTTTTTATTCATTTCATTTAAGAAAAAGTAAGGTTTAGCGTTATTTAGCGTTCGCAGATCTCAGTAAGTCTCTCATATTTTCAACGGTCGCCTGTAACGCGACATCGCGCGTCACCTATGGTATGTAAATTACATCACACCCTTCCCTCGTAACCTGAGTTTGGGCCGCAAGAGGGTCGAATGACAACATGAAATTGGTCTCAGAAGCTTCGCACAAACAAAATCGCTGCGGAAACCACAAAGTAGCCTAAATTTCATCCGTTTGCTTCGAGTCGTTATTACTCCCTCAGTAACGTCTGAATCCGGCCGTTAATGCTGTCAGTGGCTCACTCCCGGTGGGGGTACTGCCATATATGGGCTATATAGGTATGTGCCGCTGTGAAGGGTATGGTTTTCAGGCAGTTTACTCTAGGATAGGGTATGTAAATCAGAGCGTTTGGGTCTAGAATAGGGTATCATTTTTCAGGAAACTGATCAGTTGGTTGAAGATTTTATCTAGACAAGGGACAGCTACTCTGGGATAGGGGGATTTGGGGAGTTTACTCTAGTATAGGGTAGCAAAATTCAGCTGAACTAGCTCTGGTATAGGTTAAGGGTTCCAGCGTCCCAGCGGCACATCCCCACCCAGAAATTCCTAAAGTACCACCCCCGGGGGCTCACTACGCCTTTGCTTTAATTCATGCAAAAAGTAAAACACGACTTTCAAAAACGTCGACATGATACAAAATTACTTTATCCTTTTCGATCGTAATTTATGTTTAACGTTCAAACTATCAACTGCACGCAGTGCTCTGAACCGGTTGTAATTCAATAATCAAAAACGGTCGCAATCACGCCGCAATGAAATAAATACACACACGGAACACACAACGATTTGCTTTAATTGAAGAGAAGCTATTTGGTCCTTAACGGAGAAAAAAGAAAACAAGAAAGAAAGGCTAACAGACAGAATCATTACACGTGACGGTGATCTCATAAAACTCCGCATAAACAAAATCACTGCGGAAACCACAAAGCGGCTCTAAATGAAAAAAGAAAACAAGAAAGAAAAAAGAAAACAAGAAAGAAAGGCTAACAGACAGAATCATTACACGTGACGGTGATCTCATCTGAAACTCCGCATAAACAAAATCACTGCAGAAACCACAAAGCGGCTCTAAATGAAAAACCTACCGACTCTCCGCAATTATTCTTCATTTGCAGTTCATTTTAGCTATTCAGTTTCGAGCACAAGGGCAATTTTGCTGTTTACGATAAAGATTATCGAAATCTTTGAACTCCAAGAAAGCAATTGCAAGCAAGGGATGCGATCCGCTGATATATCAAGCGACAACCCCGCTAATATTTCTCAAAATCATACATAATTATGCGAACGTTTAGACAATCAACCAATCGCAGGAAGCGATCGGATAAAATTCAGGCTACCACAAAGCGGTTATGAATGAAAAACCTATCGTCTCTCCGCAATGATTCTTCATTCGCCGTTCAATTTAGCTATTAAATTTGAAGACAAGGGCAATTTTGCTGTTTACGATAAAGATTATCGAAATGTTTGAATTCCGCGCAAGCATGCTACCCATGCGATCCACTGAATATCAAGCGACAATCCCGCTAAAATTTCTCACAATTATACATAATCATGCGAATGTTTAGACAATCAAGCAACAAAGCGAAATCACTACCCGGTTTTGCCGCCTCGGTAGTCATCGGAATTTTACATGTGTAAAGACGCCATTGTTTAAGTGATTTCAAAAATGACCAAATATGGCCAATTTTACAAGAGAAAACAATATATACTTAATGTCAGATCGCGAGGGATCTGACATTAGTCGACTGGGTAGTTATAACATCACAAATTTAATTCTTAAAACCGTAGCCTGAATTTCATCCGAAAACTTCGAGTCGTTATGACTTCCTCAGTAACGTCTGAATCGACCGACCGTTAACGGTGACGATAAAAGGCGGAATAAATATGAGGAATGGCATTTGGCATGGCTTGCGGAATGACATAATTATGCGGAATGTAACATACGCAGAATGACCCCAAAAAATAAATTAAACTGAAAAGTGCCCTTTTTTTGGCGCTAATCAATTTGCAAACACAGCCGCTGTTTTAATGTTGCAGGCTCGACATACGATGACAATCGCGGCCACGAAGGCTCATTGTCGATTAGCCTTTTCAGCAGAGCCACAAAGATTCTTCTTGTCTTTATTAGTCGGGCTGCATGGCAGCTCCGATACTACAGCACGAAAGTCGTCCATTGAAGAAAAGATGTTTTGGAAGGTCACACTCCCTTCTACTTTAATTTTTTCTGCAAAAGATGTGTGCACGATTAACGTAACAGTTTCCTTTTACCTATATTTGTATTTGAAACCGCGTGGGAAGTGTTCATTTTCAGACGGTGGGCAGGCCTGGACGGTGGGTTACGTGATCGTGACATCCTCCTCCTCAGACGCTTCGTTTTTCGCAAGGTAGAGGCGAGCGACTGGTGATGAGCCGCAAGGGACCATGAGAAGGGTACAGACGGCAGGTGAACCCTGCCCGTTGTCTCCTTCCCGCCTTCCTTTGCGCGCGAGAGAGAGACGTCTGGATACGAGGCAGTGATCGTGACATAATAGGGAGCTCAAGCACCAGGCGTTTTTGACAACACGAACGTGGGGGGACCGAGTGGAGACTAAGTCGAAGACGGCGTTTTTGGCGCCAATATTTGTTTTAAGCACTAGACTTCCCGCCACGGACGCGACCGCAAAATTTAAGAAATATAAACGACAATGTAAACACTGGTTTTCTCGTGGTAACCTGAGAATCAGGTTATCTTTCTCGCTACATGGCGTT